TGGAGCGACGTGGATAAGAGCAAGAGTTTGGCCACGAGAGGTAAGATTATCCATTGTCCATTTAAGAGCATTTTGACTAGTTTTGTCTCTGTCTATTGCAACAGCCACTAAACCACTTCTTGTTCCTTTAATTGTCGCGTCTGTTACTTTCGGTAGCCACATTCTTTTATCTTTCTACCTGTTCTTCTTCTTCTTCTTCTTCTTTTTTTTTTTTTTTTCGTTTGTAGAAAGGAAAGAAACAATAACACAAATGGAGAATTTTTCTTGCTTTTTCTTAGTAATTGTTGTGTTTGGAGGAAATTGACAAAAAAAAAAATAGATAATGTATGGGTTGAGAAAATGTTCTATTTTTATTGCTTTTATCTGATGGATGTTATTTAAGGTTTATATTTTTGGATGAAAATCTAATTTCGGACTTTATAATACAAACCACACAAGTTAAGTATTATTTTTTTAGAAAAGTATTTGATTGTTCTTGAGTGTCTGGAAACAATAGAGCTAAAACTATAAAAATTCATATATCTATTTAGCCCTCTTTTTACCCTTCAAATGAATGGGTACATTAATACAAATATGGATTCGGATAAAATTCGGAGACAAAAAAAATGGAGAATATTATGGCCGGAGCTTTTGTAGATTCTTGAAGGAAGCTGCTTTTTATACTTGTCATGTAGAAGTTATTACATCATAAACACCATTAATTTGCTCTTTTTTACCTGTTTAAAAAACCGTTTAAATTGATGTACTATTCCGAAAATAATAATTAGCTAAATTTTGTTTTTTTAAAACAAAGTACTATAAATATGGTTATGTTTCATTATATTTTTGTCAGACAGTATTTACAAAAGAAACTGAAAAAATAACATAATTAAGGACCACTTAGATCAATCTTTTCGACTTTTATATTGCTTTCCTTGTTTTTCACTTTTTATTGTTATTTATTTATCTTTTGTCGACGTTGATATTTCTTCCTTTTAATCAATACCCCAATCATAACAATTCGATAAGAAATGCTGAATATATTTCCTGGAAAATTAAGATGTAAATTTAATTCTATTTCAGTAGACATATATTTCTAAATTAAGGTCGTCTGTTTATGTACTTACAAAACCCACGCGCACCAGAAGCGCGTTGAGCGCGTGAGAACAAAATCCCTGGACTATAGACCACCGAAATTGGGTATTTTCGCGTAAATGAGAATTTTTAAGGGACGAGAGCGCGTGATTGAGACTCTTATTACAGCTACATATTTTTCCCTTCCTCCAACATTTATGTTCGGTACAAAAGAATATGCAATGCGTTATTTTCACATATCGACCCAAAAGAGATCCATTTTACAGAAAATTTATTTGCGTATGGGCATAAGAAAATTAATTTTTGTTTCTCATTTTTTATTTTTTGTTTGATATAATTCGAAGCAATTTATAGGCAAGTCTTTCGAAAATTTCAGCTTCGTTTTTCGACAGAGTGCCTTGCAAACTTTAACTAAATTATTATTAAGAGGATTCAGAATATATTCTTTTTTTTTTTTTGCTATGAATTCAGAGTATATTCGTTTGGCCCGACTTTTAACAGTTTCCCAATCATAGCAATTTCGATTGGAGGTGATAAATGAGTATTAAAAATGTAAGCTTTCCTTGACCACCCCTCAAAAAAAAATGTAAGCTTTATTTGTCTTATGGACTTATCATACATGTAGTATACATGTAGTGGGAAGGTGCTTTAATGGAGATTCCTCAACTTTGCAACCATTTTTGTTTTATAAATTTATTTGAATATTTTTAACTTTAATTGGTAACAACATTTATTGTTGCTCATTTATGTTATTTGGCTTTAAAGCCTTGAAGGATCAATCATATCTTCTGATTTTTTCTTTTTAAAAGCTCTACTTTTAAATTCCAACTTCCATAACGTGAAAACAAACAATCAAACACACATCATTACATTTAACAACAAAAAAAGCCTAACCAATCTGTTAAAATTACTTGAATAGTTTAAAGGTTTTGGGAAGAAAAAGTTTCAAGCTTTAATGTTTACTCTGTTTTTTTTTGGGTAGAACAACTCGTGCAACGGGGGCTGTGATGAAAGTGACAAATAGCTAAAACCTCTTTTGCATTTATTGAGTCTCTCTTTGGACCCGATCCCATTCAACTCATCTTCACAGATGTCTCTCGCTCTCTCTCTCTCTCTCTCTCTCTTATCTCTCTCTCTCTTCTTTGTCTCAGTCTCGTTTTGCTGAGTCATTAACCGTCTGGAGAGATCCAGAGTAAGTTATTACACCGACACAACGTCAAAATTCATCGATGATACAATGTCTGGAGACTCTCTGCTCGCATCTAAACAGTAAAATTTTCATATCCCTTTTTCAGTTTCTTTTCCCTGTCTAAAATATTGATTCATCTTCTTCCTCTACCTCCTCTCCGTTTCTTCCATAATTTTTACATTGATATGTTATGCAGAGGAAGTTCTATGTCCAGATTCTCTCAGACCAAAACCGTCAGTCTCTCGCAGGTTCAGATTCCTTATAACTTATATGAAAGAGCTTCCATTAACTTGCTCCTCAGACTGCCAACTCAATGAATGTTTTTCTCTGTTCTACTCATTTCTTCTTTATTGCTTGAAATCTCATGACTCTGTTTTCTCTAAAAAGTATAGCCAAAGAATGTTACTGGAGAGATTGGTCTTGATTCCCCAAAGAAGAGCAAGTTTCACCACATTTACAAATTCGAGCTCGAGCATGATGTGAGTTTCACTCACTCACTCACCTCTCTTGTATGCATTCATATAGAGAAATCTGTAAGAATTTGTTAAAGCTCAAGACTCATTTCTTGTATGAAATAGGTGAAGCGATTAAAAGATCAGCTGAAAGAAGAGACTGCACTTCGTGCTCTACTGCTGAAAGCTTCGGATCAAAGCCATAAGATTGAGCTGTCTCACACATCTTCCCTTCCACGTAGCGTATGTTTCTTAAGTTCTCTAAGCTTGCAACGTCTAGATATAAAAGCAAGTGAATGTTCCTAAAAAACCCATTTGCAGGTTCAAGAACTTCTCTCCACTATTGTAGCTATGGAAGCTACGGTCTCTAAGCTCGAAGAAGAGATCATGTCTCTGCATTTCTTGCTGATTCAAGAACGAAATGAGAGAAAACTCGCTGAGTACAACCTCTCGCATTCTCTGTCTCCACCTGTATGTTAATTTAAGTGCTTATGTTTGTCTAATCTCTGTGTCCTGCGATTGGCTCTGACTATAAGTTGGTTTCCCAGAATGCTACAGATTTGGTTATATTTTCGGAAAAGAACGAAACCTTACGCCACAAAGATCACAGAGCACAACCTAAAAGTAAACTGGTAAAGTCTTTGAGAAGCTATGATAACGCTATTGAGCTATCCAAGGAGATGATAAGATGCATGAGAAACATATTTGTATCTCTCGGAGAGACATCTGCTGGATCCAAATCCTCACAAGAGACTCTTGGTTTCTCACCTCGCAAGAATCCATCATCATCAACATGGTGGTCGCCTTCAGAACACTCCCGGATCTCCAAGTGGGTACAGAGCCCACGAATCGATGTTCACAAGAATTCAGATGTGTTAGCAACAGAGAGCAACGTGTTTGATCCGTATAGATTCCAAGGAAAAATGAGCTGGACTGATATAGGAAGTTACAGATCCGCAACTGAAGTGGCTTCCATGTCTGTTGAGGAGAAACGGCTCGGATATGCTTCGGAGGAGTTATGGAGATTCAGGTATTAACACACAGTTCAAGGCAACTTCTGAGATTGGGTTCTGTTCTTTGGAACTTGACAATACTCTTATGTTGTTATCTTCATTACAGAAACCTCGTCGAAAGACTTGCTAGAGTAAATCCAACAGAACTAAGCCACAACGAGAAGCTCGCCTTCTGGATCAACATATACAATGCCTTGATCATGCATGTACGTAACCATGTCTTTGGAATTTCCCTCAGTTCTGATTTGGGATAAACAAATTTACAATTCCCTGAATTGTCTGATTCAGGCATACTTGGCTTATGGCGTGCCAAAAACCGACTTAAAGCTCTTCTCCTTGATGCAAAAGGTATGATCTGCACACACAAACTACTCAACACTTGTTGGTTTGGTTTGGTTCGGAGAGATGTTAGTGTAAGTCTAATTTGGAGATTCTATCAGGCTGCTTATACAGTTGGCGGGAATTCATACAATGCAGCAACGATCGAATACATGACTCTAAAGATGAACCCTCCTCTCCATCGACCTCAAATCGTACTAAACTCTGGTTTAATCTTCTATAGTTTCTGCAATTTCTTCACTAACTATTCTAAATCTCATACCTAAATCGGGAGTTTCAGGCTCTGCTTCTTTCCATTCTAAAATTGAAAGTATCAGAAGAACAGAGACAAGCGGGGATAAGCACACATGAACCTCTAGTGTCTTTCGCTCTCAGCTGCGGAATGCACTCATCGCCAGCGGTAATCTAACCATATCTATCTGGATTACGAATCGGATTCTTGAACAGACCATTGCAATTTTCTCACAGAAAGTCACCTGCAGGTGAGGATATACTCAGCCGAGAGCGTAGGAGAAGAACTTGAAGAAGCTCAGAAAGATTATATCCAGGCATCAGTGGGAGTGAGCCCCAGGGGGAAGTTGATTGTACCCAAAATGCTTCACTGTTTCAGTAAGAACTTTGTCGATGACTCAAAAGTTGCTCTGTGGATTTCACGACACTTGCCTCCTCGCCACGCTGCATTTGTTGAGCAATGTCTTCACCGAAGGCAACGGTGGGGGTTTCTAGATTCATCTAGTAGCAAATGCGGTGTTATTCCTTTTGATTCACGGTTCCGATATTTGTTTCTTCCGTAACAAGGCATTGATGAGCAATGATGTGATGAAAGCACACAAAATTCCGTTGTTAGGGTTTAGGTCTATGGCTATTTAGGTGATTCAATTTAATTTTCTGAAAGTAATAAACAAAACTAATAGATTCGATCTGCTAAATGAATAAGAAGACGAAACACATTCTCTCAAGATGCGGAAGTTTTATAGTAATCACCGGCGTACATGTGATTCAGACAAATAACCAATAGTTATGTGTTCTGTTTGAAAGATAATAAAAAAGGGAGAGATGAAGCTAACTTGGTCCTAACTAGGCATTGATGGATGAAATGTCTACTTTACGAGGCGCTTGGACCACGTTCTTGTTTCCAGGGAATGACTTGCGGGAGACGTCCACGAGTGCTTTGAAGCTGTAAGGTTCATGCATAGATAACTCAGAGAGGACCTTCCGGTTCAGCTGGATGTTCTCCTTCATCAGTCCGTGGACAAAGTTACCATAGTTCACCTGTTTCAAGCTTTAAATGTTAGGATTCCAAACCAAACACGTAATTTCCAAATTCTTCACCGGAAATTGGCTATTGATCCGCATATAATAGCATAGATGTAAAAGAGATATACAAAAAAAGAAATGTAAAGGACAAAACAAATGTGTTACAAAGCTGAAACCAGGTAAGGACAAAACAATATGTTTCTCAACTTAGATTGGGAATAAATCAAAAGTTTCAGTTAGTTTGAAATCATTGACAGTAAAGGTATTGGTCATACTACCAACACGAAATGATTCACTTCTTTAAGCATCTTTGGGCTTTTCAAGATAAAACATTCACATCCTAAATCTCCATTTGGAAGATATCTCAGAGATTGGAAATTCAATCAAAGATACTGCAGAAAAATCAGAACAAAGCATGCAACATAATTCTATCGATCGTCTACTTATACCCAACAAGTTCTACTTCCATCACTATGTGGATACAAACACAGAGAGTGCAACTGCATAGTAAAAATATAAAGAATACAGCAAAAAAAGGAAAAAAGAAAAACTACAACGTAATACATCGAAATTCTATTCAGAAATCAAACTACAACTTGTTAGCTAGCAACAAACAATAGACTCCGGAGAAATCAAGCACTCAGTTTTACATAACAAAACACTAAAGATCATGGACCCTAAAAGAAGCTGATCTCGATTGAAAATCCAACCAACCATTATCTCAGAAGTTCCATTTCTAAACTAATCATAATTTACAAATCCCGTAGCGAGAGGGAAACCGAATCAATGCATCTAGCAGTCACTGGGAAGCAATCAGGCAAAATCGTAATCAGAGAAAAAACGTACTCCGTGCTGACGAGAGCCCGCGTTGATTCGCTCGATCCAGAGACCCCTCATCTCACGTTTCTTGTTGCGCCTGTCTCTGTAAGAGTACTGAAGAGCTTTCTCCACTCTCTCCCTCGCAATTCTTATGCAGTTCTTCGCTCTTCCCCTGAAACCCTTGGCTAGCTTGAAGATCTCCTTCTTGTTCATCTTTCTCCTCTCTATTCTTCCTTTCCCTTACTTCTCTCGCTGTTGCTCTACCTTTCCTTCTTCGAACGCCGCCTCTGTATGACTGTATCCTGCTTCCCTTCTGTTCTAATTCCGGGTCGAGTCGGATCCGAGACGAATCCGGTCAAAATGGGCCTTTGTCGCTTAGCACCACAAACTAAACAAAGCCCATTAGCGTCTCCTTTATCGCCAGACAGAAGACACGTGTTGCCACGTCATAAAGAGACATTACACGTGGCACAAGATTTCATCTCTGCTTCATTTTCCCGGGAAACAAACAAAACCAGACCCTATTTATGTTCCCCTAAATATTTTCCACAGATTTAAAGTGTGGCTTTGCTCTGTTCGTGTCGACCCATCACACAGAAAAACCCAAAAGAGAAAGACTTTTAACTGTCAATATTTTCTAGTATCAATGGGAGGAGGAGAGCCGATGGATCATCATCATCACCGAATCTCGGCCATGAAATCCAACGGCGTAGCAGAGTCCGACGGTGTGGGCCAAGGGAAACTATACTCTCCAAACTACGCCATCAAAGTCGCTACGAAAGCCGACGAAAACGTGGGCCAAGGGGAACTTTATTCTCCTGACCACGCGATCAAAATCGCTACGAACTCTGAAAAAACCTCAGAGAAGCCTAAACTTAATAACTCCGAGGAATCATCTGATTCAGAAGAGAAGCAGAGGAAGACGATGATGTTGGGGCTGAAGGATCTTTCGGAGGTTAAGGATAAAGTATTAGAGAAACTAGCCGCTGCTGCTGTTCCGTCGGAATCGCTGGAAAACACTAAACAGTTTTTGGAAGGTGTGATCAAAGATTTCGCTGGAGCGGCGCAGGGGATGACCAAAGACGCGTTACACCGGATTAAAACTCATCTTGCTGATATTCTTCCCTCTGTCTCTCCTGCCGTCACCGAAAAGGTTAGCCTTTTAATTTATTTATTGGGAACAGAAGAGATTTTGTTTGTTTGTTTGAATTATGTCGAGATTCTCTGAGCAGATGGTTGACGATGCGGAGAAGGAAGCAATTAAGGGCGAGGAAGAAGATGAGAGAAAGTCAAAAGAAAGTCCCGGAGAAGAATTTGCCGGAAAGTTGCCGTATGTGTCTCCCACGTCTTCATTTTTCGGCTCTCTCACCAAACCTTTCTCAAAGCTTTGACGGGTTTTTTTTACGTTGTTGTACGCGTACGTGATGATCTGAGATGGATACGATGAAAATCTGAGGTTTCTGAGACAACCTGATATTCCATGTCTGCTTATATTGAGTGAAGATGCATACTTTAAATGTTTTAAGAAAACAGAGTTTCACGCCTTTTTATGTTCTAGGCCATAAGATTGTTTAGCACACAAACTCAAAGTTAAATATAAGAAACCAATGTTTACGGAGATATTAAGGAAAAATATCTTCTTGTCTGTACAAATTATACAAGGACGTATGTATATATATTTGTAATGTAAATCAGAGGTTGAGATGAATACAAGAGACAAAATGGAATCAAATCAAGGATTCTTCTTTTCACTTTTTGGATTCCGGGAAACTTTGTCATGTGTTCTTCTCAAGTACAGATAAAGCAGGAGTCAGATAGTTGTTCGCCTTGTCTGGCAAATGAGCCACCTGAGAGCAAGAGATAGAGAGAGAGAGAGAGAGAGAGCAAGAGAGAGAGAGAGAGAGAGAGAGAGAGAGAGAGAGAGAAAGTAACTTTGTCAGATTATATGTAGAAGAAGTTAATTCATTTAGCAAGTTACTCTTTATGGTTTACTCCTACCAGCTCGTAGAGCTCTATTCCCTGCTCAGCCACGTATTCATGGCAAACCTGCAAGAGAAAACGCAAGGATGTGAGAGATCCAATGTTGTATTTTCTTCTTGATAGGTCAAAGATTGAATCTTTCTAAGTTGTTGTTTCTTCTTATTGATCAATGAGTTGATTCTTTTCTTCAGTTGTTTTTTAATAATATGTAACTCACATCAAAGCTTTTGTTTCTCGCGGTTGAATCGTGCAGTGACTTGACACAGATATCAGCCACATCCGCACAACTGATGCCCTGAACATTTAAAGAGAATTGGGCATTTGGAGGTTAAGTAAGCTCACGCAGAGAGTCTTTTCACTTTTGCGGTATGCGAGCGAGGTGACTTGAGTTTATGTGTTGTGGTTGAAACTAACCTGAGAAATTCTGTTTCCTTGATCAAATATCAGCGCTCGTTGCCCGCCTGGCTCCTCCTGTATCAGAAAAATTATAAAATAATCAAGCCATACACATACAAATTGGATAAAACTCAAAGAAGAGTACCTTCAAGGGACCGGGACGTATGATGGTGTATCCAAGGCCTGATCTTCTCAAGGAATCTTCACCAGCCTGATAAATATAGCGGGCAGTGAGAGAAAGAGCGAGAGATGTGAATAGAACCCACTGGCTCAAAAGCCCTGACAATTCGTAGCCTCAAGACAGATTCAAGAGTTGTTACAATGTGTGTATCAAACAATGTAGACTCACCCTCTTAGCTTTTAGCACTTGCTCTCTCCTGTTGGGTTCTACTCCTGAACCAGTACACGATACCAAAATAAAGTCGGTTTCTTGACCCGCCTGCAGAGAAACAGCGGAAAGATGATACTTTTCGTGTTTCTTCTTTCTTTCAAGCGAAAGCAGGATTAAGTTGGACAACTTACAGGCAAAGCTTTGATGTACTCGAATATAAGGCTAAAGCTTCTTAAATCTTGTTGTGCACCAGCAAGACCATCAACAGGTCTCTGAAAGAGAGAAAAAAGACAATCCAGTAGATTTCTAAAGTCACACACCAAGCAATGAAAGTATTTGGATAAGGAAACTGCTTGAGCAACGAGAGAGTAAGAAAACCTGTCTTTTAGGCTCAAAACGTATTGTCAATGTGTGAACGAGAAATGGATATAGCGGTGGATCTTCTGGATTAACCGGACGAAAAGCTGAAAATGGCACCCTTACCTGCCCATAAAACCAAAATTTTAGCCAGAAATATAGCGGAAAAGGGGTCGAATTAATGAGCAAAACCCATGATGCTTTCCATACCCGACAAAATCCTGCTTTGGTAGTAATTCTTGAGAAATACAGCTTGCTCTGAGACATATCTGATGATGGACCAGCTTCGAGGATTACAACATACGATCTTCCGTTCCCACCAACAGAAAGAACTAAGCCTTCATACCTATTGATGTAAAAGCATTAGCACACAAACGAAGCTAAGGCTAATTGGAAATTTCGTTAATACTACTGTCAAGTTATCCCCTTTTTTCTATGATCGAATCATTTCACAGTACCTGTCAAGTGTGGAACCCAGTGGAAGTGAAAGTTTCTTCGACAACTCAACATATCCTCCTCGAGTGAAAACATAACCTGCGTTCGAAACCCGGTTAAACCACACATACCTCAAACGAACAAACTTTCACATTGCCTTATTCTCAGAAGAGGAAGTGTGTACCTGAAAACTCAGCTCTCTCAGATTCTGTGAACTCGAACTTAGCATCCATTCCACCATCATATTTGGAAGCAGTTGTGTCCTGAAAGTAAGTTCCTTGACGAACTTCCCAACCGTCAAGTGCCTCAGCCGACTTGAATTTCGAGATTAAAAGCTTGCTTTTGCTGCTTTTACCAGCTCTTAGTTGCGCTAGTCTGTTGTTGTAATCCTGCAAAACACTCACCAGAAAACAACAACACAGGAATGAGTCGAATGCCTACTTTCTTTTTGCTCAACAAAACAAGAAACCACGGATTTGCAATACCTGAAAGGCCTTGGTGAGGTTATAAACACCCAAATGATCAACCCGGACAAGGTCTGCAGTGATAGTAGACCGAGCAGTGGCGCAATAGATGATCTTGCTGCAGCTTTCCACTGCGGATTTGAGCGTTGACGGTTCTCCCACATCTCCGACCACAATATCTACTGATCTTGGCAACATACTGATCACTTCCTCATCTGTTTTCCTCACCAATGCCTAAACAGTAACCTCAACTTATAAAAAACTCTAAAAGCATTTGCATAAGTGCGTCAATATTTTCATATAAAATCAAGCATTATTTTTTATAATGTAATCGAACCTTGACGGTGTAGCCACGGAGCATGAGTTTACGGACGACGATACGGCCGATTCGGCTAGTGGCTCCGACTACTAAAACGGTGACGTTTTGAGCGCCGGGAACAGCGAATTCACACATAGGTCCTTCTCTAATAAGAAGACTGTCAAGAGTCTCCTGCTCATCCGGTCGTGTCGTCCTCGAAATCTGACCCAATCCAGAGAATTTCCGCCACACCTCGTCGAAGAGCTGCCGCGATCGCCTCCCCAAACCCACTGGATTCACATCGTCCAGTTTCAGTTGCGGCGGAGATGGAGATTGAGCCGGCGGCGGAGCTCCGTCGAGTTTCTTCGCCACCGTCTCTTCGCCTTCCTTTGTAGTTGTTGTGGTTACGGGTAGATTTCTGGTCTTCTTTTCGCGGCGATTCTGTCGGAGGAAGAAGATGGAGGTGGAGAAGATGAAGATTGAGCCCTAGGGATTGCGATTTGGGACCGATCGTGAAAATCCCATCTGTGAATTCTGGTGTTGATGTTGAAACTGTTGCCAAAATTCGAACTTAGAAACCTCGCATCAGTCGCCGCCATGTTACTGCCAACAATACCACCCACCATTTTTTGAGAAAACTCTGCTTCTACTACAAAACAGAGCTCAACCTTCAAAAAATTATAATATTATTTTCAAATTCTCTCGTTTTTTCCTTATATTGTATAAATACGTTGGATTGGAATATGAATCTTTGCATGCTAATCTGTCACTGAGAAGACTCTTGGTCGAAATTGGAAACGGATAACGAAAGCGAGATTTTTTTTATATTTATCTGTTATCTGAGAAAGTGTTAAGAAAATTAAAAAAAAAAAAAAAGTATAAGAAATGGTTGGATTGGAGGAGTTTGACATATCAGAAGAAGTAGAAGAAGAGAGAGGAAAGAGGAGAGAAGAAGACCACAGAAACTGGTTTGTGTGTTTTTGGACAGTGATATGACTTATGAGCCAATTAATAAGCCACGTACACTCTCGCTTTTCCTCTTCTTTTTATTTTGTTTAATTTCTTTTCACTTTTCCTTTTTCTTATTATTTTTAGAAAAAATTAAGAAAATCCCATAATACAATAGTTTTTTTTTACAGGGCTAACAGATCTCTGTACTTTAGTACAAATTACAGAGATTCAGAGGCCGTAGCATGTCGTGGTGATAGCGTTTATCTTGTTAAGCCGAAACCTAATTCAATTAACGATACGAAAATGTTATTATTAATATAAGTTTACCAAAAATTGTCAGAGATGCACCCGTAGACACTCTCTTCATCTTACACTAGCGAGCTGTCACTATATATATATTACATTCTTGCCACACCCCCAAAGGTATAAGGCGTTTCATAAGTACACAGAAGGACCAAGAAGGTGTAAGCAGAAACAGAGTGTGTATATAGATATAATAAAAAAGAATCACCAACGAGATCAAGCTACTGGACTGAATTAAAGAGTCTGAAATCTGATTTCTTTTCCTTTTTTTACGACTAGACCAATGCTTCTGCTTCAGTGGCACTTACGCTGTGAAACTCTTTAAGTCACTCGAGAGCTTGTTCCCCCAAGTTAATCATCATTATAATCATCACCATCACTCCATCACTTGTGACTGTTAAATACGACTCCATCTAAGTTAAACCGTTAGAGAGTTTGTTTCCCGTCTTCTTACGTGTTTTCACTAGCTGGTGTTATTCACTTCTTAACTCCTTTTTCTTCAAGTGGAGCTCAGAGACACCAGCTTCTTTTATCTTCTTAACATTCGGCAGAAGATTAGATTTCCACTTCTGTTTGGATCCTAAATGAAATAGGTATATACAAAGTAATCAACCGGAGGTTCCAGCGACTTCTGCAGCTCTCTGTCTCATCATCTCCATGACGGCTGCTCTGCGCCGTGAATCTGATTGTTGCTGTAACCTTCTAAGATGTTCCTTAAGGTCCCTGAATAGACAAATTCACAATGATCAATACAAACCATTCGTCTTTAAAAAAAGCTTTGCCATTTCGAAAATGTCGTTTGCCACTGCAATTCCCAGATGTGGCATGAGAAAACTCATCGACTCCCAAAATAATACAAAGGGACAGATGTTAAAGAGATTACCCGCATCGAGGTACATGACACTCGGATTCCTTGCAGGCCCTAGCGTGGAGTTGCAAGAGATACCACATTTTCTTGCATAGAAGACAACCTCCTGAAGCACGCACTTTGCAACGTAGACCATGTCGGAATAGTCCCTTCACTTTGCGGCAGTTGGGATATTGACATTGTGCAGAACGGCAATGCGACGCATGCACCAGAAGATCGAGCATTTTCCTGAGCTGCAAATTTTAAACAAAGAAAACGTTAGTTCAAAGAAGTTTTGCGAGCTAAATGCCATCTACCTACCTAACTAAGCACATCTTCCATTTTCTCAAATCAGAAGAGGCCTAAAGCAAGAGAAGAAGATCAACTTTTTCAAGAGGAACAACCGTAAGAGAACGAAAAAACTGATCTTAAAATACCTGCAAGACCCGCAATTGCCTAGCTTCTTTGTTCTGCGCATTTTGATCAGCTAGTGATGGGTGATTTGTCAACTTGTGAGGATGATTAATACAGCCCTCTTTACTGTAACAAGTATTGCACACATCGTAGTCTGGGCAAACTTCACAGCGCCAGCCTTGACCACTTTCAATATCGAGGTGACATGCGTTACATGTTGAGACAAAGGCAGGAGCAGTTGGATTATGCAGATGGTAAAGCACCATCATGGAAGAATGTTTTGCCCGCCTCAGTGTATCATACTGATAATGATTCCCTTGACAAAGACTCAAGAATGCTTGCCTTGTATCGAAAAATTCACTTTCAAGTATCTCATCTCTATCTTTGGTGTCTGCAGGAATATCGGTGATCTCAACCTACAATTTTTTATATTTATTTAAATAACCATCTCGTGAGATACAAAAAATAATACAGAAACGCCTGAGGAGAGAACCTCTTCTAAATACCAAAACAAGGCAATGCAACTTACGGGATACAGTTTATGATTATCCTTTTGATTAACAGGATGCCTTTCTCTGTCTTCTCGTTTCTGTTCAGCCTCATAGCACCTGAAAGGTATAGAATAACGTATTAGATATTGCAGCACTCTATCAGGTATAAGCACAAATAGGTTTACCAATAAGTCCCTTTCAACAAGAGAACCACCACAACTTCCACGTTATACAAACTAAGTCACTGTAACAAAGCGGTGGAAAGAAAAAAAAAATTAACTAGCAGAAGAGAAAGGACAATTCTTACCCATCACATAACTGGAAATCTTTGCATTGGCTGCAGACCCAACGATTTCCAGTTACCATCAGTGTACAGCAATGCGTGCAGCAATGCTGCAAGTGAACCATGATGAAATCCTCCTTCATTGGGTAAATGGTCTCACCAAGCTAAAAACAATATTAACAAGAAAACACATAACTAAACAAAAGAACCGAATTACTGAAGCAGATATGCTGGAAAGGAAAGGTGCATAGAAAAAAACGATTACCTTATGCATTAGCAGCAGATCTTTGGACGTATTCCCAGACAGATCAGACTGGCCAGATGCTTTCAAAGCTCTTTTTGTAATGGGTTTCTTGAGTATCGGTTTCTTATTTCCCTTTCTACCATCATCTTCTTGACCCATTTGGTATATGATATCCTCTGCTGCACCTGGCCAATAGTCACCATCAAAATATGGGAGCCTAGCTGCCGTAACCTTAGCTCTACATTCACCAGTTTGCAAGAAAAAATGGTCATATAGATTTGTTGTTTCCGCTACAATCCCTTCCTTTGCAGCTTTTCTCAACATTGCCAAGTACCTGTGCTGACCAGGAGCAAATGGAGGATGTAAGAGATTTTTCATATGAAAAATTTATAAAGAATATCACCAAAGGCAATTGGACTGACCACTCCCGTAGTTTATCAGACTTTGGCGTTTTCTGAATTTCTGGATGGCAATATAGGATATAGTCCTCACCCTTCAGTGGTGGACAAGCCCATATATAGCAGCTCGTGAAACCACGCAATTTGCAGTATTCCAGGTAACCAATCTAAAAAGGCACAATTGTATACCCCTGAATTATCTATGAAATGTAGATGACCACACAAATCTTGGTTGAAACCAGGACAGGACTTACAAGAATTTCCTGGTAAACAAAAGTGCGCAGAGCCTCTCCATTAGCAGATTTAATCTCAGGTCTAAAGTACTTCACAGAATCCAAATACGAGAGATAAACACGGCGTTGATTAGGAAATGAACATTCGGATCCAAATTCTTGGACATACATCCCAAACAAGCATACTTCTACACCTTCTATCTTTTGGAACAATAGAACCACCTGGAAAAATAAAATGTGGAAATGGAATGTATTATTTGAAGAGTGGAATCCTGAACATGTGGAAATGAAGGAAATACAATAGTGGTGTGCTTGGATCATTCTTACCTTGGACTTGTATGGAAATTCTGTGGGGAAATTATCCTCCCTAAAAATTTCAAGAAATCGAGATTTGACTTCCACCTTCTTGTCAACGGATGAAACAACTCTAACCACAAGGGATTCAGCAGTTGGAATCTGTAAGTGCCAGTAAAAAAGCAAAACGATGAGTGACCAACCAGTGAACTTCAATCGATTGTTTCCAGTGAAGAAGCACTACAGCCAACTAATAAAAGATAGGACTCAAAGATGCAAAATGACATGAGACCTTAAACCTTGTACAAGTTTACCGCCAGATTACCTCATCACAATTTTTTGCTTGAGCCCTGGCTCTCTCAGTCCTTTCCTCGTCCAGCCTTTTAAACAAACGCTGCTCTATATGGTCACTGAGAATCGTTCTTGGTAGGTCTTTCGCTCCAAGAACAGCACTCTGAGGTAAAGGTTTTCTCTCATTGCGCTCCACCTCAATTATATAGCAATTTGGGCAGGTGTACTCAGCTTGCCCCCCATCATTCCTCCGCCCATTAAATAGAGCACATATCTGATGCTGCCAGGCCTCACATTTATCACATTGGACCCACTGCAAAAAAAATGGAACGCAACAAAGACAAACTTAGAAAAACCTACAAAGCGGGAGGCACATGACAATAGAAAACTACTGCGTGGATAGTCTTACCCATTCTTCAGTCTCTTCATCATTTTTCTTTTTCTCGAGTCTTGCCTTCGGTATTGAGGTCCCTCCAGCGAGTATAGCGTCTCCTCGGGATTCATTATAACAGGGAATACAAAAGTAATGACGAGTTTCACCACCTCCAACAGTATAGTACATTGCATTTCTCTTGATACGAGCACCACAAGGAGTACAATAGATAGGTGGTGGCTCGAATGTAAGCTTCTCCACCGCACATAACTGGCAGGAATTCTCACTCATCAAATTCTCCATGGCCTGATTCTTTTCTACTTTGGCTTTACTCTGCAGACAAATAGAAATTAAATGACAAGTTGTTCATCAGCGCTCAATTACTTTGAGAAAATGTGACGAAAAGTGTTTAACAGAGCAGCTAAGTTGTGCCTCTAGATAGCAAGATATTCATCTTAAACAAACAACAACAGTAATACCACAAAGAGTAACTAAAAAGATAAATCTATGATTAAAATTGCTTTTCTATAAGCTTTTGAAGTAAATAACAAACAAACCTGGCCAACCCACTGACGAAGACCACGAATATGTTCTCTCACTTGTTCGGGAGTGAACAATTCAGTTAAAGAAACACCCTTTATCTTTGGTTTTCCAGATTTTGATGCAGGAGATTCCACCAGATCTTCTTTCTTCGAATGCTTAAGGTCTTGCTCCATTTTTATATTTTCTTGCTTTGGCGAGGCACCAGATAAATCATGTTTACCTGGTTCAATGACAGGCCTAGGCTTGGGAACATTTTCAAAAGCTTCATGTTTCATCTCTTTGATGCTGAAAACTGCTTGAACAGAAATTTCAGGAATTTCTTCTTTCACTTCTAAGTTCTCTGACTTCAATGCCGCATGTGCATCACTATGCCTATGATCTTTTCTTTCAGTATCCTGAGATAATTCTGTCTCTGTTTTAGAAACAACAGAGCTTTTACAACTTTCAGTGTCAGGGACAACTGGTTGAAAAGACTGCTCCACCTTCAACCGTTTTGATGAAGGTTGCAAATTGTCTAAAGTATCAGCACAACGAGGGGCAGCAGAAACCGCTCTAGCAGTAGCACATAGTGAATCATTTGATGTTACAGCTCTGTTCACTGAACTCACTGCACTGCTTTCGCTTTTTAAACGGGCCTGGGCACGCGCATTAGCTTGTTGCTGATGGTAGGTCTTCACTGGCACACAGACGGGGCACCGAAGATCCTTGCAGTTTTTATAGTGGCTAATCAATGCCTTAGTGTGACGACAACGAGGATACGAACACTGAGGTTCAACACAACTGTTCATGTGACTCCATAGTTTCTGAACATGAACGCAATTTCGGTCTTGGCACTTCCCTCCAGGCGGTTTGCAGGTCCGTGCATGAAGTAGAAACAAGAGCCATCTTTGTTGATTTCGGAACTTGGGATCGCGAGTTACGTTTCCATATCTACATGTCGTTCCAGCAGAATTTTGCAGACTATGGGATTCGGATATGGTAGAAGTATGATTTTGACCAATAACAGACCCTTCAGTCAAATTATTAGGTTGAGCTTCATCCATTCCGGTAATTCTTTGACGGAAATCCTCCTGAATGTTCTGTTCACTTGACATACCATTAGACATTTGAGTGTTTTCCTGAGACTGGGAAGGCCACTGAACCCGTGGAAGGGATTCTGATTTTACTTCAACAGCAAGGTTGCTAAAACTGTTGACAGAATCAGAACCTTTATTCTGAGGGTGCAGCATTTGCTGACTCTGTCGGCTATTTTGAGGAAGTGACGTGCATATATCACTCTGACTTGTAACTGAGAGATGCTGAGCGTCTGCATAGCACTCTTCTCCAGAGTTCTGATATTGATTCTGGAACTGAGAAAGCTGGAGTTGTTCAGATGCTTGGGAGTGCATAGCCTCACTATGGTTCTCCATTCCAGGTTCATGTTTAACTATCGTAACCATGTCAGAAGCCACCTGAGGTTTGCCCAAACCATCATTGCTTATTAATTTATGTTGCTGCAGGGTCTGCTGCTTCAATTTCCTTTGCTGGAGAAATTTCTGCTGCTGCTGTTGAATCTGATTTGACTGTTGCTGAAATTGTTGTTGTTGATGTGGCTGCAGCTAATGTAGGGAAAGAAGATTGGAAGTCCGAATACTAAAAGTGATAAATGTTTAATTGTTGTTCATTGTTACGTGCAAATGAAATAAACTGATTACTCACAAGAGAAGAGTTAGCTCTGGACACAGACTGGAAACTTGATGTATTGATATTCTGAGCATTTGTCATCATCCCAACCGAACTTACACCTCCATGCAAATTTCCAGATCCCAGGGTGTCAGGGTTTGTTGTGCTATAACCTTCCCCTGAAATATCAAACATGCTTTAGATATTCTGTACGTACTAATCATTCACAACCGCCAAACAAGAAACGGCCTTACATATAAAATAAGATAATCAGGCCAGACAAAAAAGAGGGAGAGAGAGAGAGAGAGGTTACCTTGATTTCCTGCCCGGGGGAAGGTATCAGGAGACTGCTCTAAAATTTTGGAAGAATTACCTGCGTCTACACTTTTTTCGTTCACTCCAACACCACTATTTACAGAGTTACTGGCCACACCAGCCGGCTTTGGTTGCATGTCGAGTCTACTCCCAGCCGTCATTTGGTTGGGCAACAAGTGACTATTTTGACCCCCAGTAGCCTGCCTTTGTTGCTGCTGCTGACACTGAGGTACCAACGTGGGCTCAGCAGAAAATCCACCACTGTTGTTATTAGAACCACTGTTAACGAACCCAGGTGTAGGAATCATCTGGGCAGTACTTCTTTGAGAACTCATGGATGCCATGTTCCCTCTAGAACCAAGAGAAAAGTTTCTCGATGAATTCTGGTATCCATTAAAAACATTACCTGCAAACAAGTTGTTAAGTGTAAGAGACACATGAGATGAAAATTTCCAGGAAAAGTATCAACGATCACTTAAACAAGAAAACCTCCATGCATGCCACCAGCAGCTAGAAGGTTTCCAGTGTTCACAGCTGTACTTGAGATGATGTTGTTGCCAACTGTTGTAGCATCAGCAGAGGTTGTAACCGTCAAATTAGGATTACTCCCAGCGTGTGATAATCCTGGAGTAGGTATCATCGTTCCGACCGAAGAGGAATTAGCATGTCGCTGACTGTAGTTATTCAAGTGTCTGCCTTTTATCAGGCTTGTAATCCGAGATTCAAGGGTTGACCGGTTCACGTAATCCTCCTGTAGTATAAGTTGGCAAGTGTCACAGATGAAAGGAAAGATTTTGAATAAGGACATGAGTCAACAAGATGGATCTAGAGGGAACATGTCAAAAAAGCATCAGCCAAGTTGGAATTCCCCAGTAAACCAAATTTCTAAATGCTAACTACCAATCACTTATTTTTCCTTTAGACACACAGAAATATTTGAATACCTTTGAGGTAGCCATATTAAACAGCCCATCCTCTAAGCGTTTAGCAACATCCATATACTTCGCCTTTGATACAGCATCAGCCGGAGATGGTTGCCGTTGCTGCAACATGTTAAAGCTGGAAAGAATGGAAGATCAAGTAAGGTCAGTTACAAAATTTCCCCCATGAAGTAATTATCAAGAAATTCTCAAGGAACAGAAACACTAAAATATCACGTCCTGAGAAAAAAAGCAGATATACAGTAATGCAGCCAAAACAGTAATCACTTCGATCATTCCCAGCCCATATTAAGAGAGACAACATCAACTCATTCCATAATGAGCAATGCAAGCAAGGTGAACAAAAGGACACAAAACCACCATTTAGAGACATGCCATATTGGGAAGACTCAAAAGGTGTAGCAGGAAAATCGAAGGCTTACACAAGGGTTTGCATGTACTGTCGAAGTTTCAAAATATCATGGTCCATGGGACCAACGGTGTTGCGTGAAGGCCCTACACCAGCTAAGTTCTGCATTTGAGAGTTGCCATTATTCTGCGGCATTTTCCCTTGGTTTGGAACCTGCCCAGATAGTTGTCCCGACATGTGAGTCTGAACATTCATGTGTTATATCTTAAACCTTCGTCGCCTTCTCCTAATTCTTCTTGCAGCTAGAACTAACAGGCACTGCATAACTCTTCTGCCCCCGAAAAGTCAGAAGATCGAAAGCTCATCTCCTGCTCTTAATTATTCTTCAGATGATCTCAGTGTAGCAGCTCGTAACATACAATACACCTAGCACCGTGGACTGTCCTGCAAAACAACTCAAACTCTCATAAAACTGAAGTGACAAAATCGTAAACTATGATCAAAGCAACTAAGCCCATTTGCAAGAACCAAGAAAAGTGGATGACTTTCGAAAGCAGACAGCAAGAGGAGCAATAAGAAAGCAAACAAGTGTATCGTAAAAGATATGAACTGAACGAGAGACAACGCCTAATAAAAACCTAGAAATCAATCCAACCTTGAAATTGATGCACAAAGAAACAAACTTGAGCCGCAAAGAGCAGAGCCAAGAAATAAGATTCTCCCTCACAAGGTGACGGACACACAACCGTTACTAGTGACTGCGATGATCGAGTGACACCGAAACGCAGTAGAACAGAGCAATAAAGTCGGTGAACAGCCGATTTCGCACGTGTGAACTCACACAGGCCAGGAGGAAAAAAAAGACAAAGGAGAAAAATTAGGATCAAACAAAAAAGGAGAGAAAACCCAGAAAGAGATTCCAAAAACCTAGAAACGAAAGAAGAAGAAATAATGAATTATCGACAAATTTTCGAAATCGAAGAGTTTTACGGGGTCGGCCTTCTTCGAATTGGGGATTTTTTCGGGCGCTCGCTCGATTTGGGGGTTTTTGGTATTTCTTTTTCTATTTAGGGATTTTCGTTTTGATTTTGTGTGTGAATACAAAAAAAAAAAGACACATTAAATAACATTTACCTTATGTGTTTCTTAAAGTCAATCTGAATACATATCTATCATTAAGGAACTTGTTAAAGTTAATTCGGCGAAAATCGAACAGACAAGGAGAAGTGCTTAAGAGAGTTTACGTTCCTGTCCGTCCGATCGATATGTTTAGACTTGTTGTATTGCATTGTTTATCTTTTACAGCTATTAGCTTCTTTTCACTTTTTCTACCAGGATTACAGACCGAGAGGGAGTAACGAAACCATTCTAATTCAATTAATCATTTTTCTCAAGCTCAAACCGGAAACAGACCAAAACCACTGGTACGTACGATTTCTACAAAGCAGCACGTGCAAATGCCGAAGCAACGGTGCTTATATGATCTATCATCATTACTTGCAACAGAAGTAATGAAAACGTTTTCATAAAGAACTGTGAGAAAAGGCCTAAGGGATCATCATCTTCAGCAAATAAAGGCTCAAGGACTTCAAATTCTCTGCAATCTCTGTCTCCAACTGATCTCCTTTTTCAAAAAGCTTCTCTCTGTCTTCCAGAGACCAAAAAATTGGAGTTTTTTTTTTTGTAGTTTTACCCTTTGTAGTTCTCTGGTTTCGTTTTGTGACCGGCTCTTATTCATATTAGGAATTTTTTTTTTAGTTTGTACACTAGGAGTAACAACTTCATTGAATCATACTTCAGATTCCAAATTTTTGGTATGGTCCATCTCAAACCGGAAACAAAACCAAAACCGGTTTTACCATCAATATGAACTTACAAGCAATACAGTAATGGTGTAAAAGCTGAAGCATCTTTACTCAAACGAAAACATTTGAATAAATTATTAGGCAACAGACCTTCCCGATATAAAATACTCAGCGATAGAGGCTCTCCGACCTCAGATTCTCTGCAATCTCTGTCTCCCACCGATCTCCATTCTCAAGAAGCTTCTCTTTGTCATACAGAAGTTCCTGCAGATAGAAAAACATATTTAAAAAAAAAAAGATTCAAAATGCCATTTATGGAATAATACAAATCTGAACTTCAGGATCATGGACAAATGATATGTCTCGATCTAGTGTTTACCTCATGAGTTTCGGTTGCAAACTCAAAGTTGGGTCCTTCGACGATTGCATCAACAGGGCAAGCTTCTTGGCAGAAACCACAGTAGATGCACTTTGTCATGTCGATATCATACCTGTACATCTCCAAATCATCACTTTACTATGAAATGTGTAGAACCAGAGACACAAGACAGTATCCAAAAAGAAAGCATATGGTGAATTAATGAGAACTTAAGTAGTGACCTAGTGGTTCTGCGGCTTCCATCTTCCCGCTCTTCTGCTTCTATTGTGATTGCTTGAGCTGGACATACCTGATGAAAGAAAATATCAATATCCGTCACAAATCACAATTTTTCAGGTGAAACGTGATGCTATGGTACGAATTTCTCAAGTAGCATAGACTTGTAAAACTCACAGCTTCACAGAGTTTGCAGGCAATGCAGCGTTCTTCCCCAGTTGGATACCTTCGAAGAGCGTGTTCACCACGAAAGCGAGGGCTCAAAGGACCCTTCTCAAAAGGATAATTGATCTGCACACAGGATAAAACTTCAGAATCACAGTATGTTTCCTTTCTACTTAATTACTAAAGTCTGTGAAGACAGCCACTCACTGTAACTTTTGGATCAAAGAAGTACTTGAGGGTCAGCGACAAACCGCGGACCATTTCAGTGAGAAATAGGGTGTTGATGCTCCGTTCAAAGACTGTAAAAGTAAGAAATGTCAGGAATCGCTAATTCTCACAGAAGGAAAACCAAGAGAATACAAAGGTAGAAAAGTGTCTGGATCATAAAGCTTACCAGTACTCCAGTCCTTGGAGATCTCCTTAGCTAGTTGCTCAGCTTCTTCATCATCTGTATGTTACAGAGGCAAACCATTAGTCACATATATGCCTGAGAAGGAATAACCTCAATTAACCAAGAAAACCAAAACAACAGCAAGAAAATATGCATACCTTTTTTGGATCCATAGGATATAGCACGAGACTGTAGGCCACAAAGATGAGATTCCTGTAAAGCTTGCCCTGAAAAAACCTATCAACGAAGACAAGGCAGACGTTAAATACAAGAAGAATACCCCACGGAGAATACCATAGAGATAGCATACCCACCAAAAGAAGCTAAAGAGAAATTAAAAGTTAACTATCATAACGCTCTCACTTAAAGGACTCGTTTTTGCAGAAATTAACTAAACCTCTAAATCTTAAAATTCGAAGTGATTTTAAGGAAGACAGAAAAATTTCATCCCAAGTCAGAAATTTAACAGTTTCATTCCATTTCCGATTGATTTCCAATTCCAGATTCCACAAGCCCAAGACAAAAAGATGGAGAGTAGAACGGATGGTAACCGTGTAATAAAACTCCAGCAGAAATACAAAAAATTGGAGAAGAAATAAAGTCAAGAGACAACGAGATTCATACGAGATGTCTGGCACGGAGAGCATTAAACGACCTGCGAGCCAGAAGCGAAGCCATTGATGGAACTCCAAATATCAAAGTTTAGTCTTTCTTCTTCGCTGTACTTCGATGATAGAAAAGGAATCCGATTAACTGAAAAGCCTAATCAAGCAAAAGAACAAGAGAAAGACCAACAAAACTCAATCCGAACCTTTAACCCGATACTTAAAGAAGTAATCTTCTGCACGAAACTAGAGAAAGTTCGATCTCACCAGGACACGGACACGAATCCTTGCTAGAGATTCACGATCATCGACTTGGCAAATGAAAGGGGCAACAAAATTCGATCAGATGTCTTTACATTTACAGATTTACCCTTGTTATCAACTATTTATTTAGCTCATAACCGGGAAATCAACCAACCGGATTTATGACTTTCACAAATTCCAACTACTCAAGGCGTGGACCAAACCAGACCATATACCGATGGTCACTAACCGGACCTAAAGTTCAACTGATAACCGATTACTGGTAACCGAGGTTGTTCAGTTAACCGAGAAAACCAAAGAATACACAAAATTTAGAGATACAAACAGTTTTTGTCCACACACTTACACCACTGGTAACGAACTGATGCGGAAAATTCTTTAAAAAAAGAGGGGAAATTAGTTGAAGTCGGTATCTTATGGTGCTATGTAGAAAGAGTTGCCACAGTTTATGTGAGTTTGCTTAAGAGGATTCCATCTATCAAATACAATCCGACCGCCTCGACCAATTCTACCTTGAAACCGAGATCTTCCGCTTCTTGCATCCACTGGAGCGATGATTCTCGCAGCAGCCAGTTTATCGGGGACCAGCGGTTTTGTGAACAGCATAACTGGCTCGTTAGGATTCTACAGAGAGGAGAAATATAAAAACAGTGAATATTATCTTATAATCTCAAGTGTTTCCATTACAACTAACAGAATCTAAGGAATTACCAGTTTGTGGAGCCATCCGTGTCTTCTTGCCTCTTGCTTTATGCGCCCGGCTTGAGCTCGAGCGAGATTTGAGTCAGTGAAACGAGGATGAGGAGTAAAGGAAGGCCTTGTGCGTTCTTGGGTGGTGGTTGGGTCATCGGAGTCCATGAACTCATCTTCACTTGAGCCAAATCTGTACGATGTAGAGAGTGGGAACCCAGACTGAGCCAAACTATCTTCCAAGAGTTCTGTTTCGTGCTGCAAATCAGATCAAAAACCCAACAAAAGTTTAGGGAGGAGATCGAAATGCACAATTCTTTCCGGTTACAAAAGGACACTCAATGCAAGTTTTAGAGGAGTACCTTATATTTGAGTTGGATTCTCTGAAGGCTAACCTCACTCGCCATGAAATCCCTCTTTTTTTCTTCTCTCTATAAAGGTAACAAGTTCTCATCAAGTTAAAACCTATGGAGCACGCAGTTTTCTCCTATAATATAGCTAAGATTACATTCACTTCTCAAGTATAAACGCCATAAAGAATACCTTAATTAGAGCTTCCAGAATTGTCTTTGCTTGGTCAAGATTGCGCCTGACCTGATAATAGCATATTCCACAACAGAACAAAATAACATGTTTTAAAATCCAACAAGGATTCTAGGAAGTTTCACACAGATTCATGTCTTTCCTTACCTGTCGAAGCTTTTCAAACGACTGCGCATTGTTTTCTCTTCTTTGCATCTACAGGGAGGTCAACTCTTATCAGTAAGCTGTTGTGCACTTTCGATACAACAAGATATGAAAAATTGATGAACTGCAGACAACAAGAGAGCCTACCCTTCTTGTGTGTAGTCTATGAGCTTTCTCCCGTGGCCTAAACACATTGTATGGATTGGTATCATTGACCGGCGGTGGAGGCTATTCCAAACAAAAAACCGCAACATGTAAGTTATTGTTTCAGGTAAATTTCCGTATAAACGCATTTCTTCCACATGTACATTTGAGATCAGTCCAAATGATGGTATACCTGTAAACGCCGCAAAATAGGTTTTTGCCATCTTTCACGCTAAGAGAAATGCAAAACAAAACTAAGTTAGTTCGTGTTATAAGACTATGCTCAAAGAACCACAAAAAATGTCTTGTAAAAATTCAACTATCACCAAACTATGTGACATAACATAACAACTAAATCCAAAAACTCTCAGTGTTCAAATTATGCCACATAAAGGTCTATCTCCAACCTTATTTTTCCAGTAACTGTAGATAGCCTGGAATACTCCATATTTGATGGGCAAAGATTGCAGCGCCTGTTAAAAAAATTGGAAATAGCACAACAAGAACAATTAAATGTAATGCACCGCCTCTGAAAAAATTCGCACGAGCAGTATACTAATACAGTACTCTAGAGGAGGAAATGTAATCATTAATACTATATCTATGCTCCTGCTACAGTTTCAGGCAATAAGGAAAAGTAAAAGTGCAATTCTTCAGAAAACAGTCCCCAATGAAGACGACTACGATGATAACTACCCAATCAACCATCATCATTTTTTCTCTTTTTGACCTCCAGAACCGAATAGAAAATAAAAAGTATAGAGAACAAGATAATTTAAGTGTACACCTCAATAGCAGCATCAAGCTGCAAAAGCACTGCAACTGGTGAACCAAGAGTAGGAGCAATGACTCCAGCTCTTTCCCGTGCCTTATGATCCAATACTTCTAGTTTAAAAATAATGCTCTCAAGCCTGTATCAAGTCATTTAGCAAGATTACGGGCAGAAAGCTTTGTTTTAAAAGACGAGAAAAGTTGTGCACTATCTCAACTCAACAGTAGGGCCAATACTAGATTCACTTCTTTCAGTTTCCATTCGACCACATGGTTTTCGCACTATTAGCAAAATCCAATCATTTTATAAATCCAAACAAATTTTTTGCACCAGAAAAAAGAGAAGAAAATTAATTTAGAGTCTAGAAGCTAATAGATTCATCCACAACAAGACTCATGGAAGTCTGGATAATCCTATATATCTCAATGGCTATATATATGGAAAGCATGCAAGGAGACGAAAGATAAAAGAACGTGGTCGGATACTGTACATTTCAGATGAGAGAACCATTTTCTCCTTATCAAACTCGGAAAGCCAGTCGTCATCTTCATTGTCAAGATCATACTCCACAAAATCTCCAAGCTCAGCTCGAGCTGCACAACAGATATCCCGTCTCCATGTAAAAGATATCACTCTCGAAAAGAAATTTAGAGATAGAGATTACCTCCTCTTGCACGTAGATAGGAAGGAGGCTGATTAAAAGTCCGGGAGTAGTCTCTTTCATATGTATCCACAACAAGAAACTGAGGTGTTGGTATTTCTGAAGCCAGTTTCTTGCTAGGCACTTGAGGATGATGCACCTGATAACGCGAGAAAACGAGAAACTTTCAATCATTACTCTATAGCTTTACATACAAACTGATAAAACGAAAAAAAAAAAAAATGAAAATCACAGAGAATGAAATATTCACCTCATTATCAACCTCAACGGCTGCTATACGCAGCAACTGAGAATTTCTAGTAATGGAAGAAGGATTATCTTCATCTTCAAAGTCTTTAAAGGACTTTAAAATTGGAAGCTTCTTGTGTATATCCAATGGACGGGGTCGAAAAGATAGCCTACTCATTTCACTATCCTCCCCTTCACTTCTATACAGCAATTATATATCTATGAGCGCATAGATTTTCGACCAAAAACCATTCGAATTTCGAAATCCCAGAACCTTAAACTCGTAAATGTAAACAATTTCAGGATAACATAAGAAAAAACAACAACGAACGAGACGTGATACTTACAAGGTGAGTTTCTAGGGTTTTTTTCTCTTTCGGAAGAATCGTACCGGCTAATCAAAAACGGGGTTTTCTCGAGCTCACCCAAAAACCGAGAAAGGGTGAAATTCGAGCAAGACAGATGCTTTATAAATTGTCTGAAAGTGAGTTTGCATATATCTCTCGAATCTCGACAACTGAAGTAATGGAGGTCGAATCTCGACTAACAGACAACACAGACAGTAGAACCGAGGAGGGAAAATTTGGTAATTTCAACTCCGGTTAAATATGAGAAATTTTCAACCCAAAAAAAAAAAAACAAAGTTTCTTTCATGATTGGATCATGGATTTTAATTGTAATAAACTAATATCAAAAGTATTGTTATCCGCTCTTCTTTGAAGCTTTCCTATCGAATGGGTTTTGGTTTCTCAGAGAAAAACCATAACTTCACTTCAAAGTTCACAAAATCCAAAGATCTTATTTACAGAGAAGGGGTTCAAAATTGTAAGTCAACGTTCCTTTCAAGCTTCCATGTCCCTTTCTTCTTCATTAGCACCTTGTAAAGTTGTTTTCTTTCAGGCTCTTCGTTCATATTTTCGCTTGTTTTCCACTATCGGAAAAAAAAAAAAAAACAGAACAAGGCATAGAGTCATTGTTGATCTTGCCATTGTCGTTGATGTGTTGTCAGGTCAAGTCGATGTTCTTCGCGATTGTTTCTTGGTTAACTTGAAAGGGCTCCAGCTTTTTCTGCGCTTTGATGTCTCACAGAAGAGGCCAGAAGCCATAGCTTGTTGAAGCCATAACTCAAACTCTTCCTCATCCTCGTCCATCATCTCCACATCAAGATCCCACGGGAACCTACTCGAGTTTGATCTCTGCGTTGTCTTTTCCAAACCAACCATGTTCACATGGAAACTTGGTCTATGTGTGTTTGGTCTACACGCCATTCCCTTCAATGGAAAAGAAGTATACATCAAATAATTTTCACATGCCGTAAAAAGTCTTAAAGCTAATCCAAGTCACTTGAGTGAAAAATCTTGGGACGCCATAGTCTAACCTACTGAAGAACAGAGAGTTTTCGCATTGATTACTGGTAAAGAATGAGAACACCAACCTGACAAATAGCCCATTCTGAGACATCAAAGATCTTGCTCTCCGCACAGACAAAAGCTCGTGGTATTTCAATCTACAGGACAAGTTATAAAACGACTAATTCATCATTACTAGTAAACAAAATAGGAAGAAAAAACTGAAAGCCTAACCTTATGTGCTTTCTCGAATACCAGAGTCCCTTTGTGTTCAACCCATCCATCACCATCTTTGGCTTGATGATATTGACCACAATCCTATAATTTTAATGGTATCAATAACCATTTAACAAAAAAAGAGATTCTGCGATAGAAATCAAATGCTTGGAAGTGTGAGTGCGTTCGCTAACCTGACACCATCTGGCCTTTGCCTTACTCCTGTTGGTACATACCCAGATGTGTGAATTACCGCACTTCGTACAGTGTATGCGCCTTGACTCTTCTGATCGGTAACCGGGACTATTCTGAAAAGATCAGAAAATCTGATCATCAGTTTTTATAAGAAAACAATAGTACAATACATGAGGGATCAGAAATCTCACAGACTATATCAACAAACCTGATGCGAAGAAGCATGCGATGTCTGACAGACACTCCTGGTCCTAGATTCTTCTTTCTTTAACTGCTCATCGTAATCTCTTCTCTTAACAGAATCAGAGAGAACCTGCAAATTCAACCTTTCATGTCTATACATTCAAAATAGAGAGAAAACAGCGTCTGATTATAGCATCTAAGGTGAAAACTACCGAGCATTGGCCTATATAGACTATAATTAACAAAACCATCCTTCAACAATTACCTCATAAGCACATTGAAGTTTCTTGAATGATTCACTTGCCAAAGGACTTCCCTTATTTTTATCCGGATGAACCAGCATTGCCTAAGAATAGAAATAGAACACTTTAATTAACGAGCAGAAAAAACTCTTAGCCAAGAGAACTTACAAAGTCAGTTTCAAATAAAACACCTTCTTTCTATACTCTTTTTTAAGCACTGCGGCATCAATCGTTTTATGCCGAGGGAATCCCAATGCTTCATAGTGATTCAAACTATTCAGTATTCTTTTCATCTCATCAGCTGAATCTGTTTCTATATTGACTACCTTAACACTAGAAACCTCCTTCAAGTTACTAACAACAGTTGATGGAGAAGCTGGCTTATTCGCCGACTTATTCTCATGAACCTTTTTCTCTGGTTCTTCAACGGGAACAGAAGAATAACCAAACTCTCCTGGAAACTCTTCTTCTGTTACAGTTTTAGGTTTCTTTGGCTCCTCTGGTTGTGTTTTTTCACTAACACTATCACACCATTGAAGAAGACAAATAATTATATCGTTGGACAAGAATGCAAGATTCATCGAGAGAATAACACCAGGCCATCCAAGTCTGACTTTGACACAATAAATGGCGTATACCGTCGCCATAAGAACCACCACCCGCGCGTGATTTAGGGAGAACAAATAACCTGATTCAAAGAAGTTGAGAAAACACTATATAAAGAGCAACAAAATTAGAATGACATCATCATAATATGGAGAAGAAATATTGACACTTGCCTGCAACTATAAATAATGTTCCAGTGATCCAAAAGTTAGCGTACATCCACAAAATTAGAATTCCAAATAGTCCTACAATGAAGATCCCAGGAGTGCAACCTAAGTACATGACAGCAGCACCAGCAGCTGCCTGCGAAGGTAAATCAACAGTAGGTGAGACTCAATTCAACTATATATATAACTTAAAGCCATACGATAAATGAAACACTGCAACCAAATCTCCAAAGCTAAACGTACTTTTTTACACTTCAACGAATATCTCAAAACCGTTTACGGAAAGTAATTCTAAGATCAGACTATCAGCATTCTGGTTTGGCCTCCAATATAGTTTCGATATTAGTGGTTTCTCATACAACCAAGGCTATTCATGAGATCTGCTCAGACGCTTTTGCTAACAGACAAAGAAATCAACGCTATTTAAAGATCTAGAACCCAGAATCAAGAATTCCAAACAAAAGGGGCGGGGGTCTAGAGTTCTTACCATGCCGAGCAGAACATAAATCAAGCAAGATACTGAAGTCAGGCTAAGGAAGCAACTCCACATTATCAGGAGCAAAGCAGCTGAACCAAATTTGGCACTGGAGTGGAAACCCCTCAAAATGCAGTCTTTCCAGTAAACAAACGATAAACTAAGCAACCCTAATAGCTTCTCACATCCACTGCACACTAGAGGCCAGTGACGCTCTACGAGAGCTTCTGTCTTTCCCTCGAAACATCGCATTGCAGCGCAAATCCATGAGCACAAATGTTTTTGAGACTGCAACCAGTTCCAACCTTGCTTAACCAATCCTATATCCTCCATAACTCAACAAAATCTTCAAACCCTAAACTTACTCCAACGCTCAGATATATTGATATCCGTTAGAAGAGAGAGTCTGAAATCTCGAAAAAAGCTAACTTCTCAGCCATTGCTTTGATCTGATAATCAAATTACTAGATTTTACAAAAGGTTCGGGAGCTGATCCATACAAAAAGAAAAGAAAAAAAAAACAGAATCTTCCTTCCTTCCTCTCTCTTCAGCAATCAATTGTTGCTTCACAGAATACAAAACCCTAAATTACCCAACAACCATTAGTCTAGTACATATCCTCAAATCGGATCCCAAAAAACCTATAAACCGCAGAATTTTCCGGCGGAACAACGCAGACCCAGCAACCAAAATAGCTTCGTTAGAGCATCACCACGCACCGACAAGCATTTCACTGGTTCGGTATGAAGAGTAGAGAGAGAGTGAAGATAAAAAAAAAAAAAGAGCTTTAGTTAAAGTTAATGGGTTACTGTAAAGATTAGGTCCGGAAATAGGAAAACCCAAAAAGACCTCATGAGAAAAAGCAGCAAAACAAAAAAATCTTTTAAAAGATTCAAAAAGCTCAGAGAGAAAGAGAGAGAGTGAAAGAGAAACACAGTGGCGTATAGAGACAGGGATTAGAGACGAAGGCAACATTAAAATATTTTCAGCTTTATACTAGTTCTTAGCGAATTATCGTTTTGGAATTGGATTAAGTGAACATTAAATTCGCGGGTCCCACCGCACAACAGAGCATGATCACCTACGGTCGCTCATACCGTACTGTTTAGTACTCCGAGTTTCATGAACCTTTTAGACCAGACCGAGCTGATGGAAATCAATCGGACAAAAATTGGTTTAACCTCCTGGTTAAGACTCATATAATAAGGCAACTGAAGCTAAAACATAGGTTAAGACTCATATCAGGCAAGGAACAGAACTCAAATCCACAAACCTGTTTGTTGATGTGAGATCATTAAGATTCAACTTCAACCTTGTATATATATACACTGAAATCATTGTTTGCAACAAAGAACGACTTAAACAACAAACACTGGAAACAGTGTGGTAGAAACTTCATGTTCTGCAGTTGCTATTGTTTCAAAATCTAACATAAAACCTCTGTTTGAATCCAAGGAAGAAGAAGAGACACACAAAAACATCAAACACTGATTTCCCCCATTTACATCTCAAAAACCAACAAACAATAACAATTTTAAAAAAAAAGGATTTTTTTTTTCTTTTCTAAATGGTACTGCTGAAAGTATTACCAGCATAAGCTGAGGAAGCCCCTGATGAATAAGCATTTGAGTTATCTCTAGTCCCGGAGTTAGACGAGGCATTCGACGAAGAAGAAGGGTTTGTGTAGCTGTGTCTGTTCACTTCCTCTGGTTTTGTCTCAACGGGTCCTCTCACTTTCATGTCCATGAAATCAGATATCAAACCCGGTCTGGATATTTTCTTGTAGTCTATATCCTTCTCCCCTGTTAACAACCTCACCACTGTAGACATAGTTGGCCTTAGCTTAGGACTGTCTTGTGTGCACAATAGACCGATTTTTAGGTACCGACAAGCTTCCTCTGCGTCAAAGACTCCATTCAAACCTGAGTCAACTAGATCCACGAGCTCATTCCGCTCAAAAAGTTCCCAAGCCTGTGGAATGTAAAAAAAAAAGGGTTATCTTTCAAAACAAGAGCTCAGACATTTCGAAGACGGGTACGGTTGATCATGTGAACTAGACCAGATATAAAACACACAGTGATTGCACGAATGACTAAGAGAAAATTCAAAAAAGAAAAAGGCAAGACTTACTCTTTCTAGAAGATATTGATATTCCGTGGGTAACCGGGTGTTTTTGTTACTTCTTCCACTGACTATCTCCATAAGAAGGACCCCAAAGCTGTATATATCGGCTTTACGCGTCAACTGTCCCCTAACAGCATACTCTGGCGCTAAATAACCACTGCCCAAAACAGATGTGTACACATGTTAAGACCTGCAATTTCCAGTGAGAAAATTTTATAAAGTAAAAAATGGAAAGGATAAACATGTGGAACTCACATTGTACCCGCGACACGGGTGCTGACATGAGTCATGTTAGGTGGCATAAGCCTCGCGAGTCCAAAATCAGAGATCTTGGGAGATAAATCTTTGTCAAGTAGAATGTTGCTTGCCTTGATATCTCTGTGAATTATGTGTGGACGTACTTCTTCATGAAGAAAAGCAAGACCTTTAGCAATCCCAACGCATATATTGGCCCGAGTACTCCAATCAAACAGTATCCCACTCCGAGTGTAGCCCCCAGCTGAAAAGTGAAAACATTCACTCGGTTTAGAAATGATTTTTACAAAACCAGAGAAGCTGACACTTGAGAGTACAAAAACTACGGGAATCACCTAGAAGCGTCTTATCGAGGCTATTGTTCTCGAGGTAATTGTAAACAAGAATCCTGTGATTCCCCTCAACGCAGCATCCATATAACTTAACCAAATTATCATGCTGTATTTCTGATATCACATTGATCTCAGTCAAGAATTCTCTTACACCTTGTCTTGACTCAGCTGACAGGACTTTGATAGCTGCGATCTTTCCATCTTTAAGATTACCCTATGTCATCAAAAAAAATTTCCCCCAGAGAGTTAAAATGATGAAGAGAGAATTTGAAAAAGAATTTCAAAAGCAACTGAATTTTCTCGTTTACCTTGTACACAGAACCAAACCCTCCTTCTCCAATTTTATTCAGAGAATTGAAATCATCTGTAGCCTGACGTATCTCTTTATATTTGTAAATCTTTACGTTGTCTATCGCTGCGATTTCTGTTTACAAGTATATAGATATAAACTAACTTAGACGAAAACATCAACAAGACTATGCAGAATTAACATTCCAAGCTAAAGAATAATGTAGGAAATAAGTAAGCCTCCTATTTTAAGAAGCATAGATCGAGTATATGTAGTACCTCCATCAACTTCTGAAGGTTTTCCCCCACTCTTACGGCATGAGAACCAGGAGCAACCCATCAACGTTAAGACAGACCTGTGACCTGTTTCTACCACGAAAACGAGAAGCAATTTAGAGAGTTGACTTCTAAGTTCTAAATAGTAAACCAGCCATAGATCGATTTCAAGTACTGCTTCGATTTCTCAATGGAATCTCTGTCCAAGTCAGAAAACCCCCAAGAAAAAAACTAGTGCGGACCAAAAACCTCAAAAATTAAAGCAACTAAAAAAGCTGCCAACTTGGAATCTGGGTTTTCTCAAGATTCAGAAACCTAGAACAGATGCAGACAAAAACGAAATTCAACAAGGGGGAAACTGGAAAGAAGAGAAACTCACCTCAGGGAAAAAAAAAAATCCTAAATTAGGAACAGCGAGGAAGAGAGGGAGAGATAGTGATTCAGAAATCGCAGAGGTTGAAAACTGGCTGCTCGGCTAAAGTTGGTATAAAAAGCCTCTGTCTTTTAGTCTTTACGCGATCAAATAGTCGTTGTCTCTCTCTCTCTCTCTCCTTGTATCGCCGCGTGTGTGATATCAGATTACGGATTTGTTGAAATGAGACTGTGAGGAACGAATGAAGAAGGAAGACGGTCTTGATATGGTGGCGGGTAATAAAAGTCAATGAGTCAATCGTAAGCACACATCAGTATCTTATACGTTGCTCCGAGACCAACGCTACGGTCATTAATTAAATCTCGCCGTATCCGGTTATGATTTATAAAACGACTTTTAATGTAAAACATCGTTTAATAATTGACTATTTCGTATGATTATCATCATTCCCTAACTTTTTGCTTCATTCATGGGCATAATAATTCTTCATCTTTCTTGAAATAAATATTTTTTTAGTACATGTCTATCTAATCCATTACGGATGGACCAATACTTATAACAAAATTCAACATTTTTTGTCAAAAGAATCCATCATGGTTTTCTTTTGCACTGTTTAATTTTATTTATTCAAATATTTGATGAATATACATTCCTCATACAGACGCAACACAAAAAGTATATTATATCGACGTAACTAATACCGCAAAATGAATAATATAATTACAAGATACTGAAAGAAGACAGCTAACACTTTTAATCTTTTTAAAAGTAACCATGAAAAAATCTATTTGACTATGATTTTATAGCGTATCAATCTGTACCAATATTGTTGTGTCACCAGACTCACCACGCGCATATTGGAAATCTATTTGGTTTCAATTTTTAACTTGATGATTAAATTTTATTTTAACTAATGTGAAAACGTGTATAACACATAAACGGAATTGCTTATTAAAAATGCTACATTTGAATGAACCTATGAAATAATAATAATTAAACCTGTAGCGTCGTTAGGTGATGAAATGCATAAACAATGATTCAAAATTGGGTTCTTAAAAAGTCAAAGGATACCTTATCACATTTTCATCAATGATCATGAACGACAAGGAAGAAATGGGATTATGTTCACATGACGGATTATGGGGACCGTTATATGCAGAGTTCTCAACTCTTCACTATAGTCTTCAGGTGCGTTCTCTTCAATAAATCGAAAATAAAACTTAAAGTCAACTCCAAAAGAGACACATTTCACACGTTTCATAAAGTTTTTAAAAGGATCAAAACAGAGTTTTCAAGCTCTAGGGTCAAAGTCTTTTAGCAATAATGGCGACATTCCTGGGTGAGATGGTGGGATCAAAGATGGGAAGCATAACAACTTTGATGGAGGCACCTTGTTCTTGGAGAAACATAAGCCTATCAAGCAAGATCAATGTCTCAAGCACTGGTCCTAGTGCAGCTCGAATAGACCAGTAAGGCCCTATCAGTTCCTGCAGTTTTTATTTTATTAATTTGACAACACCAAAGACAAGCATCCATCAATTTTTGAGAATCCAGAAGCCTAAAGAGAGAGCAAGAGACATGAGGAATAGCTTACAGTGAATTCAACAGATTCATTCCATGTGGCACGCAGGTCAAGATCTTCAGGATGTTCTAGATTCAGGCTGGAAAATGCTGACTCGCAAAACTTCTCGAAAGAAGAACAAATATCGGACTTCGAACTTGTCTGCCTCATGGGTTTCTTGTCGTCAGTGTCTGCAATGAACTATAGACATAAGCAAAATGATCTTGGTCTCACTTATTGTAGAATCTAATCCATCAACCTCCTGACCTTTTCTCGTTGTAGCTACTGTTGCTGGAGTTTCGAGGGCTTTTCTTTGCTGTTGACGGCGAAATGCCTTCCCTTGGCGCCCAATGGACGGACTTGTCGCCAAAACCTCTGGATAATGTTTTGACAGAACCTTCAAAGAGTAATTAGGTCGTTACTCGTTAGAGAGTATCACTATAAATTCAGATTCGATTCACAACGAGTCAGAGATCTTGGGAGAAAGAAAGAAAAAGTCTATTCACCAACAGAACAAAACCTATATTACCATTTGGAATGCAGCACGAAAAGAATGCAACTCGAAATTCTGCAGACCAGCATCTTCTCCTAAGCTGCTCCATCTCTCAGCACTCTGAGAAAAAACACATATAACTTCTTTACACAAATAGAATACATAGACGAAACATTATAATTTAAAACAACAATGTTGCAAAATCCAGAACCAATACAATAATGGATAATACCTGACAAGCTAGATCACGCGCATTTTTGCCAAGCGAAAAGCCCACGGATTTGAGGCCAGCGCTCATCGGAAATCCACATTTGGAACAAGAATTCTCACTGCTTTTTTCAGATAATAAGTTGTAACAGCAGCCAATGCTCACCACTGCTTTAACTTCTTCACACTCCATAAAAGTCCTGAAGAAATCAAGTTGCAAATTGTTTCAGCTTTTAAGGTTTAACATAGCAAGCAGGACCAAACCACTAATGTGTTTACAGGATAACATAAATCGCGGATGAAACAATCGCAGCAAGCATTGAGACTAACCTTAGCATTGTAACAGATAGATCTCCACATGCATGAAGGCCAGCAAGAACAAGTGAACCCGATCTGTTTGCATCAGGTGATAACTGTGATCTTCTAGGACCTTCATTCAATACACTTGCATTTGAATCCAAGTCATTCTTCTCCAGAGAAACATTGGTCAAGGTTTTCAACATCTCTGTGGATAGTACACGGCATGTAATCGTCACTGGAACATCTGGGCACTTGTTTCCTGAACTAGCAGAGAAGAGGTTAAGTAGCATTAAAAAGTAGACATCTTTTTCTTTTATTAAAGTTTTAAATAATCTTATAATGTGCTAACCCCTTACCCAGATTTACGCATCTGTGCTGCAAAATGCTTTCTGATACGTGATGCGCGTGCATCTGTTATCTTTCCATGATGAGAGGAAGAGTCAATCGCAACAACTGAATGCTTATACTGGAAAGAAAGAACCTGCGCTAGATAACCCTGTTTTTTGACAAGTGAAAAAAAAAAGTTAACAATTTTCAATGAAGTTGTTTAACACACTTATGGCAAACTATATGCTACAAAGTTATTAGTAAACTAAGATAGAAAAGCGAAATTCATCATTAAAAAAAATTCATTGATCAACCAAAAGTAGAAATTAAAAATGCAGAAAAGAGAAGTAGCAAAAGACCAGGCTAGGAATAACCTCCATCGAGTCAGAAATATGCGAAAGCGATACTAACCATGCAATTATGATTGACGAGTAGATATAAGAAAGGGATTAAATTTAAAGATACCTGGCCAGAACCGACATCAACTACAGTAGAAGCTCCAACACTGTTAATAACTGAGCTAACAACAGCGGAAAGAACTTGAACCTGCATGAGAATACTACCATAAGTGAACTACAAATACATGTGATTTTGGTGACCATCGCAAAATAAATGTTAAGTATTTTACATGTGAAGTGGCTTGAGCAGCTACAAACCATTAGATATTCGCTTTTCAATTTAAGTTTCTTGTATTGGGAAAAGTCACCAACTGCTAAAACAGCTGCAGACTACTGAAGTTCCTACCAAAAGTAGACATCATTGAAAGACAATGTACCTCATGTTTTTTCTTCAGATTCATGCCCTGTGAAAGAACGGTGCTAAGCGGTGCCATATCCACATCTGCGAGTATCTGCCAACAAAGGACAATGATGTAGTATGTTCAGTCTAGAATCTATAATACCATCCTGACGCAGCACAACAAGTAGAGAAACATTCCACCTTATACACTCCCAAGGAAGGGAACTATAATTAGAAAAATGTAAAGTTTAGTGCAGAGTATACAATATACCGCCTGTAATTCCGCTTGTTCTCTAGGAAACGATAGAGACCTCAACGTGTGAACGAACTCCTTGAGTGAAGCAGGCCAGTGATCCTAAAAATCATACAGACGCATATCAATACTTTTCAGCTAAGCTAAAACTCTGACCAAGACTAGCTCAAATAGGAATTACGTATACGCTTTGTTATTAATCAAATTCTCAATCATGAATAAAAGCCAATAACTTTACCTGGACACCACCGGACGGGATAAGAAGAATATTTTCCGGCTTCTCATTCCTTAAGCAGCTCATCCATTCCTGATCAACACCTTCCCATTGCTTATCCTGGAAAAAAAACCCACCAATCAGCTCAGAAAGAAAATGATAAGCTAAAAAAAAAAGACGAACTTTAGATTGTTTCCGATAGTCGACCAGAAAAAAAAAAAGGTACCTTGAAGAAATTGACAACGTGAGCATTGATGAGGAAAGAAAAGGGTTTAAGGAAATCAATAATGGCGGTGATCCATTCTAGGGTTTCTGATCTTGTAGAACACGAATACTTGCCGCTCTTCATTTTTCACGACCACCCAAGAAGGAACGATGGTCCTTTCCGCCGCCAAACGCCGGCCAAATAAAAGAGTGCTTAGCCGTGAAAACGTTTTCTAAAAGTACCTCGTAACTTTTAAATTTATTCAATTTGGGCAACATTTGTTATTATCTTACAAACACACCCCTCATCCTTTCACATGACCAAGACCAACGCTAAAACCTTCTGGCTCGCACCAAGTCTTATTGCATGGAAGCTTTAAGGTTCATCACAAGTCAACCATCCGTTTTCCACTATACCAAACACTTTCTTTCATTCCTTCTTTAACAACACTCTCTTCTTCACCAGATACAATTATCGCAAAATGATGACAACACACACAATGTCACGGTCTTTTAAACACAGATAATAGCAGAATTCAAAGGGTGTTCATCAAATTAAACCTACAACTTCTTGTTACATAGATCAAGATAAATAAACTAGTATAAGGCAGCCTTTTGCTTCTCTCTCCGTGGATGATGTAGACCGAAATTTTAGTTACTGATGTTATTATCATCTTCTTCTTCTTCTTCTTCTTCACAGGTTTCATACTCATCAACATCCATTACGACTTGAGGGAAGTCTATGAATTCACTAACCCCGTGATGACCAAAAATGATAACATGAAAGGTCCGATTGCAGTCGTAGATGAAGTTCATCATCTTGCCGTCTTCGAGATTGTTTTCCTTTACAAAATTTTCCCAACCAACAGTTAGAAACACTTTATCCCCTATTCTCTTCATCCTAATCGTCCAAGATCTACCACAATAGTCTAGGAGTTCCACTGTATTTGGCAATGGATGTGGAAAGTACTCGTTGAAGCCCAACGGTATTTCCTATACAAAACCATAAAATAAAAATACAACTCTCAGGAGACAATAGCAGAAACACAGACAAGAGACTCTATCCGAGTCTAATCACATTACGTATCTGGATTTAACAGTTAGGTCTAATCACATAGTTTCATTCCAAATCTTGCAAGATTCAGTAACACCAGGGTAAATAAATTAATTAAGAAACTTAACATCTGATACAGAAAAGGCAAATGAAGGCTTACTGTTTTTTTCTCCCGTAAAATTTGAAGCTAAAATGAAGAATTAAAAGCACCCAAGTTCTTAGCACCATAGAGATTAACTAAAGCAGTACACTTTAAAACCACAAGTCTCCAAATCAGGACAGTACACACATTCCTTTTACTTTTCGAGGAAAAAGAGAGAGACACATGCTTTCTGACTCACCAATGATTCAGATGACTTCTCTGAGATGAAAGGCTTAATAAAACTCTCCTCATTAGTGGCAGCCATGGAAATGAGTGAGACCAAATGTAGCTACGATCAAAATCCAGAGATTGAAGGGAAAGGAAAGAGAGACACTTTAACGAAAACCCTTCCGTACCGTTAATGCAGAAACAGAGAGAGAGCTTTAATGGCTGACTTCTCAATTTTCTCCGGAAATTTTATCTTTGTCTTTTTCTCTGAGTTAAGGAAATAAATGATGTCGACGTCAAAAAAAAAAAAAAAAAGGAAATAAATGATGTCACATTCAAACAACTTGTTACAGCTTTTTTATTTTGCACTTCTTCCTTGAACTAGCCCAAACACTAATAATGAACTCTGACTATTACTGGGCCGAATGATATCAGCCCAGTAGCTTAATTCCAAACTCAAAACAAATAAAAACGACATGGTTTTAAATCTTCAAGTAAAGAACTCAAAAACCCTAAAATTCGCCACTATTTAAGTCTCCATCCTTTGTTAGCCATCGCATAATTTTCTGTAGTTGTTATCCGCTCGACATTTTTCAATGTAGAAGTTTTGAGAAACGCAGTCTTGTTTTTGGTTGATTTATGCTCTTTTATTTTTTATTTCAAATGCTCCTATTGGTTTTTATTGTCTCCGAATTTTGTTGAAATCGATGGGATATAAGAGAGGAGAGAGCGATGATTATGATGATGATGATGTTACCATAGAACAATCCAACTCTGCACATCTTTTGATGAATTTTACATCATGCACTACCATCTGAATCTAGCTCTCCCTTTTATCCCTTTTTTTTATTCTTTGAATTCGTTAGTTTTATTTGTCAAAAAGTTGGTTTTCTAAGGCTTTCCAATATCCGGATAATTTTAATTTGTTTTTGATGACACGAGAAATATAGTTTCTCTTGGAAGAAGATGAACAAACGCTCTGATTTATGCAGATTAAAGGTTGTGATGAGGATTTTTGTCAAACTGCTTTTGTGTTTTTAAATATGTGTCGTCTTTCTTTAATCTAAATCCAAAGATTTTCGGTACATTGTTAAGATTATGTGTAATGAATTTAATCCCATATCAGAAAATAGAACGAACTGTGTTAGCCAAACTATCTCAAACTTTTTGTTATAATACCAGTACAAGTAGAATCATATGAATGATACGAAAAAAGAATGATAAAAGTTTTCGAAAAAAAAAGAAAAAGAATGATGAAATAAGTCGTCAAGAACAAACAACTTTATAAATATATGATCCAAGGAACATGAATTCAGACGATGACTAACAAAAGAGTTGAGCCTACCAAATTTTTGTTCACTTCAGCCAAAGGCCCATTAGGATTGGCCCAATCATTACATTTCGTATTTTCTCAATTTTCTTATACGGTTTGGTATTTGCTTAAAGCTCCTTCCTTTTATTTCGCAAGGATCAGACGTGTCATCATCCTGGCCGACCAAAATGAACGGTCGTTCATGTACAGCAATTGAGTATTATTTTATCTAAACCCAATGTTCTTCCAAATATTTCTACATTCTCCATAGTCCATACCCATATTAAAAAGACGCAAGGAAAAAGAAAAACATGCCCTTATTTTTAATCTTATTCAATATAGGGTGATAACTTTCTGGATTGTAAATCCAAAATCTACTAGATCTAAATGGTTTTGGACCGGGGGCTTTTAAATATTATCTGTAAGTTTATGGGAGAGAATAGAGATTTTTGAAAAACTAGGAGATACAGTTGACGAAGAATAAAAAGGTCTCCTCCGTATGATATCATATACGAAGAATATAATTTTTTTTTTAAGGCCAAATATCAACTTTCATTACTCCAAAGATTATTACAAAGCATGTTTATCATGTTTCTAAACTGTTTTCTTTAATGCCAAATTGGATAGATCAGAATCATATAGCCGTAACGAAAGATTATTAGGGATTTTTTTTTGTAATATATAAAATATGCAAGGGAGCAACTAGCTGTTACGATTTCTCTGTCTTTGTCTCTCTCTTTTCAAAATTCAAAACTTTGGATCTTAAAGCATTCAAAAATTCATAATCTTGCAGATTCTAGATATCTTCTTTCCTTAAACGAACGAAAGAACTGAGATTCGTTAAATAATTCATTCTCATTTCCAAAGGATTCCTGCGCCATTTTTCTCATCGTCAATCATGGCTTCTTCTCTTACTAAGAACAAGCCCTCTGTTTCTGTTTCTTCCTCTTCTCCTTGTATCCCTTGCCGACCAAACTCTAAACCCAGAAATTCGGAGACCGGAGATCTGATGCGGCGGAGTTTTCGTGCCAACCCATTTCCGGCAGATTTGTCCCTGAGGAACTCAACAGGAAGAGAAATCAGCCGGGTCGAGTTTGGGGATAAAGAGAACCAGAACGACAAGGATCAAAACTCAAATGCGTTCAAAACTCCAAAGGGAGCCAAGAACTTCATGTCACCGACTATTTCAGCGGTTTCCAAGATCAATCCATCGCCAAGGAAGAAGATCTTGTCTGATAAAAACGATGTGTCTCGATCCTTTGACAAAACCCACCATCATCAGGTTCGGTCATCTGTCTCATTTTCCGATGTTGTTAGCTTCATTGGGGAAGATACAGATCAAGAGCAGATTTGTGTCGATGAAAAGAAGCAACTTTATGAGGAGGAGTCACATGACATTACTCATGTAACTGATTTTGATGAGAATCATGGGAACAAGAGCAATGGAGATTTCGATGACTCGAGCCCTCTCCCTCCTTCTCTTCCGTACACGTTCCCTGTGCTTGGGTCTCATGAAGTGGATTCATCCGTGGCACCTTATGATCCAAAGAAGAATTATTTGTCACCGAGGCCACAGTTTCTCCATTACAGGCCAAATCCAAGAATCGAGCATCATTTTGATGAGTGCAAGCAGCTCGAGGAGCTTTTCAACTCTGAAAGCTCTTCTTCTGAATCTGATTTGTCTGCAGAGGACAGCCAACTAGAGGAGGAAGTTGCTTCTCAGGAAGTTGTAGTAGCAGTAGAAGAAGAGGCAGAAGTAATCCAAGATAAGAATGATACGGAGCATTCTGAAGCAGTGGAGAGTGATGAAGAAGTATTAGTGGTTAGTGAAGGCACTGAAGAAGAAGAAACTCATCAGATCTCAAAACAGTCTCTTTTCAAGACATCCAAGTTGCTTGGTTGGATTTTGGTTCTTGGTGTGTCGTATTTGTTGTTGGTTTCTCCAGTGACACTTACTCAGCCAAACATCAGTCAAGCGTCACATTTCCTCAAGTTCCATATCCCAGTTGAAATCACAAAGTCTGCAACAGAGAGCTTTGAGCAGTTGAGTGTAAAGCTGAGGATGTGGGCAGAATCATCATTTGTGTACATGGATAAGCTGATCTCAAGTCTACGAGAAAAAGAGGGATATGGTCCTTTTCAGTATCATAATTTGACAGATATTTTGGTAGATACAAGATTGTCTTATACTGCTTTCGAGACACCAAGAGGTGAAATCACTGTTGCTGGGTTGTTGGTGGATGGCCAAAAGTGGAGCTTAGAGATGGATATGGAAGAAGACAATGGTGTTCATCAGGAACTTGAAGAACCTGAGAATAGTGGTGAAATCGATCTTGAATATGTAGACGAAGAGGATGGCAATGATTTCGAGCAGGAGAGTGAAGGCGGAGAGGTAAACTCAATAGTTTGTGAATCTGATAAGCAGACTGAGTTCAAGATGGACACAGATACAGATATAAATGGTGGTGAAGGATATTCAGAATCTCTTTCTGAAGACGAAGAAAGTGGTGACCAAGAAGCTGATGGTATTGAAGGGAAGAAAGAATATGAAGAAATTGACCAGAAGAACCTGGAGGAAGTTCATGAATCTGAAACTAGGTCGGCCCAAAATGATGTGAAGAACATAGAATCTGAGATCACGATGGCCACAGACACAGAGATGAATGGAGGTAAAAGATATTCAGAATCTCTTTCTGAGGAAGAAGAAAGTGGTGGTCAAGAAACTGATGGTTTTGAAGGGCAGAGAGAATATGAAGCAAATGACCAAAATAACATGGAAGCAGCTGACTCTGACGCACACCAGTTAGATGATGTGGAGTCTGCTGCAATCAGTGGTCACCAGCAAATAGACAATGAAGTAGCCAATCCTGAAACTGGCTCAGAGGAAGAAGGTATTATGGAAATTGCTGAATCCAGCGACGTCTCCGCAGAAGTTTCTGATGTAGATGGTGGTAATTTGGAAGAAGAGAGTTCGATCGGTGACGAAGTTGTTAATACAGCTGATTGGAAGGAAATTTTGTTGAGTAACCAGAAGAAAGTGGTAGTCTTGTTTTCGACTGTGATGGTTCTGCTTGCAGCAGCTTCTGGTTTCTTATTAGCTAAAAAGAAGGCAAAACCTGTGATGATGCTACATGAAGATGGTGAACCAAGAACAATCTCTGACGCTAAAGAGGTAAACTTTGAGCAGGTGCCAGTAGAGAATCTGATCAAAGAAAGGCTTCCTTCACTGAATTTCCAAGAAGAAGAAGATGTTGATGATGACAGAGAAAGAGAGGTATCATCATTCCCTTCTGAGATGAGCTTCAGTTTCCATAAGAATAAATCATTGCACAGCTGCAATAACAGAGATGATCTCAAAGAATACCAAAGCGGAGGAGGCAGGAAGAGTAATGATAGCGGCGAATCTACTGCTTCCTCGGCATCAGAATACTCCATAGGCTCTGTTTCATATGGAAGTTTCACAACATACGAGAAGATACAGAAGAGAAGTGGCCGTAAAGAAGAGATGGTAACACCAGTGAGGCGTTCAAGCAGGATTAGGAACCATCAACATTCTGGACAATGAATTAGAACTAGTTTTTGACTCTATGATCTACTGATTTGTCTGACATTGTAATCCAACAACAACATGATGAGCGTTTTCGCTTAGTTTCAATAAATCATCTTTGGCTGAATTCTCTTATTTGTATATTCCAAAACGAACAATTTCAAATACCATATTTATACAAAGTTTTGCAGGAAGAAGGAAGGTGTCTTATATATCAGATACTTGATTTTTGCTGTATTAGCAAATAGCAAGGTGTTAACACAATTGTTATTTCAACTACAAGAAATGTAGCACAAAAAGTGAAAATTATTATTAATAGTTCCGAGGAAAAAAATTCAAAACCGTTGCAAAATTAGAACACAGATAGTAATGTCATTTTCATTTTCTATCTTATAGGTAAAACAAGCTTTTCTCTGTACACGCCAGCTTCTGCTTCTTTCATATCATACATGTCGTCCAAAAAAAGAAAGAAGAAGAGATTTCGAAAAAGAACCATCAGCGGAAGAAAAAGTTTGATACTCCTCTCAGTAGCTAACTTGTTCTGCTCCAAGCGGAAGTTTTGGTTTTTATCGACTATCATCAAGTTATGACTGAATCAGTTTTCTGGCTACCGAGCTTCAAGAATTCCATAAGTATTCTCTTCTGCTCATCGCTGATGTGCGGGAAACTTGCGCGTAGAAGCTCAATAGGCATTTCCCTGACAATGGCTTGTGCTGCAGCTTCAGATATCTCTGTGCCAAAGTGCGGTGACAATTGCGAATTCAAGTTCTGCATTATATTATCGTACTTGCTTATGCAGTGCTTCATCAGTAATTTGAAGAACTCATCAAAGGAAGCACGCCACAGATTCATGCCTGCATTGTTGTAATTATTTGCACGGAGAAGTTCGGTAGCTCTATCAAGTGCAGATTTTAGTATGATGGTAGCTTCGTCTCCAACGGGACTACCCAAAGGACGAAGCGGTGGCTGCTCAGAAGAACAACAAACTGCTGCTAGACACGCACTTACGGGGCCAAGTTCCATGGTGTGAATGCATAAAGCGACAACTTTTGCAAGTTTGATCGTGGCTTCCATGGTTTCGCTATCTAATGATCTCACTCCGAACAAGGACCTTAAGTGTCTGAAAATGGCCATGGAAACTATTCGCATTAGATCGCTGCCCGGGAAAAGAAGCTGTAGGTACCTTGTAAGTAGCTTCCGACCCTTTCGAAGGGAGATAATGCTTAGAAATACGAGATCATCCTGAGAACCGAGTCCACTGTTTTTCCCGTTCTTACCGAGTGGGTCAACAAGCTGCAGTGACACTACAAATCCATCCAACAGAGCTTGCCGCTTTTGCCTCAACTGGTTTCCACCATCTTGGAGTTGATTGAACTCTAAAAACCGGTCAATATCATCTACTTCGAGGAAGAGGTAGAGACCTTCTTCAATAATCACCCTAGCTGCAAGCATTGGTTCTTGTTCAAGGGGCTTGTCTGTCTCTTTATGCTCATGATTACCAGATTTAGCTGAATTTGGAGGTTCCATTTCAAGCAGAGGACGAGGCCTGCGGATCGAAGAGAAAGGAACTCTACCAAGAGCATCAACCTGAAGAAATGCATGGGGCTCGTTGTTAGTACGTGCACGAGATGGAAGGTCTCTCAAATGATTCGGACAGAAATGATGCTTCAGTTTTGCACCAGCAGATTTCTTAGCAAGACGGGCCTGGTGGTAGTAATCATCTACATAAGGATCATTGCTATGTGTAGCTGCAAGCTGCATTCTTAGGATGTTTTCTATTTCATCACCTGTCATATATTTCGAACGGAAAGGAGGCCATGCATTATCTCTCCTTTGAAACCCACCATCAAAACCCTGTTGATGAAACCGCATGTTTTGTCTGTTCCCCTGACCTGATCCTGGTATTGCTTCCCTCAGATCACCAAACCCAAGCATTGCATCATAACTGCCTGAGGACCCAGATCGAGAGAGGAGGGAATTAAATAACTGAGGCTGCATGCCTGGCAAATGCCCGTGAGGCTGCATCGGATGTAGTAACCTGTTATGAGGAACCTGCATCTGAGGCATTCTCTGCTGCTGAGGCATCAAACCGTTTTGATGAGGTAACTGCTGTTGTGGCAACATGTTGTTCATGATCCCAGAAGTATCCCCAGGATACACATTTTGACGATTCATCCATTGAGCAGATGGGTGATTTTTCAAAGAAAGAGAAGGTTGAAACTGAGGCATGTTTCCAGTGCGCTGCGGTGATCCATGATGCATCCCAGCCAACTGAGGATGAGAACTTGGAAAAGGGGAGAGATTTGGCGATCCCAAATGAGGCCCACCAGGGTGATATTGTGTACTTGGTTGTCCTAAATGCTGATCTGGCGATCTGCCGCCTGAAGGAGGGCCAGAAACATAAGATGAGTTTGGCACAAGAATCGGTTCGCTGGAAAATTGTTGCTGATGCTGGTGTGGGCGCTGCTGAGGCTGTGGTTCAGGATATGATATTGCTCTGTGCAGGTTTCTTTGCTCAACAAGATTTGGAGTAGAAAAAGGCTGTGATGGCCACCTTTTGTCATCTTGGATGGCATCGGAGCCCAGTATCTGCTGCCCATACCAATTTGGCAACTCCTCCCCATGGTTCCGCTCATCAACAAAATAATCTGAGAAGAAAGATGAATTAAAAAGGGTAAAATACCAAATCAGTCAACTGTCATTACTAAAGCCTTAGTGCAAGACACAGAAGTGCGTAAATGATGTCCAAACAGCCACAACACGAATACGGAGAATAGGCTAAAAAAACTATTGCACCATAAATCTCAAGGTAAATACACAACTATAAGGTCATACGCATACAATAATTTGGTAAAATAGAAATCTTCTAATTTCACCATAGAGAGACTCTGACACCAGGACTACAGACAGTCAGACAGTATGCGGCAAGCAGAATCAATGTACCTAACGAGATTAATTATCGTTCTTGTGTAAAAAGTTTTGAGAAAATCCAGAGCACATAAGAACTCACTCTGTCTTGATCCATTATCAGATATTGGTACCGTGTTCCTATATCCATCATGATCCCTATTCAACTGAACAGCAAATATAAAATTAGCAGTTTATAAGCTTCAATGAACCAGTCGTGGATCGAGCACAAGGAAATAACAAGAGTAAGACCATTGACCAGGCATAATAAAGCTGGCTCACTTTTGAAAATGTGCTAGCAAGGTCATCAACTTCAGAAAAAGGTCTAGAAACTTCAGCCTGCAAATATTGGGGAGAATCTTAAGTCAAACCAGAAGATGTATCCAAGATATAGAACACGACAAACCTCCCGTGAGCTCTCAACTACGTAAAGATGGGGTTGGGAATAATAACCTCTTCCTTATCAAAGGCAAAATCTTCTTCTATCGCAGCCACCGGTAATTCATCATCTTCATCTTCCAATCCACCCAGCTCAACCTCCTCAACAACATCGTTCCCAAAAAATGCATACTGAGATGCATCAAAGACAGAATTACCTGCACCAACGAAATCGTCAATTACCCAGTCCAAAGTTTTGACAGTACTTAGTGTATAAGTCTAAAATGTGATACTTTACTCCATTAAGACTGTCATAGAGAGTTGTTCATAGATTATGTAGTGAATGTGAGGAACAGGTAAATCTGATTACCAATTGAATTCAGTGCTGCAATCAATAAAGTCATCGCTGGACTAACAACAATTCAAAACCTAGGCTTTCGCGGAGAAGACTAGGTAAGTGTTACGATAACAAATTACTGCCAACCATAGAAATGAGGACTCAACTATACTTCTAAACCATAGAAGAACAAGATCAAACTAGATTGAGATAACAAATACAAATCTAATTCAATAGAGCACACTTTTTTTTTGTCGAATTCAAACGAGCACACTTAAATCAACAGAACCAACTCGAGAAAACAGAATCAAACCAGTAGAATTATCTCCAATCTGCTTAAGATCCATGGATGCGGAAGCTTGTTTACTACTACCCTCACTGCCAAGACCGTTCACAATCTTTAACTTTACCCAAAATTTAACAAGCTGATTAGTCAAGAATTCAACTTTCGAATGTATTAGGACCGTGAAAATCGGTTCACGATCGAGTTCTGGAGGAGGAAAGGAAAACCGAAACAGATTTGGCTTGCAGGGACGAGGAAGAAGAGCCCTATACGAGAAGATAGCGAGATTGAGAATTTTTGTGATTGAGGCAATGATGATAAATTGTTTCCCTTTGAGAAAAAAAATTAAAAATAAAACAGTTTTCTTTTTAGAAAAATGAGGAGGTGGTGTGGGGTTGGGCGGTTGCCAGCTTTTATGTATTGAAAAGGATTTTCTTAATTATATATTTTTTTATAAAGTAACATAAAACCAACCACAATTTTTAAATAAAATCTAGGAAGTGGTATCTAATTATTAGTTTAAATAAAACTAAGAACAATTTAGATGGTGCGTACCATCCATTGTTAAATCGATTAGAACATCTTCTCTAATGAGTAGTTGAGTTTGATTGCTTGTTAAAATTCACGACAAAAAACTAAATAAAAGTTTTATATAGAAGAACGTCATCAAAGGTTATTAATGGTCTCTCTCTCTTATCGTAAAAAGCTTTTTGGAAAAGGAAAAACCCGCCACGTATAATCTCGCGGATTTTTTTATGGTTAAAAATCCGCAGTCCGGGAAAAAAAAAACAAATTCACAGTCTCTTGTATTCTTTTATCCGCTAGGGTTTTTGAAGAAGCAGGGTTTCGATTGTGCGTCGCGATTTTGCTCGATTATCGCCCATGGCGAAACCAAGTCGTGGCCGTCGCTCCCCTACCTTTTCTGGATCGTCATCTCGGTCTAGCTCCAGATCTCGCTCGGTTTCGAGCCCGTCAAGGTCTCTTTCGCGCTCCCGGTCCCGTTCTAGATCGATCTCTTCATCTTCTTCTCCTTCGAGGAGCGTCAGTTCAGGGAGTCGCAGTCCTCCACCTCGTGGAAAAAGGTTAGTGTTTCTTTCCAACTTCTCCAATTCGATTTGATTTCGGTGATTTGGCTCCGTTAGGGAGTGGGTTGAGTCCGAATCTGGCTTTTATTCCTCTTGCTTTGGTTCTTGGTGGGAACAAAATTGTCACTGATTTCTTTAGTTAGAATTTAGAAACTGTAACAATTTGATGTTGTTGCATATCGTATCGTGACGTGAATGTTCTGATCTACCTTCTGCAGTCCTACTGGACCAGCTAGGCGAGGTCGCTCTCCTCCTCCTCCACCTCAATTTAAAGGAGCCTCCTCACCTTCTACGTAAATGACACTCCTAACTCTTACTGATACTCGAGTTTGTAATGTTAATATCAGACATGAACATCTCTCTCCCTATAAATATATATATGTGTATGTGTGTGTGAGCTGAAGTTTGAGTCTTGATTCGAAAAATTCAATTACACCTAGAGAATGGTGGTACCGTTTTAAATGACATGTATTTTCCTCGCGTTGGTATCTCTGCTTGAAAGTCCCAGTGTCTATGCTTTCATCCGATCCTCCCTTTTGCTGACTTGACAATCGATTTTTGGTTTCAGGAAAGCTTCACCTATTCAAGAATCTCTTGTTCTTCATATTGATTCTCTTAGCAGGAATGTGAATGAAGGCCATTTGAAAGAAATATTTGGTATGTTGTTGATTGCTCTTTCATAATTTTTCTTCTTGTTCTGATTTTATTGCATGATAACTGAGTACACCAGTGCGGCAGTGCCTTAGGCCTCAAATGTGATCACTGGTATTTAGGTCGATTATTGTATTTTGTTTCTGTTGACCAATTTGCTTGGTAAAATGTTAAAGTCCTCACACTGTGTGTTTGTAATGATTGCTTGGTAAAATGTTAAGTCCTCACACTGTGTGTTTGTAATGGCCTGTTTTGTCGTTTTTATAGGCAACTTTGGTGAAGTGATACACGTTGAACTTGCGATAGACCGAGCTGTAAGTTGCTATTTCGCTGTATTCTGTTGTTTTCTGGCATTACTTGTTAAGAAAACTGCTCATAATACCTTTGCATATTAACAGGTTAATCTTCCAAAAGGATTTGCTTATGTTGAGTTCAAGGCAAGAGCTGATGCTGAGAAAGCGCAGCTGTTTATGGATGGCGTATGTCTTTTTCCAAATATGAAATGCACTATGTTATTACTTTATGTTTTGGCTAAGAAGATTTATGCATGCTATTTTTGTTTACTTAACGCAGGGCCAAATTGATGGAAATGTTGTTAAAGCAAAGTTCACACTACCACCTCGTCGGAAAGTATCTCCACCCCCTAAACCCGTCTCAAGTGCACCGAAAAGAGATGCTTCAAAATCTGATAATGCCGACATCGAGAAAGATGGGCCCAGGCGTCCTAGAGAGAGTATGTCTATGTTTTATATTTTGGTTATTTGTTATATTTTTTGTCTGTGCTTTATATTGTGTCAATGATTATCATCACTATGTGCTTAGCTTCTCCGCAACGGAAAACAGTACTTTCTCCAAGAAGGCGATCACCTCTACCTAGGAGAGGCGCATCACCCAGGAGATTACCTGATTCTCCCCCTCGCCGAAGGCCGGGCTCTCCTAACCGCCGCCGTGGTGATACACCACCTAGGCGCAGGCCAGCATCGCCATCGAGAGGACGTTCTCCATCTTCTCCTCCCCCTCCAAGACGATATAGATCTCCCCCAAGGTTAGTTGTGGCACATTCTGTTTTGTGTGTTGTTTTCAGAATCAAATCGCTCACCTTTGATATGTCAACAGGGGATCCCCTAGAAGAATCCGTGGTAGTCCTGTTCGAAGACGGTCTCCTCCTCCTCTAAGGCGAAGGTAAGTCTATGCGGTCCACAAATTATTCCCCTAGTTAATAGTTATTGGAGGATAGGAATTACTACTTTGTAGGCAATGGTACTCAGTACATTAGAGCTAGAAAAAATGAGTCAGTTTCTTAGATATTATAAATTGGCTTTGTTTCAGGTCACCTCCAAGGAGAGTGCGTAGTCCTCTGAGAAGATCTCCAATTCGCAGGCGTAGCCGATCGCCAATCCGTAGACCTGGTCGCTCTCGTTCAAGGTCCATCTCACCCCGCAGGTATGTTCTTAACTCATTAAAAATTTTGCTAGGTTTATTGTTAATATTTATTGGATTTGATTTCGTTGCAGTTGCATAGCTAAGATAGTCCATATAATGATAGAAGTTCATGACATCTCTTAAGTCTTGTTTAATTTATGAGTATTTGCACAAGCTCTCTAGCTTTTATTTTATCCTGGAGTAGAGGTCTGACATTTCAGTTCCTATAAACTGTAATGCGAAATAGGACTACTAAGTTACCTATCTATGTGGAGTCATTTATGGGTGTAATTTCTGTCTTTGATTGTAAGCAGGGGACGAGGTCCAGCTGGGAGACGTGGGAGGTCATCTTCGTACTCTAGTTCCCCAAGTCCCAGAAGGGTAAGGGCTTTGTCGCTGATCCCTTTTTTTTTTGGCTATTAAAACAATGTTGAGTTATGTGTTTGACTTTCTACCCTTCTGTGTTTTAAACTTGCAGATTCCTAGGAAGATATCAAGGAGCCGCAGTCCTAGGAGGTAAGAAATTTCTTTTTCTTTTTCCTCATGTTAAACTGGATTCACCTTAGTCTGTAGCATGCATTAGTAAAAAGCTCCACTGTTGTGTTTAACTCGGATTCCTGATAAAAGATGTACGATAAAGGTTAAGAAAAATGGATTGTTGATGTTGTTGTGTAATGTGTAGGCCACTGAGAGGAAAAAGAAGCAGCAGTAATAGCAGCAGCAGCAGCTCACCGCCGCCTCGCAAAACATAAGATAATAAGAACAGAAATTAAGAAGAAAACATGTTTCCTTTCAGTTCTCTTCTCCATCTTTTATGTCCCCAGATTATCTGTGTCTGCCTCTTTTCTTAGAACATCAAATTGTTTTTATCCGTGACCAAATGAGAGTTGTGGCTTCTGTAGTTTTCCTAGTGTTGAATGCTTTGTGGATCTCCCATTATTTGGTTATTAATAGTCTTATGTTGTTATGACTACAGACTCTGCGACTACAAACATAGTCTTCAACAAGTTACAGGACTTGTTGAAGATAACATCAAGGCTTCACTAATAATACACAAGGGCTAGAAAGAAGACTCTTATCATCGAGGCTAAAATTTTCATTATAATATCAAGTACCAAGGAAACTCTCTTATACACACCACTCAAACTCAATAAGAAGAATATCGTATATGATAAAGGAATTTTCAACGAGTAGCAAAGCGAACAACTTGACGGTACTCAGCAAGAGCCCATATGGGGTAGATGTTTCTGTAGGTAACATAGTTTAGAAAACAGTTCCTCATGAACACTCCTGTCATTTCCTGCACACAAGCAAGCAACAACGAATATGCTTTTAATAATCTAAATATACATCATCATAACTCGGATCCAATATGTCTTGGGTGTTTTGAGAGATAAAAGAGTACACCTGTTGAGGATAGTCTCCGTTCTCTAACTGCGAATTGATGATTAGTTTTGCAGCACGGTGAAGAGGCACTGGATCTCTATCAGCCTGTTAACACATACTAAAACAGTTTTCACTCCGCAACTTTTCAACATACAGTATATATATTAGGGAAACTGTTTGACAAACCTGTCCCGCTTGAATCAAACCCATCAATGCCCAAGCGGTTTGCACCAGGTTTGATCTTTCTCCATCTAATGCTATGTATCTCTGCATATCGAGAAGTAGATTCAAGAAGAGTTTGGAGATTAGGAAATTAAAGCGTTGAATTGATTACAGCCACATTACCTTTTCAGAGCAGGAAAGGTAGCTTTCTCCCCAACCTCCATCGTTGTTCTGTTTCTTGAGAAGGAAACCAACACCTTCACGCACAGCTAAACAGTTGTCATATGTTTTACCAGCTACTGCTAAACCTTCAAGAGCAAACCATGTTGCATATGTGTAGCAAACTCCCCAACTTCCATACCTGCCAAAAGTTTTTGAAAAGAAAAACACTTCTTTACTCATCTGGAAACTTTTCCTTAAAGATATACACTCTTCTTAGGGACCGTACCATGAACCATCTGCCTCTTGTTTGCTTTCTATGAATTGTACCGCTTTTTCAATGGTCCTATCAATCTCTCTAGTCCTGTGATCTGGGTATAGTTTCTTGAACAGGAACAATGCTTGGATAACCGATGAAGTACATTCAACGTACTCACGCTCGATTACAATATCAGCAAGTATCTCAGTTGGGTTGAACAACTAGAATTTCGAGTGAAGAAAGGAATTGGGTGAGTCCAATGATAAAAACTTTTACAAATTCTTTGGAAATAAAGTAGAACATTGACTTCTTACTTCTAACCATTCATATCCACGGGCAGGCTCCCATGCCGTCATACCTCCATTTTCACTCTACAACAAAACAGTGGATTATATTTGAAGTTCTTTAATAAAAACACACTTCTCTTATTGGATTTTAGTCTCACCTGATAAGATAGCAAGAGGTTCACTGAGTCATATAGTTGCTCAGGATCCATTTTTGGGCCAACAACGTCAGGTGGCATCATGGAGAGCAGAAGACAACACTATGAAACCAAGAAGATGTGTGTTAATCGAGGCAAACATTTCTTATTAAAAAAACAGCAGCTAAGTGGTTTTGTTTTGATGACTGAATGATTACTTACTTTAAATGCTTCGGCTGAACAATCTGAAACTTGCCATCCCTGATCTCGATCAGAAAAAGTCCATCCTCCTTTCGAAATGTGGCGGTGCATCTTCTTGTAATCCCCCGAAGGGTTTTCTCTAATCTTTCATAGTTGTTTTATTTAGGAAATTAAACACATTCAACTAACTCTATAGAGCACTATATAATGCAGATTTTTAAGAGGGTACAAGTACCTGAGATTTCTTAATGAAATCATGTCCTTTCTTGAGTACATTGGCGATTTCGTTGGTGAGATTACTAGCAAGTAAAGCTTGAATCGCCAGTGCTGTGTCCCATAGTTGACTTCCAAAACTCTGCATAAAAGTTTTTGGTACTCAAGGAATCTTGTGATATTTGTATACGTAAGATATTAACTTTTAAAACACCATCAGTACCTGCACTTTCATCCCATCTTCAGCAATCCAAAAGTAATCAGGAATTCTAGCGAGATGCTTCTTGAAATATTCTCCGTTTGGATCTTCATTCCAGCAAGCAAGCATGCACATGGCCTGACGAATAATTCAGTTACACATACATTCATAATCTTGTCATATCTTTTTTAAAGGATTACTCAGTGCTTCACCTTCTCAGTGCATCCAATGTTGATATACCGGCTATTTTCATCTTCATAATGCACGTATTCCATCACTACCCGAAGAGCTTTTTCTCTCACAAGCTTGTTCAATGGCCAACGTGTAAGGACAGGCTCCATGAAATTGTGAAGACCATCCCATACCAAATCTTGAATAGAAGGATGGGGATAATACATGTCTTCCTACACTCGAACAACGTAAAGAATGTTTACCTACAAAATTAAAGAGAAATCTGCAGAGAAAGAAACAAAAAGAAAAGAACAGAAAAAAACCTTTGCGCATAGACGTCTTGCTGTATTCCAATCGATTTTTTCATAAGCCTGTAAGTAGAGTTCTCCCCGCAGTTGCAGAATAAGAGGAGTTATTGGAGCGACAAATCTCTTCCCATAAAAGTAAGACATGACCAAGTAAACAAGTCGACAAAAGTTTGTAGTTTTCCCTGTAAAATTATTCTTGTTTTCCTTACTTGAAAACATCATATCACAAGCTTTCGAAGTTTAAGCCAGAGAGTAAGTAAAGAAATAAACAAACCAAGATGCATTGGAAGAAAAGAAGGTAGGAGCCAGATCTCTGGAGGCATAGGATTGTTTCCACTCCAATCATAGATTCCGAGTATCTATACACAGAACAAAACAATCAATGATGGCTATGTATTAAACTAACTAGAGCCGTTTTGGAAATCTCTTTTTCAGTTTCAGATTACCGAAAGGAAAAATTTTCCCCAAGAAGGAATGTATGTGACACCACCACGAGCAAGAATCCATTGCCGGGCTTGCTTGCACGCCTTACTTGGGCCTCCATCTGGACCTTCTCCAAGAATACGCAAACATACGTAATTCAGTGCGGTGCAAAACATACCGCTCTTGCCTTGTATGTGAAATCCCCACCCTCCATCTTCATTCTGATGAGAGAGAAGCCACAGTGATTATCATCAAATCACTCTTTCATCTTCCTTTGGAAATTTTACGATGCAACATTGTTTGTACCTGGTGACAATAGATATATCTAAGAATCTCTTTGCGATGCTCTTGACTCAATATCTTTTCCAGATGTCCTGTGATATAGAAACTTATCACCTGCAAATATATTATAAAAGAAAGAAAAAAAAGGCTTCAACTTTCTCTTTTCCCAGTAAGGATCGATCGTATTGAGGTAAAAAAAACAAAACTTTATTACCATCTGAGGAATGTAGAAGAGTGGCCTGTGATATCAGCCGGCCAGTGGCCGTCGCTACTCTGCAACGCCGAGAAATAGTGAACGGATCGCCGCAATGCATTGGTCGCTGCTTCGTTGGTGATATTCTCGGCGTCGTCGACCTTTACCGGCGGGATTACTTGCTCGAATTTCTTCTCCTTGAGAAACTAAAATGGCATTATGTGTAATTAATTATCAGCAACGTTGTCATTTTAATCAAAATCTGAGTTAATGCGGTTCTAAATAGTAATTACAGACAACAAAAATACATAATTTCAAATTATCGTTTTATTGTCAGAGTTACTTGCAAGTATAACTATCACTTGTAAGAACAACAACAAAATAACATGTGTGCTCTTCTAAGTTTGTTTTTAGTTACATTTCATACTTTTTCATGTATAGTATCTGGTTTTATTCAATACTTTGAACTTATGTACATCTTTGTATATGGTGAAACACACATTGCTAATCAAAATGATGGTGAAACACAGCGCGAACATGGCAAGCATATGAGTCACTACTAATTCTAACAAGTGCTTAAGATCGCTCTCTGTATGCAATTGGTGGAATGTTTGTTGATGGAGAAGCTTGTCATTACCTCAACTTGTGGTATACCACTATTATAAATTGTTTACGATGTCTTTTTTCAGACTAGACTAAAATTCAAAATTTTATTTTATTTTACAGCAATTTGAAATCACGATGAGAACAATACTGTCGGTGCTAGATTAGGGGACGAACTAGCAGTGGTCAACGGTTTCTCCAATCTATTTCAAAATGTGTTTGTTTGCAATTATAAATTCTCAACACAAACAAAAAAAAAAAATTAAAAAGTGTCATTGTTTTCCAACTTAATAGTTAATAAAATAGGTTAGTTTACGACATTTTAAAACCATAGGTTAATTTTCGAATTATATAATTTTTTAGATTGTTAAACCAGTCTCTCAAATTTAATCAATTTTAAAATTTAATACACTTTAAATAATCATCTATAATTGTTCTAAGATCCCATATATTACCTAGTAGTTTGTAATAACATAGTAATGACCAATTTCGTTGTTCTTACAATATTTGGTACATTGATCAACTAACGTTTTGTCCAAAATTGTATATTGAAATCAGATTAACCTGTATGATCTTAAAATTCTTCCCATAAATAAAACTTAAACTTAAACTTCTATCTAACTATTCAAAACAAACCCAAAAAAAAAAAATTAATCTTAAACTTAAATATATAAACTTCCATCTAAAAGTCGAATCAAAAACCAAAAATCTATTTTTAAAATTAATTTCTAAAGATAAGGAAAACAAACTTGTGTTGAACAAAATAATAATGATAAGGAAGACGTACTTGCATGCGCCATAAAAGATCGCTGGAAGCTCTAACCCGATGGCGATTCTCGTAAAAACTCCGGCGAGTCTCCTCGACGGCGACTCGTTCCTCTGACGTGCCGGCATTTGGATCAAACTCCCATATTTGCCGACCGGCGAAGTTGTTAGTGCTCATCAAATACGGATCATCTTCTCCATTTCCTTCTCCTATCTTCAACTTCCACATTTTCCACTTAAAACAACAATAAAAACATTTGTCAAAAAAAAAACCAACAACAAAAACATATTACATCACATGAACTTTATGGCTAAATAAAATACCAAGAGTCCAAGACAATGCTCCTAACTTTTTACACGAATTAAATATTGTATCAGTGGATCATACTTTTGCAAAATAAGATGGTTTATGATACTCTAACCATATTATTAAAAGAATGAACGCACAGTTTATTTACGTAACTTTCTACATTATATAGTCTGATTTCATCATCCTACTATATAAGATATATATGCATGATACTAGATACTCGAGGGAAGATGTGAGAGAGATTATTACATTTGCACGTAGATATCGTTCTTCGATGAAGACTTGGAATAGCTTTAGAATGAAGTAAATGATATCTCAAGGCATTTTATGTTTATATATACAAGTCACCGGAATTGATTCCGATAGTTATTTTTATTTGTGTGTATGTTCTCGTTCGCTCGAGCTCGTAGCTAGATACGAGCACTGTCTCGTGCTTAAATGAGTGCAGGCAACCCCAACAAACACAATTTATTTCTTAAGATTTTAATATTAACCCCCACGATTTTACTAATTTTAGGAATTGTCCCACTCATTAACAATCTTATTCGAAACAAATATAGTATATAGGAAACAAAATCTACAATCTTTATACACCACTGAGGATTTTCTTTCACAGATCGAGTGAGACAATTTCTGACATCTGGGTTTCCTATTATTTTTGAAAACATGGGTCCCATATGATTGGACGAGTTATAATTGTAAAGTGTGTTAATAATATATTGGATGCAAATTTCTCTAACTAACTAATATTGTATTGAACCATTGTTACTAAAAAAAAAAAAAAAAATCTATTACTAATAATTGTATTGATCCGTGCTGGTGCGTTGTTAAAAAACATTTACAGTAAAACCTCTATAAATTAATAATGTTGGGACCATGAAATTTTATTAATTTATCGTGATATTAATTTATCTATAAATTAATAATTATTATTTTATAGAGATAATTTGGTTTTCGCCTATAATTTTCTAAACAAATTTTTGAATAATGTTTTATTTAAGAATTTAAGCGAATATCTTATTAAAAATTATAATTAATAAACATAACTATAATAACAAAATAGTTTTATAAGAAACCATAGGCATTATCAAAAAGATGAAATTGAAGACAATACTACAATAAATTTGTAAACATTTACATGTAAGAAAATCAATTATCACATGGAATTTTTTTTTTCAAAAATTTGAATGTATACCGAAAAACAACAATAAAATGCAGAGATATAATAAGTAAAAAGATGAACACCAATGAAATTTCAACTTTAAGTAAAAATAAATACATTAATCATATTTTAGTACTCCCTCCGTTTCACAAAGAGTGTCGTTTTAAGGTTTTATTTTTGTTTCACAAAGAGTGTCGTTTTATATTTTCAATGCAAAATTTTAAACAATATTCTAGTTTTAACCATATTAATTTAATGTATTTATTAGATAAAAACAAGTTATTTAATGTATTAATAAGGGATAAAATTGTACTTTTAATAATTTTCTTAATATGTGTGAAAAATGTCAGAATGACACTCTTTATGAAACGGATGGAGTATATATATTTACATAAATTTATACAATTATTAATTTATATTTTTGTTGGGACCATATATTTACACATGGATTTCAAAAAAAGTTATTATCTTATTATCTTATCGAATTTGATAGAATTTTACATTGGCCTGACTTGGGACCACCAAAATTTATTATTTTATAGTGATTATTAATTTATAGAGTATTAATTTATAGAGGTTTTACCTTATTCTGAAAACAGTAAAGCCAAATGTCGCGAGGTTGATCAATCTTTGATAAGTTGTATAATAATACCACTAATTGTGTTATAATTGAAGATATTCGAAACAGAGTTATCATTGGTCCTCCTAACTAAATCAATTATACCAAATACTTTTATTTATCTAAACGCCCAAGACTCGTGGGATGTTGTGTACCTCTTGTTGAGTTGTTGACTAATATAACTAGACTACTGCTGGTGGCTACTGCCCAATGGAAACAATGCATGTGGTGGTTGGATTTAACACTTACTGCTAATGACTTGACAATCTTATCTCTCACACCACACGTTTCAAACGCCTGTTTGGCAATTAATCAGCGATGGCCCTCCTTCACGTTATGCAATAACAAATTAGAGAAAAATGATACAAACAATAATATGGGTCCAGTTGTGCGGAAGCTACGTCCTGCAGGATTCAGATGTGTAAGTTAAGACGTCATTTGGCTTGACAAGATTATGGTTCAGAAAAACTTGGGTGTTCCAAGTAAAGCTGTAAGCATAGTGGCTCGCTGTCCAGAGACTTGACCGGGGTTATAACCGGTGGCTTCTGCCACTGCTTTGTATCTGTTGGAATCCATAGCTCACCTTCTTTGCTTGAACCCACTTCAGGAAGCGACCTAAGATAAGCCGTTACTTCCCATCTACAATCTGTATCGAGTGGGAAAAGATCAAAAAATATTTGAAACTTAGAAACATGGTCGTTATAAGATAAGAGAATGTGGCATCTAGGAAGTAAGAGAATGGTGGAGCTATAAGTGTATTTACTATGAGGAAGAGGCTTGACAAGGGATTTTGAGACGGAAAGCTTAATCAAGAAGGACCTAAGCGCAAATTCCAGTTGACCCTCTTCTACTGAAGCAGCGCAAGACGGGTTAATCGTGAGCTTGAAGATGAACCTCTCCACAGGAACATTATCCTCACTGAAAAATATGACTGCTACTCTTTCAACAAGACCCTGTTTCAGATAACAACAACAAAACATCCTTCATTCGTTATTCTATCATACGATCAGCTGCGTTTACTGTAACATATTATGGAAACAAAGGCAGATCTTTGAGGTGGGTCTTCTTAGAATGGTGGAAAAAAAATGTTCCTTTGATATTGAGTAACGCACCAAGATTGGAGATTGCGATAGTATAAAGAAAGAACATGTGTATGCGAAACTGAAAGAGACAAGTGCAAATCTTTCAAGTGGGGTTTCATTCAAGAAAAAAAACATAGACGTTTGATTAGTGTATCAAGATTACAGATTTCACACAGACATTGTATACTTAAGCTGAGAAAACAAAAAAATTAACTAACCTTTTGGATAAACGGAAGTAAACCAGTAGCAGCAGATTGAATGTAATCGCGTAGCTCAGGATGGCTTGCCCTTTGCACCACCAAATTCATATATCTCCGCCTTTCAAATGCCGCTTCACAAAACGAACAAGATGATCAATCACTATGAACCAACTAAATACACAACTGTCAGCTTTTTTTTCATCGCTTTACTCACCAGATGGGTAAAAACCTTTTAGGAAAACAATCATTGTGATGGCTACTTCCAAAAACTCCACCAGAGTACGTGCAACTTCTCCTGAAGATCGGAATTAGGAATTTTCGAATTTTTGGGTCATATTTTTATGAGAATTGAGATTAAAAATGGAAAAGCAGAGAGTAATTTTACCTGAATGATTATCATCCTTTGAATTCATCAGCGTCTCACAATCGCCGCAAAACGGAGACTTCCTATGCGATTAGAAAACGTAACCGAAATTCGCCGTCGATGGCGGCCTCGCCTGAACTCTGTCTGAATTCTGTCGTCTAACCATGCACGTGACAGACACGTGACTTTTTACTTTCCTTTAGAAAATTATAAGATATGGGCTTATAGTTCATGGGCCCAATTAATTCCTTATCTGGCCCAATTTTGTTTTTTTTTTTCATCGGGAAAGGTTTGTCCGGAGCCGAGACTATAGACGGAATCTGGGAGACCCCGTACGATTTGATTTAAACTTGTGTTTGATTTTGTTCTCTGAAATCGTTTTCGTGTTCTCTCGTGGAGTTTGTATCCAAAATCGCATTGAAGGTGTTGATTTCTAGCTCCTTGGATCAGTAGTAGTCTTCTAATTGTTATATCACATGATCTGAGCTCGATAAAGTGCTAATGATTAACTTTGTGATGAGAAGTTGAAAGGATACGATGGGGAAGAGAGGAAGGGCTTGTGTAGTGGTACTTGGCGATCTTGGTCGAAGTCCTCGGATGCAATATCATGCTCTTTCTCTTGCTCGTCAGGTTCACTCTCTTTTTTTTTTTTTTTTTTTTTGCCGATGTTGCATTTGATCACGTTCTAATAATCTCAACTTAATTGATCAGGCATCATTTCAAGTGGACATTGTTGCATATGGAGGTAAGTGTTCCTAATTTAGTGTTTTTTTTTTCGGTGTTCTTGTGACTCATGATGCATTTCTTATAATTTTTTAAAATTCATGAATAGGTTCTATACCCCATGAAGCTGTTCTAAATCACCCATCAATTCACATCCATACCATGGTATTCTATGATCAAATCCTCGACATAAATTGCTAGAAAATATGTAGATCATCTGTTTCTCAATTTTGTTTTTGGGGATGAAACAGGCGCAGCCTCGATTCATTCAGCTCCTGCCAAAGATACTCTATCCTGTAACTCTATTGCTCAAGGCATTTATTCAGTTTACAACGCTTCTCTGGTTTCTTTTCGTTAAAGTACCAGCACCTGACATTTTCTTGGTCCAGGTAATAAAATTATTCTACTTCACTTTGAAATTTTAAGTTTTCTCTATTTGCAGAACTTACACAGAGTTTTTCCTGCAGAATCCTCCTTCCGTTCCAACACTAGTTGCTGTTAAGTGGGCGAGTTCATGGAGGCGTGCAGCGTTTGTTGTAGATTGGCATAATTTTGGATATACTTTGCTGGCATTGTCTTTAGGAAGAAACAATGTATTGGTGTCCTTATACCGCTGGTAAATCATACAACCATTTATAATGGCTTATACGATCTATGGTATATCTTCTTTATCTCTAAGGTTGAAGTGATAATCTTTGCGTGCTTTAGGTTTGAAAATCATTATGGAAAGATGGCAACGGGGTCTTTATGTGTGACTAAAGCAATGCAACATGAACTGGATCAAAATTGGGGAGTGAGGTAAGATGAGATTGCTCATAGATCAGAACCTGCAACATTTTGATTCTGTGGTAGAGAAATTTACGTGATTCTGATTTTGTATGCAAAAATGTTCTGAATTGAAAAACAGAGCCAAAGTTTTATATGACCAGCCTCCTGAGTTTTTCCGCCCCGCTTTGCTTGAAGAAAGGCACGAGGTTAGCTAGTCTTTTCTTGATTTTTAGATTAGTTTTATCAATCACTTGGTATTGAGGGTAACGGAAAATTTGATTACTTATTTAGTTGTTTTGTCGAGTGAAGAAAGATCTCTGCCATCCAATTGGTGTCTATGATATCATTAGTAGAGGTATCTCCTTGAAATTAAAAACCCCATGTTTTGATTGCTTTTAAGCTTCTCCATTCATTCTGATGCCAAATCTTTTAATTCAAATTTAGAGTTGGAGAATCAAGGGCTTAATGAAACCCTTTTTACTATGAAAACTAATGCGGACATCTTTCTGAAGCAAAACAGACCGGCTCTTGTTGTAAGCAGTACAAGCTGGTGAGGACACATTATCATTCTTTGTTCACTTTCACTCTTGTGGCATCACCCTTCCGTGACATTCAATACTAAAACATGAAATTTTCAGGACCCCTGATGAAAATTTTGGCATCCTATTGGAAGCTGCAGTGATGTATGATCGGCGTGTTGCTGCAAGATCGAAAAGCAGTGATACAGCTGAAATTTCAGAAGAGCAAGACCTTTATCCCAATTTGCTGTTCATCATTACAGGTAAAGATGTTTGCGTTCTTGTTTAGATCTAAGAATATTTTTCTGTTTTTGTATTTGACCATGAGCTATCTATACCTGCCCATGAAGGTAAAGGACCTGAAAAGGAGATGTACGAGGAGAAAATCAAACGGTTAAACCTCAAACATGTGGCATTCCGTACAATGTGGCTCGCAGCTGAAGATTACCCATTGCTTTTAGGTTCTGCAGATCTCGGTGTTTGCTTACACACTTCCTCATCGGGTTTAGACCTTCCCATGAAGGTGAAGTCCATTATTTTTTAGAGCTCATATGTAATAATAAGGTTAAGACTTAAGGCTTGATTTTTCATTTTGTGAACTTATTAACGATGTCTGGCGTTTTAGGTTGTTGATATGTTTGGATGTGGCCTTCCAGTTTGCTCGGTTTCCTACTCATGGTAAATAATCAGTGGCTTTCAATACTTTCACGAACAAAGTGTAACGTCTAAACCGTAAACTTTCGTGAAGCATTCAAGAACTCGTTAAAGATGGGAGGAACGGACTATTGTTTTCATCTTCATCGGAATTAGCAGACCAATTACTAGTAAGTAACTTATTGTCTTTCTTTTAAAGACACTTAATAACCTAGTCAAAACCTGTAATGTTCTTGTGTTCCGTTCTTCTGAACAGATTCTCTTCAAGGGTTTTCCTGGGAACTGCGATGCACTAATGACGCTTAAAGCGGGTGCAATGGAAACTGGTTCCTCGGGTAGATGGGCTTCAGAGTGGGAAGATTGTGCAAAGCCTTTGATTACTCAGGCAAAACTCTTCAGCTCTCTGTCTCTCTCTCACACACTCTTGTTGGGCTATTTCTCATAAGATGTCCGATCCATGCAGGTCGTGTCTCAAAATGCGGATTGATGAAAGGGAAATATCAAAATTGGTGGGCTTGAGAGTTTTTCACAGCTTCTTCTTTTGTAGATTCAAATTTTTGTTAACACAGTCATATAGATCACAAGATTTGTCTGAAAATATTGACAAAGGACTGACTCCAAGATTGGCAAAAGCTTGTGTATGGATGAGAAACTGATATCAAAATCTCAATTGACCAAAAGTAAGGCCAAGACAAATCTCTGAATAAAATTAGAACAAAAACATAGGAACCTCTGAATCTGTCGCAGAATAAAACCACAGACCACCTAGCTTTAAACAAAAGACTCTGCTTTCTTCTTGATGTTTTGAATCCACAGTCCCACCTTTTTGTTTTTCCCCGCAGTGCTTGTGATTTTATGGTCGAGAGAAATCGTGCAAATCAAATAAAAATCCTTCTGAAATATGTTACTTACTTTGCCTTTGTCTTGGACTTTTTGAGAAGACTGGAAGTTCTGAACTCAGCATCGTCTCTAATAAAGCTCCACCAGAGTATGGTAAGAGGAATTGTGGCAGCGTGCCAGATCGAGTGAGCATCGAAGTAGCCTTCATATGGAGGAAAATCATATATCTCTAAAAGCATAGCTAAGCCTCCAGCTATCACAACCACCCAAAGTTTCCAATTAGAAGGATGTCTCGAGACAGCTGCCCACCTCGCCCATAGGAGAAGCTGACTGACTCCCATGGCCACACACACAATCATGTTCCAACCTGTAAACAACATTGAATTTTAAGAAAACATATTGACTTGGTTTCAGATAGGGGTAAGAGTTTTGGGGTGTACCATAGTCGAGTTTGTAGAAGTTAATGTACAGTATGTGGGTGGTGACGAAAGCTAATATTGGAGCGGATACCATGACTCTTGCAGCCTCGACCCGAACATCAAAGGTTCTTAAGATGGATAAGATGAGTGAGAATCCGAGAACGGCTACTGCGGATGAGTAGTCCAGCCTCTCTGTGAGGTCAACATCCCTGAAAAACCATAGAGATGGTTTACAAGAAAATCATATAAAACTAATATGGAGTAGATTATGGATGATATAAGTAACGACATGTAGATGTGATTACCTGCTGTGGAATACAGCACTCCAGAACCAAGAGTTCATGGACAGGAGCCCGTAGATATGCCACAAACCGACGTATTCATAGTAAGCCGTCTTGTCTTGTTTCAGAGGCAACTTATAGTAGAGCGTGATGAAAAAGGAAAGCCAACCATGGAAATGCATCGCTAGGTTGAGCACAGAGAAAGCAACAGACGCAGGCTCCTAAAAATGAACAAGGTAAATAAAACTGAAGTTCCATCTAATTTGGATTATACAAAAACAAAAACAGAACTGATTGAAGAAAAAAGTGTACAATAAGTTGTTAAAGTCTGACCTGTATCCCAAGGACACGCTTGAAGGGCCATTTACCATGATACTTAACCGGGACCTGACCGAGAGATTCCCGTTCTTTCTCTCTGTTAACCATACAGTGATAACGGCAATCACCTTGACAGCCCCACTTTTGCCATTGTAAATACAGAGGTTCTTGTATGTACCATGGACCACCATTGGATGAAGAATTGCACTGAGGAAAGCACACTTGTCCAACACAACCGCTTATCTCGCACTCTGAAACACATGTCCTGATACGAAATTGCCAGATAAATTCATTATGTCTATGCTGCTAACATCTAACCTACTACTACCAAAAACAAAGTTCATGCTACAAACTCAAAAAAACAAACGGGCTAGCTTGGACATAAACGTCTAACATTAGAAAGTAAGCAAGATAAGCTCTTTACGAATCCTATAGAAAGAGAAAGGATATACCTGTAATTTGGATCAGCATCGCCGGCACTAGCATCTGAAATACTGAATAGGCAAGGCAACACTAGAAATAGGGCTGTCCAGTAATGGACTACCATCTGAGCAGATCAAAAATATCGAAAGATGCAGTCAAACCACTAATTTACAACTACGCAAACCTCAAATAAAGGAAAGATAGAACCCAAAAAAAAATCACTTATAGGAGCTACAGAATATAAGTATGAATCAAACCAACAAAAGCTAAAAAAAAACAAAGTAGGATTAAGCCATATGAAGATCTTCGTATGATTATTCCACTAAATAATGCACTAAAAGGAAGTGATCATTCCGGTGAATGAAAAAAAAAATATAAGAAAAACATCCTTATTCGAACTCGAAAGACTTGCACAATCTCTCCGTCAACGATCGAAATTTCAGTGGAGAAAGATAAAAAATTCCTTCATAATCTAATCCTGGGGTTTCCAGATTCGATCAGATTATCGAACCACTCAGAAAGCAAATCAAATTCAGAGCATAAACCACTAGAGATCTACCCAATCACGGAAGAACACAAAGATAAGGCCCGATCAAATATAATCCAGTACGAAGAACAATACAGGAAAATTCGAGCAGATCAGAATACCTTCGAGTTTGAGGCTAGTCTTCGCAACAAAGCTATGCCTTGAGAGTTGAGAACCACAATAGAGCTTTGACAAACAAAAAAAAAAACCACAATAGAGATAATCGCTGCAAACTGTAAAACTGTAAAGAATGAAGAAGACGGACGAGAAGCACGAGCACGTGTTTTATTTTAGTTGAACAAAACGATGCGTTTCTTATGTTTTTCTCTTTATATTTCCTTTTTTTTTCCTATTATTGAACCAGATTTCGTCGACCATAATACGTAACATAAAAACCTTCGTATTTATCCCATCTCCTGTGTTGATATTATCTGAGAAGAAGAAAACAAATATTCTTTGGAATAGATAAACTGAAAATATTTGACAAGAAAAAAAAAGACTGAAAATATAACATTAGTTTTTGTACAAGATATTTCGTTAAGTTATGTTTCTAATACATTGGCTATTTGGCTTAGAACAAAGTACAAACCAGTAGACTACAAGCAACTGTTTTGAATTGTTGTATATTCTTGTGCTGTTTTACTCAGAATTTATCTAGAAAGAGACTTCCTTATCTGTATGCTTCTTCTTGTTGTTTTATGTATAGTATTAGTATTACTAGTATACATAAAGCTTGAGCTTATTCAGTATTTGGATTTACTTCTTCCCCAACTTGAATCCAAGACTCTGTTTTTGCATCAATCTCGTATCTCAGAAGAGTTCCAAACAAGATCTTTCCCTGAATCCAGTCAAAGACCAAGAAAAAATGTTACTTCAAAAAAAATGATCAAATACCTTCTTCTTTCTTCGTTTTCATTGAGAAAGAATGGTTTCAGAATGTTGAACCTTTACTCTTCTATAAGAAGCTAAAGTTGTCAAGGGCTCGTTGGATTTCTTCACTTGACCAGTTTCATTACTTATGTTTATCATCTGGCAACGATTACAACCGCCCAACGACTGGATCGAAAGGGAGGAAACAAAAAATCGTCAAGTTTGTACATATGATTACGACTCAAATGCTAAGTGGGTCCATGGACTTACCGTGAAATGACTGTCTCCTATCTTGAGAGTTCTCCATTTATCTTCTGCGTATGGTTCACCTCCTGATATTACCAGATTTGGTCTGAATCTATATGGACTGAGTTTCTCAAGAGCTCGGTTGTAATCCTTGCCTTCTGCAACCAAAACAATTTTATCAAACGAAGAGCTAATGCTAATAAGAAACAAGATGTAAGGTTAAAAGGAGACAACAAAAACGTACTTGCTTCTAATCTTCTATTTAGATCAGCAACACTCTCCTCGGATATCAACAAGAACTGAGCTTCATTAGCGAAGTTGATATTGCTTTCTAATTCTCTGCACAAACCAGGACTCTTGTTTCTGTTCATGCAGTGTTTGGAATTAGAGCTACAATACTGTAACAATTTGCACTGTCGACCAATGGCACGGGTTAACCAATCATTGATTCTAGTTTCCTCGTCATGATTTTCAAGTCTGCACCCAAAAGTTAAACTTACAGTTATATTTATCAAAAAGGCGGTTGAAGTAAGACATCATATGTGAGGGAGCAATGCATACATGTTGGCATCTGTATCGAACTCATGGCTCCTTGGATCATATGAATTAGACTTGATTCTGATGTGCAACTTGTCTTTGCAGCGAGTAGATTCTACAGACAATAGTCCTTCCTCAAGGTCGATAAAGGTCCTAATAAGAGACATTTCAGGCACCTGAAAGCCATTCCCAGGGCAAATCATAACTTTGCTGACAGAACCGTAGATATAAAGATTCCAGTTAGAAGATGCACTAGTACCTTCTTTTGGGTAAGAATATCACCCGTCAGACCCTGAATCATCCATTCTCGATCATGCAGCAGGCCTTAGTACGTTTCCAACATAAATACAAGTTGATCATAAACGTCAAAGAGGTTAGTCCATACCTGCACAAAATGCAGCTCTGATTTTGGAATATGCTAACGCAAATTAATTGAAATACCTGTTCTGCAAAGTGGCCAACGATTCACAGAAAATCCAGCACACGACTTGATTGGGTATATGGTAACTGATTTAAGGAAGTAGTTTGGAAAGGATTCTTTACATTCAAGTTCTGCGTAACAACAAAAGGTGAGCATCCTTTGATTCAGACAATATATGAAGTATTTGCTATCTTGCAAGTTAGATCTCATGGTTTTCCAAAGATCATACGAAGTAGGGACAAGATACATGGGGCCATGGACTCTATATGTGTGGCTAACACAAGCATCGATTACAAAATTAGAGATAGGCAAGCATGTAAATATGGTGGCTCTAATAAAGTCACATCCCAGAGAATGAACGGCGGAATAACCAGTCCTTTCTATATCAAAAGGAGTGAATAATGCTCCAGGATAGGTAAACAGCAACAGCTAGTTTCATTAGGAAGTAGGAACAAAGCACAACAAAACATTTAAGAGAAAGTATACCTTCACTAGGAAGTTGAGTAAACCTTCCACTGACGGCAATTCCATTCCCAATATTCTTTGAAGGTGAAACAAATGAACTTATGATGAAATCAAGAAATTTCTGCGAATGGAGCATATACCTTATATTAGGTAGCCTCAGCAAAAGAGTAGAAAGTGAGAGCTTTGCTTATGACTTCTACAGAATCCGAAACATGGAATTGAGTAATACCAACACAAACTAACCTACATATACCTTGGCCTCTTCAAAGGTTGACATATAACCAAACGAAACTCTAACAGCTCCAGTTGGTTTTCCATTAATCACATCATTATCGTCCCAACAAATATGCCCAGCCTGGATTAAAATAAAGGATGTCATGGTCAACTATATAATAACAGAACTGCTACATTAAGGCCAGTAAAAGGAAAAAAAAAAAAAGCAATTATACCTCTACGTTAGACAATAGATTCGAATGAGACAAGGCGAGATACTTTGCACATGCGCCAGGATTGCAAAAGCATCCTGTCTACACCAGAATGAAGTAAAATGACAGATGGAATTCAGCGTCAAACGACGGAATGCAAGATCATGCCTTGCCAAGGAATTCAAAACCCTCATCTTACTTACGTAACTTCTCCTCTCTTCTGTTTTCTTATTGGAAGAATTCAAAGACGGCAAAACTATACTGTGTTTCCAAAACGTACCCGTAACTGGATTCCAGATAAAGAAGCGAGCTTTTCCACCTCCAGGTAGCCAAACCAAGAGCCATCAGGTCTCTTCAAGTTGAATGTAACCGTTGGGCCTGATTTATGTGAAGATAACTGTAACATAAAACTTAGAATGCATCAAACACTATGCTTACACGAAGTAGTAAGTTGATATGACTTCTGAAAGAAAAATATTTTTAAATATGTAATGATTGATGCTTATTTCCTTCTTGTGCTCCTTGCTTTCCTTTTTGTTGAAGCATATTATTCACTCAGTATATGAAGCCATATAATTGATGAGTTATAAGGAAAAAAACAAACCTATTTTTAATTACGAAAGAACTTACCTTCAGATTTTCACTGCCATACAGAACACATACACCAGTCCCGTTTCCATGTCTTAAAGCCTGAAGTTTCTTCTTCACATACATGGAAAGTGATGTTGTGTGCCTAGGAAGTATATACACAACATGCTTTAGCTTCTACACTAGCAAATGGTTTGCAGGGAATTTTTAAACGTCTACTAAACAATGATTAACAAGGATCAAAACCATACGAGTCTTCAAAAATGCAAGGCCCTACTAGACTATCTTATAGAGATGGAAAAAGTAAGTGATTTTCAAGACTAGCGATTCTGCATAGAGCACAATTTCTACTCACATCCAAATTGCAGAAGTAGTAAGGGACTTGAGTAATTTGAAGCCATGGCGGATGGCTGCGATACTCAAGAATGAAGCAGAGCCATCCTCAAAAAAATCCTCCACGCTTTCTCTTCTTTTTACAAAGTCAATGTCAGCAATTGAAGCAGCAACAGTGCCTGTACGCATTATGTTAATTAGATGCCACACAAATTCAACCATCTTACACAGCCAAATGAGATGCATACCTCCACTGAAGTAAGTCTTTTTGAGCAACTTGGCAGCATCTGTAGATTATAAGAGAGAAAAAGATAATGTCAGAAACTAATTGCCTGAGAAATGAGTGAAAGGTGAGAAGAATAAAATGAAGGCAATACTGGAGATCTTAAAAACAGGACTGCTTCGATCTGAGTTACTAATTTAACGAGAATGTTTCTCAACTACAGTCATGTATATGAAGATATACAGAGGGAGATGAACCTCAGGAACAATTACGCACCATTTCGTACAAGGAGAGCACCAAGCCCAGTAGGATAACCAAATAACTTCATGAAAACAGCGGAAACACGAAAGTCATAATGTGTTAACAAAAGAGCTTCCTCGTTTTAAAAAGAAAAAAGAAAAATTCCAGGAGCTACCTTGTAGAATGACACAACAACAAAATCTGCAGGATACTCCGACAAATTAGGTGGTAGTGTAGCACAGCCTTTGGCAGCATCAATCAAGACCATCCACCGCTTGCTCCTTATAAAAAGGAAATAAAGCCATGATGAAATTAAAATAATCGAAAAGCAAAAGAACGAACCAAGTCCTAGATAACTTGAAATGAATAAAGAGAGAAGTATCAGATCAAGCCAAACCAGTTCCTTTTAAGTTCAAAGTAGCTGTAGGCTCATATTATTAATTGTTGTAAATCATCAATGCGCACATTTCATTTCTAGATTCTACCATATCAACCGCAGATAAATTATACTATCTATGGCTGATTCCTGAACTACTTCTACTCTTCTAAGGCTAAACTCACACTGGGAGACCATGTATAGGAAAATTCACTATGTCCAAGGAACTGGATTGTTCTTGGATTAACATTGTCAAACCTCAGCACTATGAATAGAAACAGACATTCAGCATTACCAATGCAAGACACTAAGGAAAATAAGAGGTGAAGAGAGAATGTAAGAGATATATACGTGCAAAAGGGAGAGCCTTGCAGTGTAGTTTCGGTATTTTCTTTAATCAGCTTCACCAGATCTAGGTTGAACCTCAAGCCGGTAAAATTGCACTCTGAGGGGAAGGCAAATAAATTATAGGCATCTCCTGTAAACACATGACACAATAAACACACAGAATAAGAAACCAGCAATGTCAATTAGTTACCTAAAGTAAAAAAAAAAAAAGATAACATGAGCTACATTTTGAACGGGCTTTATCCAGGACGAAAGAACAGAAAGAAAACTCTGAAGCTAACGGACCTCTTGACTCTTCCTTTTGGAGTTTAGAAGTGTTTCTCATCTGCACAGCACGATGCTTGACCTTGATAAATGGTCCTGAACTTGCTAGCTGACCGGGCTTGTTAGCTGTCTCTTCAATATCCACTGCACATGCTGAAGCACCTTGACCTAATGCATATTCCCTAATACCAAGTACACTGTTATGGTTTTCCATGCTATACAAAAAGTTGCTCTCGTGGGTCCACGGAAATGTCTCTCCGACAAGCTTCAGTGCTGCTGTGGCTCCGGAAGTAAATATGCAACTGTAGTCTTCAGGAGATGCATTGAAGTATTCAAGTACCTGAATACAGTGTGCAGTGCAGATCGATTTAAAACATATAGAATCAAAGATCAAATAAATAAAAATAAAACATTCGCCATATTCAACAGATATCAATTCAAGAAATGAGAATGTAGTACCTGACGCCGAGCGTCCGCTATAAGATCACTAGTCGCTGAACTGATATCACTTTGACTATCTAAATCACTTTTAAGGAACCTTTTTCAGCAACATAAGCTCACTAATAGAAGAAAGAAAAAAAAAATTACTGTCCTAGTCCATACTAACAAGATCCACAGAGAAGGCTAGCTACGTTGTTTCTCACCAATCAACATCAAAGTTTCACATCTTCAAGTCACAAACTTAGCACAGGAACCAAAAAAACTGAGATTTATCTGCCATCTCAGCTAGTAAAATAAAATGTAAAAGTGTCTTATGAGGTCCAAAATATGAGGATACGAGGATTGCCATAAACATTGCTTGTAAAGTCCTTAAAGATGTCTTCCATCTGCAACTCAGAATACAAAGTAGAACCAGCATGATCCAAGTATACAACACCTGCACATACCACAGGAACTTCTAAGTTCAAGCTTCAAAACTCAGAGGTTTAAGGATGAACAACAAATTGATAAAGAAGCAAATACTATACTGGAAGGAAAATTCTTGAATCCGGTTGGATACTAGGCATTATTTTCAATTAACATGCTTTGATTCATTTATGAGCAATATCTGAAATGTTTATATGAGGACTGATCAGTGAGTCCAAACCCAGAGGTAAATCTCGTCGGTTCCATACATAACCTAAGTTCTAATGACTAAAGCTGAATTTTTATTCGAGCAAACACAAACTCGGTTTTAGTTAATTTCGAAACTCTCAAGTAGTTAGCTGTTCGTCCACTCCACGGACACAAACCAATAGAATTTTCCTAGAAACTTCAAAAAGTTCTGCTCAAAACTCAAAAGCTTAGCTTTTAGAACTCTATTAAGATTCGAGAGAAGAACTCATACACAAAATTGAGTAATAGAAAAAGGGTGCCAAAAAAAACGAGAAGATCAAAACAGACCTTCGTCTAATCTCTTGAATTCAGTATCGCGGATCTCTTTGATACTCTTTGGACCTTCTGGGTATCCATAATAATCTCCAAATTCCTTAAGAAATTCTTCCATCGCGATAGTCTTGATGAAAATTCTCTCTCTTTCTATTCAGATGTTAATCTGAGGAAAATCGCCGACGAAAAAAACGACGGTGGTTCCCGGCTTTTTTAAAATAAAATAAAAATACAATTTCTTTCTTTTTTCACTTATATTTCGTATTTTATGAAATAAAAGGAAATAGAGTTGGAAAACAGGCTTATTAATTTGTAGCCCAAAAAGGAAAGCCCATTAACGTTAACTCCTGAAGTTGAAGGATGATCAGATAAATGTAGAGTGAACAAACCAACTACTACATACTGTAATGCCCAAATTTTTGAGCAAATGTACTCGTATTTATTTCCTAATTTGAGTGTTTTCTTTTTCTTTACAAGTTTAAAACGTGTCTAACGTTCTATATTTTTGCCAACAAGTAAAGAAACTTCTCTCCAAATCGAAACTCATTCATTTATAAAAATGAACATATATATATATATATATATATATATCACGTATAAATGAACATATATATATATCACGACATTATTGACTTAAAAAATTGATTCTAATTCAAACTTTAAAACTTAACAAATTTTACTATTGACCAAGAGTTGGAAATTTGGCTCGTTAAGAAACGACAAAAATACATTTATTTATTTTTTTTTTTCAAAAATACATTTATTACATCCAACAAAAAAAATTATTACCAATTGTTTGATTTTTTTTTCTCAATAGTTATAATCGTTTTCAAGCATTTCATTATCTAATGGGTATAAGTTATAACAACCGACCAAGCACAACCAACTGTTAATTACGTGAGCGTGGATGTATAATACACCACATTACCACCAAAAGATCTTACGTTTGGTATCTAGGATTAAATTATACATGATCTTCGGATCTTATTGTTTTTGTTATATATATAATTTGTGCATGCTACGTAGTACGTACGTGCATATAATATGAGAGAATCAAACTAAACTTATAATTTTTTTAAAAAATGCAAACAGGGTTAACAAAAAATGTAAACAGAATAAAAATTGTTTACACTTTACAAATTATAAATGGCATTCTATTACAAACAGGGTTAACAAAAAATGTAAACAGAATAAAAATTGTTTACAGTTTTCTTTTGTTATTTGAAATAAACCCAAAAAATCAAGGGTTTGTCCTTGATTTGTCGATGCGTTAAGCAATCAAATTACAAATATTATTATGGAACCAAATTATATTTACTTGACTAACTCGCAAACATCAGCATATATACAAAATCATTTCAAAACGATATCATATGGTTATAAAGAAAACTAGATCTTGATTCACCAAGAAGTGACAATCTCATACCCGAACAAAACAAGTAGAAAATTAATTAGAGAAGCAATATTGCTTCAACTTGCAAGAAACAACAGAGAAACTATATATCTATCTATAGTATTCAATTCAATATACAAACAAAACAAGAGGAAAAAAAAAACATTTCAACGTAAATATACGTATAATAAAACTTATGAGAATTTCCAGGTGGGCCACGGAAATCTTAAGCAATAGAGATGGGATTGATTTTTTTGTCCAAGGAAAGCAAATCTAATGACTTATTACCTTTGGGTTGGACCCACAAGAAGATTTCACATTTTCATGTCTCACTTTCTCTTCTTCTCTATATAAACACACTCACGGACTATTCTCTAAAGACTTCTTCTCTTCTTGAACATTTGCTATCAAGCCTCAAAATCTATTACTTCTAAATGAGACAAAAGGGTCACAGACACGCAGGAGCAGTCTCACCTTGTGCCGCGTGTAAGCTTCTCCGGCGAAAATGTGTGAAGGATTGCGTCTTTGCTCCATATTTTCCGGCTAAAGAGCCTTACAAGTTTGCCATTGTCCACAAGATTTTTGGGGCTAGTAATGTCAATAAGATGTTGCAGGTGAAAACTCACTTCTCTCTTTCTTACCTTTGTTGTTATATGTATGACAGGAAATATAAATCTATAAATACATTAAATCAATTTATTAACATGTATGTATAGACTGATCAAGGTTTGTTTGGATGATCATCCAAGCTTATTAAACCCTTCAATTTGTTTATATTTTTCGAGATTTTAACGTTTGAAAATAGTTGGCTTTTATTAGGTTATATATGTTTTTGATCTTGTCAGTGTGATATTTGCTTTTTAGTTACTTAACAAACTTGGTTATCTTTGGAGAGTATCGAAACCGCGTGTAAGAATAGTGTAGGGAGTCACTTTCTAGTTTCTATCAAAAGTCTATACTGCATGTCACGCTAAAGGCAGAATCATGACATTATTAGTATTTGTTATCTGTTATCTGCTGAGTGATGACTAGTTAGTGACGCGGTGAACAATCTAAAAAAGCGACTTCTTACTATTTCTACTATTAATAATATAGCTATAGGCTATCATTTACAAAATCATTACAAACAAAGTAAGTAAGTAACAAACAAATGCGTCATTTGTTCTAAACATTTACTCCTTATTGATATCATGTACATATCTTCTGATGTATCATTAAACTTTCCAAAAAAAACACCATCAATGATTTATCTCAAGAGAAATAAACCCCAAAATAGCATGGGTTTCACTGTGTAACTCTGCATAATTTTCACTGTGTAACTCTGCATAATTATATGATTTTGGTAAAACATTGTGGAAGTGCACATCATTTTGTTATTTTGAACATGAAAAAGAGTTATTAACTTATAATAAAACACCCTACAGTTTTTTATTATAATTCTCAAAAATAAGTAATTGAAACTATGTACAAGTCATTTTTTCAAAGTATAGAAGTAAATATTAGAGTAATAACCTATATGTAAATGAAATTTAACGCTCTATAGATGCTGTCTGAGAACCATCGGAGCGACGCCGTGAATTCGATGGTGTACGAGGCCAACGCGAGGGTGCAGGATCCTGTGTACGGATGTGTAGGGACAATTTCGTCATTACACAGACAGCTAGAGACTCTCCAAACTCAGCTCGCTTTTGCTCAGGCCGAGTTGGTTCATATAAGGACGCTCCGCCGTATTGAGTCAATTCGCACTAAACCTGCGCCGTACACGGCCAGTATGGGCACTTTTCCGGCAAACAAGGACTTCTCCACTGACGTCGACATGGCTTTTGTGTATGAGGATGGTGCCAGAGAGTCCCTCTGGTCGTGATAACTTTAGAGCCTGATCTATCAAACCATCCTTGCAATTGCATGCAATACTAAAAAAAAAATGATAAAGATATGTATATTATAGGCTATATCGAGTTTGAACATGATAAGTAGTATATAATAGAATTAAATTCTAATAGCATCGTATAGCAATTTCTGTCTATGCTTTATTTCTGTCTTCCTTGTTTTCGGGTTTTATTTTTCTTAATTAATGTTGGGTAGGTGAAAAAGAAAAGAGAGGCATATAAACCGCATATTGATGTAGAACAACGTCGTATATGCTGGAAGAATTCATGCTATTCAAAATACAATCGGTTTAAATAAAGCTTCCATTCAACGCCAATTTAGCAAAAATGCATTTAGGACGAAAGCGAGAATGAGAAGGGAAAATAACACATTCCATGTCGCTAGATTTGGTCGAGCATACACATACTACAATGGTTATGATCCTATAACATTGGTCGATATTCAAGAGTCCGGGTTTACGAAAGTCTAGCGCATGTTTCTGTTGAGAAGACCTTGGAAAGATAGGTAGAGATCTTTGTTATCTTCCCCAAATATCTCATCTGCTTTCCTCAGAGTTTCCTGTCAAAAGCATCATCAACTTTTTATAATCAATAGTCTGGACATACCGGAAAGACAAAAAAATAGCGCACAAGCCACGGATATTTACCTCTCGGGTTTGTTTCTGAGCGTTGAGTTCCTTGATGTTAGCTAAGAAGGCACTGAATTGTTCATATGATAATCGGCTCCTAATAATGTTAGATGACAAAGAAAATCAACAATCTGAAACTGTGGTTGATAATAAAACCGACAAAGACAAGAAGAACTGAAGAAACCTCACCTGGCTTGTCTGAAAAATTCTTTACCGTCCATCCGAGGTGTACGAGCTGGAAAAGAGATTTATACATTTTTTTTTCAATGAGGATCATATGATTGAGGTTTGCCAAATCTATACACGTAATGATCTTTGAGATCCTATATGAACCTGGGAGTGAACGGTTGCGAGGTGGGGAATTTGCAGCAGATGATTGTTGACTTGAAGGGTACCAGATTGTTGTCTTTGTGGGAGAAACTGCACCTGATGTTCTTTTAGGAGAACCCGCCGCAGAATAGCCTCGAGGGGATACACTTGTGGAGATGATCTTCGGTGTTGCTGTTGGGGTAAGACGTGGAGAGATGTATGGTGTCATTGAAAATTTGTTTCCGGTGTATTTTGAAGCTGCAAAGTAAAATTTCATGTGTTCTTTACAGCAGCAAAGAGATAAATTGAAAACACTGGACGGTTGCTATAGGTAGCTGATTCAGTGTTACCTTCAACAGTTGGATTGTTCATGTCTGCAGATCCACTGTAAGAATGGTTTACTGAGTGTACGTTGGTCCTTTCATCTGCTTGATTAAAAAGATAAAAAGCTCATACCACAGTGTTCCGGGTCAACCAAGATATATCTTTAATTGGGAATCGAATACTGTTTCAGTACCTTTAACTGGATATGATCCAGTAAATGACTGGTCGCATGTCCTAATATCAACAGGTTCTGTTTGCTGTAATGAAAAAATAAGAAGAAGCGAACTTATAATATCTTTGAACAGAGGCCAGAAGCATGCATGATAGAGAAGATTAGCTGGAAAAGCTGTAGGCCCTCGTGGAGAGCACACTTAAGCACACATAAAACATAACAATAATGTGTAGTAACATAAGCTGAAATGTCTTACATGACCACTCTCGTCGCTCAGGGATTTGATTAACTGCCGCTTGAATGTCTCCAGCTAAAAATAGAAATATTAGAGCCGTTTTCTCCCACCAGATAATATGATGTGAAACTCACTCAAGATATAAAACAAATCATAAAAAGCATCAGAAAATTCTCACCTTAGCCAAATCACGAGTGAGTTTAGTCACAGTCATTGCCAGTGAATCCTTCTCCTTTGTCAGGTTCATCTTTGAAAGAAAAGGAAGCCAGTTAACCAAAAAAAAATCCAAGCCATGGTTACAGTCTCATGGAGCAGAGGAAATATACCACTGCAATGGATCATCTAATTCTTCTGAGCAGATATGTCAATTCATTGCTTTTGAGAAGAGCATACATATCGAAATACAGACCAGAGCTGAATATATAACAACCTATCTACCTCCTCAAGGCGAACCCGTTACCATTATACAACTCTCTAAACATCAATCGATGCACCAAATTCCATAACGAAGCCACAAAATTGATCATAGATTTAGAATTAACCGGAGAATCCCGTGTACACCAACGAAACTCAGAACCTAATCTTACCAGTCAAACCGGAGACTCTCTCATCGACAAGCAACTGACTCGGACTCTCAGCAAACAAAACTAGCCAATACTAGCAAAATTCGAAATCTAAAATGCAGAAGTACCGGAACCATAAAAGCAACAGAGGAGATGGAATGATGAAATGAAGCTTTTGTTCTCACATTATCCTCGCGGACGATCTTCAACCTCGAATCAGCCTCACGGTAGTCTCTCTCAAGGCGAGACGCTTTCTCCTCAAGCTCACGCACAACACTTTCCTTATCCTGAAGCTTCTGTCTCAATTCCACAACCTCAGAGTCCAGATTCGTCACCCTTGAAGCTATCGCCATTGACGTGATCTTCCTCGCGAGATCCAGCTGCTCGAAAGGGTCCATCGGAATCACCGACAGAACCTCTTCGGGGAGCTCGAAATCCAGCTGGTCGTCTCCCATTACTCCTCCACCAGAATGCCCTAACCTCTCGTTACCTTCGACGCCGGAGAATATCACTAGGGATAACGTTTCCCCTTCTAGTGATTGAAATTGAACCCCAAAATGAAATTCCCGAGAAGATTTAGGGTTTTTAGCTCTGAAATTGTCCGATTGCCTGTAGTTGCAGAGACGAATCAAAAAGAGAAAAATCTTTACACTTGTCGCTTTTTCATTGGCTATATATCTTTTTCCTGTCTCTATTTTGAATTTTTCTTGTTCGAATTTTAAGAAAACACTTTTGATTACTTTTCCCTCCAAACCAGAGAAAACCGCTTTTGATTAATTTTATTGTTTATTTAAAAAAAAATAAACAAGATTACGAAAAAAAAATGTTAGTGCCGTTGTGACCCTACATTTCAAAATAAACAAAATTGACAAATTGTGACGTGACTTTGCATTTGTTACGTATCACTAAAATATTCCATATTGGCCAATTGGATTAAAAGTTGAAAGTTTTAGAATTTGTAATTACAATAAAAGTCTCAGCATTTTCTGGTTACAAGTTGAGATGTCACATCTATGCAGTTGAGCAGAATCACCAGACACGTGTATAAATACGTATAAATTTCGTATCTACGTATATCCAATTTCTTTAAATGTACAAACACTTAACCGGATTATCCCGGTTCGCATTAATTATTTATACGATTAGATGTCAGATAATGATAAAGCATATCGTGTCGTGTGGTGAAACTCATAAAGCCTAATCTCCTCCACTTCGTTTGTATCGTCTGATATACCAACCAAACCGGACTATGTACCAAACCGTTGAGCGACAACTATCGGTTAATATAGTTTGGTAACACAGCGAACCAAGGTCTCTCAGTATGGATTTATAGTTTAACGGTTAAAGTGTTATTATTAACGTGGATCGGTTTTAATAAAGTTTAAATTATTTTTTTTTAAATTAACAGTACTGTTATTTTTACAAATAACTTTTGAATGTTTATATATAGTGAATTTTTTTGTATTTAATTTGAATCAAATCCGATAGATTCGGTTTATTTGGTGGATTGAACACTTCAGTTGGGAACACTGGGTTTCTCATATAGTCATACCGTCCACTTGTGATGCATGATTCGTTTATTAGAATATCAATCCGGACCCAAAAAAAAAAAGACAATTTCCCCGGTCTAAGCCGGTTAGTCTGACAGCTATCGTGTTGGTCTGCAAGAATTGAGCATTTATTGCAATGTCCGGACCATAGTGGTTGGTTATCTTCAAGTATGTCTGTGTGCGTATACATACACGTACATATAAAATTACATAAACACTCACATATGTATAGTATATATACACACATCTCGATGCCAAGATAAAACATCTTCTGAGTTTTCTTTTGTTATTTGAAATAAACCCAAAAGAAATGTATTGTCTTCAAGTTGCAGCTTATCACTTGTTCTTCAACGCAGCTCGGTTATGTTATCTTCTTGCTTTGATTATCCTTGTCTTTCTCAGATTCTTTTCTATTTTCCAGAATATCTCAGTAGTGAATCACATAGGCGACTCCCGAACGGCGTCGTTTTTGGCGACTGCTGATGCACAGCAAGCTCATGGAGATTTGAATGTAACTTTCTCTGGTCGTTTCTTAGGATCTGTAATAAAAGATATCGCTGATAATGTTTTCTAGTTAGCTGTGTATTCTTTATGGACTTATCATCATATATATAATAACGTTGAATATTTTCACTAGTACAAGTTTCTCTTCTTCAATTCATTTTTTTATTTTTTTTTCGGTTAGACGGGAGGTCGTAGCATAGTAGTTATGCCGTCGTGTGATAATCCAGCTTCTAGTTGCTTAAGTCTTAGCCTTTAATTAGGACGAAAAAGATCTAATTTGATTTGCTATAAAAAAAACTATGAATATAATATGATCGTATTCGTATGTATATTCATAGTTAGTCCACGGCAGTCAAATACAAAATTATAATGTTAACCCAATCAATGCCTGATAAAGATCTTAGCAAGGTCGATCCTATATTAACCGGTACGGTCAATTTGTTTTTCCATATTCCAAAAAAACTAGCCGTAAATTTCGATCCACGAAAAATGTCATAATCAGCAACTGAATTACCACATTCGTATGTTTTTAGTTTAATAATTTAATGTTAACTAACCATGTGTAAAGTATCTGCTGTTTTTAATTATGTAAAATACAATCAAATACAAATAAATAATGAAACAACAACGGCCTGGTTCAAAATATGTTGGATCGTGCTTTTGCTAAAGGCCCAAACTAAATCTCAATGATATCGGGCCAAACGGACAGGCCTCACGTGTTTGTCATTAAGGTTTTTTTTTCTTATAAAAGTCAGTTTTTAAGATAGTTATGCCTTGTAAATATTGTCAATGTATAATATACGAGAGATTCCTCCGTACTGAGGTAAGAGAAAGAAGGACAGGCAGAGAGTTGGTAGGTCACGCTCGGTATGAATAAATGACCGTACAACCAAACCCACCTGCCACTCTTTAATACCTTTAATTACACGTCATGTAAGAATTCTCTATTTAATTTCTGTTTTTGTTTTTAGTAATTTTGTATTTTCCATTTCCCTTTTTTGGTTGAACCCATCCATTTTCTTTATAAAAAAAATAGATGTCATTTTATGTGTCAGTGTATGTATTTAGAAAATATGTAAAAAACTAACAGAATCATTAAATACATGTCGTTTGGTTTGTTTTGTTTTTTCTGTAAACATGCCGTTTAGTTAATGTAACATTTTATTAAAGAACAAAATTAGTGATATCCAAAACGCAATGGGACAAAAAGTGTCGTGAACAACTTGTCTAGTGAGCAGTGACCCTGAATTTGGTCGATGTTTTGCTTGTTATGCCTCTTATGTCTTATTCATAATTGTAACCTTAAGCTTTTTTTTTTTTTGTAAAGAAGAAATGTTATGTTTGAACATGCCAATAACGTTTACCAGACAAGAATTAGTATTGTAAATTTATAAATGAACTTAAAACAAAACAAAAAGTAAATATATATAAACGAACAAGATACGTATGAAATGTTGTGGAAATTACTCATTCCGTTTTTTATTAGTTGTTGTTTTAGAGAATTTTGTTTGTTTTAAATTAGTTGTTGTTTTCAAATTTTAATGTAACATTTATTAGTTTTTTATTTTTTAAAATTATTTTTATTATGCAATTTGTTTTATTATTGGTTGAATTGTGTTTAAATAGATAATTAATGATGTTTTTATATTGAAAAACTAAATCAATTAATATTTTTTTAATTTGTGTGCATAACTTTAAAACGATAATTAAATAAATCCGGAGAGTACTAATTATATCGGAAAAAAAAAGTTAAAAATTTCAACAGGAAAAGATATCACAAAACAGAAAAAAATATCCCGAGAATATACAGTAAATAATCGACAAAACCGAAATGCCAGATTTTATCGATCAGAACTTTATATCTGTACTATTCTCTTTGACTTATTGGTCTCCGTGTAATCTTAAACAATGTTGAATTTAAACCATCTGCGGATATTTCATCCAACCATCTTTATATATTGACCAATTTACATAAGAACTACTCCAAAATAATTTTTTTAGTATTTGTTTATTTGAAGGCTATTAAACCACACCACACCAACCTCATGAGGTTTTCAAAACATTTCCTGTTTCTTTCATCTTTGACCATGATGATGTAAGGACAACTTGTACTCATACTCGATTTTGATCTTGAACAAAAATCACGGGCTATATCGTTTGATTGGTCTAAACTTCACTAACTCCAATATATAATTAATGACAGTCTAATTATAAGTATATATACAATACGAAATAAAACAATATAAAATGTTTAGAAGAGATTGGTTTACCATCAAAGACTTTCATTAGCTAATGTATTGTTTTAAAATTTAGTCGATTTTGTATGGTTTTGATGGTTCAATCATTTCACTTCTGCCTATGTTTTTTACTTTATAAAATTTAGTTTTTACTTAGTGTTAATCAAAAAGAAAAAAAAAGCTTTAGTTATCCTTTTTATTTTTGAAGAATTACGATCTGAATTTCGTATTAAGATAAATGAATACTCTAAGCTAATAATTCGTGGATTTTGTAATCTATCAAGCTTTATATGGTAAAAACAAATGAATAAAATTACTAATTATGTAAAGTAAACAAGAGTAGTATGTTATCTGTATTGTCGGGAAGTTAAATAGCCTGGGTTGTACCTGGCAAGTACCGCTTATGTACTCTCTCTCTCTCTCTCCCCTATGCTCTCGTCATAATCTTTTCATGTCCTCTCTCTCTTTCTCTCTGTATATATATATATATATAATCACTCTCTGTCTCTCTCTCTCTCACTCTTTTATTTTGAATTTTCTCTCTCTTCAAACCACCGGAGTAAGCAAAATGAAGCACCTTATCCGCCGCCTCTCTCGCGTCGCCGACTCCTCCTCCGAATTCTCCCTCCGCCGATCTGCCTCCTCCTTCCGCACACGACGCGGCCATCACCGTCCACACGCGCCGCCTCCGTGGTCGATTTGTCCGGCGAGACGAGTCAACACCGTCCCCGCCGGTCACGTCCCTGTCTACGTCGGCGAGGAGATGGAGAGGTTCGTGGTGAGCGCTGAGCTACTGAACCACCCGATCTTCGTCGGTTTGCTCAACAGATCCGCTCAGGAATACGGTTACGCACAGAAAGGAGTCCTCCACATCCCCTGCCACGTCGTCGTCTTCGAGCGCGTGGTGGAAACGCTCCGGTTTGGGTTTAACGAGCACGGCGAGGTTCAGGATCTCGTCGCTTCTTTGCTCTCCGGCGATGAGTTGATAACTGGAACTACAGAGTAGCTTTTGACATCATCCAATATCACATATTCTCCGACTTTTTCAATTTCTGTCTTTCTTGAAATTTCTCGGTTTTTTGTAAATATTTTATACTCCCTTAGTTTTTCTTCGTATTTCTTAGATTTTATCGATTGTTGCTCAGTCTCTGATTTAGCTTGTCGAGAAACAGAAATTACTTAAAGTTCAAAATTTCAAATCAAATCGAGATTGAAACTCCAGAAATTGATCTCCGACGACTCTGTTATCGAAACGCCTCTGTTTTTTTGGCCGCAAATAATTAATACTAGAACAAAACAAAAAAGCAAAAAGGAGAAAACAGAAGAAACGTGTGGGACGCACGTTTCATGTACCGTTTGGTTTAACAATCAAATTAACTCAATTTCGAAATTGCACGTTTTGGTTATACAAGTCATAAGTGTGTAACCTTTACCAAGAAGCGTACGAGTTGCTTCATTTATGAACAAACTAAGTAAGCTTATTCAACTTTTTAAGTTTTGGTCTACTGATTAAGCTTGGAGACCTCTTTGTTCTTTTGCAAATCTGTTTATCCTAAAATTAACGAGGCGTTACCGCAGAAAACGTGCTGTTTCCAGCAAACCTATCTCTTACTTTGTATGCTTGTATTTCAGTTGTGTTGTTTTATTAAGTTTGATATTAATACAGCTCTGCAAAGGATATATTCAGCATCCACAAAAAGAAAAGAAAAAAACGAAGATAATAATATTCCGCGAACCATTTACGACCAGAAGTGGACGAAATAGTAATAGTTGGACAAGCGACGGGTCAGTTTCGTCATTTAAATAAGAGTATGGATTTGTGTGCACCGTACGGATCCATCAGATAAAGTACCGAGAGAGTTGCAACAAAAAACGTCCTAAAATCCGTTGAAATTAAATAATAATTACACAAAGATACACAGAAATAATTTATTTTATACTACTAATATTTTTTATGTATATTGGCAATGTCGACATACACGTTACTTTTGGCGCCCACACTTTTTTATTTTTTTAACGTTTTATCACTATTCTTTTTATAGAGTTCAAATTTATCATGAACTTTTAAAAAAATTTAGTTAAAACTGTAATTCTGTTTCCAAAAAAAAAAAACGAAAACAAAAACTATAACTGAAACTGCCGTCGACATTCCTCTTACTTGGTTTTAAATTTAGAAGCTGACGAACACAAATCTTAGATTGAAGTTATGGCTGTAAATAAAGAACCAAGAAATTCTCAATAAGACACATTCTCTCAGTTGCATCTGTATTTAGTAATAAGCTGGGAAACATATCGCCTATTGGTATTTATAGGTTTGGATATTGTTTTTCCCTTCTATATAACCTAACCTTTTGGCTATTTGACACCGAAAGTTATAATTTAATAATATAAATGTCTCGACATTTGAATGGATAATCCACTAGCAATAGTACAAACAATATTTGTATATCTTAATAAATCATTGTAAAGAAAAATTATGAGAATTTCTCAACGACGATAATATAGCGGTTTGCTGTCCTTGTATATGCAACGAGGTAACATAATTATAACAAATAAATAATACAATGACGATAGTATAGCGGTTTATTTTGATTGTTCATGCAAGAGGTAACAGAATAAAAATATAGGTAAATGTTTTTCGTTTTTTAATGTCATTTTAAAAGTTAAACAGTATAGCGGTTTATTATCTGAACTTATATCCAATATTTAAAATCTAAAAAACAAAACAATTTGTTTTCAAAAGTATATGGTCAAACAAAAGTCCGTATAACAAATAGTGCTATAGAAAATACAGTGTCTATAGAATTATTCAGAATTATAAATAACCTCGTTTATAAATTATTATATGTTTATGCACATATAGTGTAAGTGTTGCGAGAAGCATTACACGGATCAGAAGTGAATGGTGTTGGACTATTTGTCGGAATACTGAGATCTACAATTTTCTCTAACAAGTACTATTTATAATTCAGTACGATTCAGTGATGTGGCGATCAGCAATTGGCTAGAAGGTTGATTTGGCAAATCTATGGCACATGTGTGCTTTCATTTCGTACGATGTTGGGGAAACTTAGTAAGTAACAGCTAACGAGATCGCAATAATATCGATGTATAATTATAAATAAATATATTATAGCATGAGTTGCAAGCAACCTTATATCCGTACACCAAACTTGTATGTATTTGATGGCCCAAACTTTGTATGTATATACACTCGTCATAATACTTACATTAATATGCAAACGATAAATATAATTAAACACGAGCTTAAATGAGTATATATGATTTCTCATAAAACATGTACAAATGGAAACACCAAAAAGGAAATTATTATGCTTACTATTTTGCCATCACTCTTTTAGTTTTAGTGACTCGCAAGAGAGGACTGAGGAGGTTATCAAATTGAAAACCACTTGACCGATCACAGATTCATGAGAAAAGTTTATAGGTTCAGTGCTTTCACAAGAATAAACAACGTGTTAGTCTTGGGCTGCGTTTGGATAATGCTATGATTCAGATGGGCCTTAATTACTCTCTAATCTAATTTTGGGGAAATTAAAAAAGTAACGTCATGTCATATTATATTCAGTTCTTCACACTTCTCTGAAATTTCCAGCTGATTAATGGTGTGTCGTCCTTTAAAGAACCTGAAGACTTGATACAGGATTATTCAATAGTTACGGGGTGAATAAGAAAAATTTCCTCAATGTTGTCGCCAAAAGAAATATTAGTTAACTGAGACTAAAGTACTATCGATGTGACTAGAAAAAATCTAACAGCTTTTTTCTAAATCGAATAATTGTTTGTACATATTTAACTTAGAAAACTGTAAAATGCCATCAGAAGTTCATCTCCTTTGGTAGATTGGGCTCCGATTGTCTGCCACAAGCAAAGATATTCCTAAATTACAATTCACTATTTGGCTGTTCACTCTAAATAGGAACCCGATGAAAAGATAGGAGCGTTGATCCACGATGCTTCTTATGCTCCACGCATCCGCGGAGACACAAAATTATATATATTCTTCACTTATCCCTATTCTCTTCATGTCTGGCTAACTTGCACTTTGAAACTCTCTACTATATATCAACGAACTTGTAAACATGTTCTCCTATGGTTAAAGAATTGATGGGTGAATATTGAATCGTACGAAGAAGTTTTTGTTCACTCTTTTGACAATCTACTGTCTATGAATTATGACGTAAAATAAATATAATCATCCACACAACTGCTAGACTCTCCTCTACCCAAATTTTAAAGAAAATTGATATCACTAGCTATCCGCAACATATCTTCCTCTACGACACATCTCTTCCCGTTGAAAGCTTATAATTAAGATCCTCCATGTTTGGTTTGAAGGATCTGCAATTCTACCTTTTGAGAACTACTAACTCAACTCCATATCGTAATTTGAATGTTTTGGTTTATGTCTTGTTGTTGTAAGACTCAGAGTTTTTGATCCAAAACGTTGTATGAAGATGGACTCACGGAGTTTAGAGTTTTCCTAAAGGATAGTACAAATTAGATATCATTATACTTCATCCGTTTCATAATAAGTGTCGTTTTAGATTTCATTTTTTGTTTCAAAAAGAATGTCATTCTGCATTTTCAATATAATTTTTTACTCTTATTTCATGTTTTACCTCTTATTAAAGATAATAGTTTTTGTAGTTAAATGTTATAAAAGTATATTAATTAGAGGTATATTTATATATTTTATTAATTTCTTAATCTGTGTGAAATGTGTCAGAATGACACTTATTATGAAGCAGAGGGAGTATTACTTATCTCAACAAAAATGTTGTAAGAGCATTAACTTTGTAGTTATTACTCTATTAATTTCACAATAAATGATGTTTTAATTCTTTTTTGTTTGTTTCACAATAAATACTCTACTGTTTAAGATTTTCATTGCGAATTTGACGAAAAATAATAATTTAACGTCAACTTCAATGAAAGTTTTTTCAAGAATCATCTTGTATCCCAAGGATAATTTATTTTCTAATATATTATATTAAGTTGTGTGAAAAATATGAAGACAAAACTTATTGTGAAACAGATGAAAGTAGAAATCAATATATGATTCATCTTCGCATCCGTATTGTAAAACGACGTGTAGCAAAATCGATACTAATGACTCTGCGATTGTCGATTACATCTATTTGAAATTTTGTTTACCCAATTGTCTTTTGTTTTCGATATAGTTTTGAACAAAAATGACTTGCCTTACACCAAACTTTGTAACAGTTGACTCATAAATAGACTAGAGATTTAATTGTTTGATAAAGACAAATACCAACCAAAACGTATAAGCTAGATCACTACCACCTTATACTCTATCAGGATGTGTTAAATGAAAAAGTTATTCGAGAAGATATTCAATTTAGATCTTACCAAAACCTCCCAAACAATGCAGACATTTTATATTGTTGAAACAGAACTGTTTTTTTGTTTTTTGGTGTGTGTGTGTGTGTGATAACCATAGGAATTTCGAATCAACATTTTATATATTTCGATGTGAAAAATAATCTACGGGGCACAAGAACACTAACCCCTTGCAGTAACAGTGTTCACAAATTATTAGACTTAGTTATTTATATAATTTCTTAAAATCCAAATATTTATTCTATGGAAAAATTAGGACTTTCTTTTCTGTAGACTTCTGCACTTTATGAAAACACATTAACATGAAAACGACTATCATTACAAATAAAACCCGAATGAAAAAAATGTATATATATGATATATATATATATATGTGTATGTGTATGTCCGTTCATGAACATGCATGATGCATCGTTGGCCTATGCAAGTGAAGTTAGGTCAGTGAAACTTTTTACCACTTAAGTTCTCATTTATTCGTCCGTTTTACTTACAGTCTACGCCTACAGTAAATAAATGCATCATAAATTCATATTTCATTGGGAAAAAAAGAAACAATAAATACACTTAGAATATTACTACCCCGGCACCAAAAAAGTGTATTTGAGTTTTTAATCAAATAAAATAATCAAAATAGATTTTTAAAGGCTTATATATAGCGTCTAACACTTTTACTATTTAAACGTAAGTACGTAACTATTTTATACGAGGATATTATTGTTTTTTAAATGGTTGAATAAACATAGTCATAATTTTTACAATATCGTAGATAAAAATATACTTATATATTGTCAACTAACTTTGAACTAATCCATGACTTTTGGGTTATCTCCTTTGACAAAAGAAAGAAGAGTGGGTTATCATTATTTAAGATGCGGAATAAATAGGAGTACAGTTGAATTAAATATATCATATTGCCCTAGTAAGTATAGTAATTATCGAATTAACATTTTGTTATTTCATTGTTAACTCTTAAAGTCTCTTTTAATAAGTTGATCTTTTAAATAAAACACCCATCTCTTCCTTCTCGCATTCAATCTCCTTTTCTATCCTTACAATTAAACTCCTGATTTATCTAGTATCATTTACAGAAAGTCGAGCCAAGAAAATAAAAAGATTAAACTATATATCCGAGAGTTTTTCAAATGGAAATGTTGAGATCAATCTTAGGCTTCTTGATGGCAGGCAAGGAAACAATGGAAAGACACCTCGGGCATTTCGGATTGTTCTTCATCACCAGCACGTACGATAAGCATCCTGGACATCCAGCCGCCACCGGAGACGCAGCGGCTGAAGCGTTTCGATCGCAAACGCCGTCGTCTGGAGATCGGCGTTTCTTGATCATCGCGGATGAATCTTTCTCGGCCCTCTCCAAAGCCGATTTCACCTTGTCGAGTGTGCAAACACTCTGGAAATTAGAATTCGCCGATGATACAGATAGATACGAGAGAGACGGGTTTGATGAAGAAGAAGAAGATGAAGACGATGAAGAAGAAGACGAGACTAGCTTCAGCTCTGTGCTTGTGTCGTCGAAGAGGCTTAACAATGGTTTCGCCGGAGATTTACCGGGAAATATCGGCGGGAAATTCAAATCTTGAAATCTCGGGACTGTGTGGTTTGGTTGGTCTGCGTGATGATGATGAGTCGATGTGGACGAGCTCGTTGAATTGCATTGTTGCATATACACTTTCCCTGACTGTTTAAAACAAAACAAAAATTCAATATTATGTCAAGAACTACAAAATATTACAATTCTTTGGCAAATTTTAGATACGAACTTTGAGGTCGAGACGCTTTTCCCAGCCGTTGGGGACATGGAGGTCAAGGTCAAGCTCCAGCGTCTGATCGTCTCCGCCGCAACCGCCGCTTCCGAGGAGATCTCGAGTCATGAGCGCCACCGTCGATCTCGGTCCGGCTGAACTCCTTACCGCCTTGCGATCTTCCTTGTACCTACTTAGTATCTGTACGAGAGAGGTGACCTCAGCAGCCATATCACGAAGCAGAAAGCAGAGAGAGAGAGAGAGAGAGAGAGAGAGAGAGAGAGAAAGAGAGAGAAAGAGAGAGAGAGAGAGAGAGAGATATCAGTTACGGGGTATGTAAGGCAGATAGTTATATAGATGGGGATAAAATCTAAGGTTAAAAAAAATATCAAGTTAACGAGGCCGGTTATAGCAATATTTAAAGCCAATACATTTAATTGTTTCATTTGTTATACTAAAACGAAATTGACAAGTTAAAAATTTTATTTGCATGAAAATTCTATTATGTTTTGGTATTTGTTTCCTCCACCGTGAAATATATTTAGCTTCTACGGTGTAATTCTGCATTCTACACCGTCATAATATGTAAAGTTATTTTACTTTTCACAAAATACATTATCTTAGAATCATATATATCATTATTTCACTTTTTTTTTTCTGTTCTTACAACATATTTTTTATCTTACATTTGAAAGATTGGTGAGTGGACCAATTCATGCCAATGTAAGCAAGGCTAGGTAGAAATGATTTCAAGGTTCTATAATTCACAACAAAATTGTTGTTTTTAATATTGTTTTAGACTCAACTCAACTACACTGCATTTAAAATGTTAATACTGAGTTCACTTCTCCAATTCAGTGTTTTTTTTACTCAACCTCTAAAATGCAACATCTTGGTAAAAATAAGCGAATTAAAAATAGAGTGTTTTTATTAGATGAATAAATAAATAATACTAGGGTGTGGAGGGAGGAATTCAATGAGGAAGCAGACACACAATGTAATAAATGCGGAGAAAAACGCATTAAGTGCGTGGAAACTCCAAGTAGAATCAGCTCTTCCATTAATTATCATTTACCCTCCTCCTCCTCTATACTTGTCATATTTCCAAAATCTTTTTTCTTTGTCAGATCATATTTCCAAATAGTAAGTTTATAGGTTTCATTTACTAACCACGAATCATAGCAAAATCAATTACAAATAAAGAAAATACTGTAACAGATTAGCCAGTAAAGATTTATTTTCAAAAACTCTTTCTCTTAACACTCTATGTAAATTTGTTTTTTGTTTTTTGTTTTGTTATCCTCTTCATGATACAAGTAGTGCATATTTTATCTACGTTACAATTTCAATTCTGAAAATTTTAGATAATAATTCTGTATTTATCGATTTGAAATTATTGAAATATTGATTACCATATACAGTAAGAAATAAAAAATAATCACGCATTGATGAATGCTATATTTAATGCAGTTTCGTTTATTTTGTATCGGACACGTCAATGATATTTAATGAAGTATGTATTGGTACGAATGTGGTATTTAGAGAAAACCAGCACTAGTATTATAATTTGTGACCAATAGCTAATTAGCTATTATGAGGTCTTGACTTTTCGAAAATCTTCTCATAAGCAAATAAAATTAAAATATTTTTAAACATCTCCAAAATATCATAGAACGTAGAACGTAAAATGTAGTCATGAAAGTACTCATTTACTCCCCAATAATATCATTGTGTATTAATTTTCAATTTTCCTACCTATATTCTTTTTGTTGTAGCATACAGCATACAAATCAACAACATTTTTTGAGAGAATATTTATGCGATTAATTAATTATATAAACTTGATGACATAAGACAATACTATGTCACGTTGGGGCACGAGCCAAGTATGGCGTGGTTTTTCGTCGGATGTTGTGGCAACGAACTATTTTGTTCATCCAACTAATCGACCTTTAATTATGCGTTTGAAATGCGTACTTTATACTAGCATCTCTTTTTTATTCAATCGAAAAATGTGCTCCGCAAGCAAGAAAAAACAACACATAGGTACAATTACTGTACCATGAATACTTGCTAATCAGTAAAACCACTCTGCAATTAAATGCGCATAGGTATTTACGATTTGACAAACTATTTTATTGGTTTGATAGTATATAAAAATAAAGTAAAATAGCGAAAAAGTACTCCCCTTAACGGAGTATATATGAGATTATTATCTAAATGGAGTTTGCAGGGGGGGGGGGGGAACGAGAGGAAGGTCTAAGCATTCAAGAGCTTTGTAATTACCTTGAAAACGTTAAAATAAATAACTAGGTAAAAGCCTAAAATGCGAGGAAGTGATGATTCTCACGGACTCACGACACCAGCACAATTAAAGCTCTTTCATTTTTAACACACACAGACATTGTTAGAAATGAGTTTATTTTCTGAGATATGGCCAGCTTTTTGGTAAAATAAGTGATGAATGTTACCATTTTTCAAATATCATGACTCACGAATATTTTATCTGATAACACGTTACTATTATACATAACATGGCGTTTTTAAGTCATGCGGTAAATACATTACTTATTTACATTTTACCTGAAAGTTGCCTAAAAGTAGGCTATGTCAACAAATAATGAAATAAATCATAAAGAAATAAATACTCACTATGGTTCGTATAATTTTGTTCTTTTTCAATTTTCACATAAATGATGACATCTTTTGTTTATGCATTCCTTTATAAATAATTTTTCTTCTAACTAAGAAAACCGATAGTATATTCAATTTATTTTAAGTACCCTTCATGCATTTTTCTGAATTTTACATGTTATTAACACTAGTTAATATATAGATAAAAAACAATATCATGAAGAAAAAAAAAGTCTACATGAAAGGGAGAGGGTGTTAAGTTAGAGTAGTTGTTGGAACAAATGAAGCATTCCACCAAAAAATATTAACTTTGAAATTTGGGAGTTACTCCTAAGTCCTAGCTACTCCTAACTACACGGCTAGCCCTAAATGTGTATAGGGTGACCCATATTACAATGTAGGAGTATGAATTAAATTGGACATATATTTATTAGTGGTAGCTAGCGAGACTGGTCTTGGGATTTGAATGCATTTAAATGCGAGATCGGTAAGGGTTATTAATACGGAAATTAAATGGCACTCACCTTTTTGTAATGATAATAGTATGTCTTTTTTTAAGCTTTAGTTGTTACAAAATGCATCTGAAAACCTTAAATTCCGAGGCCATAAAGAAGTTGGAGCAGTCTGAGATCGGATTCTCCACCACCAACTAACTTTTCAATATTTATTTATTTATTTATTTTTGTTATTTTGAAATGCTCAATGTTCCTTCACCAAAATTTTGTTGACCTTTAGATGTCTAGACTCTGCTGTAGAAATGTATGGTTGGCTGTATTATACAATCAAAGAGAAGTGAAACAAATTTTAATATTAGAGAAATTTCGTTGACCTTTTCGAACAGGGGTTTCAAGTATCGTAGGTTCTTATTTTTTGGGTATGATGTATCGTCGGTTTTGTAATAGTGGAGTATTATTTTTTTTTGGTGTCGTTCGACCAAAAATGTATATATAGAGGCATAGAGCTCCATTATTTTGGGTTGAAAATTGACACGTTTTTAAATAGAGACAAAACAATAATTTAGTAGCTTCTCAGTTATTACGTAGTATATATAATAAACTAACCAAACCCTTTCTCAAGAAAAGTAAAAAAATTAATAAAAAGAAACAATTGAAAATAATAAACTGACTCCATAACTGGTAGACGTATTAGTAGAAAGTATTAACATCGACTGAAAACACGACACACTCGTAGTTTTCGAGAGTTGGGCTGAGACAGCAAAGGCCTATAGAGCGTATCTTAAGCCCATATAGTGGAAAACCTAGAAACACAACCTAACTATATAAGGGTTTCACTACAAAAAAAAACATCATAATACATCATTTATTTTATTTATTGTATTATTTATAACTGATGCAGAAGAATTTTACATCATTTAAAAAAATGATTCTGAAAGTGGTGATGCAAATACTTTATATCAGTTCTTTAATAACTGATGTAAATATTTTAAATATTTACATCAATTAGAATAATTGATATTAATATATATCAATTGTTTTAAGTGATATTAAATTTTACATCAGTTATTATAAATGATATTAATATTTGTATCAATTATTTGTTAAAAATGCTATTTTGGTATAAATTTTAATTTATTTTAAAAATTTATATAAAATCCCTTTTGTTTTTTTTATTAATATAAATATATTTTGTGAACTCTCATACAATAATTAACTAGAATTATTATTAAAAATATTTTTTTTTATTTCGAAGATTTTGGTTGAAGTTAATAAAATCATATGATTATTAACAATGATGAGTTTATTTTATAGAGGAGTAATTCTCTCCTCTCAAGTTCTCCTAACCGATGTGGGACAGATAAGTTTTGACCAAATTAAATTAAATATATTAATTGTTTAATTCAGTTCTTTGTTGGCATCACTTTTTAATTGCTACAAAATTTGCATTATTTTATTCAAGTGATGTTAATATATACATCAATTATCTAATGATGTAAAATTTGGTTTTGTATCAATATTGTTCAAGTGATGTGATTTAAAATAAATTAGTATCAGTTTTATGCAATCGATGCCATATAAACTAATAATAACATCATTTGTATTAACTGATGTTAATACTGTATAATTTATGTCACTTGTAAATAAATGACTCTAATTAGTATCAATTATTTTTCTGATATAATTTATTTGATGCTATCAACACTTTTTTTGTAGTGTTTATTCTATACGAAAAAGTCCAAATTTCAATTTTCACAGGATATGATTTTTTTTTTAAATCACAGGATATAATTTTTTTAGAAATTAATAGAGGTAAAATTGTCATTGTAGTAGTTTTCATAATTTGTATCAGGATTAACGAAAAACCTTATGGTATCCACATAGAAGCTAGATATACATCAAATTTCAAAACCAAAATATTTTACAAATTCTATTTTTTAATCTAAGATTTCTCATGTTTTTTTGAATATTATAATTATGTACCACTAATAATAACATACTTTTTTCAAGTTTTTAGTATGACATATTTTGTATATATACATATGTTTTAGAAGACAATATATAAAATAAATAGTGATGATGTCTTCGTAAATTAGTGGTGCGTCATGCACATGTAATATGATCGATCGTCTAATTCTTTGTCATTCCACCACTAACTTTTTTTGTTTACTAGTTCATAAGTCCTGTGTTTGGACCTTATGACTTATGAGTGATTAGTTAGGTAGTATCATGACTCAATGAAAAAGCCATCACTAAGCAAATCTTCTACCAACCAATAGGTAGTATCATGACTCAATGAAAAAGCCATCACTAAGCAAATCTTCTACCAACCAACTCATATATAATTTCAAAATTATAATTTATATATAATTCCAAGAGTAGGTGCCCTATAGTGGGGTTACGTTATAATTATTCCATCATTGTTTTCAATTCATCTAACACATCGTCATCTGACGATTAGGTTACTTTAATCAACTATCCTTTTGTTTTTATTTTGTTTTGTTCAGTCCTATATAATTAACTAAGTAACACCTGACTCAGCATATCCAATTCTAAACTTATATATTTTAAGAAATTCTGAGTTAATCATTTGTTATATATATATATATATATATAATTATTATCATTACATATTTTATGTTGAGACGTAATGTAGGTTGTCATTTATCAACTCAGAAATTCAAAAACATGAACATTGCGCATCCTTTTTGATCAACTATATATTTTTGGTATATATAGTATTGAGCATGTGCTATCTCTTAGATTATTTTAAATTTATAAGATCGAACGCGACGTGCCAAAATCATATCAAACAATGCGTGCAGGCATTCTTTGCTTATTATTACAACATAAATGGGTACGTTCAAATAGTTTGTAGTTGGGTTCCGATGTGAACACACATACTGACATACACATAACTTGTTTTATTAGTCATTAGACCATTATTTAAAATAATGTCAGTAAATAAGATTTTGACGTCGAATGATTGAGAGTTGAGACCAATACGAATTGTTTTGTACTGCTTTTTTTTTTTTGTTCGTAGAGCTGATTTTATTTATTGGACAGAAGACAAACAAAATATACAATAAAACATCTATAAAATAATATATCAATAAATTAATAAGATTTTCCAGTTAGTTTATCAACCAAATTAAAACATGTTCGATACTTATTAGGTTTTTGATTTTTCTTTAGCAAAAAGAAATAAATAAAGAAAATCATAATCCAACATTATTTTGACTATGCATTTCTTCTGTTTTTGCCACAGAACTATTTTGTTTGGCAAGATCTTGTTTATTTGCTACCAAAGTATGAACATTAGTGTCTCCTCACCAATCTAATGCATACTCTATTTATATTTTCTTAAACATTTTTTTACTTATAAAATGAAGGGAAAAGGTACAGCCAGTCCTCATATTATATGGATCAGTTACCTCATTTTCAGAGGAGACTCATCTTCTAATTTTATTGTGGTAAATGTAATATTTATTTTATGTTGTATATCATGAATATTTCACTCGTGGTGTATGTTAGCATTTGGTTTATACATACTTTCTGTTAGTAAGCTTATGTTAGCATACTGAGAATATCTTGTATATAAACCAAACTATATATAATATACAGTTGCAAACTTATAATTAATGAGAAATTACTTCATATTTTGTCTCGTCTCTCTCCTTGTTACGTTTGATATGTTGTAGGGAAACAAAAAGGTTATGATCAATTAGAAGATATGGCTGGGGTATTCGGTATATTCAAAGCCTCAAAGGAACGGTGCGATATCAAACCATTGATTTAAATCCGGCTTAGATGAAATACCAAACAGTGCATTTGAACCCTGTTTAGAACCCTGTTTTTTTAAAAAACATTGAACAAAATAAGCCTAAAGCTGAATATGTATATATCATATAAGCAATGTTTTTTTTAAAAAAAATTTGTGCACAGTACCCAACTTTTAGTTGAGCCGAACCTGCATTGAATAGTGGATTTAATAGTTAAACAATAATCTACTTTCAATTAAGTGATTTTATACATTTTGACATTGAAATATTTGGCATGCCACATTTCTTCAGCGTATATTTTTCTTTTTTTGCAGTACCATACAACCGCAATAAGCCAATAAGACAGGTTTTTTTTTTTTTTTTTTTTCTTATAGCGGTAAGACAGTTCTCAAACCAATTCTTGTTATTGTGCATGCATTATTGATTATACGTTCAAGATTCCTCATCACTAGCGGTACAATTTTTTTTTTCAAAGAGATTGTGTATTACATCTCTTCTTTTTTTGTTTCGAACTTTTCAATCAACACCTTAATAAACAAATGTTAGACTACTATTTCATTGAACTTGTGGTATGCTACTTCTTAATGAAATGGGCAGCTGAACCAAATTGTAGAGTAAAAAAGAGGCGTGGCAATAGCAACACGTATGCTCATCATGCAAATTCCAATCTTTTTCAGTTATTTAATTTTTGTTCCTTCTGCTCGTTATGATTGGGATATTTCAACTTTCTACCACTTTTTCAACTTAGTTTACTAAAATTTCTCTTTCATTGAACCTAATTGATTCAAGTTAAAATAACATTTTCGTAAGTTGTTCACCAAACAAATGAAACCTAACTATGACTATAAATTTAATTATAACTTAGAAATATACTCTAATGCTCTTTTTTTTTCTTTGATAATCAGGGTCAGATACAGATTTTTACCATTCATTAAGTTTCTAAAGTGAGTTTAACCGTTTTGAGTAACTTACTTATAAGATTTTTAATAGGTAAAAAACATCATACTATTTCGTTTGGACAAATAAAAATAAGTAATTAATTCAACTCTTAAGAAGAATCGATTTAGACTTACAATAACGACTCCGCAAATGCGAACTAGTAACACTGCTACCTGGTTAATTAATCTACTACTATTTTCAAATACGTATTTATTACTAGACAATTTAATTATCATTACATTTAATCCATTAATTTTAATTGATATTTTGGTCAAAGATTTAATATTTATATTTATTTTGTTGTTGTTGTCCTTGCGAAGAAAAATAAATATACGATGTCATATCTTGTTCGGAATTATAACTACGTATATTGTTAATGGAAGCATGGTTTGGGTAATATCTTGTTCGGTATTGACTCAATCAATGAAATAAGTATAAATCATAACCTCACTACTGATATGGACTCTTAAAACCCACCCCTATCTGTGGGAGATGAAATAAACTGTAAGTTGAAAAGTAAACGATTGATTGGAATATGTTTATATTTATATAAATATTATATATATAAAAAAAAGAATATGTTTATACTGATGAATATTTTTCACAATATAATTTAACGGTACATTTCTTAATATGAGACGACAGTCTAATTGTGATAGCATCCTTGCGTCTTGTTTGGTGGATGACTTAAACTATAGAGAGAAAAAATTATAAGTCAAGCTTTATTCTATGAATTATCCATTTATCAAAACCTTTTCTTTGTACGTTTTTCAAAAGTTGGTATAGCCATATATAGAAAAATTGCTATGGCCCTTTCTGATTTGATTTAGACATATAAATTTAGTCAAATTTTAAAGTCTACAATAAGGTAATGTTAACTAATACGTTGTGAAAGTTGCGCAAGTTTGCAGCCGTACAAACTTAATCAAAATTTGTTTAAAACAAATAGTATAATCACAAGGATAAATCTAATTTGGTAAAGATGGATTCATCTTATCGATTTTGTCAGAGGCCTTTTTTATGTTTCAGATTTTTTTTTTAAAAAAAGTGAGACTCAATACTTTAGTTTCAAACATATGTTTCATTTCATGTATGTTTCAAAGTGAGATGGTATTTCCAAAATAGTTATTATTTACGTATTTCTGAGATATATAAAAGGGAAGATACAATTTAAAAAGATGGATATTATGCCAGATACTCACCCACAATATAGACAAGTTTTTAACTTAAACAAATCTGATTTGACAATTGTCGTTGTCTTTTGTTTATAACATGTTTCTCATTGTCAGGATCACAAACCACTTTCCTTTGTATAAATACACATACAGGTCCAATTAGATTTGGTAACAAGGAATCTCAAAAGTGTGTCTGTGAGAGAGAGAGAGAGAGAGAGAGAGAGAGAGAGAGAGGGGGAGAGAGAGGAGAGAGAATGGGCAAAGGAAGAGCGCCATGTTGTGACAAAACCAAAGTGAAGAGGGGACCATGGAGCCAAGATGAAGACTTGAAACTCATCTCTTTCATTCACAAGTATGGTCACGAGAACTGGAGATCTCTTCCCAAACAAGCTGGTAATGTTTCTGATCTTAAAAGCCTCCTCCTTTAAGCTTTTCTTAGTCTTCTGGTTCTGAATTCTCTGTGTCTATCTATCTATGCATGCAAATGAAGGATTGTTGAGGTGTGGCAAGAGTTGTCGTCTTCGATGGATCAATTACCTCAGACCTGATGTGAAACGTGGCAATTTCAGCGCAGAGGAAGAAGAAACCATCATTAAACTCCACCAGAGCTTTGGGAACAAGTATGATGTGTTATCTTGTTAATAATCCCTTGTGTGGCTCAGAGTTCCGATTTTGACAATAGCTTTTTTTTTCGCATTTTGGATTCAGGTGGTCGAAGATTGCTTCTAAACTGCCAGGAAGAACAGACAATGAGATCAAAAATGTGTGGCATACTCATCTCAAGAAAAGATTGAGCTCGGACACTAACCATAATGCCAATGATGAAGCGGCTACAAAAGGTTCTTTGAATGAAGAAGAGACCTCTCAAGAGTCATCGCCTAATGCTTCTATGTCTTTTGGTGGTTCCAACACTTCAAGTAAAGAAGATGATGTACAGATGGCTCAAACGTTTGAGTATTTTCAAGATTGTATCGAATTTACGGGGATATTACAAGAGGTAGACAAACCAGAGCTGCTGGAGATACCTTTTGATCTAGATCCTGACGTTTGGAGCTTCATAGATGGTTCAGATTCATTCCAACAACCTGAGAACAGTTGGAGTCCAAGGGCTCACCAAGAATCTGAAGAAGATGAAGTTGAGAAATGGTTCAAGCACCTGGAAAGCGAACTCGGATTAGAAGAAAACGATAGCCAACAACAACAGCATAATGAAGGCAAAGAACCATCATCATCATCATCACTCTTGGAGAGTTACGAACTCCTGATACATTAGTAAAGCCATAAGAAACTTTATTTACTGATTATCCTTATTGAAAATCTACAAAGAGAGCTAAATTCTTGTCATTTTCAGTAGATACACAAGATCAGCTAGGCCCATGTAGTACTAGTAGCGATAGTAGAAATGTAACAGGACGTATATATTACAGAGCGTTAAGAGATTTCCAGCAAAAGACTCTGTATTTGCAAAAGATTGCTTTGTAGTGAAACCAAAGTTACATGCTTTGGGATGTAATAATCCCTATCAGGTTACAACCATCCAAAAATAGAAGCTGACAGAGATTGAGAAAGATTAATTGTTTTATTGTCTTCGAAATTGAGTCAGCAGCTAAGCTTCCTTAATTCGAACAAACAAAGAGGTCTCGAGTCCTTTTCCAAGATAGATGAAGTTTTACTCTCACTTGTGTACCAATCATATCTCCAGCCAAGAAAGTAAAACTTGAAGAAAAGAAAAGATTTTTGTGGGTTTTTTTTTTCGGTATAACAGAGGAAGTCACCATAACACGTTTTTTTTTTGTTTGTTCGTGATGAAAATGTTTAACATTGAAAGCTTTAAAGGTTTAGCGCTTTCACATAATACCATGTGGGATTCTGATGAACACATCGATTGAATCACTCTCACAGTTGCAAATCCGTGACACCATCTTGAGATTAATGTCTCCTCAAAACCGTTTAACAACCATTAAATAAATGCTAGATTATATCTTAAACACAAAGTGAAACAACAAAGAAGTGAACTTTTCAACTTGATCTTGAGACAAGAAAGTAGATTGCTTTGGAGATTAAAAGAATTTTCATGATTGATAGAAATTGAGAGAAGACGATTGATTGATTACACACACCTGTTTGATACTATAGATTCGGTCTGCGTGACTCGCGGATAAAAGATGATCTTAACATATTTCGTTGAACCTAATAAGGTTTTTAGTAGTTTAAGTTTCTGATATAGAGCAGTCCTTTTTTTTTTTGTCTGCGTTTCTCTTTCAAATCGTTTGAAGTCTCCGGTACCACAAACAAATTAGCGCTGGCCAATTGTCACCGGAAAGTCCTGTCTTTTCAGGGCGGCGAATATCAACGATTAGTAAGCAATTTATCCTCCCGCCATTTCAAGACGCGGAGATTCTCGGCTTTGCAATGTTTGAAAACGGTGGAAGTAGAAAGAAAAAAAGTTACCGATGGATGTTTCTCGCTCTCAGACCATTGGAACCCGGAATTATCTTCTTTTCATCGGAATGGTTTCTCTCAGATCAGTAGAGAAATTACTGGAAGAGCTTTACATGCGCTTTGTGTCAAGGGACTGGTTCCTCTAGATGTTCTGCACACCAACACTATGATAAACATGTACACGAAGTTTGGCCGAGTCAAACCCGCGCGCTACCTGTTCGACGAAATGCCTGTGAGAAATGAAGCTTCTTGGAATACCATGATGTCCGGGCTTGTCCGTGTTGGATTGTACGAGGAAGCTGTGGATTTTTTCCGGAAAATGTGTGATCTTGGGATTAAGACAAGTAGCTTTGTGATTGCCAGTTTAGTAACTGCTTGTGGTCGATCAGGTTCTATGTTAAGTGAAGGGGTTCAAGTTCACGGCTTTGTGGCTAAGTCTGGTTTTCTGTCTGATGTCTTCGTGGGTACTGCTATTTTGCATCTCTATGGGGTTTATGGATTGGTTTCGTGTTCAAGGAAGGTCTTTGAGGAGATGCCTGATCGAAATGTGGTGTCTTGGACTTCACTGATGGTTGGTTACTCGGATAAGGGCGAGCCAGAGGAAGTCATCGGTATTTATAAAGGTATGCGAGTAGAAGGAGTCGAGTTTAATGAACATTCCATGTCTTTGGTTATCAGTTCTTGCGGATTGCTTAAAGATGAATCCTTGGGCCATCAAATTATCGGACATGTTATCAAATCAGGACTGAAGAGCAAGCTGGCAGTGGAGAATTCGCTTGTATCCATGTTTGGTAATCTTGGAAATATAGACTATGCAAAGTACATTTTTGATCACATGTCAGAACGTGACACAATATCATGGAATTCAATTGCTGCGGCATATGCTCAAAATGGTCACTGTGAGGAATCATTTTGGGTTTTCCATTTGATGCGTCATTTTCATGATGAAGTGAACTCCACCACTGTGTCTACTCTTTTATCAGTTTTGGACCATGTCGATCACCAAAAATGGGGTAGTGGAATTCATGGTTTGGTGATCAAAATGGGATTTGATTCAGTTGTGTGTGTGTGCAATACTCTTTTAAGAATGTACTCAGGCGCTGGAAGATCAGAAGAGGCAGAGTTGGTGTTCAAAGAAATGCCGGCTAAAGATTTGATCTCATGGAACTCTTTGATGGCTTGTTTTGTCGAGGATGGGAGGAGCGTAGATGCTTTAGGGCTTCTCTGTTCAATGATAAGGACTGGAAAATCAGTGAGCTATGTGAGTTTTACAAGCGCATTGGCTGCTTGCTTTAGTCTTGAATTACTCGATAAGGGCAGGATCCTTCATGGGCTTGTAGTGGTCACCGGTTTATTTGACAATCAGATTATTGGTAATGCATTGGTTTCTATGTACGGAAAGATAGGCGAGATGAGCGAAGCCAGACGGGTACTACTACAGATGCCTAGACGAGATGAAGTAGCTTGGAATGCTCTTATTGGTGGTTATGCTGAGCATGAAGATCCCAACAAGGCACTGACGGCGTTTCGAACTATGCGAGCGGAAGGTGTTCCTGCAAATTATATCACCATGGTAAGTGTTCTTGGTTCTTGCTTAATGCCCGGTGTGTTGCTTGAACATGGGAAGCCATTACACGCCTATATAGTTTCTGCTGGATTTGAATCGGATGTACACGTGAAAAACTCGCTTATCACTATGTATGCGAAATGTGGTGATCTAAGCTCGAGTCAGGACTTATTCAACAGATTAGATGATAGGAATGTCATCACGTGGAATGCTATGCTTGCGGCAAATGCTCATCACGGTCATGGAGAAGAGGTGCTAAAACTTGTATCAAAGATGAGAAGCTTTGGATTGAATCTAGACGAGTTTAGTTTCACTGAGGGTCTTTCTGCTGCTGCGAAGCTAGCGGTCCTAGAGGAAGGCCAACAACTCCATGGTTTAGCTGTAAAACTCGGGTTTGAACAAGATTGTTTCATCCTTAACGCTGCTGCAGACATGTATAACAAATGCGGGGAAATAGGTGAAGTGGTGAAAATGCTTCCTCCATCAATCAATCGATCACTCCCATCGTGGAACATACTTATATCAGCTTATGGAAGACACGGCTACTTCGAGAAAGTGTGTGAGACTTTCCATGAAATGCTCGAAATGGGAATCAAGCCAGGTCACGTCACATTTGTCTCTCTTCTAATAGCATGTAGCCATGGAGGATTAGTAGACCAAGGCCTTGCGTATTACGACATGATTACTAGAGATTTCGGTATAAAACCGGCGATTGAACATTGCGTTTGTGTAATTGATCTTCTTGGAAGATCAGGGAGGTTAGCCGAAGCTGAAACCTTTATATCTAAAATGCCAGTGAAACCAAACGACCTCGTGTGGCGTAGTTTGTTAGGTTCCTGCAAAATTCACGGGGATTTGGACCGTGGGAGAAAAGCAGCAGAACATCTCACGAAGCTAGAACCAGAGGATGATTCTGTTTACGTCTTGTCTTCAAATATGTTTGCAACAACAGGTAGGTGGGAAGATGTAGAGAGTGTGAGAAAGGAAATGGATTTGAAGAACATCAAGAAGAAACAAGCTTGCAGTTGGGTGAAACTAAAAGACAAAGTGAGTACGTTTGGCATTGGAGACAGAACTCACCCGCAAACATTGGAGATATACGCGAAGCTAGAAGACATCAAGAAGCTGATCAAAGAATCTGGGTATGTACCGGATACAAGCCAAGCGTTGCAAGACACAGATGAAGAACAAAAAGAGCACAGTCTTTGGAATCATAGCGAAAGACTCGCTCTTGCTTACGCGTTGATGAGTACTCCTGAAGGTTCTACAGTTAGAATCTTTAAGAACCTTCGCATCTGCGGTGATTGTCACTCTGTTTACAAGTTTGTTAGTAGAGTCACAGGACGTAGAATCGTGTTGAGAGATCAGTATCGGTTTCACCATTTTGAGAGTGGCGTGTGTTCTTGTAAGGATTATTGGTGAAAGAAGACGCTCGATCACAACTCTGTACAGCATAGCTCACAAAAGTTTCATTCTAGGATTCTTTGGTTAAGGTTTTGGGATTCCATAGTTTTGTAAGCATTACTGCGTCGAATTTGATTTTTCTTCGAAAGGATGCATGATTCTGTTTTGTAGACCGTTACTACGCTGAAAGGAATGGAACGAAATTAGTTGTAGAATTTGCAATTTTCTCGACTGTTGGTGAAAGTGGATGTGTGACCAATCCAACGACTGATAGGAACTAAGAAGAGACTACTAGAGAAACTTCGCCGAGTGAAAAAACAGATTTCATTAGTTAGTGAATCATAAGAAAGACGTTCAGCTTGAGTATAGCAACAAACTATTTAAAGATCCAAAGTTTTACAGAAAAAAAATAACTCTTTAAACGCCAGGAAAATCCGGTCTTAAACGCATATGCGGGAAGTTACTCGACTTCAGCAAGGTAATCATCGATCTCTGCTGGTGTTAGTACCCTGCATTAACCCCAGAAAATCAATCGAGTATTAACAACATTTTATTCAAACATCAGCAGCGGCAATAAAGATTCTTAGTTTAGAACAAAAAAGGTACCTGAAAACTTTGTCAGCACCAATTTTGCCAATCTCAATATTTTTGCTTGAGATCTCTCCTTCAAAGCTATCAAACAAAAAAAAGACATTAAGGCTTTCAGGTTTTTCAGCAGAGTGTAAGAAGACTAAGCTACATATGTTATATGTGTGTACTCGAAACAGCTTAAGGTTTACTACAAGACTAACTACAATGCTTTATGATCTTATGCTTTCATTCTATGAGACAGTTATATGGATTGCGAAATCTAATAGCCAAAAGACTAGGAACTTTTTTTACTAAATCAAGAGACCTTAAATCCGTAGATTGGTGGTACTTACCCTTCTTTCAATGTCAGTATCGCTGTGTGAATGGCATCGTCGAGTTCCATGTCTTCGGTATACCTGCAAGGAATTTGTGGTTTGTTAAGGTTGGCCAGCGAAAGAAGAGTGGTCTCCTTACGACAGAAGCCCATACTAACAAAATTAGAGTGATCAAACTAAGTTCCAATATCAGTTAACTAACAAAATTTGGAATTTATAGAATGCTCCGCGTGTTTTACCATCTTTGGATATCAACAAATAGTAAACGATTACCTTTTCTCAAGGAATGTTTTTGCATTAGAAACGTTCTTCCCCATGGCTGAAGCTTTCCAGGAGAAATAAGAGCCAGATGGATCCACCTAACGAAAAAAAAAGTATCACGTTACACTTTGAGTACGGAAAAATAAAGCAAAATGAGATGGTAACAGGATGGTGGAAGAAGGTAAAATACTCGGCTACAAGATTTGCTAAGTTGACTGTTTTTTAGAGCTAAAAACACTGGAAACTGAGCTAAGAAAATTTGGAGACTCGTTTGTGGTCAATCAACCGATACATATCTAAGGAGGAATTACCTGATACAGTTGTGGACCCTTGTCGTCATATCCAGCCACCAGCAGAGAAACCCCAAAAGGCCTAACACCACTATTACAAAACAAGGTAAGAAATTAGACACAGGAAAATATGATCTACGCTATGGGAACAATTTGCCTTTCTCAACAAAAAACTTCAGTTCAGTTCAGACATATTAGAAATATGGGAGAAGATAAAATCTGATAGATGTGAATGAAACAATTTAAACTGAATATCTAGTACTTACCCTGATTGAGTAAACTCTTGCATAACAGTAGCGGTTTCCCTTACAAGTTGGGTAACAGGGATAGGTTCCTGCAACAGTAAACTTCCTTAGATGATAAAACAACATAATTGACCCGAAAAAAAACACTTATGACAGAAAGAAAACACACAAAGATTCCAAGAAAGTTTAAGAATCGGAACTGTATCAAAAAGGGAGATATAATTACTTTGTATAGTCGGAGATATTGCTCAGCCTGTTTCCTGCTCTTCCTAACAAGAACTCGGAAATCAGGACCCATGCCACTTCATAGAAGGAGATACAAAAGGTTAGTACTCATGCTATAACACCAAAAACAGCAGCAAAAAAAATCTAAGGATAGCTGAGGAGAAAACCTGTATACAACTCCAATGTTAGGAGTCAAATGCTGAATTTTTTGAACCTGAAACACTCGGAAGAAAAAAATTTAATGCCAGATAACAATATAGGTTAGCGCCAGAAGCATGGATATCGGCTAATGATACAAAAAAATATCATCTATTTCAAGAGAAAATCAGAGGCATGTTAGACTGCTAGTTTATGATTAAGTAGGGAAATTATCAACTTACAGATGCTTCATCAACCAGAATAGAAGGCAATTTCTTTTCTGTTGCAATGACAACTCCATTAGAAGCTGCAGTAAGAAACCAGTTACAATCTAAAAGTTCCAAAGAAATCTACAATTATTCTTTGATCTATTAGCAATCCATCATGTCATTGACAAACCTTTGATCCCCAAAGATGTTTGGCCGGATCCAACAGCTGTAAGGGCATGTTCTATCTGAACTAGCTTCCCAGATGGACTGTCTCATACCCACAACACAAATTAGCCACAGACAAAAGTAATCGAATTGCTAGGAAGTTATGTACTTTAATGATTAACGAATTTCGTACCTGAAAGTTGTCAGAGAAAACGAGTACTGACTGTCTCCCATTAATTTGAGCTTAAGCAAATCCGCAAAAAAACTGGAAAACACATACAAAAGGAGGATCAATCTTGTAGCAATATTTCCCTAAGTAAAACCAAGTGGAGATCAATTTCAGGGCTCTTGGAAGCAGGAACGGTTCTAAGGCTCTAGGGTTTCAATGTCACCGGGATCAACTCAACTCAACGACTTAGGTTCCATTATCGTAAAACAACAGTCTTTAAAACAGTACAATAGAACGGGAATAACGAGATCGATTCGAACTCTTAAAAAAGGAACAACCACTGAGAAGGAAATTGCTTTACCTTAGCTTTGATATCGAGATCGAATGAGCGAAGAGAGATGAAAGATATCGCTTTTAAGTTTCTTGCAGAGAAGGTTGAAGTGAGAATTTTACGAAGAAGAAAGGAAGGGGGAAGAGGGAGGAAGAAAACGACAGCGTTTAGGTAAATGAACAGAGTAAACAAAAAACGATGACGTTTTAACAAAGAGATCGCAAACGCTAATAGAGTAAGAAATCGCGTTTTGTGTAACCAGACACGCCCGAGTCGCCCGCAACACTCCTGATCTGCTAGGAACAAATTTGGCAGAAGCAGAGCAACGTTGAGAACAAAGCTTGAAAATTTGCGAGCTTTAAACTCAAAATCCAATCTGTGCATGGTATTGAGGTGATATGGCTTCGACCCTTTTCTCCAGAACTTTATTGGTTGCTGGTCACTGCGTGATTAATCCCTCTCTAACTTCTATGCTTCCGCAGAAGACTTGTACTTTCGCAACCATCTTGAATGTAAGTTGTAACCAATTCTATTTTCGATTGTCTCTCACTACACCTAGGTATTCGTTTGATCGTTGTTTCATTTCTAGTTTCTACTCGTTCATCGAGTAAGTGAGTTTCTGGTTTTCCCCGGTGGTATATTATTTGTATAATTTGCCTACTTCTTGTAATGGGCTCTTGAGCTTGAAAAAGGTTTCGCGTGTGGAATTTGGGTTTGGAATCATCGTTATCTGTGTAGATATGTCTGTGTCAATCGGTGTTCTTCTCTCACTTGTTTAATCCACTATATTCAGTTGTGTAATTCTAAGATTTTAATCTGAAATTATGGACTTCGACTGCCTTCACTGTGATTTCTGGTGAGCTTCATTGCATAGAATGAATATTGTTGTTTGTTTTTGCCTGATTAACTTGTTCGGTAGTTATAAGCAAACGTATATAAATGCTCTCTTTTGCATTGTGACCCTTTGAGCATCTTCCCTTTCTTTTATAGAATCAGGTTTGAAAATGGTTTTTCTTTTAATGTTGTTCTTTTGTGGCGTTTTGTAACGATGATTATTACAGAAGAGAGTATTCAATCAACAGTTACCCTCTGCCGCCTATTCAGCTTATAAATCATCTACTTACGTTGGTCGAGTTATGGCTTCTACTCGAGTTGGGCCTAAAGCTGGTTACTCTACATCATCCGTATCTTCCAATGAACCTGTTGTTTCTGTTGATTGGCTCCACTCTAATCTTAGAGAGGGTGATATAAAGGTAACAGTCGCTCTTGTTCTGTTGAACTTTAATCTCTGAATACTTTTTTTTTTGCACTTGTTAAGAATGTAGACTTCCTCAAGAGTTTGTCTCCCATGACTCTTATGCAACTTGTTTCTTTCCTGGTCAGGTTTTGGATGCCTCATGGTACATGCCGCATGAGCAAAGAAATCCAATCCAAGAGTATCAGGTGAGAATATGTACAGTTTTGTAGATAACTAAATAAAGAAGCTTTAAGCCATTTTTCTGGATGAGCGCTATGAAACTTTTGTATGGAAAGGAAAAACTCTACATTAGACTTAGTACACGACTTAATGTTGATTGGCTTGTATGTTTCTCTCTTCTACAGGCTGCTCATATTCCAGGTGCTCTCTTCTTTGATTTGGATGGAATATCAGATAGAACAACAAATGTGAGCATCACGGCCTTTTTCCTTGGAGACGATGTTATCATGTTGTTTATTTCTAACTTGTTAACTTCACACTGCCATCACTTTCATGTCTAAGTGAATTATATTCTCAGTAAGTATCCTTAACTGCAGCCACTTTGATAACAAAGCGGACAAATCTGGAATCTTTGCTGTGAACGTTATTTTGATTGTGAATATCCTTTCTCTTGAGAACATTCCCATGAAAACCTTTGGACAGTGCTTCTGATTGTGAGCTTATATGCGTGTTATGAATGCACAACCAACAATTTTTTTGTATATTATTTGAATTACATGTGACAGTTACCACACATGCTACCGTCTGAGGATGCTTTTGCTGCTGGTTGTTCTGCTCTTGGAATCGCGAACAAAGATGGAGTGGTTGTGTATGATGGAAAGGGGATCTTTAGTGCAGCTCGTGTATGGTGGTGAGTTATCTCATGTCCCTAAGCTTTTTCTCTTTGCTCAATTTATTTTTGAAGTGTTATTAAAACAATGAATGCTCGTTTTTATCAAAACAGGATGTTTAGAGTTTTTGGACATGACAAAGTATGGGTACTTGATGGAGGCCTACCGAGATGGCGTGCTTCTGGTTATGACGTAGAATCTAGTGCTTCGAGTGATGCCATTTTGAAAGCCAGTGCAGCAAGTGAGGCTGTCGAGAAAATTTATCAAGGACAAACAGTAAGTTTTTTCATTCATAGAAATGGTTTTGCCAGTTTGATGTATCTGCAAATTGCTAATTTAATCTGTTAACCTGTTACTTATGGTTTATATACATTTTTGCTGCTTGCACAGATTAGTCCAATAACTTTCCAGACGAAGTTCCAGTCACACCTTGTATGGGCACTTGATCAGGTTAGTGTTTCCTAAACTTTAAGACAGTGTTATTATTCATTTCATTTGGTTCCATGATCACCCGGTTAATTGTTCCACAAATCAAATCCTTGATGACAATTGACATTGAAGCGGACTAGCAAACTGATTTTCATCTTCAAAGATGTTACCTTTGTTGTAACTCACTATATTGATAGTTTTGGTGTGTAGATAGTTTGCTTGTAAACCTAATTGGATAATTGACAGGTCAAGAATAATATGGAGAATAAGACTTATCAGCACATAGATGCACGTGCAAAAGCTAGGTATGTTTTCCTAGTTATTTTTTGTTCTGGATTATAATTGCAATTTACTATGGTAATGATTTTTTATTGATTTCTCTTGTTGTAGCTTATGATAAAAAATTTACTCTGCTTCACAGATTTGATGGTACTGCTCCAGAGCCTCGCAAGGGAATACCGAGCGGTCATATACCCGGTAGCAAGTGTGTCCCTTTTCCCCAGGTAAGCCATCTAACTTGAAGAGCTTACCATCAGATTTGCGCTTTTGACACCATAGAATAGAATTTGATAAAGACTCTTATGCAGATGTTTGATTCCTCTCAAACATTGTTACCAGCAGAGGAGCTTAAGAAACAGTTTGAACATGAAGGTAAAAACAAAGTAATCTTGTTAACGGACACTCTCTATGTAGGTATTTTAAGCGATTAACCTTTTATCCGCAGACATTTCATTGGACAGTCCAATCATGGCCTCATGTGGAACCGGTGTAACAGCTTGTATTTTGGCATTGGTAAATTTATGGTCATAGAGAATTCACTCATCTATTGTGATCAAATGGTAAAAAACAAATACTGATTGCTCTTTTCTTTACCGGTCAGGGACTTCATCGTCTGGGAAAAACCAATGTGCCAATTTATGATGGGTCTTGGACTGAATGGGCAACCGAACCAAACTTGCCTATGGTGGGTTCTTCTTCTTGAGAAAGTCCAAGAAAAAGCTACAAGAACAGAAGCTAGGGCCGTGTGTATGTTATGGATTGAGAAACATTGGCAAGGCCTTAGTTTTAATAAAATACTCTTAAAATCTTATTGTTGAAGTTTAGAAGAGAGATTTTTCAAAGAATTCTAATAAAGTTTTAATTTTGTTTTTCATATATATAAAAAAAAGAAGTTGGTATGACATATTTTCCATAAATGCGTGGTATCATAAATACAAAATCATTAATATCTTATAGAGCCATATAATATAACTATAGTAATTGATCATAAAGACCGCGTGGCCTAATGGATAAGGCGCTCGCCTCCGGAGCGGGAGATTGTGGGTTCGAGTCCCACCGTGGTCGTTTTTTATTTGATTTTTTATTTGTTTTTATTACATTATTCTCCCTCATCGTTTTCCTTTTCAGTTTTCCCCTAAATCCGGGTGTGATAAAGATATTTTGAGGACTCCAAAAACAAAGGTAAAGAAGATTGATATACTAACAAAAAAAACTCAGGTTACAACATTAGGAACATATCATACAAGTGAATGGCGCAAACAAAGCTTCTGTGGATCTGAATAAATCACTTTTCTCTCTTAAACATGAAAACAAGAACCGGTGCTAACGGCCGGTTCAACATTTGTAATTTGCAGCAGACCCAATCACTAACCGGTAAACCCGACCCAAAAGCTTCTACCACTTCTAGCTCTTCCCTAAACACCAAACCAATGCACAACAACAAGAACAAAAGTGGATCAAACTATGTTACAAAACTTCAGATATCAGCTAATTAGATCACACTTTCGCCTTTATTACCTTCCACCAGGATGACCAATGTAAACCACCAAGCTGATGAGGCCACCGGGCACTAAGACTCTCTCAGAAGCCTTCAATGCCGATAATGTTGTATCCGAGACAGTGATTATCGACTTGTTTCCACCTGGAAGATACCCCAGATTGAATGCAACCATCCTAAACTCATCACAAAAAAAAAAAAAAAGATTGCATTCATCAAAATGTTGCCATGGATTTATCAAGAAATGTTGCATCGGGTCATCGGATTTAAATTGTACCTCACACTGGACTTTTCAGGTACAATCTCTTCCATCTTACTATGACAGATGTTAAAGAGTTTGACACGTTCCTTCTGCGATTCTTCAGCAGAAATGGAACAAGACTCGATATTAGTAAGAACCACATCGCTATGGAAGCAAGATATTGCTAATCATCTAATCTAACCTCTTTTGAACCAAGGGTTTGATCTAGCAAAGAGGAAGTGCTCTCTATGGCATCTTTTTGAATGTCCATTGCATAGACATGGCCACCATAACCATTAGAATCATCCGTAACCATCTTCAACATAGCTAAAGTATCATTGCCATTTCCACATGTAGCATCAACGACTACGTCCCCCTTTTGGATAATCTGTTCCCACACACTGAAAGGTAATAATAATCAGCGTTGATGTTATAAGCAAGTTTTACTGCAGCTTAAACCATCAACAATAAGATCCAAATCTACAATTTTGATTCTACCACAGACAGATTTTCTTATCTAATTGCTAAAGCTCCAAGGTTGAGCAAGTTGAGAAGTTGGGATACATAAAATCTGAAAGCTTTAATTGTGAAGACACATGAATTACTTCTTTTTGTTCTTTCTTGGATCATATGGGAGAAGAAAATTAGTACAAGTTTTGGATTTTAAGTACTTACAGATGAGCTACTTCTGTTGCCTTCTTCCTCCCAAATAGATAACCAACAAAAACATCCTCTAGCCCTGCAACGAAGAAACTACGAACTTTAAGCACAAAAAAAAACGCTTATTACGATCCGGAATCTCCGTAGCTACTCGAATTCTTTCCCAAATCAGTTCTCGGTAACCGAATATCAAATATTGGACCTGGAATTGGAAAATTTCGTGAATGCGGAGGAGACGAGCTGAAAGCAGCAACACGAGAACGTGGAATTCTGGGAAAAGGGTTTCTTTCCATTGCAATTCGGAAATCGAAGGACATTAGCGTTTTTCGGAAGGGAATTGAGTATGAGCGCGCCAACGTAGAGGATAACATTGACATCTCTGCTTGAAAGAACCCAGCCGCCATTGAAGAGTGTTTTAAACAAAAAGCTTCGATCTTTAAAAAAAAGGAAGGAAAAAAACATTTCTTTTCAGTTTCTTAAACAAAACAAATATATATATTCGGCCCAATAATTATATATTCGGCTCATATGGTATCTGAAATTTTCGATAAACCTGTATTTCTCGATATGGTTCAGTACGAGAAATCGAAAAATCAATAAATTTTACAAAGAGAAAAAATTAATTTAAAAACAAAAAATCATCATTGTTGCTAAAAATATTCAAAATCAATGTAATCAGGATCACTACCACTTTTAGCTTTATCACACATCTTCTTCTTCTCTCCGTCGGTGACCGCCGCCGTCAACGCCGTTAAAGACTCCTTCTCCTTCCTCACATAACACGAGAAATCCACCGGCTCCGGCAGATGCGGCGGCGTTTCACCACGAATCAACGCCCAATTCACACCTTCAAAAAAAGGATGCTGCTTGATCTCCGTCGCGCCACGCTTATACGCGATTCTCTTTTGCGGCTCTTTCACCAACAAACCTTTGATCAAATCCTTGGCCGTCGAGCTTACCTGCGAGTGTTCCGGGAATCTCAGAGGTTGTCCAATCACATTGTAAAGCGTCGCTTTGTTTCCTTGCCCTTTAAACGGCGTCGCTCCATGGAGAAGCTCGTAGATGAAGATTCCGAATGTCCACCAATCGACGGCGCTCCCGTGACCTTCGTTTCTGATAATCTCCGGCGCTAAATACTCGTGGGTTCCGACAAAAGACATTGACTTCACGTTTGTCGGCTCTGCCATGAGTTCTGGTAATGATCCGTCAAAATCGGACTTTGATTTTCGGGTTTTTTTCGAGGATTGGAGTATTCGTGGGAAGAATGCGGATGGTTGGTAACATCCTTGGACGACCGTATCGTCGTCTATGATTCCGGCGGTTCCGCCGCCGTTGACGTGGACGGAGGAAGATTTAACGAGTGTTGGGTTGACTGAACATCGGAGAGATAAATCGAAATCGGAGAGCATAATGTGACCGTCGTCTCGTACCAGAACGTTCTCTGGCTTCAAATCACGGTATACTATTCCGAGCATGTGTAAGTATTCTAATGCTAATAACACTTCCGATGCAAAGAACCTGTTAACCAACAAAACCAAACATTTAGTTCATGTTATGAATCAATACCAGAAAAGGATCTTAATTACTCTGTTTTTGCTCTGTTTCAATAAACTCTGTTTATATACTAAACTAACCTTGCAGCATCTTCTGTAAAACACTTGTTGGGTTGCTTCTGTCTCAAGGAATAAAGATTGCCTCCGCTACAAAACTCCATAACCAAGCAATAGAACTTATCAGTCTCGAAGTGAGAGTAAAGAGTAGGCAAGAAAGGATGATCAAGCTGTGACAAAATCTCTCTCTCCGTCTGAGCTCTCAACAGCTTGTTCCTGCTCACGAGAGAAGCCTTATCCATCACTTTCATCGCGAAATACGTCGTCTTGTTTGCTCCTTTGAGCTCAACGAGATAGACGCTTCCGATATCTCCGTAACCTAGCCGTTTCAAAACGCGAAAATCGCTGATTCCGAGCTTGATTCCTCTCGACTTGAGATAATTCACTGCGTCCCACCTGATGTCTCCTCCTGTGTGTGGCTTATTAGCTGATGTGCTTTCAGAGCTGTTGCTTCGTGAGCTCATGTTGTTGTGTACAGAGCGATTATTTTGATTGATGATCGGAGACGTTTCTTTATTTATTAAATCTTCCCCCATCATCTTTGTATTTTGATCAATTTCCCTATGCATCTCTTTACGCGTTTGTTGTTGAGGTTTATGGTTTGATGAGTTTGAGGCTGAGTCACGATGATGACTCGTCTGCACAAGCAACAAAATAAAAATAGTAGGGTTTTGAATTTGACAGCTTTCTGCAAAGTAGTTTATGTATTTGGCAAAACTTTATTGACATGATATTATTGATATGTTTTCTTTGTGTACACAACAGAGTCTGCAACCCTATGGCTATGTAGCCAAATATAAGTTTATACTTATCGAATTATAAGATACATGTATATCTGGTTAGCAAAAAAAAAATGAAAAAAAGAAAGATACATGTTTATCTAATACTAATAGGTTATGTGTATATCCGTATACCTCCTAATACTTTCTTTACCAAAGGAAGATATAAGATTACCTCCGGCGAGACAATCTTGTTTCCGGTTTGCAGTAACATCGTCGGCGAGATATTTATCAGATCAAGAGTTTCTTGACGTAGTGAGAAGAAGAAATCAAAGATTTTTTCTTTAAAGCATCAATTTGGGTGACTTGGCTTTATCATTTAGATTCCGACATTACTTGTTGACACGAATATAACATAGCTTCTTTGTCAACGAAGATAGGTGAGCACGTCGTAATCTTAAAAGATTATTAATATTATACACCTTCCATGTCTGAAAGTTTCCGGGAACCATTAAGGATTTTTGAGCAAGTTCAGTTTCCTCTAATTTAGTTTTTTTACATTCTCTGTAAAAGCGAAACTCTTCACTACAATTTCCTGATTAAATGAAAGAACTTTCCATTGAATAATTTGAACAAATGTTACATTCTTTCTGCTCTGGCATAGAGGAATGCAAAAAAGTTGGATTAAAAATAGCTTAGAAGTTAAAGACCATTTAATCGGACTAGTGGGACTAAAGATTTGAGCTATAGAAATTAGAAGAACCTCCTGTAACGCTATTTATCCGGATTTTAAAAAAAAAACTCCTCAAATGTCTAGAGGCAATCTCTGAGCGGAAGAGTAATAGTGAGACTCGAGCTCTTTTAGACTGGCAGATGCATCATCGCCTATTCTAGCCAACAATCGATTTGTCTTGTCGGCTTCTTGATCAAACTCTGCAATTCTTTGTTCTACATGGTCGTTAAGTGATGCAAATCCAGAAAAAATAGCGGTTTGCTTCAGTTCTGATACGAGTTTCAAAAGAGAATCAGCTGCTTGAACCTGCCACCATTAATTTATGCACAACTCAGTTAACAAACTCAATGAGGACATAAGCTACCAAAACAAAACCCAACCAAAAACAAAAGTTAAATAAGATTTATTGGGTACTCATGAGTGAATGTTTAAGAGATTCAAACATTTCAAATCAGTGATCTTTGGATCCACATATACTGCATTAAACCTTGGAATCGTATTTCTTTTATGTAATCTCCCTAAGAAATCATTCAACAACTGCAATAAGAGCACAAACATAAACAATCCCAGTTGAAGCAAAGTAAAATTTGGCCTCGGTGAGCTTCAGATCCCAGATTCAGCCCTAAACCCTAAACTAGAATTGCAAGTGCTTATAAAGAAATCACTCGAATTCGATAAAATAAGTTACCATTCTCGAAGCTCGCATCTCCATCATGAATGCTTCCTGAGAGTTCTTCATCAGCGGATCACTCACCTACACAATCCAAAGATGTACAGTCTCAATACACAGCCAAGGAAATTCGAAAACTTTTGCCAATCGATTTCACACAAGGGTAATCTCCAGAGATCGGATTCTGATAAATTCAAAAGTCCATATATCAGCTACCTTCGTGCCATTATCGATATCAGCTATCCTCGCGACATTGATGATTTGCGTGAAGTTATCGACGACGGATGTGATATCAGTCTCAACTCTCTGTAACAACGCCTTTTGCTTCTGTAAGGCAGCGGCGGCTGCGGCGGCCGTCGGTCCGCTTCCTCCACCGGATCCGGCCATACCTCCACCGGAACCACCGCCTTTGTTCATCATCGTCACTGACTCACTGGTCCTTGCAGAAAACCGAAGAAAGTATAAGATGGCTCTGCAGAATTAAGTGAGTTTACTTACAGACAAATGCATAAATAAAATAGGCCGTGAAATTATCAATGGGCCTAAACAATTGGGCCTACATATAAATTATAAGCCGATATAGATCGCAGGAGCATCTTCGTAGACAATTAGAGATTGTCAGTCAAGACTACTAAATGGTAAATAATGGTTGTGATAGTCTTCTGTTTCTGATGGAAAATATGAAAATAAAAATGTTAGTTGCTATTGAGCCTTTTGGTGAATTTTTGTACTTAAGAGGGAGGGTAAGAAGAAACCAAGAAACTAAACTTTAGAAATACCCCATACTCAAAAAACATTTCATTCAACTTTGAGACATTCTTAATCTGTTTAGTTTAGTCTTCAGTTTAGTCTTGAGTTTCATATCACGGTTATGGTCTCTTACGGATATATTGTTAATGTGTCTCTATTTTTATGTATTGTCTTAGAATGTTTAGTCGTTAGTCAAACGCAAATGGTTTTTTGACATGCTTATTTCTTTAGAGTATCCAAGCTTTGTTTTCTTACGAATCTATTATAGTAGTTATTCACATGGAGTTGGTTAAAGTTTATAGAAAGAAAACATAACTTAAAATGTTATGAATCAGAAACTTTCAGATCGAACATCAAGTAGATGTTATTGCTCAAGTTTTTGGTTTTGGATATTTGGGACGAATGAAAGGCTTAGGTCTTGGTCCTATGCCGTCTAAATACTTTTCAAGTTTGGACTCTACATCATGGAATGTGGAGATGGTTTACAATGAAGAGACTTGCAGATAAAATTGACATTGTTGCTAGTACTCTTCAAACTTTGATTGGATCCACATGCAACCAATTCCAAATTTTTGAATGTTTATTTAATATTAACAATGTATTACATTCACAGTGCGTTACCTTTTAACAAGTAAACGAAATAAATGAAAACATAATGCTTAACATTCTTTAACAAGAAATATCTAAGTTATCAAATGACCAGTTAACAATATTTTCACAGTATTATGAAGTTAAAACATGAAATTAATTCTATCCAAATCATGAAGTCCATCTGCTTCTGAATATATCTGAAACAACACCAAGATGTATTCTCTGTTGTCCAAACTAGTTGTATTGTCTTCTTCCCATTATCATCAATTCATGGTATGATCTTTTTCTGGTGATGTCTTCGAAATGGTTGTTTTGTATATGAGTTAGATTGTATATTTTGGAATTTAAGGCAAATAGTGTTACAAAAGTAGCATTTTTAAAATCTTTGAAAAAGAGCAAAGAAAAATCTATGAAGAGTTGTATAGATATACCCAAAAGAAGAAAAAAAAATTGTATCTTTCATATTATAGTTTCGGTGAGATTTGTATTAGGATCCCCATTTATAATTTATAAACAGTTTTTTTATTTTATTAATAAGATGAATTTGTTTACATGGGTCTATCATTGACATTAACGTCAATATAACCGACATTAAGTGCTGTGTTCTTGTAAAGATAGCGTCAATTCTTCTTACATATGATGACTTAAATTTTTTTTTAACAAAAATTCTTCTTAAATAAATCAAACCTAATCATAGATTTCTATATTGAGCGCCGCCCATAGACTAACCAAATTATTAGATGAATGGATCTCACTTTTATCAGTCTTCCTAATAAAAAAAAATTATATCAAATATATAACACGTATACGTATAACAGATTTATATATTTGATGATATTAAAAAGGACCAAATGGATAATCAAAATGAGAAAAAGGTTATCAACAGCACCTAACGAAGTTTCCCCCATATAGAAAAAGGCCAAAAACAGCGAAGAATGTTTAGTGAACTTTCCTATTTGTAAAGCATATCTGTATGCGTATTTGGTAGTATTAAGAAAGACCAAGGAAATATAAAAAGTGACATGAAGGCCATTAAAAGCACCAAACGAAGCTGCCTCTAAAGAGAAAAGAGGCAAAATAACAGCAAAGAATGTTAGTGTCAGTATTGGACCACCACTTTTTATTGGTCATAGTTGAATGTGAAATCTATTAACATATATATATATATTAGATCCCCTATAGTTAGAATAGAAAGTATATAAAAAGGGATTAATGAATTAATGTACATACGCTTTCATTAATGCAAATACTTTCTCTCTCTCATCTGTTAATAAAATCTGTCTTTCGTTTATAATAAACCGAACCGAAAGAATTTAAAAAACAAAAAACAGAGGTATAATTCATTCGTGATTTGGTCTGATGGCAAAGAAAGCGCTATTGATCGGGATCAACTACCCAGGAACCGCCGTGGAGCTGCGAGGATGTGTCAACGACGTCCGTCGGATGAGAAAATGCCTAATCGACCGTTACGGATTCACCGAGGAGGACATAACCGTACTGATCGACACAGACAATTCCGGCACCCAACCAACCGGTAAGAACATCCGCGACGCTCTGACGAAACTCATCGGTTCGGGGAAATCAGGTGATATTCTGGTCTTTCATTACAGTGGACATGGCACGAGGCTCCCTCCAGAGAAAGGAATATTAGGCGACGCTACTGGTTTTGACGAGTGTATCACTCCTTCCGATATGAATTTGATCATGGGTATGTATGTGATCCAAAAAAGTATTCCTTTTTCTCTATGGGTTCTTTTTTTTTTTGTGTATATTTTTTCATGCACTCTGTTTTCGGTTCACGGAAAACAGAGCACTCTGCTTTTGGAACAGAGCAATGTGTTCCTATACATTACCTCGAATCTCTGTACTTGTGGGTGTTAATTATGGTTATGAATTGATATTATGAAACATGAATTACTGGTGTTTTCAATTGTGTGTTGTAGACCATGAGTTTAGAGACATGGTGGCAGAGGTAAAAGAAGGATGTCGATTGACGATAATCTCGGACTCTTGTCATAGTGGTGGACTAATCGAGGAATTAGATGAACAGATCGGGGATAGCGTGAGTCAGCAGAAAACGCAGAAAACGCAAAAAACCGGGATTGCTAATTTCTTGGTTAGCATTGTGAAGAATTTGCTAGCGACTTGTGGAATGTCGAGTTCTCAGAGTCAGATAGATCGTGGAAACGGCCGCGAAAGCTTTACAAGAGAGATCGAATTGGAGGACGGTGAGACAGTCGATATGAAAACGAGATATCTACCTCTCGATAGCTACATAAGCCTTCTCGAGGAACAAACCGGACAAACCGATATTAAGCATGGGAAAATCAGACATACGCTTGTCAAGGTATTCGGGCAAGACTCAAGCCCGAATGTGATGCTCTCGAATTCAATGAAAAAAAATGTTCACAGGGGATGGCGTAATATCCTAAGCAAGCGTGAGGTTAATACAAATGGTGCAGGATCTGGATCCCAAAGTAAGCTTCCCAAGAACGGGATTTTGTTAAGTGGATGTCAAACACATCAAAGATCCGAGGATGTTTATGTGACGAGAACTGGGAAAGCATATGGAGCATTCAGTGACGCGATTCAGACGATATTGTCCGAGACGAGACATGATAAGAAGATTACAAACAGAGAGATGGTTTTGAAAGCTAGAGAGATTCTCAAGAGACAGAGTTATAGTCAACGGCCAGGTTTGTATTGTGAAGAATGTTATGTCAATAAACCATTTATATGCTAAACACATGCAAATCCATTAGAGATTTTTGTTTTATGATGGTACATTTTACTTTTTGTGTGATTCGAAACAAAAAAAAATGAAAATGTTATATTTTCTGTGGGTCTGACCAAGTTTCTCAATGACTTCTGATCTTTCTATATATATTTTTGTTTTTTAATTAAGAACGATTATTTCAATTAATACTAAACATATGGATGATATAAAATGGTAACGTGCAACCAATAAATGACAACTATTATGCGAAATAATCTAAATGCTCACGTGGCTTTGGGATGCCTTTTTAAAAAAAAAAAAAATCTTGATCTTTATTCATCTTCTTCCCTGAACGGGGCATCTTTGGGATGCCTATTGAGTTGGTAACCACGTTTACATATAGTATTTGTAATTTAATATACCCTACAATCAATATCCATTGGCATGGAAAGATGCCGCACCCCATTACGTTGAGTCTGACCAATACTACTATTCTTTTAAAACAATATTAATTTTCGTATTTAATCAAATAATAATCTACTTAATTTGGGTACGTAGGTAGGAAGGTGGTCACGCTTTTGCTGGTAATGAAGAACGATCTCAGCGTTGTAAATTTGTAATGTCACTGATATTACGACTGTTGTAGTACTGTCTACGTAAGAATTCACCTTTTACTTTTAGTATTCTAATCCACAACATCTCAACTTAACTTGATATCTTTAGCTATAAATATTCTGACTCGAAATGTGTGATTGTTGTAACAGAGATGCAAAAAAAAAAAAAGAGACTTAGCAAATACAAGTAAAAGACATACAAATGAAACGATGGCGTTATCTGGTAAAGGATAGTCTAAAACAAAAACAAACGACAGTACGTCAATGAACATAACATAGAAATAACGACAAAGCGTTGGTAAACATAACAGAGACAACAAGGCGTTTTTTTTTTTTTTTCATTCTCAAGGGCGGAATTTTGGATAAAGGTGGGGTGCCAAGCGTGGCTCAACGGACAAGAGAAGAGGCTTAGCCATAAGTAATGCACCATCTTCCTCTAGACTTAACGGACCATAGTTAGGATGGAGTTTCCAGTTGAACCCTTGAAGAAACCTAGCCAACATTATAACCATCATGATTGTCCCGACTTTAACCCCGACGCAGCCACGTCGACCGGTGCTAAACGAGACGAAACGCATATCGGTTTCTACCAGAGTAACTTCTTGCGAGATTGCATCGCCTTCGAGGTGACGCTCCGGTTTGTATACTAATGGATCTTTCCAAATCTTAGGGTTCCGGCCTAATCCAGGGCGGCCTACATGAATGTGGCTACCTGTCCAAAAGCATTACTTTTCTTAATATATATATATATATATATCATATATATCGAAATACTGGTGGCTCAACTACTTATATGTTTGATGCTTTTTAAACGTTATTGAATCCAAATTTGAATGCGTTTTGTGGAGTAGTCACAAGTATTAAAACTTTTTTTTTTTTTAATCTAACCATGCATGCATAAACTTACTAGTTCTGTAAAACCTAAATTCCTATGAAAAATACACAATTTTTTCTTTACCTTTGGGAATGAAATAACCACCGAGGGTGGTATCTTGACGAGCCACATGAGGAGGGACATAAGCAGCACTTGGGTGAATCCTGAATGTTTCTCTGCAACAAGCTTTTAAGTAGTTTAAATTTGGAATGTCTGACTCTTGAACAAGCCTCTCTTTTCCCACTACTTCGTCTATCTCCTTCATAGCTTTCCTCAAAATCTCCGGGTTGTTTAACATTTCCGCAAGTGTCCACTCCATGTTATTTGCCGGATTATCGATTGATGCTATACAAAATTCCTGTAAAAAATCACCAAACACATTTACCGGATCGATATAATATATATGATACCAAACAATCATCAAAAGTTGAGTTTTTAATATAAAAATTATATTATTTTTTCTGTTCTTTTTTGCTCTACAAAATATCTTTTTTTTATTTTTTAGTGTAAAATGATTTTAAAGTTACTTGTAAGTTTGTAACGGTATGATAAATAAATAATTAATAATTACAATAATTCTGTAAAATAAGATTAAAACAAATTTTGTAAAGCCATCCCTTACAAACCATTTTCAATAGCATCACTATTATGTAGTATACTTAATGTATTATTTCGATGATCATTGTATTCAGTATATATATCTTCTAATTTTGATCAATTATAGAAAGAATTTTACTTACAACGCATTGAGCTTTGATTTCATCTGGCGTGACCAAGTACTTTCCATTTCCATCTTTCAGCGTAATGAACGTATCAATCCAATCTTCAACAGCAGCCTTACCACCTTTTTCCCTCCATAACTCGACCCTCTCGTCGATGATCGGATTGTTGTAACTACGAACAATCTTAGAATTCACTTTCACCCTCTTCTCTTGACCATCAATGTTCCAACCTTTAAACCATTTTTCCAGGTAATCCGCCGGGGAAAAACACGGCAAACAATTCAAAGTTTCGAAAATCGCCTCGAGATGCCTCTTTTCCTCTTTCCCTAATCTTCCCTCGTCCGAAAAAATGTTATCTTTCGTGACATGTCTCCTACCAAACAACATCCTCATGGTCACCGCGTAACCATACACCCTCGAGAGTTCTCTAACGTCCACCGTCTCGGACCGTTGATACATGGAGTTAACGTACGCGAGGAGGTTATCCGCTTCGATGGTTCTTGATTTTGCCAACATGTTTAACGTTTTGACGGACATAGCTTCCGTTGTGATCACTCTTTTCATCTTCATGAACTGTTCACCGTACGGTGAGATTCCCATTGACTTGTAATTATCTCCGATGGTCTCCATGATGAAAAGATTAGGCCGGTCGCAAAGATCGGCGTCTCGCTCTCTAAAGGCTTCTCTAGCTATCTCGTCCGAGTTTATGGTGATGGCGCGGACACCGGCCAAGTTGAAACATGCGATATCCGTTTTGAGCTCTTTCATGGCGAGGTGGAAATACTTGTGCCTAGGACGAGTCATCATTAGTTCCGGTAAGTTGCCGAGAATAGGCCATCCTGGTGGGCCTGGAGGAAGCTGGCGAGACCGGTCTTTGAGTTTGGATGTGGGCCTTGATAGCATTCGGCCTAGTAAAGTGATTGACGCCATGGAGGTGATAAAGACTAGTAGGAGTTGGAAAGGGTATGGTAATGATGTGGTAAGGCTCGTCATCGTCGTCATCATGTTTGTGTGTGTGTGTGTGTTCGATCGTTAGCAATGAACACTGACGATATTGGGAAACTGTGTCTTGTGTTTTAGGTATTTATATAGATTCAATATCATGCGCGCGTGCTGCTCACGTGGGGTTTTGGGCTTATGGGTAGGTGCGGAAATCACGTTTATATATTTTGTATCTAATTTCCATGAACCGGGTAATCATGTTGAATAGGAAAAACTTTATATTAGTTTTTGTTTAAAGCTGTATATTTGTTATCAAAAGATATTACATTCTGTTATTCTACTGTATATATATTATTATTGGTACTGTAATAAATGTTTGATCATTTTTATTTTTTTGGCCAACAAATGTTTGATCATTTACATGACCATATTGAGGGTCTAAATAGCAATACTGGAATGTCACAGAAAATTTGGTAGAACGGTAAAAATTAACTAAAAAATTATAAGTAAGTTTAAGAAATAAACTAGGTGAAAAAGAAATGGCAAACTGAATGAAAAAAAATTTCGAAAGGATCGCTGGGTGTTTAGGGCTAGTAGTTTTGCCACTTATCAAACATTTTTTTTTTTTTTTTTTGCCAGTTATCAAACATAGTAATGTAAAAGGTATGTCTACCGAATAGAGCAATTCTTAGGGATTTTGGGAATGAGTTATACGCTTTTAAGAATTGTGTGAAAATTACTTTACATTTCTAGAAGTTGAGAAAGCTTTTGAGTAATATAAAAGGGATTTGGGTTAATCTGTTCATTATCAATTGTTTTTGAAATATAAATTCATAATAAACCCATATTCAACAGTTAATGCTCATTTGTACTGATGAGAGATACGCATATATACCACACTCCACTGTACGCTATTTATGTAATTCTGTAGTCGTTGTGGAGGCTATCCGCTTTCCCGTATGAGGCTGATCCAGAAGTCATCAAGATGCTTTGCATAGATTCGACGCGGCCACGCGTTGCAAACTGAGTTGTTGATACTTGGTGACTGAAATTAATTCCCAATACCACCAATACTCTTAATTAGGATTTAGGATACGTTTAATCTCAAATTAGTAAACGATAAAGAACTAATTAAACGATGTATGCTGGTTTTGAAAATAAGAATTGTCGAATGATAAAGATAAATAAGAAATGGACATTTAAGCATGTATCTTCAATTCATTATTTAAGTAGTTTTTTTATTCCAAGAAAACGAAACGAAAAAGAAAAACCGAATAAAAAATGAAGATTAAATGTAAAGTAAAAACACTAGGAAAAGAGAGATCGAGAAAGCAAAAAGTGATTCAGTAAGAAGGATTTTGGATTTGTACTAGAAAATAGAGGGAGCTCTTAGGTAGGTAACCACGTTTAGATGTTCCGTATCGAATTTCCATTTATGGGTATATCCCGTAAAATCTATAATACTCTTTTCGTTTTGCTAAAAATCAATCTAGAAATTTCATACTACCAATTTTAGAAAAATGCTCACAATATATCCTTTGATAAATAAACGAATTTAAACTGCATGAAGATTTAAGAATATCATATTTAAACCTAATCAAACTAATATTGTAACGGCGTAGTACCTTCTTTTAATTAGACTACTAGACTTACCTCGACTGAATAAAATTTGTATCAGTAGTTAATAAGCGTAAATGGAATATACTCCATGATTTGAATGCACGAGGTAGTTTTGTTTCTTTATATTTTTCGGCATGCGGCTGTGTCCGTAGTTAGTTTAACAATAAAGCAATAATATATCGAATAAAAATAGAAATGATTTGAATCAAGACCGAACCAGTTAAACACGCACAATTTATAACAGTTACAACTTACAAGTTACAACAAACCAAAGCGAAAACGTCATCATTCATCATCAACCAATAATAATTGGTTCCTTTGCTATATTCTTATACTCTTCCTCATCCATAGTGTCACATAAAACACTTCCTCTAGTCTCTGGCAACCCAACCACAAACAAGCCAAACAACCCTATGATCAAACCAAACAACCCATAAGACCAAAACTGATTTTCCCGACCAGCAGCAACCATCACGGGACTAAAAACGCCGCCAAACACCAACGCTTGCCTCACCATCGCAATCGCCGAGTTCCTCACACACGTCGGGAACAGCTCAATCGTGTATATAAGCGTCATGTTAAACGCGGTGCACACGCTGAAAAACGAAACCAGCTCTAACACAATCTGTAGTGACCCTATTCGTTGTCCTACCGCAGCGATGAGAACGCTAGAGACTCCCGTTAGAGCTGTGAATCCGATCAACGCATCTCTTCTATTGATTTTATCAATGAAGAAAAACGTTATAAGAAACGCTGGTAATTCAGACAAGGCGTTGAACACAACACCTAAGTAAAGATTGAAATTTAGATTCGTTAAAGCTAAGGGCATTCCGTAGTAAACCATACCAATACCGAACCCAACCGCCATAACCGCTAATAGTCTCCTAAGCGACCAAGGTTTCCTCACCAAGATCTTTAACGCGTCGAAAACATCAGGGTTTGACTTGGATCGATCTTCTTGGACATCCAAAGATAAGTTCGAGAAACTCATAGTGATTGCATTAGAAGCAATGCTTTGGAGAATCGAGATGGCTTCTTCTTTACGACCCTTTACGATAAGCCATCTAGGAGACTCCCGGACAAAAACCCCGACCAAACTGCAGTAAATTAAAGTCGGTATCGATGTCAAAACGTACATATACCTCCAAGAATTCCCGTTATTGATGTAACCTAATATCGGTAGCGATAAAAAACCTAACGTGAAGCACAAGAAACCCATCGCACCGACTTGTGCTCGCCATTTTTTACCGACTAACTCCGTAGATAGAACGAGCGCGCAAGTCCCCACCGTGGCTCGGCCGAAACCGTTCAAGAATCTCAAGAACGCATAAACCCAAATGCTTGTTGAGAAAGCTGTTAACATCGAAGACAAAGACATGATAAGACATGACAACAAGAGCATGTTCTTACGACCTAGCGATGAGTCGGCGAGCGTAGAGAGAGCTAAGCCGCCGATCAGACAGCCGAGGAAGAAGGAGCTTGCAGGTAATCCCTTGAGGAACGAGCCGGCGCATTGTAGACTCCACTCGGATATGATTGACACGTGTGGGTTAAAATCCCAAGACCAGGTTTGGTTGGGTAAGGTGCAGAGGTTGGAGGAAGAGTTGCAAGCATAGTTGAATCGGTCCGAGTCGAGGCAGTGCCACGTGGGCTGTGAGTCGGTGAAGACGGTGATGAATGTTTGCTGAGCGTCGAAGACCCAAGCGAGTGAGACTAGAGTGGCTTGGAAAAACTGTGCCCACCCGAAGTTTCCGATGCACTGCTCGATCGTTTCGTCGAGGGATCTTTTTGGTGGAAGCTTAGACTGGGACGAGTTGGAATCGGAGAGAAGCGGCCGAGTCGAGTCGGCCATATGGACAAAGATAGGGTTTTTGTTTTGTTCCTTTTGTGTTTGATTTAATTTGCATGTCCATGAATATTCTTTTCTCTCTATATCTAGGATAAGCTACAACTTGTGCGCATTCAATGTTTTTTTAATGAGGAGATAATGACTTCGTCCATATATAGAATTAAATAATGTGATGGATGTACATTACAACGTATATAATTAATGGGATGCACTATTACCCGTGACTCAGGACATCTGGACATGTCTATGATATGGCATGTGTTTGAAGCATTAACAGTTTTATTTACATTTAGAAGCGCATGTATTAGATATATAAGATATGTGGGTTTTAGAGCATTCAGCCATCTCTTAGTATCTCGGGACCTTCTTCCCCTCCGCAGCTAAGTGGCTGTGATCCCACACTCAACCACTTTTGGATTTTATACTGTGAGAATAAAACAAAACTATGACTCATTGCCTGATATGTACTAATTTATGTAACAAACACCGATTCATTGAATTTACATCTTTGTATAAGAAAATAAAAAAAAATAGATTATAGATATATAATTTTTTTGACCGGGAATCTTAATTAGTGTAAGACAATTACAAAATTACAACCAATAAACTTTATAAAAGTTGCACTAGTTGCTGCAGCTGGACAAGATAAGTATAATCTTGTTTGACAGACATGGAAGATGTCTTTTGGAATGTCTAAGGTTCAGTCCGTTGGAAGCTTATGTGAGTATGTGACCTTATTATATATTTTAAGTAAAGATCTTAAATAAAAAAATACCAATTTATGGAGGCATGCATAGTTTTGTTTTATTCTAACACAACATGGAATAGAAAACTAAAAAAAAAGATCTTTATAAATTATGATATCATGATTGTAAATTAATATATCAAAACTCGATCGATCGATTTGGAGAACTTTTTGTTAAATATTATTAAAGTTATATAGAGATACAATTTAGGGGTATGCGGAAATAATTAAACACATAACTTATTTAGTTTAATTGTTCATACATATCATTAATTGTATTACTATTACTTTGCATACATATACAATTTATTCTTCAGATAATTTTTTTTTTTCATGAGAACCTTTGAGAAAAACTAATATCATACAATATTGTCTCTATAATTTTCTTGCCATAGTCGACAATCTTACAGAATTGTATTAGAATCAATATGTTGGGGATTTGTAAAATACCACAAAGTTACATTACATGCATTTCCGATTTTAGTTATTTTATCCGCTTTTATTGGGGAACACTAGATATGTTGACAAGAAAAATGGAAACAAATAGAGGCATGGAGTAATCGAAGGATAATCACGTAGAGAAGTAAATGCAAACCCCTCAATCTCCAACCCAAATAAATAATTTAAAACACTGAAAATATTTTCTAAAGCTACAAAAATATATATACTTACGCTTTACAATAAATTTAACTTTCTTTCACACTTTTTCTGTTAATTTTTGTTTTGCCGCACTAATCTCTGAAGAATGCTCATAATCGAATCAAGAAAATGGATCCAAAATTGTTGTTTTGTTTACCAGAAGGAGATGCATTGTTTAATCCACTCAATACAATGTTTATTCAAATGGCTTGCATTCTCGTCTTCTCTCAGTTCTTCTATCTCTTCCTTAAACCCTGTGGCCAAGCCGGTCCCGTTGCCCAAATTCTCGTAAGTTTGTTTACTTTTTTTTTTCTTTTTTTGTTAGTTTCAAAACCTAAAAGGCCATGATTTCTAGTTTGAACCTTTTTTTTTTTGTCACAATTTTGGCCCCTAAACTCTAAAGAAAGTAATTTGTCATGCAAGAAACACCCGGATTAATGTTTTTCTAAGGGCCATTTATATTTTCCAGAAACTAACGTTTTCATTGTTTTCTTCAGGCTGGGATTGTATTGAGTTTGCTCACGATAATCCAAAAAGTCCACGATTTCTTCCTCCAAAAAGACTCAGCAAGCTATTACATATTTTTCTCATTCCTTTTACGAACATGTTTCATGTTCTTGATTGGTCTCGAAATTGATCTTGATTTTATGAAACGAAACTTGAAGAGCTCCATTGTCATAACCATAGGCTCCTTAGTCTCTTGTGGCATTATCTGGATCCCTTTCCTCTGGTTCATCGTCCATTTCCTTCAAATCAAAGACGACTTTTTAACGCTTTACTTAGCCTTCCTCGTTACACTGTCCAACACGGCATCTCCTGTCGTCATCCGTTCGATCATCGATTGGAAACTCCACACATCTGAGATCGGACGGCTAGCAATCTCCTGCGGATTGTTCATCGAGATAACCAACATATTTCTCTACACAATCGTCATTTCTTACATCTCCGGGACAATGATCGGGGATATCTTTGCCTACGCATTTGCCACCGGAATTATAATCTTGATCAATAGATTCTTAGCTTCATGGCTCCCGAAAAGAAACCCTAAAGAGAAATACCTCTCCAAAGCTGAAACGCTTGCTTTCTTCATCCTTATTCTAATCATCGCGTTAAGCATCGAATCCAGCAACATAAACTCCACGGTTTTCGTGTTTTTCATTGGACTAATGTTTCCGAGAGAAGGAAAAACTTACAGGACGATGATCCAACGGCTGAGTTACCCGATTCACGAGTTTGTTCTTCCGGTTTACTTCGGTTACATCGGGTTTAGATTCAGCGTTAACTCGCTAACCAAACGCCATTACCTTGTCCTCGGTATGACAGTGGCTCTTACCATAATAGGGAAGCTTCTCGGAGTTTTATGTGCTTGTTCATTCCTTCAGATCCCAAAGAAGTATTGGCTTTTCTTGTCTACCATTCTCTCCGTCAAAGGTCATGTCGGTCTGGTTCTTCTCGATTCTAACTTGATTTACAAGGTATTACAGTTTACTTACAAGTCATTTATATAATAATCTCCTCTCTGTTTTAAACAAATCCTATCGATTCTCTTTCTCTCTCTGTAGAAATGGTTTAATCCAATACTTCATGATATGTTCGTTGCGGTTCTGGTGATCACGACTTTGCTAAGCGGAGTAATATCGTCCTTGTTGCTTAGAATCCAAGCAAAGGGTTTCTCACACCAAAAAACATCGCTTGAGTTCCACGATACCAAAGAGGAGCTACGAGTGTTGACTTGCGTCTACGGTGTGCGTCAAGCTCGTGGATTGATGTCTCTAATCTCTGCTCTAAACGGAGCTTCTTCTTCTTCACCGTTCTCGCCTTGTCTCATGCACCTCATACCCCTCCCCAAAAAGCGGAAAGCAGAATTGTTGTACCACGAACTAGACGAAGATGGAGTGAATTCCAACGGTGGAGATGATGAGTTTGGTACTAACGAAGGTCTAGAGATCAATGACTCGATCGATTCGTTTACTAAAGACAGAAAGATCATGATCCGTCAGGTGAAACTCGTGGCCCAGTTGGAGAATATGCATGAAGAGATATGTAACGCGACCGAAGATCTTCGCGTCTCGATCGTGTTTCTTCCGTTCCATAAACACCAGAGGATCGACGGGAAAACCACCAACGACGGGGAGGTTTTTCGGCATATGAATCGGAAAGTTCTAAAGCATGCTCAGTGTTCGATCGGTATATTTGTGGATAGAAACATAACCGGGTTTCACCAGCTTCACGGGTCAGATTCGGTGCAACACGTTGCGGCGTTATTCTTTGGTGGTCCTGATGATCGTGAGGCTCTGTCATTGTGCAAGTGGCTTACCAATAACTCTCAGATTCACCTCACTATCATACAGTTCATCACAGATAACTCTAAGATGGAGAAACTCGTTGGAGACGTGGTGACCAAAGATAACAACGAAGTTTTCATGGAGATTGTTGGTAAAGATCAGACCGAAGACGAAATTGATCGATGCTTCTTACAGGAATTCTATAACAGGTAAAATACTCTGTTTCCCGATGAACTCCTCTGTTTCTATATTACTATTCCTTCAAATATACTCTGTTTCTGTTTCTTGTCTTCACCGAGAAACATTGCACTTTCATTTATGGGAGTTATTTTGATTGAACAGATTCGTAACGACGGGGCAAGTTGGATTCATAGAGAAGAGAGTGAGCAACGGAACGCAAACACTGATGATTCTGAGAGAGATCGGAGAAATGTATTCGCTGTTTGTCGTTGGAAAAAACAGAGGAGATTGCCCAATGACATCGGGAATGAACGATTGGGAAGAGTGTCCGGAGTTAGGGACGGTTGGAGATTTCTTGGCTTCATCAAACATGGATGTAAATGCTTCTGTATTAGTAGTTCAAAGACATAGAAACTCTTTTGATAGCTTTGTAGATGAATAACAAAACATTCTTTAGTTTTTGTACATAGCATAACAAAACTTCAGTTCAATTATTTTTACTCTTAAAACCAAGACATAAATCACAATAGTGGAGAATCTATAAGCTAAAAAGAAACTCTTAAAACTCATCAACAATGGCTAGTGTTTACGGTTTGATCTCTCTTTTCTTGTTCTTCCATCGTATCGCAGAGACTCAAACCTTTTGTCTCAGGCAGAATCAAAACGAACAATCCTAAACCAGACATGGCAATTCCGAAAATCGCGAATGATACTGATGGTAAGTCTCTTCCAAGCGAAGCAATTAGCGGACAACAAGCTCCTCCAACAACAAGAGCCTGTCTAAACATCATCGTTGCGGAACTTCTCACACACGTCGGAAACATTTCAACCATATAAACCGCCATTAAGTTGAAACCGATCCTTGCGCAGAAGAATGTTCCCAGTTCGAACGCAAACGCGACCCCTGTTTTTCCGACAACGCTGGGAACGAAACAGAGCACTCCCGATGCTCCACCGAGTAAAGTATTCACGAGAACGGAGCTTCTTCTGTTGAATCTCTTCATCAAGACCGGAGTTATAACGAAAGTAGGTAACTCCACCAATGCGTTTAGGGTTTCGCTCAAGTAGATGTTGACGTCTATGTCTCTTGCTGCTAAAGGAACTCCATAATAAGATATCCCTAACCCAAACATTATGACCATCACAACCGAAATCCTCCGAGAAGCCCATCTCCGGATGAAAAAGTCTTTAATCGAGTGACTTGGCCCTTGTTCAAAGGTTTCTTTCTCGAGGGGTAACTTAGTAATCACTGATTCCAAGTAGGGTATGCTCTTGGGTGAGATCTTTCCGAGAACACCAATGGCTTCTCCATCCTCTCCTTGCATGTGAAGCCAACGAGGCGATTCGAGTGTGAAAAGGTAGAGAAAGATACAGTATAATGCTGCGGGAACGGCTGTGTATAGATAGAGAAATCTCCATGAAGAGTGTTGAGCAAGGTAAGCTATTCCAGACAACGACATAAACCCTAAAACGAATAAGGTAAATGGGATCATCGTAGCTATCGGTCTCCATCCGGTGGAGACTCGCTCACTGATGAGAACCAAAGCGTATGACCAGGTCTGAGAACGCGCAAATCTGACGAAAAATTTCAGCGATGCGTAAATCCATACGTTGGTTGAGAAGATAATAGAGATTGAGATAATTGACATTGCAAAGGTTGAGAAGACGAGTAGTTTCTTGCGACCCAAGGTATCGTCTGGGATCAAAGCTAGAACAAATCCTCCAACTACCGCACCGATGTAGAAAGCAGAACTAGGCATACCTCTGAGTAATGAGCTCGAGCACTCCAGGACGAAATCTGAAATGACGGATCTGCCCTTGGAATCACCGTCCCATTGCCAGGCTGATCTTGGAAGCTTGCAGATGTCGGAAGCAGAAGGATCACAGATCGTGTGGTCAAGACAGTGCCACGTGGGATATGCATCTGTGTAAACGGTGATGAAGATCTGATGAGCATCGAAGAACAAAGATAGTCCAACGAGGAGTATCTGGAAAAATTGCCAGAACCCGAAATCGGATAGACTCTGTTCGACGATCTTGTCGAAAGTCAATTCCTCTGTGTCGTTGACTTCGTGATCATCGGCAAAATGAGACAACAATGGTCCTGATAGATCGGCCATTGTTGTCTAGCTTCGAGCTTTTTTTTTGTTGAAGGCCTTGACTAGTGATAATTGCCCTTCTTATCCGGGCTATATGAAATCTGAATCTGTGCGTTGCATTAAATGCAAATCTCAGATTTTCCGTGTTTGATATAAATGTATTACTAAATATTTAAAACGTGCTCGTGAGAATCGTGGGTCGACTAAGTAACAGTATGAATGAATTCACAGGTTCATTACTTTTCCTGCTTCTTTCTTTTATGCATTCATACAAACAACCTCGAAAAAGTCATATCATAATCGAAAAAAGTCATTATCATAATCGGAAAAAAGTCATAACATAATCATAACAAAAGTCATATCAACAGAAAATCAATTATTACTTGACAGTTCATAAAATAAAAGGAAGAAAAGAGTACGAATATGAATGTGAAATTTATCTCAGATCATCAAATTTAAGGGAAAAAAAATCATTAGTTGATCCCAACCCCAAGTGATTTATTATCAGTAGTCGTTGCTACCGTCTTTGATAAAGTAGTATAGTAACTTTTTTTGGGGCGGTCAAAAAGTAGTATGGCAACTTAGTATCACATTCAAATATTATAAAATCCTTGTGGTCTTGTTGCTTGGAGTTTGAATCTTTAGAAACAACCAATAACTCTCTGTGAACAAGAAATGCATCTCATGGAGTGGAAGAGTGATAGAGAATCAAATTTTGGTAAAAACGTTTTCCAAAAAAATTTCTAGAAAGGATCTCCCGTCGGCCGTAAATGTCTTGATCACGAGATTCCAGTAAGTCTTTCCGAAGTATTAAGGACCTAAAGTTTATGAATCACTAGTTTTGAGTTGGAAGTCAATAACCATGAAACATTGTCTTTGATCATAGTAACAAATGATATAATAAAACTATTGCTACAAATTTATGTTTCTGACAGTTGAGTGAGCAAGAATACATAGTTGTCTGGATGGGAACTGCGGCTCTACCAACATTTAGAAAGTTGTATGGTAAAATAGACACTGATCTTGAAGCTGGAGATACCATAAAGGTCTTTTTACAACACTTATAGCTTCAATGGAAAGAAGAAGCTTGTCCTACCTACAACTAGTTGGCTCGGTGGGAGGAATGGTTTCTTTGAGATTTCTTATTTGGCTGTTGGTAACATATGCTCGTTCTTGGCTGTTTTCTTTGCCGTTTTGTATCTAACAAAACCAAGGTATATAACATTATTCTCTCTCGTGCATATTTGATTTTGAAGAAGCTCTGCTTCGTACTTGTCATGGAACAGTAAGTGCCGGCTTTTGCTTGTTTAGTCACATAATTCTTCTGTGTAAACAAACTTATGAACTTTTAAGTTTGCCTGGAATAAAATACGAGAAAAAAAACTTATGTATAGACCAAACCATGGATAAGATTATGCCAATATCATAATCCGAACAGGTTGACAATAGCATTACGAAACACGATTCAACTATTTCAAAACTGCACCAATAGTGATACGGTCCTTATAGTTTGGTGCACGGTTACATAACAGAGTAAACTCAGGAAAGCTAAAACGATTTCTTTTCGTAAGAAACCAGTCCATGGATTCCACCTTCAATCTGTGCTGCACCAGTACGAGCCTATTCGCAACATCAAAAAAAAGAAAAGAAAAAGCAAACACTAAAATCAAAATGGCTAAACTGGCAGCTTAGAAGAATTTTCAAAGCAGTAGAAGTAACCGCGTACCTCGAGTCTAAGGATGTTATCTCTCAATAGCCGGTGGGCGGACTCCAAAGAGGAAGCACCGAGATCTTGGAAACCTTGCTTCACGGCATGCATTGTGTAAGGTATGAACTTCAATACCGAGCCTTTATCCGCAACTGCTCCGACCACTCCTTGTGCAATCTTGAGTTTCGCGGTATCTCCCAAGTATCTCTGGTCGCTTCCTTTGGTCATTGCTTCTAATGAACCCATACCTCGGTATTTCTTCACTCTCCTACCGTTCTATAATTAACGCAAAACAGACCAAACAGAGCAAAATCATTGAGGAAAAATATCATGAAGTTGGTTGGTTAGAATCACTATACAAGTAGGAAGTTGTGAATAGTTACTTGGTATTCGTAAGCTCCAGGAGCCTCCGTGCTTCCAGCTAAGAAGCTTCCCATCATCACAGTTGATGCTCCAAGAACTAGAGCCTTCACAATGTGACCTGAGTTTGAGATACCACCATCTGCAATAACAGGTACACCATGCTGAGCAGCAAGCGTCGAGACTTTGTACACAGCAGTAGCCTAAGAGAGAACCGATCACATAAAAAGACCGAATTTATAAGGTGTAGTTCATGCAATTAACTGAAGCCCCTTTGAAGGCTAAACACTATATGTCAAGTATGAAAGCTTTGTCATTTACCTGTCCGCGTCCAACAGCACAAACCTCTTGTGTTGTGCATATAGAGCCAGATCCCATACCGACTCTCAACCCATCAACTCCTGCTTGGATCAAGTTCTGTGCTTGGTACATAGTCACCACATTCCCACCGATCACATCCAACTCCGGATACATACTCTTCACATACTTGATCATCCCAAGCTGGTAAATGGAGTTCCCTTGTGAACTATCCAACACCACAACGTTAGCTCCAGCTTTCACCAGGTGCTCCAGCCTCTCCTTGTCTGATTCCCTCGTCCCAATGGCTGCACCCACCATCCATTTCTTGTCTGGACCCACAGTTCCTGACCCCAGTTTGGGATATCCTTTAACCCTCTCCACATCGTCTTTTGTTACTACGTTCACGGCCTCACCTTCCTTCTCCAGAACCACAAATCCTTTCTGCTTATCTTCCAAAACCGCCTCGATCTTGTCAAGATCGATATCCCACGGCACATAGTAATCTTTGTTCTCACAACTCCTCATGTAATCATATATCTTCATCTCCTTTTGGTCATCTTTCATACTCGACCATTCCGACTTGGAGACATAACCCAATAAACTCGGTGTCAACGTCCCTGCTTCCCAATCAACATCTTATTATTTAGTAATCAACTAATCATAATCAGCGTGAAAGCTTTCGTGTTTTGATTCATTTCGTAAATCGAAGATGGATTTACCTGATTGGGAGACAAAAACGAAGGAAGAAGGACCGAAATCGTCGAGAGAAGCAATCTGCTGGTCCGGGCATTTGAAAACGGCGTCGGAGGAAATCGGAACTCGGAGAGACTTGGCGTGGCGGATGACGGAAGCCTGAGTGGCGATGTCGCAGTTATAGTGCACGATTCCGATTCCTCCAAGCGCGGCCATAGCAGCAGCCATGTGTGACTCGGAAACAGTGTCCATCGGCGAAGCGACGCACGGGATCGAGAGTGGGACGCGCTTGCTAAGGCGCGTGGATAGCGAGACGGCGTCCGTCGCGAAGTCGATGTAGTGAGGTAGAAATATCACATCGTCGTAGGTGTAAGAGTATCCCTGTGAAAACAACCTTTCCGCTGAAAATCCATCTTCGACTCCTGACATCTCCACTCCACTAATGGCGTCGCTAGAGAGAGAGAGAAATGAACAGAGAGGGTAAGCTAGGGCTTTAGTGACGACTGTGAGTGGGGTTGGTGAAAGTTTACGAGCGAAAGATGACAAATCAAAAAAGTAGAGTGGATAAAAATAAATAACCGTGTCCGATCCAATTGATTTTATTAGTATTCTAAAATCTAAAAAACCGAAATCGAATCCAAGCTAACCGAACCAAACCGAATGGATTACCGAGCTTATCCACGCCAGGGATTGTACTGTTCTCGTATCCGAACATCACCTCTCTCTGCCATTGGCAATTTGGCATCTCATTTCGCTTCAATTGCCTTCACTCACACTACAGCTTTCAGAGCAAGGCGGCCTTTTGGTCAGATTCCTTAGCTCTTCTTTTGTGATTTACTTTGGATGTAGAGTAGTCTAGGTTTATTTCGAATTTTAGATTGCAACTAAGATTTTCTTTGAAAAGTTCAGGTTTTTTTTCCTGATCTTGAGCTCTACGAGAAATAATGGCGGATTCATCTTCATTACTGTACAATCAACTCAAGGTTTGAGTATTCCCATTCACAATCACAATGCTGAGTGTTATTTTTCTTTTATATTTCTGGTGAATTCAGTTGTTTTATTATTAACCGCACACTGACTGTTTCTAGGTTGCTGAGCCCTTTTTCTTGTTGGCTGGTCCAAATGTGATCGAATCTGAGGAACATGTTCTTCGAATGGCTAAAAGCATAAAAGATATTTCCACAAAGTATGTATACCATATTACCATCACCAATGAAAAGCTCGTTTTCTTGTGTTTTCTCCTGAGATCTTGTGGTGGAACTAATAAAAGAATTGTAAAGTTGATAAATTTGTTCAAAATGGATATGTATTGATCCACATATGACATTTTGGTTTTTGTTTAGACCTTGATCCTCTCATTACAGGAGCATTTTAGGTTATTGAGCAGTGTGGTTTCTTATGCATGTTCTTGTTGATTGTGAATGCTCTAGGCTTGGGCTGCCTCTGGTTTTTAAGTCAAGTTTTGATAAAGCTAACAGAACTTCATCAAAGTCCTTCCGGGGTCCTGGCATGGCTGAGGGCCTCAAGGTAAAATTTTCTCTTTGTACTTTTGATCAACCGTTCCCTGTTCTTTGATGTGCAACCATGGATGATTCTCTTTCCGATGCTGTTAGAACTGTGCATTTGAAAACCTTCAGGAGTGTCGGTGTTGAAGGGATCTTATAATTATCAACTCTAAAAACATATGATGCACCAATTGCATTACAGAGAAATAGTTTGATGTGGCTTCTTTTGTGTGTGTGTGTGTGTGTAAATTCTGCTCAAGTATGCTACAGGCAGTCACATTTCTGGTTCTCTTGACAGATTCTTGAGAAGGTGAAAGTAGCATATGATCTACCAATCGTAACCGACGTTCATGAATCGAGCCAGGTATAATGAATTTTAGTCACATCAAATGAATCTAGATCCGACAAATATTTGTTCCTCTGTGATGCTTACTTTATTTTTATCAGTGTGAAGCGGTTGGCAAGGTTGCAGATATAATTCAGATACCAGCATTCTTATGTCGCCAGGCAAGATTCTAACATATGTTTTCTTCACCTCTCCTGTTATTAGCTATCAAATTTTCCATCTGTGGTTTTAACTATTAACTAAATCTCCAGACAGATCTGCTGGTCGCGGCAGCCCAAACTGGGAAAATTATCAATATCAAGAAAGGACAGTTTTGTGCTCCTTCTGTGAGTTTTCTCTTCTGGCTTGTTTTGATCTGGCAAAACATTTGTTTTTCCCTGTTATATTGTAGTGACTGACTTAATGTAAAAACCATTTTAAGGTTATGGGAAACTCGGCTGAGAAGATCAGACTCGCAGGGAATCCTAATGTGATGGTTTGTGAAAGAGGAACCATGTTTGGATACAGTAAGTTGAAATCTCTTTTTCAGATACAGGATCCCAAACCGTACTGTAGTGTGTTCTTTGTGTAAATAGCGTGGATGAACATGTAGATATTCGCCAATACTTTGGGACTAAAAGCCACACTAAAAACCTCTTTAATTTTACTCCAGGCTTTCCTTACACTTGATTTTTTTTCTCAGATGATTTAATAGTAGATCCACGAAATCTGGAATGGATGCGAGAAGCTAATTGTCCTGTTGTACGTAAATCTTACTTTTTTTTGTTTGTTCTTGTTATGGGAGCATTATATTTCTTGGTTTCAGCTTTATAATTTGATGTATCGCAGGTCGCTGATATAACTCATTCATTACAACAACCTGCAGGCAAGAAGGTATGATCATTAGCCAATTTATGAGCTGCGTAGTGGTTGCTGAGAAGTATTGCTTCTTGAGTTAAACCGAAATCTTCTCAAGTCTTAACACAAACATACCTTCTTTATATAGTTGGATGGTGGGGGTGTTGCAAGTGGAGGCCTTCGCGAATTAATACCATGCATAGCAAGAACTGCCGTAGCTGTTGGTGTCGATGGAATTTTCATGGAGGTATCAATATATCTTTCAAGTCCATGGCATTTTTTCCGTACTTTCTTTGATCCTTTGAGCCAATTTGGTTATGAAACTGAGATCATTTTCCTGTGAATTAGGTGCATGATGATCCGTTAAGTGCACCAGTCGATGGTCCAACACAATGGGTAAGTTTAGAAAGGCGATGTAGATTCACTATCTGCAGACCATGTTCTCTTTCAATGCTTGATCATTTTTTTGGCTAACTTTCCCTCCGTTTTCATAGCCTCTGCGTCATCTAGAAGAACTGCTAGAAGAGCTCATAGCAATCGCGGTAAGCCCCTCTCATCGTCCCATAAATTACAGTGTGTTCGTTTATTGAAACCTTGGCTCCTTTCGACATCTTTGCAGCGTGTCACAAAGGGAAAACAGCGGTTCCAAATCGATTTGACGCCTTATCATGATTAGAATCAAAGGCAAGTGATCTACAGATCAAGATAAAAACGATGGACTCTCTTCTTCTTCTCATCATTTGCAGATGTTATGCACGAATTACAAGTACTTGACTCAGATCTTGTCTGAATTTTGCAGGTCTCTGACGTCATTTTGGGGTGCTTATCATATATTTATTTGTTTTGCCAGCTGAAAGTAAATCATATATACATGAACATATATATCGATATATACATTACTTTATATACTGCATGGATTCTTTTTCTGGAGTTTTTTTTTTTTACTTTGAATATATGTTTGTTGCACATTCACACTGTATTAAGCATGACCAAAATCAAACAGTCGTCAATTTATTTATTCACTGTTCCATTTTTCACATTAAAAAAAAAATCAATCGAATAATCGTGTGATTGTATGTAACCAAAAACCTTATATAATCGTATCTGAAACTAGAAAAAAGAAATGCAAGTAATAATAATGGTGGGCCTGATTTGCCTAGGCTGGGGTCGAAATGGACTTGGTTAAACAAGTTAGCCCAAACGCAAACAGAAAATGAGTAAAAACTCAAGGGGCCAATCGTAAATTTCAACAAGCTCAATTTCAAAATACTGTAAACAAGCAGCGTCACCGCTCTTGCCTTTCGGCGATTTGCAACGGTAAAACTCTGTCTAATTCAGTCTCTGGGAAAGAAAAAGCGGAAGATCTGGAGATTGAAGGAAAATGGCGTTCGCCAAGGTAAAATTTTGGTTAAATCCTAATTTCTTCAAGATTTTGTTTGAAACACGAGTTTCTGTAATTACGCTCATCACAGATGAGATTGAGATCGAGAGAATGTTTCTGTTTTTCGTACGATTACCATTGAACGAACCTTCTTTGTCGTTAATTAAACGGAATTAGGGTTCGGAATCTTTAATATCTCGCATATAGAAGAGATTAGGGTTTTATGCCTCTTCAGATTCTTTCATCTTTTTTTTTTTTTTTGGGTAAAGGTTCAGATGATAAATAAAGCTTTAATTCCTATTTCACTTAAAATGTTGTATTTTATGTAGGCACCACGACTAAGTAAAGATGATCTTCTTGGAAAGCGAGGTAAGAGGACTATCTTAACATTTGTTGCTTTGTGAATCATATTTAAGTCTCAAACAAATGGTTCAGTTCTAGTAATATCTACTTCTGAAACAGCGGGGACTAGGAGTTTCAAAATCTACTCCGATAACCAGAAAACTGATCCAGCATGTACATTGTAAGTCTTGCATTCGAATTTACATTTGTGTTCCTTTGAATTACGAGTTTTATGAAATTAATCTTCTGCTTTTACATTGGTTAGGAGAAAATCTGTGACAACTAGCAGTGGAACAACTTCTAACACAAACAAGATGAAGGTTTTCTCCCTTTTCCTTCTTTCTAAATTCATTGAATTGTTGGATCTTGTGCTGTTATTAAATCCATTTTTGCTTTGATTTAAAACAAGGCAAATTCGAGAATCGCGGGCAAGGGAAAATGCAGTAATGAAAATTCTGGTAAGCTTCTAGCAGAGAGTTTTATTACATTTCCGGGATGTAGTTTGAAAAGTTAACTCAGCATTTTCTCTTCTTCTCAGAGGAGTATACTAAAGTCACAAGAAAAGCACTGGCTGATTTAAGTAATCTTGGTGGGAACACTTTAAGGCCAACGCTTTGTGGAAGCAGTACGATGTAAGTTTGCTTAACATCAAGGGTTTCTTTTTGTGCTTTCTCATGGATAAGAGTGGTAAATTTCCCATTGTCTTCTTGATCAAACTGATTTTATGTTTGGGAAGCATTTCCTTGAAAGTTAGTTACGATTGTATTTATTTCTGTTCTGTTCTATAACTATCCTACTGAACGTGCAACAATGCAGGAAATGGAAGGGTGTAAAATGTGGAAATTTGCAAAGGTATGCAGAAGTTGTTAGCTGCGGTTATAGGCATCACATACTTGTAGTAATGTTATATCTCTACATTGGGATCAGTAGAAAGTTCTTCCTCTGGATTACGCATATTTTTAATTAAAAACTTTCAAGCCTTTGTTTCTAATGCCCTTTTTTCAGTGAAGTATCCTCTTTCATTTTCTTTAATCCATGGTGCTGTAACTACAATTCATGTTGCTCTTGGTATCAGTCGATAAGCTTTTGCAAAAGAATCTGCAAAGTTCCATGTATAAACTATCTTATTTCGACAATGAGTTGATGCTGCTGCGCTAATTGACCTTTCCATGTGTAGGATTTCAGTTGGTTCGACCAGGGTTCATGATATTTCTTTGAAAAAATCTATCAAGGTACAACAACCGTATTGACAAGTTATATTCAGGCAGTGTACTTTCAAACTACCATCACTAGATGCGGGTGGAAGTTATAAGATGTTAATTTGTATAAGACTTAAATCAAAATTTCATAAACTTTGTGTCTTAGAGCATGAGTTCCATTAATCGAACTACCTGATAGGTCTTTCCTTCATCTTTCTTGCTAGCCTTGATTCGTTTCTTCCCTTCTGATACAGGAAAACGGGTGTAAAAGAACAACTGAAGTCGGAAACAATCGCATTTATAAGACAGGTGACCTCGTAAATGTTATGTTTGTTTTCATGTCTATAGCTTGAGTTGGTATTTACCATGTATCTAAATTACGGACGGATTAATTCATCATTTAGGTGATAAATTCATCAAGAACAAGACTCTGAGCCTTGGATCAACTGCTGGTGGAACAAGGTACCTGTATGCTTATCTCCTGCCTAGTAGAATATTACCTTTCAGTCTAGTTGCAGAATTTTCCGAGAAGAAAACACAAATCTTGTTTATGCCATACTGTACCTATCAATATGCCGAAGCTCTCATAAGTGACCTCTTGTTCATTCAGCATAACGAAAACACTTCCAGGCGTTTGATTTAATATCTGCTGAGAATAATTTTACATGTTTTATTGATTAACTTCCTTGATTTGTTTGCTCTTGCAGAGAATCTTTAACAGCTTTAAAGAGAACAAGCCTCACAGACAAGAATACAAAGAAGGTTGTGATTAGTATACTTTGACATTGTTTTTGTCTTACGGTTAACTGGCTGTACAACAATTCGTGAGGCTAATTATTTACGTATTTTACTTCATTTGATATGACTCTACTCACTGTCCTTGATTCTGATTATTCCTTTTTTTGTGTGTCAGGACAATGTCTCAAGCTTAGATTCAAAAAGATTAGGTCATTGTCCAGGTAACATGCATTTCTGCTCTAAACTTCTGATGTCTGATGGAAATTTGCATGTTAAAGCTGTAACGTGATTGGTTCAGTATCTGATACGAATGAGGTTGCATTGTTTCAGCCAGTAGAGTAGGCAAAAAAGCCGTCCCGCAGCTAAGCAGTGTCAGAAGCTTTACTTCAAAAACTCGGACAAGTGTTGGTTCTATACCATCGTAAGTAAATATGCTTGTTTCTGATATCATCAGTAAAGAAGTAAAGCTGTTATTTCTCTTCTTCGAGAACCATAGAATTGTTTTAATCGTTTGTGACCTGCAACCTGAGATGTACGCAGCTAAGTTCATTTTCTTTGCATGGTCAGGGACAGCAACAACCAGAATAAGAATAATGTTCGTATGGCAAGGAAATCTATCAAGGTAATACACCTTAATTACTTTCTTTTCTTTGTATGCAAGTGGTTTCTTCTCCTAAAAGCCAACACTATTTGAAGCTCTCTCAACAATATTTTTGCCTTATCTATCATCATTAAACTGCTCAATCAGTCGTTTGTGTTGTTTGCTATTGTTATTCTTAGGCTTCACTTTCATATCTTGCTTGCTAACAGTCACAATCGTATTGAGGTTTTTTGTTTAGTAATTATGTGATAAGTTTTCTCTTTCACTCAAGATCCAGACAACTGTGAAGACCTCGCTGCAAAACCGTAGTTCTCTTAAGAAGCCCCCGGTGGCAAGAAGTAAATCAAGATCTATTTCTTCAATCCCTTCTCCTGAAGAAGCTGGTTCGGCACTGTCAGTTCCGGAACAGGTTGAACCAGAAGGTCTCAAAGAACTTAATGAAGGAAAAAGTTCATCTAAAGAAAAAACAGACCCAACAACGAAATTGTTGGATGTTACGACGAAGCCAAAATCAAAACGTAGAAAGTCTTTCACATCTCTACTAGTGGCTGGATCAAAGGTTCACAATTTTCCTAGCAGTTGTGTTCTTTGTGACTTTGTTTTCACCAATAGTGCTAATCTGGTAACTTACTTGCAGTTCGATGAGAAAAACAGTGAATCTGCACAGCAAGAAAAGCTTCCAAACATTGATGATGAATCCAATCAGCTGGAAGTCGCAGAATACGTGGATGACATATATCAGTTCTATTGGACTGCCGAGGTAATCCACTTGTTGTTCCACATACATTCTTTTTCTTTAGATTTTTTTCTCCTTATGCTTCTGAATATTGAATAAATTTCGCAAGATGAATTTAGGCTTTTCAGTAGGTTTAACCTGAAATGCTGATGCAGGCATTAAATCCAGCTTTGGGATACTACATCTCAACTCAGACGGAAGTTAGTCCAATTACGCGTGGAATTTTGATTAACTGGCTTATTGAAGTGAGAGCAGTTTTTATGGTTTTCCATATCCACTTGATAATTTCCCTACTCAATTTTTTTTTCTCCACCTGGAATTATATATCTTGGCACTGTCTATTTGTTTGCAGGTTCATTTCAAATTTGATCTAATGCATGAGACTCTCTACCTCACAATGAATTTATTAGACCGTTACCTCTCCCAAGTTCCAATAAAGAAAAATGAGATGCAATTGATCGGTGTTACTGCACTCTTACTGGCATCTAAGTACGAGGACTATTGGCATCCTAGGGTAAGTGACATCTATACTGAAAGCTAAAACATCTCCTCAACTCCATATGGTAAGCGACATCTATTGTCTATGTCCATGTGCAGATCAAAGATTTGATTAGCATCTCCGCAGAATCATACACACGAGAACAAATTCTGGGAATGGTATAATAAACATCGTTTGCTTCTCTATCCATTTTGACAATAACTGGTCATATGCATTAATTATCTTCTTATTTATTTTCAGGAGAGGATTATGCTTAAACAGTTAAAGTTCCGTTTGAATGAAGCCACCCCTTACGTTTTCATGTTAAGGTTCCTAAAAGCTGCTCAATCAAACAAGAAGGTATCCGAGAATCTTGCATCTAATAAGCTATATAACCTGTAAAATCAAATATGTATACGAATAGGCAGACATTTTATACTACTATTTTGTCAGCTCGAACAACTCGCCTTCTACTTAATTGAGTTGTGCTTGGTTGAGTATGAAGCTTTGAAGTTTAAGCCGTCGTTGCTCTGCGCATCAGCCATCTATGTAGCACGCTGCACTTTACATATGACTCCAGTTTGGACCGCGCTTCTAAATAACCATACTCACTACAATGTCTCCGAAATGAAGTAAGCAACCGTCTCTTTAATATCACCATCTTGCAAATCACTTGGCTGATTACATTGGTTGAGCTCATTGTATACAATTATTTATCACAGGGATTGTTCGGACATGATCTTAAGGTTCCATAAAGCTGCCAAGACAGGAAAATTGAGGGTCACTTATGAGAAGTACATGAATCCAAATCGCAGTAACGTCGCAGTCTTGAAACCCTTGGATAGGCTTCCTCTGTAAAGGTTAGAAAGTGTTTTAAAAATCTCTCTAAAACACTAGTTTGTGATAATTGTAGAATTTACTAAAGCTTTGAGGGACGTTTGGGAAAAAAAAAAAAGGATTGTCATCTTTAGAATTTTCCAAAAAAACAAGTCTCGTTTTATGTTAAGTCTCTCTCTTTTTTTTTTTTCTTTTTTATGTTAACCTGATAAAAAAGACTCAATCTAATGGTGATTCTTGACTAGGTTTGTTGGTTTTTTGTGTGCTTAACAACCGAGTAATATTAACATGATCATAAAGACAAAACTTTAATGTATTGACAAAGTTGTATAAAGCTTCTGGAACAACATTACACTTAAATTCTCAGAAGCTTAAAGTCAACAAGATCTACTCATATATATATATATATGTAACCTTTAAATATAAAAACCTATATACACCTGCAAAGTGTGTCCTTGAGTATGTGTATAGCAACTATACTTGCACTATGAGCATGTGACTAGACTGTCTGTCACAAGCATATCCTCTGTCTGGTCCAATGTACGTCTCACTGCTTGATAGAACTCAATCCATGAAGATGAATACGAGCCAACAGGACCCAAAAAGAATGTTGGATTGGGACTACTTGCAGGGGAAGCTGAAGCAGTAACCAAATCCAAAACCGAAGCAGCGGGTTTGAGCTGATGAGGGAAATTGAAGGCCAAGTTATCGACTTTATGCTCGTAGATCTTGCCATTACGGTCGAGTTTATACCGAGAAGTGCCTTGAAACTCTCCTTTAGCTTCCCATGGAACTCTAGGCACACCCTTGAGATTCCACCTGATCAGAATCATGTTCTCTGATGGTTGCCAAACCCTGAAGATCTCAAGTGAGATATCTCTGAACAGTATCTTCCCATGAAATCTGAGTGCCCAGAAGATCAATTTGTAGTTCTCAATACCAGTGAATGTGTTCATCGGATCCACAAATGTTACATCATCCCTGTAAAATAAGTTAAAAGATTCTGAATTTCTCCAGCGAAACATCAACAAACAGAGAGCAAAGGAAGATTGTTTTTTTTTTTGTATCCAGATGATGAATTTATGTAGATTGCATCCAAAGACTCTTTCTTTGATCCATTATATCATTCAAAAGAATCAAATTACCCAGATCAGAAAATTTACCTGTAGATGTCGTAGTTTAGATCTTTAGTGAAGAGCAAAGGCAAATCTTCACGAAGCGTACGGACAGCGACACCGAGATTGATATAGAACTCATCTCTGTCGTGTTTATGCTTATCTTGCGCAGTGGGTCTTGTCTTAACCTGCGCATCTCGAAGAGGAGGAGACTGGACGCTAGAAAGAGAGAGTGCAGAGAGATTATCTTCCTCAAATTCGTAGCTAATAGATGATGAAGAGGAAGACGACGGCGATAGAGATTGACTGAAAATGGGTTTAAGGTTTGAGGATTTTCCGGTTTGAAGAAGGAATGATGGAGATAGATTAGGAAGAAGAAAAGCCATGGCTGCTTGGATGTTTAGAGCTCGTCTATGTTTCTTCTTTACATTTTCATGGCGAAGAATCTGAGCCAGAGAATGTCTGGTGGAGAAGAGCAATGAATCACGGAACTCTGTTGGAAGATAGATAACCAGCTCCTTGTTTATATTTTTGAGTGGTTTTGATTTAAACTCATTATTCCATTATATTTTTTATTTACTTTCTGTTTAGTATAGTACTTAAAATTAAAATTAAGGTTATTTATACTTAGTTGTTGCCTCTTATACATATATACTGGATTGGTCCGGATTTTATGGAAAAGGAGAAACGGTTTGAATGTCAATTTGCTTCAAACATCTTGCCGTCTGACCCAAACAAACAGCACGCAGTGCACGCTACGAAAAGATAGACTACGTGTTTTTCTTTCAAACTCTAGACCGCATACAATAAGAGGCATACCATACAGACAATTACGACGACACTAGAACACAAACTAAAGAACTAACACTAGAAGATTACTTATAACTTATCATTCTCCTACTGAATCTTTACGGAGAAGCCCAAAAAGCTAATTACACTTGTGTTCAGGACGATGAGTGAATTCAAAGTCTATGTGGACAAAAGCCCGTTCCACCTCAGCAAGCTGCTCTAGCTTCTCCTGAAGAGTCTCTCCGATGTTGTGAGCCTCTTGCAGCCTCATGTCCTCTGGCAAAACAATATCTACTTCCACAAAGTAGTGTGACCCAAAAGTGTAAGCCCTTACTGTGTCAATATGCTTGATTTGTTCGTGATGGTTCCATATCAAGAATGTCAGTTTCGCCAAGAAATCTGGCGGCGCAGAGCGTCCGATCAGCGAATGGACGTTCTCTAGTACGGTTCTTGCCCATGTTCCTATGGTGTACAAAGCAATCTGCAACCACAAAAATGAAAAAAAGAAGAGGAAGGAAACGTTTTTGCAATCACACGAGACATTACTTGATCATTTTAGATTCCCAAAGTTAAAGCGTTTTGTTTATTTAGTGAATACTTACAAGTATAGCACCGGAGGGATCAATCCACCAGTAGAATTTGACGGCCAAGACGGCTGTTGCTAAGCCGATTGAATTGGTGACGACATCAAAGAGGTGATCCTGAGCGTAGGCCCTAACGATTTCGTTCTGAAATCCTCTGCAATAAAGCATGAGTAGAAACTTCACGATGGTGACAGAGACCATGATCCCGATCATCCATTTCTCCTCTGTGCTATTCATATGAATACCATTCTGTAACAAAAAAAAACGAATTGGTTAAAATACATGGAATATATAAAACGATGAATTAGCAGTTACCGGAAAATGCTGTGATGTACCTTGGAGACTAGTTGCCTTCCTGACTCTAACAAAACTTGCAGTCCAAGAGTTGCCATCACGGAAGCAAACACGATGATTCCCTGTTAATATCAATTGCGTTATAACTTTGGGTTCCGATAAGGCTAACAAAGACAGAACACACAAGTTTTGTGACCATCTAGTTAAGCTTAAAAAGGATGTATCTTTTTCTTGCGAGACAAGTAAAACTGGTGTCATTGGTGAATCAGAACGCAGAAGGCAGTGGTTGGTTGACATAATTAAACAAAGAGTTACTAGATAGAACATACCACAGGTTGCATCCGTCGCTTGCCTATTGGATAGTGAAACTGGTTTGGTTTTCTCATGGCATTAGCAGTGAACCAAAGAATAAAACCAGACAAGAGGTCCAAGAGAGAGTCCAAAGTTGAAGCTATGACAGCCATGGATCTACTCTCCATAGAGGCATAAACTTTTGCCACAAAAAGTACCAAATTTGCAGCGTTTGAGATGTTAACTGCCAGTCTCTCACTCTTTGCAAGCTTCTTCATTTCTTCCTTTTAGAAACCAAAAAGACTCAGGATACATTAAGGACAAAAAAAGAGAGAATACCATACGAAAGACTAAGGAAAAAAAAGGTAGAGCCGGACCTCACTTGGCGCTCCTCCAGATGCAAAACCAGTTTCGTGGATAGTCTCCATCTCATTGAATCCCTCGAGGAGCCTCTCTTGCTTCTTGTAGTATTCAGAGACTTTACGTTCCTTTCCTACAATGGTGACACAACAGAGGATTGTTAATCTATAAAACCCTTTTCAAGGATGGGTTCAACAATTTCTCAATCATTCTACAACGCGTTACACCATTGGAGAGAATCTGATTCAGCATCCACATAATTTTCAGGAAAAAAAAAAGAAAGAATCTGGCTTGTACAAAATCCAAAAGAGAAGTTGAAGATTCCATCAAAAGCTTGATAACTTTGAATCTAACAAAAGATAAAGTTTAATATTCCCTTGAATCAATCAATGGAAATGGGTTTTAAACAGAGAAAATCATACTCAGTAACTCTGGATTTTGCACAGAAGACTAAATTATACTTCAAGCGATCTCGGTTGATTTCTGAATATATATTTTCCGAACAAGTTTCAACGGAAGAACAATCCTTTACAAATGAGTGCGCACTTCATACACCAAAGATTACAAATTTGCTTAATCACTTTTCCGTTTCACACACACGATTAAGTTCCTATATAAAATAAAAGAAACTCATGGTGGATGATCCTGTATACACATCCACACGAAACGGATTAAGAGTAGATCACGAGAAAAAACGAAAAAAAAAAACTGAAACACGAAGAAAAACTAAACTTACTGGGAGTACGGAAATAGTGAGAAAAGCGAGTACGAACGTCATGACGGCCGGAAGACGACGGTGAAGAAGGAAGTCGGAAAGTCTCGAGGCTGAGACGCCAAGACGATTGAAGCGGCGGCGCATCGTCGTCGCTAGGTAAAAGCTCGACATTGTACTCGTCTCCGGTACGGACTATATGCTCCGTCGCCATTCTCCGATCACACACTCTCTCTCTCTCTCTCTTTGCGTTGGAATTTCGAAAAGCAGAAAAAGTGTTTCTGGGGAAGTTGTGAGAGATAAACAAAAATTTGTTGCTTTGTTGTATAAAGGAAGTTAAGTATACGAGTCGCACACCACTCTCTCTATATATATTGTGACGAAGATAACAAAATGTCAAATACAAATATATTTTAGTTATTAAAAAGGTTTATTTTTTACAGAATTAAAAATAATATTTTCTTCTCAATAATTAAAACACGAAAGCAGTTATATTCCCCTTAGTCAATCAATACTCGTTAGTATTATTTAAAAACCTACTCTAATTAGGAAATTTATGTTGAATTGTTGAAAACTATTGCCATAGTGAGGAATTGGTATACATTCATAGCAAGCCATGTATGATATTCTTCGTTTTAGATTTGTTACGAGAGCATAGTGATACCCCTTATACAAGATAGTAACATGTGCACGAAATACATTTTTGTCTTTTTTTTTTCTAAAATATACACATTTTAAGAGAGAATTATTCATATGAGTTGACGAAGTAGGTGGTCATTGGTGATGCCAATGGAGTGGTCCAAAAGACTGAACCAAACAATAAGAAAGAGTCCCAATTCTTTTACATTCGATCTAAAAGAAAAAAAAAATCAAAAGGTTTTTGAGACGGCCACGTAAAATAAATAAAAGAGCTTTATTTTCTTGGATTATGATAAAGAATAGAGAGGATTACTTAATTTGTGCACATTTGTTGAGATCAAAGTGGTTTCCCACGATTGCACAAAGCTTTTTGTCCCTTGCAACTTTGTTAACTCAAACTTTTCCTCTTTGTGCCAAGGATTTCTCCGAGTGGTTTTTTTTTTTATGTTACATCGTGTTATTAACAAAATCCCATAAATCTCTAAAGGTGGTTTTTTTCTGCATACTGTATATACATTCTTATCAGATAATTTTGCTTTTTAAGTGCATGTGATGTCACTCTTTCGTAATAGCTTATTCGGTACAAACTTATAAATTAATAAACTCGCTTACCTAATTTTCGTAAAAGCTAAAAAACCACTTAGCTATTTGTCGTCATAATCTTAAAGGCACATCTTTGTGTACTCTTCGATGGTTCACTGTCACAACATTTTGATATTCATCTTAACTCATCTCCGCATATAACCTTTTAACATAAACGTGGAGTTATCGAAGCTAACCAAAAAACATATAACTGGAAAATTCCAAACTTAGAGACCAATCTTTGATTTTACCAATATAAAAGAGGTACATCGTTCTCTCAACAGGGATTCGAACTCAGAAACGAGTTACCCGCAAACAATTTTTCTTAGTACCAGAACAAAAAAATCTTCCCTTTATTATTAGGTCGTATATTCGTATGGTTCCAAAACCAAGTCGTGATTCCGTGAAAGAGAAGAAGCTAGCTACCTAATGCGCCGAACAAGGAGAAAGTCGTCGGCTTCCGCAAGAATCCGGCATGGTTTAGCGGCTGGCTGCAACTAATGCCATGTGCTCTATCAGGTCAAGGACTCGGTTGCTGTTAACATTACCAAACCCTCAAATATGTTAGTCTTTGCGTATTGGCAAATGGCATATTGATGGTTAAGGAATGAGAGAAACTAACTGTTTACCTGTAACCCCATTCGTTGTCATACCAAGAGACAAGTTTTATGAAGGACTTGCTTAATCCAATCCCAGCATTGGCATCGAAGATGCTCGACCTGAAATTTTTGATAATGCTCACCACATTTGAGAACCAAAAACTAGATTCTGAATTCCATGATCCGTTACAAGATTTTAAGTGTTGGGATACCTTGAATCTCCGACAAAATCGTTGGAGACGACATCTTCTTCTGTATACCCAAGAATGCCCCTAAGTGGTCCTTCTGAAGCAATCCTATTAAGTGATTTACATCAAAATCGTGAGAGGTTAGTACCGTTCCATGGTAAGAGAAATTAGTTGAACAAATAGCTTTGGGAGTAATACTTTATGGCTGCCTTTACGTCTTCGTAAGATGCATCCTTCTCAAGTCGACAAGTTAAATCCACAACAGAAACATTTGGTGTTGGGACACGGAAAGCCATTCCCGTTAGTTTTCCATTGAGTTCTGGAAGAACCTTACCAACAGCCTATTGAGACAAGAGCAAGAAAAAAAATCATGAACACGATTCCAAATTGGATGTATACATAACTAACCATATGATTTTGTGTACCTTTGCAGCGCCGGTTGAGCTAGGAATGATGTTTGACTGGCGCCTCGGCCTCCTCTCCAGTCCTTCATTGATGGGCCGTCCACAGTTTTCTGAGTTGCTGAATATGGAAAGAAGATATGAACAAAACACATAATTTAGTCTTCTCAGGTTAATGACAGACAGTGACTTATAACACGAGGACCAAGAATGGAAGACCTGTGGTCGCATGGACTGTTGTCATCAAGCCTTCAAGAATTCCAAATTCTTCATGCACCACCTAAAAGGCACAAGTTAGGGGCCATAGACAATTTATGCACAGGACAATAAGAATATGCGATGTTGCAAACCTTGGCAAGAGGTGCAAGACAATTAGTGGTACAGCTTGCATTAGAGACTATATCCATATTTGATTTGTATGTCCTCTCATTTACTCCAACAACAAACATGGGTGCGTCTGCTGAAGGTGCAGAAATGATGACTTTCTTGGCACCACCCTGCAACAGACAATAAAAGGTCAAGCAAACCATAGGCCATTTTAGCAGAGAAATGTTTGAATGAATATAAGGCCTTAGGCCTGGTATGAAACGTTAGCATCAGTGACACAAGTAGATCAAGAAGTGCGTTCAGATGAAAATGCACACCTTCAAATGTGATGAAGCTTTTGCAAGGGTGGTGAATACTCCCGAAGACTCGACAACATAGTCAGCTCCAAGATCAGCCCACGGGATTTCAGCTGGGTCTCTGAGGAAGAACCAATAAGATGTCAGGCTCTAAATAGAGTAAGCTTATTAGCATTTCGACAAATAATTCATAATCTGACCACGTCTATATATAGCATTTTGAAACATTACCTCTTGCTGACAACTTTGACCTCTTTTCCGTTGATCTCCAAAGTTGAATCATCAATTACATTGATGGTTCCTTTGTAATTTCCATGAGTAGAATCATACCTGAACATGTAAGCCTGCATAAGAGGGGAGAGAAGATTTGCAGTAAGTTTGATATACAAGTACCCCATGACGCTTAAAATTATTCCCTTAAGCTCTACTGGGTTCAGGCAAACGAAAAATTTACCAAGAGGAAAGAGTAAGCTACACTAAATGGGATGAGATAGCAACATTTATGAAAAAATCCTGGCTAAAAAACTTGTATAAAAACAAAAAGGCACTGTAAGTTGCATCTACTGCTAGTATGACAGTAATCATCCTTACCATGTACTTGGCGCCTATGAATGGGTCGTTGACTGCTACAACCTCAATATCATCTCTGAAAGTTGCGATGCGAAGGACCAACCTTCCAATCCGACCAAAACCTGTCACTCACATAGTAGAAAATCAAGAATCTGTAAATAAGGAAAAAGGTAGGGGACTAGAAGTATATCGAAAAAAATGAAGGCATACACTATCGGCACGATGTGGGGGGTTTTAAAAAATGGATTCAACAATGGATAAAAAGAACATACCATTGATCCCAACCTTTGTCTTTCCACTGCTCCTTGACCCTATACAAGTCCATCAAATCAAATTCAGCAGTAAGAATGCAGCCTCCTATACAGCTAAGAGTTTCAATGAATTTTGTTTTGTTACTTTGAACAGCAGGAGGTGCTTCTGTAGCTGTTGCCTTGATGGGTTGAACGGTTCTTGCATTGCACTTCCTGACACATTTGAACATTAGAAAACTTCTGAGAACCAAAAAAAAAAAAAAAACGCAGTGTGTAAGTAAGTATAAGTTACAGAGTTTGTCACTGAACTGTAAAGATGAAGATGACATAGTTGAAACCGCAACATCAGAGAATCTGGACGAGGTAAGGTTGTGACTTAATCCAAGACTTGACGTGACCTGATAGGTTGAGACAAAAGATAAACCCACTATTAATGTCGTAAAAGCTACAACATTAACAACCAGTCAACCACTGAGTTTACTTGAAACCAGAGCTAAAGACGAGATATCACCACCTCATACTCTCTAAGAACAAACTCAAGGCAATACGGAAATACGAAATCGAAGCAGAACAAAGCGAAAACGTAAGCTTAAATATATCCAATCGAGAACAAAAAACGAGGAGAGGAAAAGCGAAAAACTTTGTATACCTGAAAATGATCGTATGACGGCGACGTATAAAGTTCGAGACGAGGAGGGGCGGCGGAAGTGGCGGCGGATCTGAGAAGAGAAGAGAAGGCCATTGCAGCCTAAGCTACCAGAAAACAAACAGATCTCGCAGCCAAAAACCCCAACTAACTCTTCCGCTGAATCGCTTTTGAGTGTAAGCTGTAAAGCCAAAACACGAAATGTTCCTCGGCTTAAGAAAATGAAAGAAAGGCAATTTGCACACTCTTACTTACTAGCACACACATCTGAAAACTGTTCGGTTTATTTTGGTCTAGCTCGATCCAAAATACCCTTCCAATTAGTGGAATTATTTTTCCAAGAATTTTATGGCGAATCGAAAAAGAAATATATATATTCAACGAAAAAAAGAATTTTGGTCTAGCTCGACCCAAAATACACTTTGAATATGAGTATTTTTTGGGGGTCAACATACAATATGAGGGTATTTTCTAATATTGGAAAATACAGATTTATTTCTTTTTATCGATTGAGGGTATTTTCTAATATCGGAAAATACAGATTAATTTCTTTTTATGGATTGGGAGGTGCATTTGGTTTGATCGCACAAAACCAAAATAAACCGAACTGGTTTCACACATCATATATTATGTGCAATTCGACACAAATCTGAGGCTTATCACATTTTCACCATCAGAGAAACCATAAACGGAGAAATCACACTGGAGAGTGGAGAAGAAAAGTGGATACGATCACATTCCGCCGGAAAATCACTCGACCTCGCTCCATTTTGAGCTAATATGTTTGTGCGAGACTGCTAATTCGCTATTATCATAGGCAGATTTCTGTCATTCGATTCCTTTTGCCGATTGAATATCTGAAATCTCTTTCAAAATATGTGTCAAGATTTACTCGATTCGATGTTTTCCTAGGCAGAGAACATGGAAGAAAAAAAAGCGAAACGTGTTCGTAAGAAACGATCGGGTTATAAAAAAGGGGAAGATGATATGCTGACAAACTTGCCAGTGGCCTTGCTACATCAGATTCTCTTGAATCTTCCCACGAAGGATGTGGTTAAGTCTAGTGTGTTATCCAGAAGATGGAAAAATATCTGGAAATATGTACCTGGGTTGGACTTGGAGTGTCGTGATTTCTTCGTGCCTGGTTACCAGTATTGTGAGTGTGGTGACTATGATGATATCTATGAGTGGGATGGGTATGATAATATCTGTGAGTGTGAGGATTTGAGCTTCAAAGCTTTTGCGGGTTTTGTCACTAGGTTTCTGCGTTTTAAAAGCAAGTCGCGCATACAAAATTTTAGTTTTAGTGTTAACTGGTGTGCTGATGTTGAGCTTGATGTTGATTTTTTCACCTGGTTGATCAACGCTGTTATTAAGCGGAAAGTGAAACATCTCGATCTTGTGGGCAAAACTTGGGGGCAAGATGAAGTGGAGATACCCAGAACAGTTTACACTTGTGAGAGCTTGGTCTCCTTAAACCTACGTGACGTAGACTTGCCTAATCCCGAGCGTGTGTCTTTACCTTCTCTCAAAGTCATGGTTCTAGACGAGGTTGTGTATAGCGACGATCGGGCTTTCGAAATGCTGATCTCAGGCTGCCCAGTTCTCGAAAGCTTATCTATAACAGTAGATTATTTCTATGGCAACAATGTCAAAACATTTCGAGTGTGTTCTCAGTCTCTTTTGAGCTTCACTTATGTTGGTCACGATCTCTTTGGTAGTTTTCGAAAACTAGCTGCTGTACTTGATGCTCCCAGACTTGAGCGGCTGAGGATAGATGATCACCGAACTTCAAGTTTCATTGTAAAAAATCTTGGTTCCCTTGTAGAGGCGGATATTGATATTGCATTTAACTTGAGTTCCGAAAGGAAGCTCGATGCAGATGATCTACCAAAGAGAGAGATGATTCGTAATTTTCTTGTCGGGATTTCTTGTGTCAAAGATATGAAAATCTCGTCGAATACTCTTCAGGTAACAACTATGTTAAAATCAGCTATTTGAGTACTTAACTTTATCGTGTAGGTATATTCTTGACCTCTTTCTTTCTGTTCTACCAGGTTATATATGATTACTCAAGATATGAACCACTACCCCTATTCCGTAACCTATCTTTCTTGCATGTTCAATTCTCCGGCTACAGATGGAAAATGTTGCCAGTCTTTCTTGAGAGCTGCCTGAATCTAAAGTCTCTTATCTTGGTTAGGGATTGGTTACTAAAACCATAAATTTCTTTTCTTACTAATGCAAATGGTGAAAGTGTAACATACTCAATTTGTGTCTTTTACTTGCAGGGATTTTTTTTTAAACCATGGGAGAAGGGAGCTTGTAGTATTGTACCTGGACATCGGCGGTTTCTATCATCTCTCGAGTATGTGAAGATTGTAAGGCCAATGGGAGAGGAGGCGACAGAGACTCACCTGAAACTAGTGAATTACTATTAGAGAACTCTACAATCCTCAAGAAACTCACACTATGCTTAAGTGATTTCTTCGAAGAAAAGGAAGAAACTGCAATCATCAAGAAACTCCTGGCCATTCCAAGACTCTCTAGCTCATGCGAAGTTCACATTCTGTGATCCTTGTAGTCTTCAATGATGAGCATTACAATAGTTGTCTTTTGAGTAATTAAGTTATGGTGAACTATATGTTTTGTGTCATAAATTTGATCTATCGTAACTTGTAAGAGAATCATATGTTTTGGTAATTTTGTCTAGAATGAATGTTATTATGCTAACGGCTTTGTGGAGACGATAGGTGTGTTCTTGATGGTGAATTGAGAGAATTACAGGGTTGAGATTTCATGGAGGTACAACAAAAGATGCGTGTAGTGGATCAGCGTTAGGCCCATAATTTGTGGGCCTGCGATCATACTTGAACAACGTATGGGGAAGCCATAAAGCGTCGCCACGTAAGACTAAACCCTAAAATGTGCCTAGTTGTAAAAAAAAGCCTTTTTGCCATTTTCAGGTAGACACATGGCAAGTCGAGCTGGCTCTCCCTCTAAAAACGAATTTGCGTTCAAACGACGACGAACTGATCCAGCTCCGAGTTGCCACGTGGCAGTTGTGCATTTCGTTTCGTCTCACACTCCTCTCTGTGTGATTGATTTTCTGTTCTGGCTCTCCCGTCAAAAATGGCGAACCGTCGGTTTCTTCTTCGTCTTATTCTCTGTATCTCTACAATTTCCCAAATATTAATTTGAATCTTCCTCTTCATCTCTCTGGGGTTCGCCGAGAAGCCTTATTGATCTGCTCCTGTTGACGACGTTCTCGTCCTTCGTGCTTTTACCAAGGTTTCTCAATCTCTCTCTCTCTGCGCCGTTCACGCCGCTTGTGGGATTTCATTGAAGCTCCTTCCATACACATGAAATTTCTCGTGGTTTTTGGGCGCTTGATTGTTTGTGCGAGCTTTTTTTCTTTTTCTTAAAAAAGTTTGCTAGCATGCATTTGTTGAGCAATGTTGACATGCTAGTGCCGAGTTTTCCGATTGATTTTCTGAATGTGATTTCTGGGATCGGTTGCTTTGTCTTCGTCTTTGATGTCTTTGCTTGTAGAATTCGATTTAACATGTTGCAAGTTGTGGTTGTAAAAACTCCAATTGCTTCTGTGACAATTCTCCTTTTTTCTTCCTGACAGATGCCAATGGAAAGGTCGTATAGCAATGCAAGAATGGCCAATAGTTTCATGTACTGGAATGATTGTGTTGAACCAGAAGATTTAGAAGCAATGTGGATGGATCCTGCGGTGAGAGCTGAATGGTTAGATGTTGGGGAGACTAAAGGACAGAAGGTTCACCTCTCAAGGGATCCTGATGGACAGCCTTATCTGACACAGACTGAGATGAAGGTATTCCTATTCTATAAATCGTTTTATGTTTCAAGATTGATGATTTTCAGCCTATGCATTGATCAATTCCTTGTCATTTCAGGCTGTTGCTGATATTACTGTTCGAAGACATTTTGATTCAATATTGGATCCGGTATGCTTCATTTTCACCTATCACTGAGGATTTCATATTCGATTGCTGGTCTTTTAATCATGATACAGAACATATTTTCAAAGTGGGCAGTTCTTTGTAAAACTAGTACTTTTGAGCTTGGTTTTTGGCTGCTCTTGAAACTAATTATTCATTTTCTGATCTCAAAGTTTTGCACCTCCCTCTTCCTCTGCAGGAAATGATATGCGCAATTGCTGAGCTTGAAAGTGACCGTAAGCCTCTCATTATGCGGTACAACAAAAAGACCAAGGAAACTGGCTTAGGAATTTTACAAGTTTTTGCAAAGACCGCAGAGTGGTTGGCTGGGTACAAATCATTTCTAGTTTCTCTCCTTTCCAAGATCTTTAATTTTAATAAATCTTACGTTCCCGTTATGGTCAAACTTTATCGCAGAGGACAAGGCTATCAGGAATATAATGTGGATGACAATCCTGATCTTCTTCACAAACCCTTCATAAATGTATATTTTGGGGCAGCTTACCTGAAATGGTTGACAGACTATCAGAATAAGTATGATAAAATCTTCCCAATTTATATCGCTAGCTTTACAATTTCAATGACAAAAAGCCTAAATTTCTCCTGAAAGTAGTTAAATTTTTGACAACTATCAATGTGCAGCCAGAGAAGTGAAGAGTTTGTTGTCAGAGCATATAATGGTGGGACAAAAAAGGCGACTCACAAGTCGACATTACCATATTGGAAACGATACCTTGCTGTAAAAGACGCTCTCCCTTCAAGGTTGTTGTTTATATTCTCTTATTGTTCTATCTACCTAGTTTCTGCTGTCATATTTCATGCATGGTTGCAAGGAAAAGGTTTTCTGTTGCAGTGTGCTTTCATATTGTTAGTTTTGTTCATACTAGCCACACAATAGCAAAGTATTAAAACTGCAGTCTTTTTGGTAACTATTGTTGCAGAAAACATGTCGATGCTGGCCCTTCAGGCTTTCATCCTACTAATCCCTCTTCACCAGGCTCAAGTAATCTCTCCTTCTTTGTATCTTTCTGTATCATACAAAAACAACACGCGCATCTATTTCTCTGTTATGTTTATGATATAAAATGGAATATACCTCTGGGTGGACAGACACCAACTTTACATACTGGGACTCTAGAGCTTCCCCTGAAGATATGGAAGATATGTGGAATCATTCTGAAGTATGTAAAGAGTGGACAAAATCCAAAGAAGAAAGGGGAAAAGTTCGTTTCTCACAAGATAGTGAAAAGAGGCCTTACCTGTCGCGAGGGGAAATGAAGGTACTGTTTTATAATTGAGCAGTTATAACATATATTTCTCCGAGCAACTAAACATTGTTTTACAGATGCTACTAACACCGTTCTCACCACATTTCTTAAACAAGTAATGCTATAATCTTTCTTTCCAGGCTGTTGCAGAAATAATTTGTTTCAAAGTACTTCAGTACAAAAGGAGTTAGAGTTGTAAGTGTTCATATCTGTTAGCCATCACTTGCTTTATTATATTTCAACGGCAAGGCAACTTTTTACTGAACATATATTTTGGGTTATTCATATGCTAATTCTGAAAGTTATTTTCCATTTCACTGATGCAGCCTCTGGTTTGTGCTGTTGCTGATACTGTGAGCATGCGGTTTGTGAACGGTACTGGGAAACACGTAGGAATACTCGGAGTGGACTACTCAACTGCTGCCTGGTTAAACACGTAAGATTGTGACCAAACTTCATTTCTCTAATCACATTATAGTATAATATAATATGTGATAAAACATCAAACCTAAATGCGGCTGTTTTCTGAATGAAGAGAGCTAGGATACCGAGCATACAGAATCGATTCACCAGACGACCTAACCAAACCATTTGTTTCTATGTACTTTGGGGTAGCCTATTTGGTTTGGTTATCCGAATATGAAGGAAGGTAAGCCTCCCACTCCATACTCTCCACTTAAAACTCCTTATTTTGCATGCATATCTTAGTCAAAACATACCATTTTGATTCAATGGAGTCGTACATTTATATTTGTTCAAACTACGGTGTACGCAGGGAGAGAAGTAACCAGTTCATTGTCCAAGCTTATCTCAAAGGTCCTGACCACGTCGATCTTGAGGCATCATGCCCACTCTGGCTCAAGTTCGAGCAAGCTCTGAGTTACTATGAAGAGTCCAAGAGGTATCAATGTTCATAGCCACAACGATTTTGTTCTTTAATTGAAAGCAATTCTGATTTTCTGATTGATTTTGATGGTTTGTTTTTGTTTCATCAGGGACTCAGGAAGCTGCATTATCCTATGAGATCACCGTGTATACATACACATTTGATGAAGACTGAAGGATTTTGCTTTTATTCATCTGTTTGTAACTCAAAATTTCCTTCCTGCTGTTTCTTTGTTCTTTTCTATTCTTTCTTTCTTAATTCTTTGTCCTGATTGTTTTGTACGTGAATGATATTGATTAACAGCTCCATAGATATCAAACGAATGACTGATTCTTTCGAAAGGGTAAGAAACAATCTTTGAATGGGTTTCAAGAACCAAAAAAAAAATCAAAAAACAGATGTTGGACACTTTCTATAATATACTAAGCCATGAGATCAGACTGAAATAAGCCCATGAGCTCAATAAAATGCTTAAGGAAATCTCAGACCTTGTTGGGTTTCGATTTTGAATAGACCAATATACATATTTAAATCCGGTTTAATATACAGGTTTGGGTAAACCGGATTTGAATTCCCCTAGTTTAGGCGTGTATATATATTTGTCGAGCAGAGTCTGAGAACGGAGGCTAACCGCTAACGTATTGTATTTCCGTCGATAAATTTTGAGTAATAATCTTCACATTTTTCTACTGTTCCGAAGAGAATGGAGGAACCAATTTCGGAGCAGGAAGGGGGAATCACGATCTTAGCTAAATCTCGCAAAAATCGTAATACAGTAGAACGAATTCAAACCCAGAAACTTGATTCCGACCAGAATGCTCCTCAGTTTGAGAAATTCACAAATAATCCGAACCCTAGTTCCGATACTACATCCGCCGCGAGCTTCGAAGGGCTCGGATTAGCCGAGTGGGCAATCGAAACGTGCAAGGAGCTTGGCATGCGTAAACCCACTCCGGTTCAGACTCACTGCGTGCCCAAGATATTGGCCGGTCGGGACGTTTTAGGTCTTGCTCAGACCGGTAGTGGTAAAACGGCGGCGTTTGCTCTTCCGATACTTCACCGTCTCGCTGAAGATCCGTATGGAGTCTTCGCTCTTGTTGTGACGCCGACCAGGGAGCTAGCGTTTCAGCTCGCCGAGCAGTTCAAGGCGTTGGGTTCGTGCTTGAATTTGCGTTGCTCTGTGATTGTGGGAGGAATGGATATGCTGACGCAAACGAGGAGCTTGGTTTCACGACCTCATGTCGTCATCACTACTCCTGGGAGAATCAAGGTTTTGCTTGAAAACAATCCAGATATCCCTCCAGTTTTCTCGAGAACCAAGGTAAAAAAATTTGCGCTTTTCATTCTCCAATCACATTTTGAGATACGAAAGTTATTTGCTTTTTGATTTCTATTTGTTTGTTAGATTCTTAGCCTTACTTAGTGTTTTTGTGGTTTGTGTAATTAGTTCTTAGTGCTGGACGAAGCGGATAGAGTTCTTGATGTTGGTTTTCAAGACGAGTTGCGGACTATTTTCCAGTGTTTACCCAAAAGTAGACAAACATTGTTGTTCTCTGCTACGATGACTAGTAACTTACAGACTTTGCTCGAGCATTCTTCAAACAAAGCCTATTTCTATGAAGCCTATGAAGGGTTAAAGACGGTTGATACTCTTAAGCAGGAGTACATTTTCTTAGATAAAGATGCAAAAGAACTTTATCTCGTGCACATCTTGTCTCAAATGGAAGATAAGGGGATCCGATCGGCCATGATTTTCGTCTCCACTTGCAGGTCTCATATTCATAGCTTTGTACATTCATCTATCAGCGGGTGATTCCGGTTGCAGTTTCTGATTAAACACTGTTTCGTGTTTTAGAACATGTCAAAGGTTAAGTCTTATGCTTGAAGAGCTTGAAGTGGAAAATGCAGCTTTGCATTCACTGAATTCCCAGTCTTTGCGTCTCTCTGCACTCAGCAAATTTAAGTCCGGAAAAGTACCGATATTGCTTGCCACTGATGTTGCCAGCCGTGGATTGGACATTCCTACTGTTGACCTTGTCATCAACTATGACATTCCGAGGTACCTTCTGCTGAAGATTGTCTTTTTCGTCTGTTCACTGTGCTTTTGAAGCTTACTGATATTCTTACTCTACGCTTGGCTCACATCAGATATCCGAGGGATTATGTCCATCGTGTTGGGCGTACAGCTAGAGCTGGTAGAGGAGGACTGGCTGTAAGCATTATCACTGAGGTAAAAGCTGCTGGGAATCATGGAATTACACAAAACATGGACTCTTAGGTTTCTTTTTCGTGGTCTGCGTAGAACCTAACCTTACATTTTCTTTTGCAGACCGATGTGAACCTTATCCATGAAATAGAAGCGGAAGTTGGAAAACAGATGGAACTATACAACTACAGAGAAATCACTGACAGTTTAGAAGTCACAAAGGTAAGATTCCTATAGTGAGACATTAAAGTTCTCCTCTTTTATTTTTGGCTCATTCTTATCCAACACCAGTCAACCAGCTGCTGCTCCATGGTGTTCTAGTATTTTTCAGTTCATCTTGGTATATAAGAAAAGTAAGAAGATCAGTTATTAGCCGCGAGATATATGTCCACGAAATTCAGGCTAGAGCCGCCTTGAGAACTAACGCAATTTTCTAAAATGGAATCTGCAGGTATCAAAAGCTAAAAGAGTGGCAATGATGAAGATGCTAGACGATGGATTCGAAGACAAGGTCAAAGGCCGGAGGAAATTGAATCGTAAAACACTTGCGGATAAAGGGATGCTTAAGAAACGGAGCAAAAAGAGAAAATCCGCAGAAGTAAACTGATGAGTAAAATCATCTTCAAATTTTGTTTTCTTTAACTGCATTTTGATCAGCAAATCTGTGAGAACCCATATTCAAAGATGTTGTTACTTGTAATCTTGAATCTTGATTGTTTCTAAAATCTTCTGGTAAGAAACATTCTTATATCAATCATAAGTCCTTTTCCGTCCTTTTCCACATAGTAAGAACAATAACATGAGATTAAACAATTTCGACAGTGGTACAACGGCACAAACCAATTTTATTACTCGATTTGTTGTGGTTTTGGTAAAAGAACAGGGAAAGGAGCAAAGGGTCAACAAATATCTCCCTCCTGACCCAAACGCTTTAGAAAGAGTAAAGAAAACCTAAAGACACCTTTGTTTTTTTTTTTACTTTGAAGCCTTATTGTGAGCTGGTGGTTTGGATTGGTTCGAAGTTGCTGCAGTTGACATCACACGTAACCGGCCAGCTATTTCCGTGAAGGATGGCCGTGCCGTCGGATTAGGCGCCCAACATTCCTCCATTAATATTCTCCAGTCCGAGTCACAGAAACCTGGTATGGTCGGCCTCAGTGTGTTGTTCACTATCCCACCTGCACTTAACCGTAAATTTTATGAGCGGTTAATACAGTCGTGTCCAGTTTAACCGATTAGAGACCAACAAAATTGATCAAACGAAATATATGCAGGTAATGTTCCATTTCTTCCATATCTGAACCTTTGAGAATCCTTCAAACTACAGCTCAAACCGAACCAACACGTAATCTTATCAAACGGAGCCGAATGGTAATCAGTTCATAATCTGAATAAATCCTAACGTAAAACCAGATTGGGCAGAAAACTGAGGATCGTGGGTTGGTGAATTCGTACCTATTATAGCACCATAGTGCATATTAGCATATGGTTCCTCTCCGGTTAGGATCTCCCACAAGACTATACCGAAAGAGAAGACATCGACCTGCAGGGAAAAGAGCAATAAATCGGTATGGTTTTTGTTTCCATTACTTATTTATCTTCACTATGAAACATTTTATTTTTACCTTCTCTGAAACTTTGCTGCTGCTACCGTTTAGAAGCTCTGGTGCCATCCATGGTAGGGTTCCGCGTACACCACCAGATACCAATGTATTTCTTTTAATTTTCGACAAACCGAAATCACCAACCTTGAGGAAGAACAAAATGGGTGTGGATGATAGTGTAAGGCACAAAATCTGATTTGTTCTAAGACATCAGATGATTGAAACTTACCTTGCAGATTGGACGAGAAGGATCTTTGAGGTTCACAAGTAAATTGTCACATTTCAAATCGAAGTGAACAATGTTTTTGGCGTGCAAATATTCCATTCCAAATGCAGCATCCATGGCAATGATCAGTCTCTTACGGCGATCAAGGTGTCTGAAAATATAAGAATGAAAAGCAAAAGAATCTTTAACTGTTCATCAGATAGGAAAACGCAGAAACATTATAAACGAGATTTGTACCTATCTTTCCTGAGCAGAACATGTCTCAGAGAACCATCAACCATGTACTCAGTTACAGTTGCTAATGTTCCACCGGGTCCATCTTTTACAACACCATAAAATGCAACCACATTTGGATGATGAAGTTTTGAAAGAATTTCAGCTTCTCCCCAGAATTCACCAGTCTAGCAAAACCAAATCAAAAAGGTATTCATAAGCATCCCATGACAAGCAATGTTAGAAGTGTCCTCACTCTGTAATCATTTTTAACATATTTTTAATGAAAAAATGCAGAAACACTCACTAATCTCTCTTGTTCAGATGATCGACCAGCAAAGCAACTCTTCTTTATCCTCTTGATGGCAACATCTGACCCTCTCCATTTGCCATGATAAACTGTACCGAACGTGCCAGAACCAAGCTCCTTTAGCTCCTCGAGATCGTCATTCATAATAATCTAGAAATGATTAAGAACAGAAGAATCAGACCAAGGTTAGAACCAACAGAGGCAAAAATAAGAGTTTTTAGGCCATCATACCTGCAAACCACTTGTATCGTAATCTGTCAGAGACGGACCAAGTGGAGGAAGCCCAGCATTCCTTGTTTCTGCCTTTTCATCCTACAAGTATTCATCCTTATTAGTACATTCATCAATTTTTGGAATCGTGAATCAAATCTGCCAGAAACATATACCTCATGTTCACAGTCCTCACTCTCTGTGACCTTCACATGTACATCGTCGCAATTGTCAGCTAGTTTCAGCTTAGTATCCACACGGTTTTCTGTTGAAATGCCATCTCTAGTCAATGGAGCGATGTGATTCAATTTGGTTACCACTCCACCACCTTCCATGTCAGATGGAAAGCCAGGGGTTCTGTCAATATAAGCAACATCTCTTTCGCTAAACTGTTCCTCGGCCAGGTTTCGAAAATATGACCAATTTTTAGGATCATGATTCTCTACATTCAAACTAACACCGGCTCCTTCATGCTGATATGCATTGACACCTGGTGGCATGTCCTCAGAAAGTGCCTTTGCAAATATTTCAGAAAGGAAGTCTTGAGGGAATCGATCATTGATGTCAATAAGAACACCTGAAGAAGTTTGATCTTCAGGGACAACATGACTTATGGCTGTGTCTACATGGCTAAAATTAGGAGCTTCAGTCTCTATACCTCCACCATTGACCATTGTGTTATTGTTGGCAGCATCAGTGTTTAAAATCTTTTGCTCATTCGCTGACCCAACTTTTTCAGAGACTGTTTCATCAACAACATCTTCATTTGATTTACCTTCTCCTTGTTTTGCTGGATCCTGCTGTCCAGTGCTAGCTTGTGAATGAGACATTAAGAACTGAGAGCCTATCGAGTCATCAGACTTCGACAGGCGGTTTAGGATATCTAACTGTTCACGAGGTATCCTCTCCGAACGATATACCCTCCGTGTGGGCTGTAAAGGTTCCGGATAATCAAGATCGATTAAATTTGACTCGGAGTCAGTATGAGCAAGACCACAGGTACCACTTGATGTTGAAAGCTGATCGTCCTCACCAGATAAAGGAACCTGCTCAGGAACAACAGCATCACGGTAGGTAGAAGGCTTCACAGGATTGTTCTGTCGTGGGTCTCTTCGTGGGGGCAACATATGTGCAGCATCCTGGCTAGGAACAGTTGCAGAAACTGATGCATCCCGAACTTCGCAGTGATTCTTAACCTCGATATTATCTGCTTGAGGAGGATTCTGACGATTTTCAGGCTCTATATTCTCACGAACTTTCATCTCAGGTTTTATGTTTAGCTCTCCTGCCTGCGCTGCTGCGTTTTGCTGTGTGATGCCAGGGTGAGGGTATGGCTGCCCTTGGAAAGGCATGGAAATAGAGTAATTGGAAGAACTGTGTTCATGATGCATTGGAAACTGCTGTCTTTCTTCATAATATTGTGGGTATATTCCATAGGGGGTGGAGGAAATCGATTGTGGATACTGAAGAGTGGAACTTGGTAGAATAGACTGTGGATACTGAAGAGAGGGACTTGGCGGAATGGACTGAGCATACTGAAGAGTAGAATTTGGAGGAACAGCTTGCTGGTACTGAAATGCAGCATTATGTGGAATAGATTGGGGATACTGTAGCACGGAGCCTTGAGGCGCAGACTCAGAAAACTGCATAGAGGCTTGTTGGAAATCAGCTCCCGACTGCGAAGGGCCAACACCATTGATTCCCTCGGTGTTACTGACATCCAGCTCAGCTAAATTGTTTGCAGAAAAGCTGTCCAATCCATTAAGAGTTGAGTTGCTTCTTGATCCAATGTCCATATCATTTACAGCTACAACATACTGAAACTCAGAGTCAACATCATTTTGCTTAACCCCCAAAAGAGAACCATCCAAATCACTGACAGAGAAAAGAAACATTCTAAGCTTTTGCGAACCCCCACGGTTTTCCATCTCATTATACTCCTCCATCATATTCTGGAGATCTTCATCACATGATACAGAAACCAAGGCGTCAAGATCTTCACCAGGAAGTTGATACTTGACAACATGAGTCCGGTAGTAGATTTCAAGAACTTTTTGCCTGAGATCCCGCCAAGATATGTCCTTTCTAATGGAAATAATGTGTGTTTCACCTCCAACATACCTAAGCTTTGAATCACGTGGACGTGGGAGTATTTTCCCACCAAAGCTACAAAGGACTTTAACCTTTGCTGTTAAACTACCTGAGGCTGAAGAAGATGCATATCCATGAGAATTTCCTAAGCTTCTATCTTGACATAATGAAGCTTCTGGTGCTGACTGGATATGCCCAAGTTTGTTTCCAAACTCATGAGGCGGAAAGTTTGTTCGATCATACTCTCTCATCCCATTTCCCATCATGTCACCAGCTGCATTTGGGTTTGCAGACCTCTGAGAAATCACCCGATCCCGCAGAAACTCAAAAGAAAATTCCTCTCCTGTTTGTATGGAGTAATGAAGCCCTGGTTTGACATCTGAAGCATTCATATTGGGAGGCCTGGCATTTGATTGATCGGGCGTAAACGCTTGAGGGGCAGAGTCATTCACATTTCCAGGTTCCACAGAGTGTTGCGGGAACGGATGCTGTGGTCTGTTTCTATCCATCACAACAACAACAATAGGTCCTTCAAGTTATTCTAATTGGCAATACTCCAAAACTTTTGAGATGCCAAATTGCTTCAGAGATTGCATAACCTCGAAACTACTAAGCTGCAATGAAAGCAATGAAGAAAATTAATATAAGTTTTGAAGCTTTGAATCCTCAAGAAATTAACAAGAAAATGGCATTAGGGCAAGACCAATAACCCAGAGGTTCTTCAGATAAATGCCATTGTAGATTAATTAATCTGAAAAGAAAACTCCAAAACCATGCTTTTTAATCAAAAAATGGCAACTTTCTTACGGCAACCTTTCATCAATTAATCCAAAATCTCAATTGAAAAACCACAGGCCATAGTAATTAACCAAAAAAAAACAAAGCCCTAGCTCGAAATGAAGATTCCGCCATATCACAACCGCTAAAATAGCTTCAGAAAGAGGAAAAAAAAGCAAGTGTTTTGTCTAAACAAAACCCAGAGAATAAGAAATGAAAGAACAATACCACCAAGAAAAGAAATGTAGGAGCTTGACTGAGACAGTAAATCTGGGTAAACGATAGATCCGATCCAGAGCTCACTGAGAGCTCGAGGAACGGTAAATCAGAGTCTAGAAGGTGGCTACGAAGGAAAGAAGAGTCATTTCGGGGAACAATGGTGTAAGTTGAAGATGATGATCAGAGTTGAGAGGAAGAAGATAGGTTTATGATGATAATTTTGATTGATTAAATTGTTCGTAGATGGCAAAGGCCTACATATATCGTGGACCGGAAATGCATAATCAGATGGACAAACCGAAAATAAACCTTAATTAACCAAACCAGTTCATTGAACTATGAAAACCAAACGATTAGAGAGGACTTCCTGTAAGATTGACCAGTGTAGAGGGTGAAGAAATTTAGGAAGGATTGTGCGAACTACCTACAATCGAAAACATCTTCTCTTTGCTCAAATCTCATCAGGATAGTATATCAAAAACCCTAACTTCTTCTTCTTCTTCTCCTTCTTCTCTTTCTTTCTTGTTTAAGCTTTCTCTCACTTCCTCTAGTTTTCCTCGTTTGTAACTCGAAAATGGAAAGGAAATTTCGTTTAAAGGATCAAAGAAAAAAAAAGTATTTAAAAATTACCAAATTGTCAGACTTTTGTAATGGAAAATACAAAATCTTTCGTGTTTAAGATTTAACTTAACTCCGTCTGACTCGGTTCTAAAACCAGAAGAAACGTGGACCGTACATCTTTCGAAAGATGGACATGTTCAGGGAAAATAGACGGCCACGATGATAGAATAAGATCGGTGGAGTATGGAATCAAGCTCCGTAGACCGTAGCTTATGTTATACGGTTTGCATTAAATGGGACTCTCAATGTCATCAGATCCTAAACTATAATAATAAGGACGTGGGGAAACTTATTTTCTATCATTTTCGTTACAAAAGGTTCTCTCTTTTAATTTCCTTACGTAATGTTTTTTCCCCCTTTAGAATTAGAACCCTGAATATGTACAATTTTTTGGAATTTTGATCAATTTGGATTTCTTATGAACGGAACATAGACTTTCAATAAAAATTAACAAAAGGCATAGACGTCACTTTCGAGATCCAATGAGGAAATCTCCCTTTCCTTAAAAATCTTTGTTTCCTTGTTTTTTTATTTCTTTTTTAGCAAGGCTTTAAAATATAGGTTAAGCTACTTCTTGTAAAACCTCACATTCATTTCCTTAATGATATTTACTATTTGGAACCATTCAACCAAACTAATATTTAGCTTGATAACGAATTTTTAAGGCCCATTGTGGACTTGAAGGACCATTATGACTTGGCCTTAAGTAACTCGTGAGCCTTGTACATAAAAAGGTCCATGACTCGAACATTTGCTATCTCTAGTTCTTGTTCTTGTCTTGATACGAAGGAATATGAATCAACTGGAAACATAATCGAGGTGATTAGGCCACAACAGAATCTAACTGGATCTTCTTGAACGCATCTCCCCTCATAATGTAAACAAAAGATTGCCCATTTTCATCTCAACTAACACACTACGAGTCTCTTGTCGTCATTGTTATCTATGAAGTAACTTGGCGGCTGAGTGACCAAGAACTTAGTGATACCACGTCGTAATCTCGGTAAGTTGGGTATTGAAAAACCGTCATTATCAATCTCCACGACACGGCCTCATCCTTAGCCCCATTAATCTTGTTCTTAGCTCCCTCTCCCAAATCTTCATCTTCTTTGTTGTATAACATTGTTCCAGCATCGAGAACCAATCTCCCCTAATGTCAAAAATTGCAGTAGCTAGAAAGGTTGGACTTTTAGTTTCACTGTCACAGAGAGATGAGACTACTTTTAATCACAGTAAAACTCTGCGTTTTTTCCCAAGATGATGAATATCTTCCACATTCCAGAGAAACTATCCTCATTTTGTGTGGTTTATGCTGTTTCTATGGAGCCCACTATTAATGGGTCAAGGTCTTCGTTGATGTGATCATGTAGGATCAAAAATAAAAATAAAAAGGGTTGAAACTTGACTTATTGGTGTGTGCGAGAGAGAAATTCTGAGTCCTGGAAGAGAGAGAGAAAATGGGTTGTGATCTGAAACGTTACATTGTTTCATTGCTTCTGCTGAGAGTCTGTGACTACGCAGCTGCTCATACTTTCCCTGTTGCACTTCCTAATTGCAAAGACCATTGCGGAGATGTTAGTGTTCCTTACCCTTTTGGGATAGGTCAAATGGTACGAGATTGTCTGCATAAACTCATCATACCGCTCTTATCCTTTCCTGCTTAGCATCGAAAGGGCAGTTATATCCTTCTCCCTTGGAGGCTTTTCAGATGATTATTATTATGACGAGAAAAACAGGTTTTACATTCTGAGTCCATTGAAACACTCAGGTTGCTCCAGTACAGTAGTAGGTGATTCGCCGTCTTTTAATCTAACTGGCAGTCCATTCTTCATATCAGACAAGAACAAGTTCACAGCTGTAGGATGCAACAACAAGGCGTTGATGAAAGGCACAGGGTTGCAAATCGTGGGATGTGAGGCGACATGTAGAAACGAGACACAGTCTTATCAAGATGATTACGGAGGTTGTCTGGGTTATAAATGCTGCCAGACCTCAATCCCACCTAATCTTCAACTATTTAATGCAACTCTGGAGAAACTGGAACCTAGTAAAGACGGGTGTCAAGTTGCATACTTGTCACAATTCAACTTACAAGGGTACATGTTCACGGCTCCTCAACTACCAGAGTACGGTGCTTACATGAGGATGGAGCTCGAATGGCGTTCTGATCTTCTCTCGTCTTCTTCAGGTGCTTCATGCTGGCTGAGTGAAAGTATAAATGTAGCTCTACGCGGAGATCATTATATGTATCTCTGCTCCTGCGATAGTGGCTATGAAGGAAATCCCTATATACCTGGAGGATGTCAAGGTCTGTCTAAACTTCTTTCTCATTGTGAGTAGCTTTCACCCATAGAATTCTGTAAGAAGTTAGTATGCTCTTGTTTTGTTCCTAGATATTGATGAATGCAGAGGTTCAAAGAAAAATATATGTGGAAAGAACAAGTGTGTCAACGTTCCTGGATCATTCAGATGTAGGAAAACTTGGCCAACCATATTAAGTAAGTTGATATAATTGTTTTCTGTATCGCTCCATCATCTTTCTACATTGAAACTGAAAGATAAACTTACATTGCTCTAAGACTTGTTCTGTAGGTGGACCTCTCAGCTCTGGATTGCTGCTTTTGGTCATCGGAATGTGGTTGCTATGCAAGGCTAATAAAAAACGGAGAGTAGCCAAGCAGAAGAGTAAGTTCTTCAAACGAAATGGAGGTTTGTTGTTACAGCAACAAACTTCTCTCCTTCAAGGGAGTGTCAATAGAACCAAACTGTTCAGCTCTCGTGACCTGGAGAAGGCAACTGACAAATTCAACCCTAACAGAATACTAGGACAAGGAGGCCAAGGTACAGTTTATAAGGGAATGTTGGAAGATGGGATGATCGTAGCTGTCAAGAAGTCCAAAGCATTGGAAGAAGAGAACCTTGAGGAATTCATCAATGAGATAATCCTTCTGCAACAGATTAACCATCGAAATGTGGTCAGGATCTTGGGGTGTTGTCTTGAGACAGAGGTACCTATTTTAGTGTATGAGTTCATTCCCAACAGAAGCCTTTTCGATCATCTTCAAAACCCATCAGATGATTTCCCAATGACATGGGAAGTCCGTCTCTACATCGCCTGTGAAGTTGCAGATGCTCTCTCCTACCTGCATTCAGCCGCGTCTATCCCAATTTATCACAGAGATGTCAAGTCAACAAATATCTTGTTGGATGAAAAGCACCGTGCAAAAGTATCAGATTTTGGGATTTCGAGATCCGTTCCTATAGATGATACTCACTTGACGACGATGGTGCAAGGAACAGTTGGATATGTAGACCCAGAGTACCTCCAGTCAAGCCACTTCACAGGAAAGAGTGATGTCTATAGCTTTGGGGTGGTGCTCATTGAGCTCTTAACAGGAGACAAACCTGTCTCCCTTCTGAGGCCACAAGAAGTCAGGATGTTGGGTGCGTACTTCCTCGAAGCCATGAGAAATGACAGACTTCATGAGGTTCTCGATGCTCGCATCAAGGAGGAATGTGATCAAGAGGAGGTCCTTGCAGTAGCCAAACTTGCAAGAAGGTGTTTGAGCTTGAACTCAGAACATCGCCCTACCATGAGAAACGTCTTTATTGAACTGGATAGGATGCAATCCAAGAAAAAAGGCACTCAAAGCCAAGCACAGAAGGGTGAAGAGCGTGCACAGATACAGATCGCAATACCAGAGTCTATGTCACTCAGTTACTCTTCTCCGGGCATAGTCATTGAAAACAGATCATTCTCACTGGACTCAAAGCCACTCATGACTTACTAGACAGAGCGACTGGTAAAAGCAATACTCTTCACTTTCCAAGACATAAAAGTTCAATAAGGAATGATACGCAATCAACCTTCAAGGTCTTAGCACTTGTGTGAATGTACCCCATAACGTATACAATAGCTATCATCTGTAAAATCAGTTGAAAATAAGCGAGACTGCACCCAAAGAAAACCATTTGTATAACTCTTAATTTTTATCTTTCACGTATTTGGTCTATACACATGATACATACACCTCTGTGTAGAAGAAATAGACACACAACAAAAGATAAGCTTACTAACGCTCAATGCGCTGATAAAACAGTAATCTTATTTCTACATTAATTGGGAGATTTCAGATGTACACAGTCCAAGTTCAATTCAAAATATGAGTGGCGCAGTAATGGCCTGACTATCCACTGGTTAAGGCGGAGAAGATTCTTCCAAGGATACACAACCAATGATGGACCCACCGGCTGGATTGCACATCCGTTTGGTCTCTCTCCAATTCAGAGGCCTATCCAAAGGGTTACATACCCTCACGACGGGCAATCTCACAATGTCAAATCTCCCTGCCCCTGATTCTTCCCATTTAAGGACCTTGCCTCCTATAACATAGAGCTCATCCCTTAGAGCTGCAAATCCATATCCAAAGGCCTCTAACTCTCTCGGATGATTAGGAAGAACAACAGAAGGAACTGAACCAACATTGTACCATTCTCCTTCATCTGTATCCCTAGTCTTGATCAAGCTTTCTCCCCAATCTACAATCGTGTACACTCGATCATTTTTCATCACCTGAACAGCAAACTGCATGGCTCTAGAGAAAGGCCAGACATCCTCCACAGTGGACCAAGACATGTCTAAAGGGTTAAAAACTTCAGATGAATTTTGCTCTGCAAATCCCACCTGATCACTCAGGACATGAAAGCACCCTCTGTACGATAACCCCGAGCAGTCCATCTGTGGTCTAGGCATCGCTGGTAGTTCCTCCCACCTGAAAAACGTTAAAGACATATATCTTGTCCATCATATACAAAAGTACAAAGAGTGGGTTCCTTATGCAAATCATATCAGTTAACCATATATTTTATGAACCAAAATAGTGGAGAAGAATACCTATCAGCCACAGGATCATAAACCTCAGCAGATGGAATTCCTCTGGAATGGTTTAAATTGCGACCTCCAGCAACATAAACCTTGCCAGAGACAGCAGTACAAGCAAAGTGAGTCCGTGGAGTTCGCATACTAGCAACCATTTTCCATTCTTTCTTAAACGGATCAAACCGCATAACGTCTTTAGTGACAACAGGCTTCTGATGAGGAAACGACGACACCGAAGGCGCATAGCAACCTCCGATCACAAGAAGACAATTCGAAACACAAACACAAGAAAACCCAGAATGATGCCAGCCATCTTGAACAGATCTAGTCCTAGGTAATGGATGCCAACGATCAGCTTCAGGATCATAAGCAACCCATTGGTTCTTAGAACGTTCTGTCAGAACAAACAACCAGCTCCCTGCCCATCCATTTCTAGCTTTATAGCACGAGTAATGAGCGCTACGAACTAAATCTCTCCAGCCTCTGGAGACACACTCGAGCGCTCCATGATACCCATGAGAAAGCTTGGCTAAGCATCTCAAAGCCAAATCATCAGGCAGACCTGGGATAATAGACTGTTCTATGGACTCCCTGAAAACAAGTATAACACAACGATTTGGCTATAAAAATCAATTTCATAGAAAAAATCAATTCAATCACTATTCCCTTTGAGAGTTCGTTTTTAAGAAGAAGAAAAAAATATGATTTTGGATCATGAAGATAAAGGTAAAGGATCAAAATTCAACATTGTGAAAGACAAATTAGAGAGCCGACTTACATGATTCGAACTCGAAAGATTGCAAAATGTATTTAGCGATCCCCTTGTCGAACTTGCTTTAGAACACCAAAGTTACCCTTTAAAATCCACAGCTCTCACGGAAACAAAACAGCAGTAGCAATATCGAAAGACGAATCGAAACAGAAAATGAAATCAGATCGATCTATTCAAGGTGGAGCAACGCACACTCGGAGACCAAACCAAGATTCTGGAAACGAAGACCGAGAGGAAAAGAGACAAGCATGGGAAGCGAAATGGAGGATAAATCCATCCATTACAATATACCTTATGTGGTCCTTGAATTATATATCTTGTATGTTTTTAGAGCCCCACTTTCTAAAGCAACTATTAACCCCCTCACATTCTACGATAAATAAACGCCGTCGTTTAGTCTCAGCTTCTTCATATAAAAATCTCGGAAGTCACAGAACTCCCCGTCGGTGCGTGACAGGTCGACTCCTAATCCCTCTGATTCACGGTTGTTCGGCGACTTCAACATCCTTGCCGATCTCTGACACGATACGATCCCTTAAGGTTTAATCAAAGTTTCTATAGATATTTATCGGTAAGCAATTCGATTCTCTTAACGATTTTACTTAGGTGAATTTGATTGGGAATATCTCTATTTCTGAATCCCTCCGATCTTCCATGATCATGAAATTCCGATTGCTTTGATTGGGGAAATATCTGTTTCTTAATCGCTCCGATCGTGTCCCTGGATGTTGAATAATTTTGATCCAAGTTAAATAATTCCTTGAAAATGATCTGTAGTTGGTATTGGGGTGAGATAAGGAAGCAGGTCAATGGCGTCTTCGTCGGATTCATGGATGAGAGAATACAACGAGGCTTTAAAGCTCTCGGAGGATATAAATGGAATGATATCAGAGAGGAGTAAATCGGCCGTAACAGGTCCTGATGCCCAACGTCGTGCTTCAGCTATACGAAGAAAGATCACCATTTTCAGTACCCGATTAGAGTCTCTGCAATCTCTTCTTGCCAAACTTCATGGGAAACCTATGTAAGCCATTAACTTTAATCTGTAAACTATACACTTTTTAAGTTTAGTGCTGATCTTGACCTGTGAATAGATAGATCTTCTTCTTCTTATTTTTCTTTCTTTCCATCTGAACATTTACTTACTGACACAGCTCAGAGAAAGAGATGAATCGGCGCAAGGATATGATTGGGAATTTGAGATCGCAAGCAAATCAGATGGCGAATGCTTTGAACATGTCAAACTTGGCCAATAGAGACAGCTTGCTTGGTTCTGAAATAAAGCCAGATGACACCATGAGGCAAGTTAGCGGCATGGATAACCAAGGAATTGTTGGATTTCAACGGCAAGTTATGAGAGGTAAGCTGTTTTTGTCCGTGTAAACATGATACAAATGCTGACTTTGTGTATTAGTTTCTCTACTGAGTTTGTTTTTTTTACGCGAGTTAGAACAAGATGAAGGACTTGAGAAGTTGGAGGAAACAGTCATGAGTACGAAACACATTGCTCTGGCTGTCAATGAGGAGCTTGGCTTGCAGACAAGGCTTATCGTATGTCATTGCCTTTTCATTGTTTTTTACTGCTTTGATTAGGTTTCATTATTGTAATAAATCTGGGTTATATGCACTGTGCAGGATGACTTAGACTACCATGTGGATATTACTGACTCTCGTTTACGGGTAATGCATCAGTCAGTGAATACCTGGTTTAATGAACCACGTTATACTAAGCTAATGACTAATCATAGTTGATCTATTATGTTTATTGTTTCTTATCACAGAGAGTACAAAAGAACCTTGCTGTCATGAACAAGAACATGAGAAGTGGTTGTTCGTGCATGTCAATGCTCTTGTCAGTGTTTGGGATCGTTGGCCTCGCTGTTGTTATTTATCTGCTGGTTAAGTATTTGTAATACTAACAATAGAGAACTTATAAGCTCCTCTCTTGCCTTTCTATGTGAATGGTCTACTGATTCCACGTTTGTGCTTGTGCTTTTCATTCTTCTTCCGTTGTTAGAATCCTTTAATAAATATATATTATGTGTGCAGTTTTCACAATTTTGCTGTCAGATTTAAGAACTAGTAAAACGTAGAGATATAAACGTATTTGTAAGAGGTCTTCCACGAAGAAACTCGTCCGAATTCGCTATATGAAACAATGAACATATTGTAACATTTGCTACCACCGATTTTCATGTCATCACTGGAAAGAAAAACAATCATGAAATGAAAATCAGTGATTGTTTGTTTGTTTGAGTTTTGCTGACTCACAACCATTTTCTCCAGCTACTTGATCTTAGCTCACCAGAGAAGAACCTGGGAATGCTCAAGAGACTGTTAACTCTAGTCAAGCCTTCCAACGCCGACCATTCTTCATCATCCTTAACCGATATGCATTCTGCGAGTGTTGTCTTCTTGGACTCAATCGTGCAACTCTCAGACATTTTTTCTTCTTTAGACTCCCAAACTGGTACAATCTCATCGGTCTCTATTACAGCCTCTTCATTTTTCTCACCATCTTTGCTTGATGTCATAGCGACACTCTCTGTAGACTCTTTGTGTGAATGATTGGTTCTTTCTGAAACTTCCATGGATGCTGCTGTCGAGGAATCCTCGAGAAAGAGACATACCACAGCGCAGTCATCGTTCTTGGAAGTAGGATACTTGAGCCTCCACGCTCGAACAGCTGTATCAACTACAGCACGAGCCGCAGTGTTTCGACAAGGAGCTGAAGCCACAATATCAACAGCTTCTTTATTCGACAAAACATCCCATACCTACAATCACACAAAAAGATTTGGCTACATAAGATTTTGATACAAAACCATCATGAAGATGAAGAAGAAGAAGAAGAATGTACCCCGTCAGTGGCTAGAATAATGAACTGATCTCTTTCAGTGAGGCAGCGGTAGTTGATATCCGGAACAGAGATAAGACCGTAATCTTTAAGACAGAAGTCTCCGAAAGCTCGAGCCATTGCCAGACCAGGTGAATTGCTGTTTGGTAGCCACACACGCGCAACCTCAGGCTCATCTTGTAAGGCAAATACTCTACCTTTACATTTCTGGATTCTTGCGGATTCACCTGAAGTACATGGAGAAGAGAGTTAGACTGTGGATGATCAATTGTGACGACATAAGGTAAGAGATATATACTTGGCAAATCGGGTTTTAAGTCTATGGTTAATTGTACAGCAATCAGAGCATTGTCTTCGTCTCTTGTAGCAAGAACAGCTCTTGAGTCACCAATATTCCCCACCACCAGATCCTTACCCTATATAAGAACAATGATAGCAGTTAATGTAAAGAGCAATGGAAGAGAAAATAACCGATGACCGGACTTTAACCTGTTTGATCACGGTGACAGAAGTTGTTCCGCTGCAGAAACAATTGATGGTTGGATGCATTTTTAACTCTTTATCCATCTGTTGACAAGTCTTTAGCAATGCCCGTTTCAGTGAGAGATACATCTCGGGAAGTAGCTTTCCGTCCTTCTCACTTGGCTGTAACTCACACCATTGCTCTTCATCTATGCAAGTAGCAGAGTCGAGGCCATCGTTGGAGCTGCTCTGTTCCATGACCGAGGCCATTTTTAATTGTGTTGATAATGTGAAAGGTAATATATCTCGGACTCTCTGTGCAACCATATGACCAAAGGGACCATGTCCATCGAATACACCACAAAACACTGTATCCCTTCTCGAGCAGAAATTCTGAAAATTTAAGAAAGGTTGGTTTTAAACAGTGAAATAAGTTGAAGCAAAAGAAAGATATAAAGTCCCTAAGAACTAAGGTTGCTTCTGATTCATGTCACATTTCACATTTCACATAAAATAGCAACAAGAAGAGCAATTGTAACTGCAACAACAAAGATAGTCAATAGCTTTCTTCAATACGATGAACTATAACAACAACTTCTAATATCAAAGAATTCTGCATTTCATCATAGTGAAACAAAACCCTAAAAGGAACAAACCAATAATAGCAAAAGCTGAACTCTATAGCCCAAAGAAGGAGAGAAACAAACCTCCCAAACAAGCATGGCATCTTGATTTGTTCCTTTTTTGCCTTGCTGTGTATAAAGACAAGCCATTTCACTTGAACCATTGCCAACAAGCCGACCCACCACCTGTTTAATCTCATCGATTTCGCCGCCGCTATTTATATCTCTCGGCCTCCGTCGCCGCCCGGAGCCTTGACTCTCCGCTGTGGTAGCGACGGTGCTCGTTGCTCCGGTTTTCTCCTTCGTCGTCTTATCAATTCTCGAATTACACAGACCCATTTGAATTCCCGGAGAGAAAATCCCCAATTTTTCTAAAAAGATAGATCCTTTTTTTCCTTCTGAAGATCGACAGTTTAGAATCTAGTAGAGACCTGCTTTTTTGTCTGAGGTTGGTCGGCAATAAATATTCGGTTAAAAGAGTCACAGTCAAAGCTTCCAGTACAACATCCAAATGGAAAAGACAGAGAGATGAAGAAAGAGAGAAGACGGACAAATTCACATCTTTACAAAAAAAAACATAGATACAATCAAAATCTCGTAAACTGTTTTTAGGATTCTCTGTTCGAAAAGAGAGACCAAAACTTGAACACAGACCGGAGCTTACTAACTCCACTTCCGTAAGACTTATAAAAAGGAAAAAGTGTTTTTTCAAAAAATCATTTTTAGTCAAAAACAATTAGTGTGAGTGTGACTATGAGGTGAAACGATTGATTATCAGACAGAGGTCGTAGCTTGGTTCTGCACGACCACGACTTGCACGTGACATTATTTCTTTCCTTTTAAAAATTTCTTTCTGTTTAAATTTTAAAAATCCTTTTTCTTGGGAGATACAGCAAAAACAAAAATTAGTTGTTATTTATAAAATTTACTTTCTTCGGTTGCGTAGCCAATCACAAACAGGCAACATATGAGTATGACCACAGTTTATTTAATTATATCCGTGACTCGCCTCCTGGGCTATTTAATTAAGACAAAGATATTAAAAACATACCTAACAACGACAAACGGGAATCGCGCAGAACGCAAAAATAAAAACGCAGATTATTCTTTACGATAAATATGGAGATGAAAGAATAAGATAGTGATCATCTGAGATTTTGAACTGAGTAAAAATGAACGGTTCAAATGAAAAGGGAGGAACAAAACTTTCTCTTGTGCTCTGATTTGGGTTAATTATGGCTGATTTTCGTTGCGGGAACTTAGTCTTCAAAATCTGCTGAGTTCTCTAGCAGATAGTTTGCAGCCAATTCCTCGTTACGGTCACATGCAAGGAAGGCTTCTATAACTAATGCTCTGTCAAATCCCATTGCCTCAAGCTGATCAAAAAGAGAGTTACAAGTGATGAGAACAAACATTTTTCGGTTTGATATATAATGGTGATGAGGAATGTATGTGTGTGTGTGTACCCGCTGAATCGCCTCCTGCTCTGCAGGGGTAACGTTGACTGCATGGGGCATTTCTTGCTCAGGTTGGTCGAATATATCCATATCCCTGAGAGTTTTGCATAATCACTAAGAGGCATTGAGTCATGGGATCACACATATAAATGTGATTGCTTTAATCATCCGCGGATTTAGCGATTAAACCAGTGGCCAAACCAAGAAAACGATCTGCAGACTATAGAGTACTCACCCGTCAGATCCTTCATAGGGCTCGTTGAGCAACTGAAGAAATTCGGCTTGGTTCTCTTGAATTAGCCTCAGAAGTTGGGGGTTCTGCTTTCCGAGCTCTTGAAGCATAGGCTGTAACAGACGCAGATATGAGATGTTCAGATGCAATTAAAAGGTCAGGCTACTAATTTTTTGGACCCAAAAGCATTATAAAAAAGAAGTAACGACTTACTCACCTGCAGAATCTGGGGGTTGGAATTGACCATGGATCGTAATTGTTGGAACTAAAACAAATGGAAATGTAACAATAAAATAAGTATATGAGGAAGCTGCGTCGCAAGATTAAAGCAATATCATATAGGAGTAATCTTTGATACACCTCCCTGAAGGTGACGAAACAGACTTCTAACAAATCTAGCTACCAAGTTTCAAACCTTTGATCATTCTACTCGATCACACAAATGAAAAAAAGGGTGTAAGGATCGAATGACAACCTGATCATTGCTTCTGAGGAATTCAAGCGTTCCAAGATCTCCAGCAGCAGCATCAGACACTGCTTCCTGGTAACAAAACAAACCGGTAGTTGCAATGAGAACTCAACTCCAATCAACTCTTTTCGATGCACCAAAAAAAAATAAGCTCTTACCTGGGGAAACAAATCCAAAGGAGATGAATTAGGTCCTCCAGAGGCAGGAGGAGCGGCAAGGTCTGCGCCAGATCCTACCCCTGATATGTTAGTTTCTGGAACAGCTACGGTTTCAGGAATTCCCTGAAAATATAACAGATTTCAGCAATCTCTTTCCTTTAAACATTCAAAGGACACTTTTACAGAGAAGGGGTATACAGAATATAGATAATCCACTGCTCTCTCAGGGTTGTTATAAGCTGCACGAAGTGCACGAGTAACTGTGTCTTTGTCCCAGCTGCCTCCTCCCATTTCCATTATTTGTTGTACCGTTTGCTCAATACTACTGCCACTAACTAAAGTTGAAGCCGTTTGACCATAGGTGTCACTTTGTGCCCTAGACATACAGTTAATAGTTTAAAGGTCATAGAGTTACAATAAAATCATCAAAATATTAATTCAAGTAACTTATGTTAATGAAAATTTAAAAAAAAAAGGTTTCCAACGAAGCCTCTTATGTCAAGAATAAAACTTACGGCGGTTGTTCTTGAACAAGAGAGGAATTTGAAGCTGGCACAGCTATAGACTGGGTCGCCGAAGCTGCAGGCTGGTCGATTGGTACAAGCTTGCATTAAATGAACCAAAGAATCCAGGTGGTTGCATAACTCCCAAACAAAAACAGACATGTAAGAAAATTACCGTAGTTGAAGATATAGTAGATGTCGTGGTGGAAGTAGCCTGTGAGATAGGTATAAAGTTTTCTATTGAGAACCGCTCAACTGAATAAGTGATGCGCAAAAACATGAGAAAAATAACAACTAAGCTTACATGAGCAGAAGATGGACCAGCTGAACTTGCAGTTTTGCTCTATCAATTGCAGAAGAAAAAGTCATGATATTGACACAGACTAAGAACGATATGTAATTTTCAGTAATGGGTAAAGAATAACGAAACATGCTTGTAGTCCAATTGTTGTTCAGATTTTATCCTTTAAACAGAATAAAAAGATTTGAAAAACCAAAGATTGCAATACTTCACATAGATTAACTTGTAGCGTTTCTTAGGCTATTATTTATTCAAGCTTCTACCAACATCATCTCATGTATTGCTTATGACAAAAAAAGGGCTTATGAACCAGAGTTTCTGTTATCGTAAATATTAGTATGAGCCAATATCACATGCTATCTGATGGCACTTAACTTGATATACAGAACCAGATTTCTTAAAGTGTCTCATACTAAATATTATCCGTGTACCTTATAGAAGATAAAAAAAACTGCATCCTAATCACGAATTTAAACTCATAAATAAATGAAATAGGTACCTTGCTAAGCATGACAACGAGAAAACCCTCCTCGGTAACCTTGTTCTCCACCAAGGTAGTTTCATCTTTCAAAACCTTTCCATTGTGAATCAACATTTGCTGCCCACATGGATAGTTGTCCTTGCTTTGTGTATCTTCAATATTCTTTTTCACCGCCATTATCTTAAACCAAAAACACAAGCACACAAAAATGCCCAGAATTAACCATTTGAGAACCCATACACATATACACTCCACTCAACAAGACAAATTAATCAAAAAAACCTGAAATTCTGAATCTAACATATAGAAAAATCTGTTCATCAAAGTCATATGTTAGTAAGTTACATAACCCAGATTGGTATTGCACCACGAAACTTAGCCTCTTCTCGTTTGAAAACATCTAAATTTACTTATTTCCTGTACAAAATTACACGCAAATTTGAAGGATTGAAGTGGGAAAAAAAAAAGCACTAACCGTGTCGGTGGGCTGAACCCTAATTTCAAATTGGCTACCCTTGAGAGTCTTAACGTTGAGCTTCATGTCGACGAAATGAACAAAATACCGGCGGCGTTGGGAAGTCCGGCGAGGGGCGTCGACAGGGAGCGAGATATAGAGTGACCTAAGAAAGGGCGCTGTTTCCAACAACTCTAAAACTTTTCGCAAAAACAGTCGCAATCAACGAAGCGTTTCGGATTTTAAAACGCGGCAAGAGCAACCCACGTGCGATTCACTGCAACATCCTTCCAAGTGCATCGCACGTGACACACGGCCTAACATTATGAATAATATCTCTCCCAAATTTTTCATTTTTAATCATTTAGTTTCACAATTTTCCAGTAATAAAAAAAAACCAAGATTAAATTTTGTACTCACCATATAAATTTTCTATTCATAATGAATTTAATGAACGGCCTAACATTATGAATAATATAATAATATTAAGGCCGTTCATTATAAAAAAAATTATTCATAATGTGACAAGATAGATTAAATTTTCTCAAACCTAGCTATGTCGGGTTATTTCGTCATACAAGTTCATTATCTCGGATTCTCAGTTACGTTCACTGCAAATTGATTTACTTTGCAAAAAATTATATTAAACGAGACTGGTGAAATTTATGAGAAAGGTAAATATTTATATTTATATTACAGAAGGGCCAACAAAGGCTATGCAGCGTGATAGCACACGAGACTCTTATGGTCGAAAGAGAGATTTTTCTTACAAATTCATAATTCATGATAGTATTTCAGGATCTCAAGATGATTTAGTAAGCTCAGAACTCACGGTCAGGGAAGAGAATCGGAGCAACAAGTGACCAGATGAAGAGACCAGCAGTGGCCCAGCTGGTGACAACACGGACCCACACAGACGGCCAACCGACATCGACCAGGTTACCACTTTCACCTACCGATGTTGACCAGCCGGTTAAGAGCATTGCAGAGTACATGCTCGCGAGGGAGAAGATGATGTGGAAGAATGCGTATGAGTATGACACTGGTTTCTTATTCTCTTTCTCTTCCTTCTCTTCTGCCTTCCCGTCTAGCGGAAGCAGAGGCTTCTCTGAACATTTTTTCAACAAAGCCAAATCCGTTAATAATACTTGCAAGCAATCTTTAAGCACTAGAGCAAAACATAAGCAGACAATGTGAAAACTAAACTTAAAGCAAAACAAGAAACATACCTGCGCGGGGAGAATCAGGAGGGGAGAGCAGTGTGGTGGAAGAACCAGCACGAACAGCGGAATAAACGACCGAGAGAACAGTTGTGAGTAACCCAATGGTCATAGTGCCTGTTGAAACAGCTTTGGAGTGTTTGTGGAGACCATTGCATTCGTAATCTCGGGGTTCACTTGCAAGACCACTGTAACAGAGGTACATGCAGTAGAAAGATATAACTGATGCTGGTAAGATGCTTCCACCGACCTGCAAAATAAAAGGTATAATTGGCTTTAGTGAGCCTGAAGATAAGAATCAACTAAGATTTCATATAGAGGACAGGAAATAAAAGGTTTTTTTTTTTAAGTTCAAACTTACAGCGGGATGCAGAACTACAACAGCAAAGACGAATACAAATATCAAAGTCATGACAATGAAGAAAGTGTTGAGTCCACAATCATGTCCAGATGGAGTAAACCAATGGAAGAGAAGTCCAGAGAAGACGAATGTTGCCAAGTAACATACAAGAGAAACAACGAGCAACGCAGCATACCTATATATAAAGTCCAATGCTTAGATAAGCAGTGGGGTAATGAATTCACATATGAATGAATGTAAAGATTTACTAACCAGAACTGCTCGTCGTAGCCAACCCATGTGTCATTCCATCCATGAACGAAATCCAAAAGAAGCACAACTTGAACAAGAAGAAAAAATCCAGCACCGAACTTTGACATTGACTCTGCAAGATGTTAATTTGATTCTCATAAGTTCCAAGTTAATCAATTCACTAATCACTTCATCAAGAACATGAACAATGATAGATGGCACTTACCATAAAAACTGATGATTTCATTTGGAACGAAGAACATCAAGATGACCAAGATGCACCAACAGATTACTTTCATCATCCAACCACCGTGGTGTATACCATCACGAGGGTCTTTCTGATTTTTCACACCAATCATCATAACCGACAGAATCGAGAAAAACAAGAAATTCCCTAAGCTGACACGCAGCACAGCATCGGTCTCAAACCATTCCCGATCAGGTGTCTTGTGAAAATGGTTAATCCCTGCACAATGTCAGTTATTAGCTCCATAAGCTAAAAATATTCTCACTGAGAAAAGGGACGGTTAAAAAGCGATACAAGGACATAAGAAGAGAGAAAGACTTACAAGGGAGCTTCTCCATGAGAGGAGCAGCAACCTCACGGAGAATCCATGAAACGATTAAGGAAAGAGCAAAGAGACCACAGTAAGCAATTCTTGCAGAACGTCTGCTGATCCCAGAAACAACTGTACGGCAAGCATCGCATGCACAAGCAGCACAGCACGATGCTAAACAAGAAGCTGCCCACATATTCTTTCTCCTCAGAAGATCAAAGGTTGGATTCAATATTCAGCTGCTAGTATGAAAGAAAACACAAAAGACATATCATCAAACACCAAGTGATCACACAAAAACCCTAACTTCGGAAGAAGACGATCGGAAATACGGCTTTGTTAAACCGAAAAGAAAATAAATCGATATTCACATAGAACTAGAATTCTTTACGAATCGACCCTATGAGATTAAAATTGGATAAAGAAGAAAAAAACTGACTTTTCACCCAAATTCGAGACGGAATCAAAATTCCCGAAATAGTTTTCTAAGCGAAGAAACTAGCTGTAGTGAAGGGATTTTAGCTTCAGAAGAAAAGGAAAGAAAACCGAAATCGCTTCAGAGAGGGAATATCAAGATACCTTGGCGATGGATCAAAGTATTGAGCTATCCTCTTCTTTGAAAAGTAGAACGAACGACTCGGTGTTTCCTTATTCTCGCTTCCAATTTTCTGACTTTGACAAGCTTAACAAGGGAATCGCTGCTAATCGTCGATTTTATCACCAACTTTCATATGAAGCCCACTAATGGCCCAACAACAACAACAAAAAAAAGTTTCTAAATCTAGATGTCACTAAAATTCTCTACTAAATCTGATTTACGTACGCATGTTTTGTAAGCACCCTCTGGATGCTACAAGAGTCAGATACTCAGATCGTAGGAAAATGCTTAATCTAGAACATGCCCATCATTTCTTAAAAAAAAAGAGAGAGAAAATAATACATGCCCTTCATATTCAAAAGACGAAGGAGTGGAAGCTAAAGACGCATTATCATCATTTTCTTTTTTCCTCTTTTTCCTTTTTTAATCTTTTAATTTTTTTTATCTAAAAATCCCTAAATTCCCGTCGCATGTAACGGACTAAATAAAGCGCGTACGGCGTCATCCGGCAAATCGGCCCCGCTCGAGCCATCAAGCTACGGATGAGATTCATCTCTCCCTCTCTCTACACTTATATATCGGTGACGCAACGTCTAGCGGCGGAGTGATTTTGACGCTGTCGGATTCGCGTGTCGACGGAGCTGGAAGCAGCTGTTTCCTCTCCAGATCTCTAACCGATTCTCTCCTGTCTCTGATTCACCGGTTCGTTTTCTTATAAATCTTCACCTGCTTCGGATCTATTTCCTCAATTGTATCGGCCTTGTGATTTCTTTTTGTATTGTGTATCCTTCGATTGATTGACCACTTTCCTCGAATCTCCCTGAATCCAATGTGCATTCACGACGGGTCTTTTGTTGTGCTTGATGGTTGATGATTGACTGAAAATAACGTTATTGCGAAAAGATCCAAGCTTGTCTTGTAGATTGGGAACAGATCGAAATGTTCGCTAGCTTCCCTGATTGCTGTTTCTCATTGACATTAATGATCTCTCGATATTCAAAATTATTGGTAGCAGCTATATAAATGGTTTATGAAGGGGAAAAAATGCCAAAATGTACATTCAATCTGATTGAATCTCCTCTCCTCTCCTCTCCCTCCTCTCCATTAGCGTGTTTTGGTTTTTGTTCAATTGTGTATATGACTCTGTGTGTCGATTTGCAGGCTGGTTGTTAAGCAGACATGGTTCTCGATGGGATTGTATCTTCACCATTAAGGAGACCACAGTCACTAAAGAAACAGTGGGAAGAGTTGGGTAGCTGCTCCACGGTTATTCAGAGGCATCGATATCTCTTAACAGCATTGCTTCTTTTGGCATTCCTCTGCACTGTTTATCTCTACTTTGCAGTCACTTTAGGCGCTAAGCACTCATCTTGCTACGGCTTGACCGGCAAAGAGAAGGCAATTTGTCAGTTACAGCATGTCCAAGCTATCTCCAAAGGGAAGCTGAAATTCTTCTAGAGTGTCATCGGCCAAGGCTGATACCCATTATTGCTCTTGTATTAAAACATTCTTTTTATTAATTCTATAATGCAATGTGTATGTGTGTTATTATTATATGGTGAAAAACAAGAGATTTACACTTGAAAGATAAAAACATTTATTTTCATCATGGCATGAACAAATCAAAAAGGGAGTTTCTACACTTCTCAACACATCAGTGTTATGGTTGGAACACTCTTTGTACACGTCCCATTAATTATTTTTTTGTTAATTTCCATGTCTTGATCCTCTTCTTCGTCTTTTACGAAATGGACTTCATAATCCTCAGGTGATGAACTGATCCTCTCCAGCTCAATTGAAACCTCTCTCATGGTTGGTCGTTTCCTCCCTTTCCGGCTAAGACACTTTTGAGCGAGTTTTGCCACCGCCATCAATTGGTCAAGCTTGCTTTCGTCTTTGATCCGAACGTCAATGATGTCAAGCACTGTGTTTTCTTTCATGGCCTCAAGGAAGTGAGTTGCCAATCCCCTTCCTTCTTCAGACCGGATTCGGGACAGTGGCTTTTCTCCGGTTATGAGCTCCACCAAGACAACCCCAAAACTGTAAACATCGCTCTTGTCAGTATATTGGCTTGATAGGAAGTACTCTGGATCCATGTACCCAAAAGTTCCAGCAACCAACGTTGTCAAGTGAGTTTGATCAATGGTTACCGATCTTGAAGTTCCGAAATCAGATACTTTGGCCCGGTATTTCTCGTCCAATAATATATTGGTGGTCTTGATATCTCTATGGTAAATTGGAAAAGATGCAGCTGAGTGCATGTATGAAAGAGCTCCGGAGATCTCTACGGCTATGCGAAGACGCACTTCCCAAGTCATTGTGTAATCATCGGATTCATCATGGAGACGCTTGAACAGATCTCCATTGGGAATATATTCATAAACCAAGATTGGAACTTCCGTCTCCAAGCAACATCCCAAGAGTTTCACAATGTTCCTGTGGTTAATTTGTGAGAGAAGTGCAACTTCATTGATGAATTCTTGCATCTTGTCTCCATCCACAACTTTGGATGTTTTAACCGCAACGATTCTTCCATCTACCAGCATTCCTTTGTACACAGTTCCTTGACCGCCTTGCCCAAGGACCCTATTCATGTTGAAGTTATCAGTGGCTTTCTTCAACTCTTTTGAGCTAAATATCCTTGACATCTCTACATTTCCGTTCTTTGTGGTAGTTAGTTGTTGTTTCAACAGCAAGCCTCCATTACGTTTGAAGAAGTTCTTTCTCCGGATGATCCTCCTTCGCTTCTTAGCGAGTTTGTACATCCCCAAGATTCCGAGGACGAAAAACAGTGCTCCAATAAGACCTATAAGAACGTCTACACCAACGAAGAAAAGCCATCAAGTAAAACTACTTTTCGGTTCTCTGTATTGTAGTCTCGTAGGTGCAAGATGCTACTTTAACTCACCTTTAAACACAGAGTTTTTCTCCGGCTTGGTTATCTTGGGATCGCAGCCATATGTTCCAAGAATGTTCACACAAGAGGTCCCTTCTCCACAAATGTTGTGTCCTTTACATTCATCTATGTCTACACATTTTTGAATCATAGTTATTGATGTATTGATCGATTAAAGGCAGCAAACAAAGATTGAAAAAAAAAAATCACTTACCTATTCGCAGCCATGTGGAAGGTATGGGTTCCCTATGTAGCCATCGTTGCAATAGCAATTTCTATAACTCATCCCAGGAAAGTATTGATATTGGCAACCGCATTTATCCCAAGAAGTGTAATCACTGTAACGGGTCATATTTTTACAACCTAAGGGGCTCCTAAAGCGAGAATCCGAAGTATCAAAGTACCAACCTAGCTCTACCAACGCATATCCCTTGGAATGAAACTGTTCTGGCTCCGATACATTCATCGGCGAATACCTCTTGTTAGTCAAGAAAGCAACTTTGCACCCTTGTCCTCTTGTGGCATTAGAGTTCTCTATATTGACACCTATAACCTGAGGACGTTCCAATGGTATCCTCGCCTGGCAGCATCTGTAACCAGTACAGACCAAGTTTGTTACTTGTTGACTACTGTTATTGTCTTGGCAGCTCGATTCACAACCTAAGATCTCTGACTTGATATCTGTCAGCGACGCCTTTGTACCGCAGCCAACCGCCACGAGGCGGTTCTCGTCTGTGAGAAAATATGGACTGCCTCTCCCTGTGACGTTCAAATCCGGCGATGACTTTTCAAGAAGTTCTTGACTACTATTGCTAGAACAATCCAACGAAGTCACTGGACCTTTGATGTGAACCAATCCGTATGGTTTATCTCCATCTGAGAGGGAGATGTTCACCACTTCCCTGTTGATCCTAGACAGGAACGGAACAGTTTTGCCGGACGACCCGGAAGTGCTTGTGTTACAGACAACCTCGTACCAGCCGTTGAGATAGCAGTCTTTCCCGCCGATCCCGAAAGGAAATGGGATCGAGATTCCTCCACAGGTTTTGTTACAAGAACTTGGTGGATTACTATTTGGAGTTGATGCTGCTTCTGATGAGCCATTGTTGAGCAGAGTTAGGACAGACACCAAAATACATAGGAAGTACTGGTCGATTTTTGTCTTCATAATTCTGTTTTTGTGTGTGTGTGTGTGTGTGTTCTCTATCTGATCAACCTCAATCTGCTTCAATAAGAAGAAGAAAAAAAAAGTTAATTAAGATTTAAGAACCACACGTCCCCACCACCAGATTTGATGAGAAGGTCAAGAGAAGTTTGGAAAGAAGCGTGAAGCAAAGCACAAGAAAAAACTAATACAAAAAAATATATATGTCAATGCCATGAGGGCTTCTTCTATGTTATAATAATGAGTGAAAGTTGGATTATAAAACTCACTCTTCATTCGGACCATTGTCACCACGTTTGTTCAGGATACAAAACAAAGTTGACCAGAATCAAGCGTTAGCTCAAAAGTCAATGGATCCTTGACCAGTCAATGTAATCAATGTACAATAGTGGGGTTCACAAGGATAACGAATTAATAAGGTGAACAATTTTTGGTTCATAACTAATAAAACAATGCCATTTGGCAGAATGGAAAAAAAATCTGGCCCACATAGGGGATAGCAAAAGAAACATGGTTTCAATTGATATTTTGCGGTTGAAGCGCACTTAGGCTTGACCTTTTTATCATGATCCAATCAAAACATTCTTCATTATCGACGAAAGCTGAAATCCCAGTATTGTTCTTGAACGAAAACATTCATCATTATTTTTTTCTTGGTTCCACAATATTGCAATATGTGTGTATTATAATTACATGATGAAAACGAGAGATTCATAATCGAAATCACACCTTTTTAATCATTAAATTAATGTGGATATATACATAAGAACTGTTTCAAGTCCCTCATTATTCATCACCATGTTCTTAGAGGAACCAGAGGATCGACGTCAGACGTTGGGGATGCATTAGTAAACAGGGAGGGTGGAGCAGTCATACCAGCATCCCAATTCTCATCAATGCTGAGATGTTCCATGGCTAGATCCTCTTCGTCATCATCGTCCTCCTCAACATGAGCCTCTGGATCATCATTAGGTGATGAACGAATCCTCTCCAGCTCATTTGAGACTTCCCTCATGTTTGGTCGCTTTTTCCCTTTTCGGTCCAAACACCTTCTAGCGAGTTTTGCCACAGCCATCACTTGGTCCAGATTGCATTCATCTTTGATCCGTTCATCAACCATGTCAAGAACTATGTTCCCTTTCACTGCCTCTACAAAATGAGCTGCAAAGCCTCTGTTTTCTTCAGACAGGACACGTGAAGACGGTTTTTTCCCGGTTAGGAGCTCCACAAGAACAACTCCAAAACTATAAACATCACTCTTTTCTGTGAACTTGCTTGATTGAAAGTACTCTGGATCCACGTACCCAAAAGTACCTGCAACTTGAGTCGTCAAGTGAGTTTGATCTATGGTTACTGATCTTGAAGTTCCAAAATCTGACACCTTAACTCTGTATTTTTCATCCAATAGTATATTGGTAGTCTTGATATCTCTGTGGTATATCGGGAAAGATGCAGCAGAGTGCAAATACGATAAAGCTCCAGCAATATCTACGGCGATGTGAAGACGCACCTCCCAAGTCATCGTGAAATCATCATATTCATCATGAAGACGCTTGCATAAGTCTCCATTTGGAACAAACTCATAAACCAAGACTGGAACTTCCGTCTCTAGACAACATCCCAAAAGCTTCACAATGTTTCTGTGGTTGATTTGTGCGAGAACAACGACTTCATTGATGAACTCTTCTACTTTTTCTTCATCCACAACCTTTGATCTTTTCACTGCCACGATTCTACCATCAACCAACATTCCCTTGTACACAGTACCTTGACCGCCTTGCCCAAGGATCCTATTCTTGTTGAAGTTATCAGTAGCTTTCTCTAACTCACTCGAGCTAAATATCCTTGACATCTCTACATTGCCTTCTTTTCTAGCTAACTGTTGTTTTAACAACATACCTCCATTACGTCTGAAGTAATTTCTCATTCGGATGACCCTCCTCCTCTTCTTAACGAACTTGTACAGCCCGAAAATTCCAAAGGTGAAAAGCAACAATGCCAAACCAATAAGAACTCCTGCACCAACAAAATACTAAAAATGTCAAGAACAGAACCACGGGACACTCAATATAAACTCAAGTTGACTTTTACCTTGAATCACTGGCTTTTTTTTTAGCTGCTCGGTTTTCTTTGGCACGCACTTAAACCGACCAGGCATATTCACGCAGTTTAGGTCTTTACACTTTTCCCGTCCTACTTCTTGTTTACATTCGTCAACATCTGCAGATTTGAATGAGATTTAATGACAGATGACATGATTAGTGGCGACAGTAAAAAACAACCAATCTCTCACCTACACATCCACCTGCAAGGAACGGATTCCCTGTAAAACCCACTGAGTTACAAAAGCAGTTCCTATAGCTGAGTCCAGAGAAGTAGCCATATGAGCAAACGCAGCTCGTGTCTTCCCAGTACCCGCCATTTTGTGATGGATCTGACATATTCAAACAGCCTATGGGGGTTAAAACACGAGGATCCAAAGTATCCGAAGTATCAAAGTACCATCCTAACTCTACCACCGCGTATCCATCACCATGAAACTCCTCTGGCTCTTTAACATTCAAACTCGAATACTTCTTGCTCGTCAAAAAAGCAACTCTGCATCCTCCTTGTGTTGTGTTGCTACCTTCGGGGATCTCTAAGTTAACTCCTATTACTTGCGGCTGCCCTTCCGGTATCCTCGTCTGACAGCATTTATCACCATTGCAAATCTTGTTTCTTGCTTCTTGGCTACTATTTGTCTCGTTGCAGCTCGACTTGCAACCGACGATCTGCGATTTGATATCCGTCATAACTGCCTTGGCGTTGCAACCAACCACCACGAGGAGGTTCTTGTCCGTGAGGAAATAAGGGCTGCCTTGGCCGGCAACGTTTAAAGGCGGATGCTGAGATGTTCCCGTAGAGCAACCGGAGGAAGTTACTGGACCTTTTATGTGAACTAACCCATCCTCACGATCACTTGGAAGAGAGATTTTCACCAATTCTCTGTTGATCCTTGAGAGAAAAGGAACAGAGTTTCTGTTACAGACAACCTCGTACCACGGGTTTAAATAGCAATCTTTCCCACCGATACCGAACGGGAAAGGAATAGATATTCCTCCGCAGGCTCTATTACACAGATCTGGAGGTTTTCTTGCTGATGAAACGCCATTGATGTACAGAGATAGGACAGAGATGACTAGTATAATACAGAGTAGGTTGTGAGTCTCTGCTTTCATACTCTCGTTCTTGTTCTTTCAACCCGATCTGGTATTTTTAGTCTTCTGACGAATTTCAAGATGAGATTAGATGGAAGGCGTGAAATAGGATGCAAAACAAAGTTAACCAAAATAAGATATATAACTATATAAGCTCAAAAGTCAACGGATTCATGACAAGTCAAATATAATGGGTCAATGCTATGGCTAATGAATCTGCTTATATATGACATAGACTTTCATAACGGAAACGAACCGATCGGCAGAAAAATTTTTATGTACCTAGATGAATATCTTTGGGTTCACTTTGGGAAGTGCGAATTCATTAATGAATTTTTGCATCCATCCACAAGTTTGCATCTTATCTTAAATATATATATATATATATATATATTAAATTTGTATAATTACATCATTATACATTTTAAAATTATACTAAATATACTTATAAGTAGCATATTAAAAACGATTTGTAGCTTTTACTGTGCATGATTTGTTCATTATAGTGTTTTTTAATATATAAAATATAAGGAGTGTCATTGGTTGTGTAACTTGAAATCTACTCTGATAGAATTAAAGTATATCAGATTTAGGAAAAAATTACCTCATTTTAGATTAAGGTATATAAATTATCTAAAATTTTATCTTATGTAACAATGTATTTCTATTTATCAAAAGTTCACGCCAAAGCAAATAGTATAAACAAAAAAGATGATTAAACGTTTTGTAATTTTTTTCTTTGTATTACTGAATCACAGAACGTTCCATCATTTTTTAAACAATATCCATATTTTATCCAAGCTTCTTAGTTTACGGAACATCATACAGCCTTGTAGAAGCTCTGTTTAAATAAAGAGTATTTGCATCCTTTAACGCAGATTAATCTCGTATTTGCAAAACTAACAAAGAGAAAATTTGGTTACTGTTTATTTTTTTAAAATCCCATTATGCCCTTTTCTCCTTCTCTTTCTTTTCTCTCCTTCCATATCATTGTTCTCTTTCTCTCTCCCTTATCTCTCTTCATCCTTCTTTCGTTTCTTTTGCTTGTTTCTCTCAGAACTTTTTCTTCTCAATCAAATTCAATCTCTTATTGTTTTCTAAAGAGATCTAATTTATTAAAAGAAACAGTCAATTAATCTTCAACCCAATTTATTAACACAGTTCCAGAATAAAATTAGTTTTTCGAAAAGCTTGAAAAAAGCTTTGGAAACTGCATTGAGAATGGTCAGAGATTTCCACGACGAAGAACAAGACGACATGGAGAAACGACATCCACAGAGACAAGAGAGGCAAATTCCGATGAATCTCTCCTCCAGGTGACAGTCGATGTTGGTTGAGAGACGACGTAGCTGCAAAGCTCGAGTTACTGTAGCAGCCGCAGTGGTTTATTACCACGGTTCAGATTTAGTTGACTGATCAATAATATTATTAGAGAAGTAACAATTAGAATCACTTATAATACTTTATATTAACATGTTAATGGTTTATTTGACTGAGTAGTAAAATTGTTAGAGATACAACTATATTGTTATCTTATCTTGTATGCGAAAATGCAAAGTCTATTGTCTGGTTCATCTCATAACTATACCTAGATACACTAACACATGCATAGATCTCATTTTTTTATTTTTATATCTTTTTCTCCCTTGTCTCTCTCTTTCTCCCATCTTTCCCTCATCCGAAGACAAGCATTTCTCTTTGAAAATCTGGTTACGGAAATAAGTTTTTTTGTTTCTGTGAAACTGAATTAGTCTTTCAATTCATTGTTAAACCGCTAACATATTCAAATAATGTGTTATATTTATCTATATCGCTCTAAGCAAAATGTACCACCTTCCAACAATCTATATAACTCAGTATTGTTATCAGTCTAACATGTATTTTACCAGGTACAACAAAACAATTATAGGTAAACTTATATGTAACACGCTAAACAAATCAATAACACCTTTAACAATCCATACGACTCATTATTGTTATCAAACTAACATATTCTTTATCGTGAAAATAATAATGTTAGACGTTAACCTACTTGTTCATATATAATACAATAATTGTTAATCACTAACTTATTTGAATCTGATGCAGTTTTTTTAAATTTAACATAGAGAGTGCTAACATGTTTAATAGTTGATAACAAATAATTTCTCAGTAGTATCAATTGTTGCACAACTCGAACAGAGATTAGAAGAGAGAGAATAATATATATATCAGATGTTCGATGCAACTTGCATAAGTGGGGTCTTCTATTCTCAAGAAATGACAGATATAAAGAAGGATATATTGGTCATTTGTAATAACCATACAAATAGTAAATTATCAGTTATGTCACATCAACGTTAGATCTGCAAATTCAGCTGTCTTTATGTATATTCAATTAATTGACTCTTAAATAAAACTATGATCGAATAATATTCCATATTATTATGTATATATGTGTGATAAGTCCAATGTTTGTAAACCTGATTTTATAAAAAAAAATATTTAGTACTATCAAAAATAGATTGAATCAATGCATTATTGATAGAATAAAAAATATTTTAATTTAACAAATGATTCTAAAATTTTATTGTTTTTGTTTGAAGAAAAGAATTCCTAATTAAATTCAGTTAAAGATGATATTTTGGTATGAATTAGAAGAAAAAGAATTTCTTTTTAAATAAAAATTAAGAAGAAATTATATGTCAGAGTCGATCCCAAAAAAAAAAATGTAACATGGACATTCTTTTCTATTTATAGCTCTTCGTTAAAAATCTTTTTATCTATTTAAAATTCAACAAAGATCATTTAAGTCGATACAATGCAAAGAAACATACGTTATATTACAAGAGGTTAAATATGAATATTAAAGGGTGTCACTTGACCCGATCATTAGGCATGGGTCGGCCTCTGCTCACAAGGCTCTATATCACTTTTAGCTCTCTCAGCCATTCGGTGTGGAGGGGACACGGATCAGGTTTCCCTTCTGCAATCGCCTTCTCGGAGAGCGAATAAAACCAACCATTCCTCCATTTAAACTGCAGTAATAAGAAAATTAATTGAGGCGCAAGATACTGGTCCACAAGCACGTAAGAAGAGAGATCAAGGATGGTGAATATAAATGTAAATACTTCTTTAACAGCGGTTGGGAAATGAGCAACAGCTCGGGAATAAGCACATAGTCTCTCCACCATGTCCCCTTCAAAGGTTAGTCCTTTTTCAGCAGCAGCAGCAGCTGCAAGTTCTTGGATCAGTCTCGATACCTGAATGTATATGTAATTAGAACTAGACGATTATTTTGAATGAGAAAACGAAACGAGGAATGGAAGTTTTTGTACTTCATCTCTGTATTCTTTCTCCACCATGCCCACACTTGCACCTGGATGACGAGCTCCAACAAGCATAAAGGCGCATATCCAAATGAGTTTCTCCAACATTTGCTTCTGGAAAGCTTCTTTGTCAAGAACCTAACCACAGAAACACCGGGAGATAAAAAAAAAAAAAAAAACGGAGAACAGATTTAGATATTCGTGCAGTTCATGTTTATTCAACGCAGAACAAAAGGTTTGCTTCATGTAAAAACCTTGCAAGAGAGGCCACCAGATTGCAATCTTGCAGCTACATCTGAAGCCCATTTTCCATAAGCAGCAGTTAGACCTTCTGGATTAGTGTCAGTCTTTCCATCCACGGGAGGCTCGCCGAGCTTTGACACAGCAAAATAGGCCAAGACTTGGTCTGTATCACCCAAACCTTTGCTCTCGAACCACGGCTCCATCATTCCATTTTGGAAGAAAACCAAATCTGATTAATCACACACAGCACTTTAGTATATAACTAGCCATGACTTGAACAAAACATGATCATATTTTTCATATATCCGATCAAAATATCATTTAATCGTTCCAAAACCGAATGAAATGTTAATTGGACAATGCCAAGATCAATCAAACCCCCAAAAGATCCAAAATTTTGATTCATTCGAGAGAGAAAGTATCTACCTTTCCATCTAGACTGAGGAGTAGCTTCAAGAACAGCATCGAGATCATCATTTCTAGTACAAACCAAGATGGGTCCTTCGAAATCAATGGGAACTGCTTCTCCTCTCTTCACCAACAAATCCTCGCCACTACCCATTTCCTGCAAGGCTCTTCCGACTCTTCCGCCACCCACAATCACAGCAGGAGCAACCTTTTTAGCTGTGGAAGCAGAGGCGGCCATAGCCATTGGCACGGCGAGTCTCACGCTTGGAACTGGCGGTTTAAGAGATTCAGAGCCACGAAGAAGAGAGAAACGAGTCGAAGCGGACCAGGAGACAGCAAACAGAGAGCTGCTGGCTTTAGCCATTGGCGATGATGATGGGCGTCGACAATGTTGACTTGAGGCCTATCATGGTTTGGACTATTTCGTAAACAGTGATGGCTGTTTATTAGCCACTCGATGTTTGAGAGGCTCTAGCCTCTAGCTTATCTCTGGCTTTGGATGACTCATGAAGCTAAAACAACATGACGTTCAGTTTGATAAAATCAAAACGGCATGTATTTTGGTTTGAGTATCTTAAAACTACAGGAGAGGTCAATCTGGTTTAAGCAAAATGTGATAAAATACCGAGCCGGAAGATTTAAATCATTTCGACAAAACCGAAGTTGTACCAAATCAAACTCCATGGGTAATCGATTTCTTATTCAGTTTTTTTCAAACACGGTTCCCGCTAAGCATCAATCAAACTCCCTCAATACAAAACATCAAATTTCAGTTTCCCGACAAAGGAAAACGACAAGGAGAAATCTCAAATTAGTGACCGTTTGGGTCCATAGGAAATAGAGTAAAAGGAACACAGACATCTAAAATAACATCTTATTACTACTGTAGAGAACAAGAAAGAAAAGAAAGTCCGTCTATGTCTTTGGTTTTGTGCTCGCACATTCCCCAATGGCCATTCAAATTCAAATGGTAACATTGTGGGACTTTTTAAAAACAAAAAACGTTTGCCATTTTTCTCAGGTCAAACCTAACTTAACACCTGTGTCAACACCTATTTCTATATTTACTACATCTTCAAAACATCCATTAAGATATATAAATATACTCTGCCCCTTGAAAGCAAAACCCAGAAGGGGAAAACATAAATGGCTGGTTCGAGAAAAGAGAATGATTTGTTTGATGTAAATAAGGAAAACATGGACACAGTCTCAGCTTCTGTCCCTGTTAAGAAAGGAGAGGATAAGGAGAATGTCTCGCCGTCGCCGGAAAACAGCTTTACGTCTGTGGAAACTCAGAAACAAGATCGAGCTTTGAAGTCTCAATCGATGAAGGGGAATTCTGGGTTTCCATCGGAAGTTACAAAGTTCAAGTCTTTTTCAACGGGTGGTCGAACCGCTCTGAAGCAGACATCGCTGCAAGTGTGTATGCAGATGAACAGTGAGGTCGACAAGGGTAGTTTCGGAATGAAAACTTGGACTAGTGTTGATTCTGAGCATTCGAGCTCGTTGAAAGTGTGGGAGTTTTCGGATTCCGAAGCTGCCCCTGCTTCCTCTTGGTCTACTTTGCCCAACAGGTAAGAGAACCAATTTACCAAAATCCTGTTTGCTTTTTTCTTGTCCTAAATGTGTCTAAAACAATGTGTTCTTTCAACTTGTTAAACAGGTCTTTGTTGTGCAAGACACTACCTTTGGATGTGGGTAGATGCACTTGTGTGATTGTAAAAGAACAATCACCAGAGGGCTTATGCAATGGATCTGTATATTCGCTTTATACACATGTAAGTACACAGATATCTGGTTAATATGATTTCTTGTCTCCGAATTGAGACACAATGATGTCAAAGTTTCTGATAGCTTACAAGTGTTGGATGATATATTTCAGGAAGGCCGGGGACGAAGAGACCGGAAGCTAGCAGTGGCTTACCATAGGCGGCTTAACGGGAAGTCTGTGTTTAGGGTGGCACAGAATGTTAAAGGACTATTGTGCAGTTCGGATGAAAGTTATGTCGGTTCTATGACGGCTAATCTCGTGGGTTCCAAGTACTACATATGGGATAAGGTCAGAAATTTAAGCTGAATCAATGTATCGGCTTAGAGGTCGGAAACTCTAGCTGAATGTTTCTTGTCTTTTGATTCCACTGCAGGGAGTTCGAGTTGGATCTGTAGGTAAATTGGTGAAGCCGCTTCTTTCAGTTGTAATGTAAGCTTTGAGGATTTTGAATGCTTTGTGTGTTTTGATGAACATGACTCTCCCTTCGTTTTGGGTTTGCTTATGTCTGTGTTTTCTTCTGCAGATTCACACCCACCATAGCAACTTGGACAGGGAGCTACAGAAGAATGAGAGCTTTACTACCAAAGCAGCAGCCTATGCAGAAGAACAACAATAAGCAGGTAATGCCTAATATTGAAACTTCTCTCCATCAATCTTACATTCCGAAAACATTCTAAAACCATTATTATACGTCCGTTTGTATCTGTTTATAGGTCCAGCAAGTTAATAAACTACCGCTTAATTGGCTTGAGGATAAGGAAAAATTTCAGAAGCTGTGCTCCAGGATACCACATTACAACAAAGTACGTCTTAGGGGGGGAATTCATCGGTATCATTGTTGATTTTCTTTAGCTTGTCTTCATTCTGCTTTTTTTTCACCTTTCGTTAGATCTCCAAGCAGCATGAGTTAGACTTCAGAGACAGAGGAAGAACAGGACTGAAAATACAAAGCTCGGTGAAGAACTTTCAGCTGACACTCACGGTGCATTTCCACAACTTTTTTGAGCTTTTAATCAAAACACACTATCTCCAAAATCCTAAACATTATGTGTTACTTGGCATAATAAATAGGAGAATTCCAGGCAGACGATTCTTCAGATGGGAAGAGTAGACAGAGCAAAATATGTAATTGATTTCAGGTACTTGCTCAAACCCCAAATGAGATTAGAAATAAACGTACTTTAAGGTTATGATTAACCATTCAGTGACCTTTTCCTCTATCTGTTTGCAGGTATCCATTTTCAGGCTACCAAGCATTCTGCATTTGCTTAGCTTCCATTGATTCCAAGCTATGTTGTACTGTTTGATCAATATAAGTTGGAGAGTTCAATCTCTGAACATCCCTTCCACCTGTATTCCTTGCTTTTTCTGCATAATCCAATTTCTCTATCTGCGTTGACAAAACTAACTCAGTGCCTCTCAATCAGATTCACCCAGAAAGAAACTGAAACTGTTAAAAAGATTCAAACTTTATAACTTTATTATTTAAGATCGTCACAGGAAAGAATAATCGATGTGTAAATGCTGATTCACAACCGAGAATCTGAAGAACTAAAACAAAACTTATCAAATCTCTTCTTCTTCTTCTTTTTCATATCAACCATCTAACTCGCTGTAGAAATCTGGCGTAAGGAAAGAACCTAAATCACCGAAGATGACGTCTTCCTCCGTCGTTAACTTGCCGGAGTCTTGACACCCGAAATACGTCTGGATATCGTCCGGGAAGCTCCGGCGAGGCGGAGCAATCTCCGGCGGCGTAGACGGTCCGATTACCTCATCCGTGCTCGAAGGTGAAGACTTTAAGAACTTTGTTTTCCGATCGTCGTTGTCTTCTGACGAAGATTGGCTCTGTGATAATTCCGACTCGAGATCAGGGTTTATAAACGGACAGGGATCAGACTGCGGAATATCCAGGAGATGATTCGCGGCGTCTGTAGGGTTTACCGGCGCCGGCAATTTGAGATAACGGCTGATATCGAAGTTAGTAACGGCGTTAAGTCCACGGTACTCGATTGCTGCGACATCATACGCTATGGCCGCTTCTTCTTGTGTAGCTAACAACACCAAAAAAAAGAATAATGGGGTGTAAAATGTAACAGATAAAAATGTTGCGACGTTTTACTCAATTTAGGGAACTTAATATTAGTTTATTTATTATTACATTCTAGCAGAAGCTATTTTGTATTTCTCTAATACGTAACATTATGTTACGAGCCTACAACAACAAGTCAACAAGTCTTTTCTTGTGTAGCAACAACACCAGAAAGAATATTGGGATGAAAAATGTTAAATGTAACAATTAAAACGTTGTGAATTTAACACAATTTAGGGACTTATATTTCCTTTTTGTTTTATTATTTTAAATTTTACCAGATACCATTATGTATTTCTCTAATACGTAATACTATGCTACAAGCCTACAACAACAAGTCAGTAATAAAATTGTACTTTTCCGTTGATAGAGGACGATCACTCATATGAAATTTGAAAAAAAAAAAACAATCATAAATAACGGAATTAAATTGGCCAGTAAAATTGGATGAGCAACTCAAAGTTTAGAGCATACGATAATTATTTGTGTATATATAATAACATAAGAAGAAAAAACTATATAAAAATATTAAAGGCTTGACTAAGTAGTTGGGTTTGGTGATCTATTTCCCAACCAACTCAAGATCTGATTACGTGCATATCGATATATCAACCCCTCTTGAAGATTTATAAGTCGAAAAGTTATGCTATTATGAAGACAGAAATCACACATATTAAGTGTACAAATTTTATTTGTTTATAACAGTTACACCATCAAATTTTTAACTTATGACGATCACAGTATTATATCATTACAACTATATATTTTTATTATAAACACCATTGAAAACGAATGAACTTAAAGAATGTAACTTTGTAACACACGTGCGAGTATAGATAAACTGTGTCAAATGATAGTCACATATCAGAATCATAATTTATGATAAGTGCTATTTTAACGTATTCTTATCTTATAGTTTGTCTTCAGTTGTGTAAATTGCATGAAGCATTGTGTATTGTTCTCTCTTTTTTTTAGCATTGTACATGTGTAGTGTGTTCTTTGCATTAATTTACGCTATAAATATTTAAAGAGTTGAAAAAGAAGAAGCTTACCATAAGTTCCGAGATATAAATACTTATTGCCAAACACTCTGCCAATTCGAGCTTCCCATCTCCCATTATGGTGATGCCTGCAAGTCCATAAGATACACTTATCAACATTTGAAATCTGTATACTGAAACTGTTTTGTTCTAATATATTCCCTAGCAGATATATATATATATATATATATATATTTTTGAGGATTTCAGTTTACTTTGCAACGCCTCTGTATTTCGATACACCACGTGAAAACCCACTACTTTTCCTGTTAAAAAATGTTAAACCAAAATATTATTAATGTACTGTTAGTTTGTTAACAGACAAAAGATGATTAGATAATCACCAATCATGGATAACAATATCTTATTTAATTATTACCTTCTCAAAGATCCGATATACTCTTCCTTCGTCTGAATTTCCATTTCTTTGATGTCCTCTTCATAATTACACAGCTGCAAATCACACACAAAATCAATTAAAAACAAATAACCAAAAGAAAATTACGAATGTAAACAGGTTCTTCTTCTTTCTTTGTTTATGTTTATAAAAACACGTAGGCAAGAAAGATTGTGAAGTAACAAAAATCATGTGGAAAGTATTTATTTGGATTCCGAGAAAATTTACAGGGAAATTCAAGATGGTGTCTCGTCCCCAATATTTCAATGCTGCTAAGTCGTAGGCACGTGCTGCTGCATCTTCCTCGTCATATGCTCCTGTGCAAACCATATTAACATAATTAATTTAACATTAGGTTGAGTTTTAATTTTTCATTACCGTGGTTATCAATACTAACATAAATTTACATCATACGTAAATTGTAAGTGTAAACGTGGAATAGAAATAAAATAAAGTAAAAAAAAAATTGTTTGCGGTTCACGTTTGATGAGTTTTTGATGTAAGCACATTATAAAAAGATAAATCCAACTGAATTGTTATAATTATATATCATTCGTTTGTATTGTCATTCTTTATAGATGGAAGTCATTTACGCTTTTTTGAACGACCTACATATCCAATTTCTTAAGAACTGAGAAATAAACTTTTTTCAATTAAGGAATAATAATTAGCATTGTTTTTAAAGTGCCTACCAATCCGGGAGAGCAAAGAGAAAAGGCCATATGAAAAATGACCAAAACAAACTCACCTAAATATACTGCACGTGATGAGTCAGCCAATATCCCGGTCAGCATCGTCACACAAAAAAAAAAAACAAAAAACATATTAACAACAAAAAGAAAAACAGATTAATTTAAAAAAGACTAAATTATTTACAAATCAAGAGACACAGTAACGACGAGCTCATTCCCTGGAGAAATCGATCGGAGTAAGAAAATCAAAAAAGAAATATCTTTATTTCATAAATTTATATATATGTATAGAGAGTATATAGTGTATAGACTGACCTTGTCTTCCTTTCTTGCTCTGAGTCTCGTTCCAACTATTCTTATCCCACAAATGCGCTTCGTACCTTCCAGTCCATCTATGCCTAACACAAATTTTTGATCGAACAAATTTTTAATGAAGGAAAAGTAAACGAAAGAAAATTCAAACGGTGTCGTTTTTGAGTGTGTTTTAGAAACCTGGTGACGCCTCTATACACGGAGCTACGCTGTGGAGGAGCGTCTCGCGGTTGCGCTCGGCGTTTGCGTTTTGCTTTAATAACTACTGACGCTGGTTCCTCTCCGGTTTCATCCTCAACAGAAGTCTTCTTGCTCCGCCTTGAGATCTCTTCCATTACCGGAGAGCCTTCCATGGCAATGTTCATAAAGAAAGAAGAAGGAGGAAAACAATAAAGAGGAGAAACTGATGAAATGGATTGTTTTGTTTTTTTACGGAGACTATAAAGGGAAATGGTTGAGTATTTAAATTAAAATTTTCCGTTTATTTTTTTAAAAACCTTTTTTTATTGTTATTGCTTTAAAATGCTTTATTAGCTACGGCCCTCTTTGTACTTCTGAAATTAGATTTCTCACTAATAAATTTCCTAATCATGCTCAAAACCATTTCTACCTGATTTGATTAGCGCAATTCAAACAAAAGAAATCTACCGTTTTATTCATGTTTTTAATTCAGAGCAAATAAGGAATGGACATGTGGAGGTTTAGATCCGCTTAGCCAAAAATATTGGAGAAAGTAGGCAAGCAAAATTGGAGCTCCATAATTTCTCCGCTTCTTGGTTGATCTACTTTTTGGTCGGGCCGTGAAAGATATATGCAATGCTATAAAAACAATTTAACTATATTTTTTAATTTATATTCCGTTATATATGTTGATATGTCCTTCCAATAAGTTTAGCAATCGTATTTGATCTAAATACACATTTTGTCATTTACAAAATAATAATAACCTCGAAAAGTCTCTATTCTCTAACTCCACATCTCCAATGGAATGGTGTTGACAAAACATACGTTAGATCGACATATTTAAGTTAGTAATAACCAAAAAACATATATGAATTGAAGCTTTTTGTTAAGAAGTACTTTGCATGTTATGCGTATGTAATTATGGTTTCTTCTCTCCCAGTTCGATCTTTTGCATAATCATTAATATATAATCTGTATATATATATATATATAGATATTCCGACGAAGATATGTGATTACTCTCAGACGTTATGAATAATATATCATCATTTAAAATTTCATGACAGATAATACTCCAAAATATGAAAAGAACAATGTAAGAGCAGCCCTTTTTTTTTGCGTATTAATACTATTATTGAAGTCACCACGAAATAAAATTTCCACATTTCTTAAAATGTAAAGACAGTGTTTTCCTATAATTTTGTATAAATGTTAACAAGTTGTATTTAATCTGTGTACCTGCCCCTTAATGAGATGGGAGCAAATGTCAACAATTATAGTAAAACTTGTCTACAAGAGTCCAATCTAAAACGAGCCACATGATATTTTGCGTGTAAAGTTATGCAATTAGTTAGTAGTTAGCACAGCTTCAGAGATACGCTTTGACATATATCGGTAAACAGAGCATTAACGAGATTGTGAATATATAACACCATGCCTGTCATATTATAAATAGATAAGACTAGTTTCGTATCAAAATTATGATCAAATATACTAAGTGATGAAACCCCTCTCTATTAGATCCGATTCACAAAAGTTCATTCGAGCCATCAATACAAGGAATAGCGAGCGTAAAAGAGATTTACGGTGTCATGCATGACAACCACATCTTATACTTGTTTGAATCGATTTTTTTGTTATTCGCTCACTAAAAAAAGACGCCAATGTGATGGTCGAAATCTCTTGCAGAATCATTCCTGGTATGTTTTTCCCGGACGGTGGTGTAAAAACAGGGCCAGCCCAAGGCTAAAGCCAATGAAGCAAGAGCTTTAGGGCAGCCTATTATATCAAAAATTTTGGGGCAACAAAATATGACTTAATTTTTAGTTTTAGTCCATATTTAATTAAAGCCCATCGACATTTTTTTAAAAAAGTAAGATTTTGGTTTGTCCCACATCGAAAAATTAGCATAATTTAGAAGAAAAACCGTATTATAAATAGATCTTTGGTCTGATGAGACATTATTTGATCTTGGGCCAGCCCTTACGCTTTAGGCGTCATATGACCTTGGCCGACTCTGTGTAAAACATATTGTTATTTTGGGCTTTGCTTTAATAATTTTGAGTTGCTCAAAACAAAAAAATGTTCCACATATTATATCGTTATGTTTTTTTAATATATATCGTTATGTTACTCTAACTATTATCAAAACTACATTGATCTGACATATTGAACCAATGAACCGCAAAAATGTTATATTTAAAATATACTAACATTCTGTCTATCTTAAAAAATATCATTTGATTTAGTTCATTTATATCAAATCAACACATGTCATCAAACGATTTTACCAGCGTTTAGTGCTATGGTTTTTTTTTTTTTTTTGAAATTGTCTTCTCAAACTTTAGACCACTCAAAAATTTAAATTGTTTGTAGAGAAAAAAGAGAGAAAGCGATGTGATTATAAATGAGAAATGCAGGGAAATGGTCACCACCGTTTTGGGTATGCCATCTTTTTACGGCGTTTTACCATGTTTCAGAGCTCGCACTTCGCAGCATTGAAACATGTTATGCGAGAGGGAGATCCAATTGAGACCCTGTCGCCCAATAACCATCTACCACGTCATCCGACAGGTTTTTGTCCACGATAGTTGTAGCGTACAGTCAATAAATACTGTGCTTTGTATCATGTACAGTATTGCGTATGATTTTAAACGACCTCATGCCCATTATAGGCAATTCATTACTTTAAGTGGTTTTGGTTTTGGATCAGATTGGTCATTGATACTTTCAGACCTGATCCTGATTTTCCTCAAAAGTGAAAATAATAGAATTACCAGAAACCGAAGAAGAGTTTTCTTGGTGACGATACAGAGACTAGAGCCAGAGGAAACTGAAGAAGAAAAGGAAATACACAGCAGATTCATTTGACAGAATTATCATTTGAAGTTTACCAAAATATGTTTATCTCCAAAGTATGTGATCGTTGACTTTTAGCATTTTGCAATTCTGAAACACTTGATTCTATGTGGAAATAACAAAATTGTTCAAGCTAACAAAAACTTAACCTCGTTTGTTGTCACTCAATCTAGCAATCAAGCCAAAACAAAAATGAAACTCATTCTGCAGATCCAGACACCATCAATCTATTCTAGGCTAGCTTCAAATTTTTGTTGTGTTTCCTGAGAAAAAACATCACACTCAAGGAGACAATTTGTCCAGCAATGTAGCCTCCTATAGCTCCGTAACACACACATATAGGCCACTCCTGAATTAGTACAAGGATTAGTTATATATATGCATATGCTCAACTACCATGACCAAGAACAAGAACCAATCTCTTGGATGTATATTGGGATAAAGAAATATCACCTGCCATGGCCTTTCCCAGTCGAGCGGCATAGGCCAAGCTCCAAACCATCCACCAATAATTGCTCCATATGCTGGACTAAAGATCATATATTCTATATTTCCACTTGGTCTGTAAAGAAACAAAAAGATGGATTAACAACAGGAAATCGTGTGAATGATCTTATAAGGTCCAATATATCTAACTTACTTCATCGAGGCGAATACTCGATGCCAATCTGTCCATGATGCACCAAAAACTGCAGTTGCGGGTACAAACTATGAAAATCTAAAATTATTAGCGACAACCAAAGGTTTTTTCCAAACTGATATGCAGGGCTTTAACATCGTTAAGCCTTTCAAGGCATAGGAACTGCAGCAGGAGGCAGCTTACCGTGAAAACAGACATTAGAAAGGACCAGTGAATTGTTTTTGGTAGATATCTGCATGAGATTAGAGGTAATGCTCATGTTAGCATTTGAGACTCACGCAATCTCTATCCAAAAGGATGATCACGATCACCATTAAGGAGCCTAATTTGTAATCTAGACGACTGAAAAGTGCAGATTACAAACAAAGTTTTAACAAAGAGAAAAAAAAAATCAAAAGAGTTAGAGAAACAAAAACTTGGTGAATCATACTGCGTTCCAATAGGTGCACCCAAAGCAATTGCTCCCAAAGCATTCATAAAGGCCCCTATTAATCAAACAAAACAAAGGCTTAGAGAACTCATACTCATCAAGGGAAACAGAAAACAGCAAACAGAGCAGATTTTCGATCCTTCTTGGTTTATAACAAGATGAGCTAGTAGACATTGCTAACTCGGAGAGCTGGGGAGATCATTCACATGGTCAGGTCAAGCCAAACAACTTGAAATTTACAAGTGAAGCAATTGAGTGTTTCTGTTCTTGTATAGCAAAAGAATGAAGACGTACCCACTATAATAAGTTGAAAAGCAAAGGATACTAACCGGAAAATAGTCCTATTATGCTTCGCCCAAGAGCTCTAAAATACTGGAAAGCATTTAGGAAACCATCAAGACAGAGTTAAGCACAAGAAACCAAACGAATTGTGCGTTTTCTTCTCTAAGTAAAGAAAAATACTTCTTCAGCTTCTGTATTTCAAAATGAAACATTAGAACAAAAAAAAACCATCTTTCGTAAAACTGCCAATTGGGGTGTGTCGTTGTTTTTATCGACTCCATATACAACCAAAGCATAAAGCAAAGGAATCATAAATGAACTACACTTACCGAAAATTTCTCTGGTGATCTCCGGAAAAAGCTGTAGACGAATATCACAATCGGAAACTCGATACTCTGAAAATTAACATCAAACTGGCTGAATTAACTAAAATCAACACTTAACCGATTAAAAAAAAAAACAGGATGAATGAAAAGAAGCATAGTACAGTACCCAGAGGAGACAAAGAGTGAGAGATGGATTAGAGACGAGATCGACGGAAAATTTGTTTCGGGCCACCCAGAATCCGACGGCCAGAGACAATCCAGTAATCAAATAAACAAAAGACGCCCCCGAGGCTGATATCGAAGCATCGCTACATACACCAATGGATGTTACTGGCTTCTTCTTCTTCGTAGCCTCTTTCATGGCTTTCCCTGATCCCGTCTTCGGGAATCAGAACGAGTGAAGAAGACGTAGGAAAATTACTGAAATCCTCCATTACTGTTTTACTGTAAGATTTTCTCATATTGGGCCTTTTATTTACATATGGGCTTAAATGTAAAAAAAGCATAATGGGTCCTTACGGGCCGAAAAATTATTTTAAGCGGGTTGCCGTTTATAAATACTTAAAACTCTTCGGCGGCGAATCCAGAAGTCTCTGGTAAATGTGTGTGGTTTCTCCACCGTTCTACATCTCCGTAGATAGTGCCACGAGTTTTCTCCCGAAATGTCTTCTCTCTCGCGCCGCTTTCGTATATATATCTGCTTTCATCGACTCAGATTTCTCAATCAAGCAGATAAACAATCAATAAGATCAAAAGAAATCGAAAACACCTAGCTTTGCAATCAGCAAGTTTCAATCACTGAAGCTTTTTTCACAGCAACAATGGCGACGAAATCAGAAAAAGCTATTGGCATCGACCTCGGCACAACATACAGTTGTGTTGGGGTTTGGATGAACGACCGTGTGGAGATCATTCCTAACGACCAAGGAAACCGTACGACGCCGTCTTACGTCGCGTTCACAGACACCGAGCGGTTAATCGGCGATGCAGCGAAGAATCAGGTGGCGTTGAACCCACACAACACTGTCTTCGATGCGAAACGTCTCATCGGTCGGAGATTTTCCGATCCTTCTGTTCAGAGCGATATGCGACACTGGCCGTTCAAGGTTGTTTCCGGTCCCGGTGACAAGCCGATGATAGTGGTATCGTACAAGAACGAAGAGAAGCAGTTCTCTCCTGAGGAGATTTCTTCGATGGTGCTAATCAAGATGAAGGAAGTCGCCGAGTCATTCCTAGGGAGCACCGTCAAAAACGCCGTCGTTACGGTCCCGGCGTACTTCAACGATTCTCAGAGACAGGCGACGAAGGACGCCGGATCGATTTCTGGGCTCAACGTTTTGCGTATAATCAACGAGCCGACTGCTGCAGCTATCGCTTATGGATTAGACAAGAAGGGCACGAAGACCGGTGAGAGGAATGTATTGATTTTCGATCTTGGAGGTGGAACTTTCGATGTTTCGCTGTTGACGATTGAAGAAGGTGTCTTTGAGGTGAAGGCTACAGCTGGAGATACTCACCTCGGTGGTGAAGACTTTGACAACAGGCTTGTGAACCATTTCGTTGCGGAGTTTAAGAGGAAGCACAAGAAGGACATTAGTGGGAATGCGAGGGCACTCAGGAGGCTGAGAACAGCTTGCGAGAGAGCAAAGAGAACGCTTTCTTCCACTGCTCAGACGACTCTTGAGATAGATTCTTTGCACGAGGGTGTTGATTTCTACGCGACGATCTCACGTGCGAGGTTTGAGGAGATGAACATGGATCTGTTCAGGAAATGTATGGATCCTGTGGAGAAAGTGCTTAGAGATGCTAAGACTGACAAGAGCAGTGTGCACGAGGTGGTTCTTGTTGGTGGATCGACGAGGATTCCGAAAATTCAGCAGCTTTTGCAAGATTTCTTCAACGGGAAGGAGCTATGCAAAAGCATAAACCCTGATGAAGCTGTTGCTTATGGAGCTGCGGTCCAGGCTGCGATTCTTACTGGTGAAGGAAGCGATAAGGTCCAAGATCTTCTGCTTCTTGATGTGGCGCCGCTAAGCCTTGGACTTGAGACGGCCGGTGGGGTAATGACTGTGTTAATCCCGAGGAACACGACGGTTCCTTGTAAGAAGGAGCAAGTGTTCTCCACGTATGCGGACAATCAGCCAGGCGTTCTGATCCAAGTCTACGAAGGAGAACGTGCAAGGACCAAAGACAACAACCTTCTTGGAACCTTTGAGCTCAAGGGCATTCCTCCTGCGCCACGTGGAGTTCCTCAAATTAATGTTTGCTTTGACATTGACGCGAATGGGATTTTAAATGTGTCGGCTGAGGATAAAACCGCTGGTGTAAAGAACCAGATCACGATCACCAACGAGAAAGGAAGGTTGAGCAAAGAGGAGATAGAGAAGATGGTGCAAGACGCTGAGAAGTATAAGGCAGAGGATGAGCAAGTGAAGAAGAAAGTGGAGGCCAAGAACTCGCTGGAGAACTATGCTTACAACATGAGAAATACCGTCAAGGATGAGAAACTCGCGCAGAAGCTAGATCAAGAGGATAAGCAGAAGATCGAGAAGGCGATCAATGAAGCAATCGATTGGATTGAAGGAAACCAGCTGGCGGAAGTTGATGAGTTTGAGTATAAGTTGAAAGAGCTAGAGGGTATTTGCAACCCAATCATCTCAAAGATGTATCAGGCTGGTGCAGGTGCCGGAGTTCCCAGTGAAGGTATGCCAGAAACCGGTGGCTCCAGTGGTGCTGGAGGTCCAAAGATAGAAGAGGTTGATTAGAACGGTAGAGAGTGCGATAACAAAGAGTGGGTATGAACTATTGGCGAGTCTTTCTTTGTATTGTGCGAGTCTTTAAGTCTACATGAGTGTCGATATGTGTTTTGATAGTGAAACCAATGAATGTAATTTAGTTGTATTGTATGTTCTTCACTTCTACTCAGTCCAGTTTGTTTCAAGCAATAAACAAAGTGATCTGCTTTTTTTTAAGTAATAAACAGAGTTTAAGTTGCATTGACATATCCCCATGAAGTTTTTCTTGAGTCTTTGTTTTGCATTAACATAACTCCTTAAGAACATTTTCACCAACCTACACACACACACACACTTAATTAACGACTGTAAACAGTATAGCTGAATCTTCTTTGCTTGTCGGATTTGTTGTCCTGAAAAAGCAATGACAGAGAATTTTGTTCTTTGAAGTGTCATAAAGAAAAGTATCTACAATCCTTCAGTAGTCATTTCGAACATGTTCTGTCTTGGCCCCACGCAGACACATATAAGTATACACACTCTTAGCTTCAAAACAGTCACCTCAAATCCCCCTGAAGCTCAGATTAGCTATGAAGAGAAGATCTCTTGCATTGTCCATCCTCTTCCTCTTTTTATTCTGCTTTCCCTTCTCATCAGATTCTCAGAAACTCAATCCATCGACAAAACAAGCCCATGGTGCTCTGTTTTAAGAATCTATTGTTCCTCTTGTGTTTGTAGCCAGAGAAGTGAAGTATACTCATCTTCTGTTTGTTCCTTCTTATGGCAGATGTTACAATCAAAGACATAAAAGGAGAAGAACAAGATAAGAGCATCGACATCTTCCGGGCAGGTAGAGGAGCTCATGGAGTTACAGGTGGAAGAGGAGGCGGAGGCCGGAAAGTATCTCCGAAACGCAACGCTGCCATGGACTATCGGCCACCGTTGTTCTTCTCCGCCTCCGCCGTTCTCTTTACCGGTTTTATAATGCTTTCATTAACTTCTTTCGACGTGTCAATAAGATTGTTATGTTGTGCCTAAATGTCTTTAAGATCTGAAAGTGTATCATACGTTGTTGAAATATTCTAAACTGTGAATTCTATTAAATCTTGTAGTGTTGTACTTAAGTTTTGGATATATCCAGCCCAAGCGAATTGAACTGACAACAGATTTCGATATATGCCTAACTATCCTGGACTGGCTTCAACCGGCCGGATCTTGCAATAATAAACTCAGGCTACCATCTCCACAAAAAGAATGATTTCTTTTGCACTGATCAAACTTGGAATCATTGTTACAAGTATACATGCCACCAAGAACAATCCTTTTCCCTTCAGCAATTTCCCAATAACAAAATTCATGGCTGAGAGAGAAGAGTTCATAACGTCTTCTGAGCTTTTTACTTCCTACTTGAAACTAGAAGAAACCGCTTCACAAAACCAGAAGAACAAAGACGAATCTTAGTCCATCAAGAACGCTCCGCTGCAATACCTGATCAAATTCATGATTTTGTTTTTCCCAGAAAAGTCAGGAATTTGTTTCCAAGAAAAAGTATTTAGCTCGTAAGCAGCAATGTGTTACCTGTTGCTGAATTTTCCAACAGCGTCTGTGGTATCAAGAAGAGTGTCGCTGGCTTTCTCCAAAGCCATGTAAAGCTCTTTACCCCTGGTCACGCGTGCGATCACCCACGCGTTGTTCTTAGCTCTGATGCATATTTCCATGTCTTTCTCCTGCCTTTTCGCACGGCTTTTTTCTAAATCCACTTCTCCTCTGAGCTGGTTTAGAGCAAGTAATGACTCCTGCGTTTTCCCAAATTCACACACTTTAAGTCCAAGGTAGTACTAATCTCAGCTAGTAAATCACAAAGTGAAAGACGTTACCTTTGCAAGTGTTGTTACTTTTCCTAGAGGAGAAGCTCTGGAAACTTCCATGTCATTATCAACTACCAAGTAACGGTAACCCTTAACATGGTAAGCATTCTCGCCGCCCCACCCTCTTGAAATCTTCTCTTCAACTTTCAAAATTCGCAGTGATGCCTGGAAGAGAGTTTTTGCGTAGATTAGAAACAACCAGAAAAGAGACTCACCAAGAAAGATCAATGGGCGATTGTGCTTACATCTTCAATAAATTGCTGTTTCACGGCCGAGACGCTTAAATCTCCATTGACAATGGCAGTTGTAGGCATGAGAAGAAGTAAGGTGAGACTTTTATACTGATAAGCAAGGAGATACACTCTTTCCTGTGTCTGCTGAAGCCAGACTGTAGGGATGGCAGAATCAGTTGAACCGCCAGTCTCTAGACCCCAAATATCAGTTATAAGAAAACCATCTTTCCCTTTTGTCCACTTATCATTTTGTAGTGGCCTAATCACATGATGCATGTTATTACCATTTCCTGAATGTAGCGAGTCAATTGAACCAAGGGGCGCCGAAAAAGATTTAGAAGATATTTCCGATGAACCAGCCCCCTTACGTAGATATGACCAGGTACTCTCGCCAGGTGATAAAGCGCTTGAGGTCAACCTCATTACAGCAAATGTAAATAAGTTGACAGTATCATCAGATGAGAGAGTTGATGAAACCAACAGATCTTGAAATAAGATCATAGAGTGGGATCGTAAGCTCCCAGCACATGATTCTAGTACTTGAACAAGAGACTGTACATCCAAAAAATGCTTGTCAAATACCAAAATATTACGTGTGTGATAAAACGTCCAATAGATTTGGAGAAACGAACCTGAACTTCAAGTGCTGTGTCCCTTGCTAAAGTTAGCATTTGAACAGTTCCACGCTCTCTCAAAGTTTCACGGAAAGTTGGTAGCTGAAGTTTCTTTCCAACAAAAAGATCTGCCAGAAAGAGAAAACCTTCGCATAAGCTATTGCACACGAACCAACTTGAGCATACTGCGGTTTTTCACAGATCAAAAGCAAGGCATTCCACACAGCAATTTCAGCATTTTACCACACCAGCAGTCTTCCAAGCGAGGCCGCTTTTGAAATGCTGACAATCAGTGACATAAAATACTGAAGCAAAGAAACAGGATAGAAAAGAAAACAGCGGAAAATTATGTGCTCGATTTGGTGAGAAATGCTTACTGCTTAAATAATCTGTAACGAACGGATACAACTGAGATCGGGTGAGCCCTCCTGTTGGTTCTTTTTCGATTAATGCTCTAATTGACCCGTGAAACATCACGAAGAGTGAGTGCACTTCCTTAAGCACCCTCCTCAGCGCATCAATCCTCCATATTGCTCCCGTCTCCCTATTTTTCTCCACAACCTGCCAATGTCTAGATCAGATCTTGTTCATTGACATTACTACATACACTGCATATGTCCTATAACAAGTAAAAGTCAGACGATGCCTAACCATCACCATCCAGATATCAGGTTCAGCCTCGTAGAAAACATGCGAATGTCTTTCTGCTTCTATTAACTCACAAGCTGCCTCCGGAGAGAAAAGTCTGCATTTGTATTCACGCAACGCTTCAAAATATGAACAAGATTCACACACACCATTGATAAAGTAGCTTCGATTTTATAGGAAATCACAAATGCAGCTAAATCTGGAACAGGAAACAAAAAAGAGGGAAGAATCTGTAGCAGCAGACCTAGTGAAAGTAATAAGACCTTCACTGAGGCCGATAACTGATAACTGCGTGGAGAAGTCTAAGTCAGCAGGATGAAAGAACAAAATCTTGTCTAGCTCCTGCCCTTCGGTTTGGCCTCTCCTCAAATCAAACACGCAAAGTCGAAGGCTTTCATCACCAGAGCTCTTGGACGCCATTCCCCGTAAGCTTCTACGAGCACCCTAACATACAATACAATCAAAAATCAAGCATGCTACATAAAATTGGTTGTTTTTATAATCCATATGCTCGGCTTCGAATTCCGAATAAATTTTAAGAGTTTCAAAGCCACATTGGTGATTCAACCACCGCACACAAACCGAAAGAAGGTTCCTAGACCAAAGAACCCCATAAAAATCGAGAAGAGAATTGGAAATTTACTACCTTGAGGATGTATCCAACGAGCAAAGTCGAAGGAGTGATCAATCTTCGGGTGTTGCAATAGTTCAACGATCGGAGCCAGATTCTTGAACACAAATGTCAACTCTAATATGGTTGAAAGCTCGAATTTGTAAAATCAAACTCGATACTGGGCAAGGATTCAATCGATTGAATCGAAATGATTGCGAAATTTTAGAGGGTTTTGTTTGTGGGAGGATGAAGAGCAGGTGGACTGTTAACCGCCACGATAATTCGCGGAGATAATCGGGTCGGGTTATCAACGAATTTCAGACAAGTTGGATCATCAGCTTGGTTTTAAGTTGAGTTAATTATTTAAGCTTTGATTAACTCGAGATAATGTTAATGAAAACATTAATGAACTTAAGGATAATCATTACAGTGGATATTATGATAATGGGCAGTTAGAGAGAACCGGTAAAATCTGAATGTAAACCAAAGTAAATTAGCTATAGTCGGTCGGTTCGCATTTCTGGTTAAAGGTAAGAGGCACTACTTTGGCGACTATAGAACATGCTTTTTTGCGTGTCCATCGCTCGTTTGTATCTTCCTTCTTCAGCCATATTTTGCAACCAAGAAACGATATCCAACGAGCCCCTCCGTGTTTACTTTCGGAAATCCCGAGAAGCCTCGATCGATCTGTTCGAGTGTTTAGCTTTAAAGGGTTTTTCCTTCTTTGCCTGATGTAACTCTCTGTTGCGTTTTCGTTGGATTCATTTTTAGCTCCGAGTGATGAAACCAATCTCCATACCAGAGGTAAATTCTTATATGGAATCAGATACATCTGGTGGGTTTTTTGTTTTTCTTCGCTTTGTACCGATCGATATGATTCTGGGTTCGTCTGGTTTCCGAATTGCAGCTGTTCGATCCGGTGGCTGGTTTTTGTATCCCTGATACGTCTCTGTGGTTTGTATGGTTCTGAGTTTTTGGAATTTCCAATTTCTTATCGGAATCTGAGATTAGTTCATCATTTCCTGGTTACAGCTGCCTTGGATTGAGTAACAACGACGACATTAGCCTTGTTCTTTTTAACTGGTAATTTCTTCTTTAGCCTATACGTTCTTGAATTGCTTCGTATAGTTTTCCTGTCTGTGGAGTACGTTCTTAATCTGATGAACAAGAAATTTCATTATCGTTTTGAGTATTGAGGAAATTCTTCTTTTGATGCTTCTCGTTACTCGACATTTCAGTATCTGAATCTGAGCATCAATGTTGACATTATTTATAATCGTCTCTGTGATTTTTTTTTTGGCATTTCAGTATCTGAGTCTTTGCAACAATGTCTGAACTAAAAGAGCGCCTGCTTCCTCCAAGACCTGCTTCAGCTATGAATCTCAGAGATACTGCTGTGTCTCGCCCTTCTCCTTCTGGAAGAATACCCCTTCCTGGAGTTGATGTCTTGGGTCTGAAGAAGCGTGGACAAGGACTAAGGTCGTGGATCCGTGTTGATACTTCTGGCAATACACAGGTCATGGAGGTCGACAAGTTCACTATGATGCGTAGATGTGACTTACCTGCTCGTGATTTAAGGCTGCTCGACCCCTTATTCGTGTATCCATCAACTATCCTCGGCCGAGAAAAGGCCATTGTCGTGAACTTGGAGCAAATCCGTTGTATTATAACCGCAGATGAAGTTCTGCTCCTGAATTCCCTTGACAACTACGTGCTGCGTTATGTTGTTGAGTTGCAGCAGAGACTAAAGACAAGCGGTGCAGTTGAGATTTGGCAGCAGGAAAATTCCCAGTTGAGTAGGAGGAGGAGTAGGAGTTTTGACAATGGTTTTGAGAATTCATCATCCCCTGATTATTTACCTTTCGAGTTTAGAGCTCTCGAAATTGCCCTTGAAGCTGCTTGTACGTTTCTCGATTCCCAGGTTAGTCATTTTTGCAGCTTCGATTGTGTTTTAGCCTCAGGAGACACAGAGTAATGCTGAGCTTAGATTTGACTTCTACACTATTAAGTTGATTGAGATTTTGTCCTTCTTTATAGGCTTCAGAGTTGGAGATTGAAGCATACCCATTATTAGATGAGCTTACCTCAAAGATCAGTACACTCAACTTGGAACGTGTGCGTAGACTAAAGAGCAGACTTGTGGCATTGACTAGAAGAGTTCAGAAGGTTAGGGATGAGATCGAGCAGCTAATGGATGATGATGGAGATATGGCGGAAATGTATCTTACAGAGAAGAAGAAGAGAATGGAAGGATCTTTGTATGGTGACCAATCCTTACTGGGTTACCGATCAAATGATGGTCTATCTGTTTCTGCGCCTGTCTCACCTGTTTCCTCTCCACCTGACTCTCGAAGGCTCGAGAAAAGCTTGAGTATTGCCAGGAGCCGGCATGACAGTGCAAGGAGCTCAGAAGGCGTAACGGAGAACATAGAAGAGCTAGAGATGTTGCTTGAAGCTTACTTTGTCGTCATTGATAGTACTCTAAACAAATTGACATCGGTAATTTAATGCCTCCTCTTTGTTTTTTTTTTTTTTCTTTCATCGCTGGGCAGCTTAAATCATCTGTTCCGTCTCTTTACTTTACAGTTAAAGGAGTACATTGATGATACTGAAGATTTCATCAACATTCAACTGGTAATTCCTTCAAAATTCAATCTTTTTCATCTTCCACAGCTGAATGTTTATCCAGATTGAGAAACCTTGAGAGTCTGCTGAGAAAGTCTTTCTGTTCTTGCAGGATAATGTGCGGAATCAGCTGATCCAATTCGAGTTGCTTCTTACGACCGCAACATTCGTTGTAGCCATATTTGGGGTCGTTGCTGGGATATTTGGGATGAATTTTGAGATAGATTTCTTCAATCAGCCAGGCGCATTCAGATGGGTACTTATAATCACTGGAATCTGCGGCTTTGTCATATTTTCGGCATTCGTCTGGTTCTTCAAGTATAGAAGACTCATGCCTCTTTGAGAGAAGACATGAATGTGCCCTCAGATAGTAAGACACCAGCTTCTATTATAATGTTGCTTACATATAATTGATGATTCGTTTTCTTTTGCACAATGAAACAAACATTGTCAATGCAAAAATATGATAAAAATCCTCATCATTTTATTAGAAAAGGGTAACCAAACACAGTGCATTACACAATTCATGAATGACTATGTATCTGAACCACAAAGCCTCAGACTTTACTGAGTTTTTTTTTTTTACTTTTGTGGGTCTGAGAAATGTTTGTAATAATCTTTCGCAGAGTCTGTAAGTGACTCAAATTCTTCAGACGCACTACTTGTTAGATGATGAGAGGCGGGCTTTTCGTGCTTTATCGGCCTTGTCCATGTAATCTTGGTGAGATTGATGCGTTGACCCTAAAAAGAAACCAAAGTACTTCAAGCAATCAGCTTAAATAGAGTAAACCCTTTGGAATGTAACCAAAATCAGATTTTAACAGATCTACAGTTTCAGTTGCTTTCGGAATCTTACAACTTAAATGTGAGAGACCCTAAAATGAAACAACTTGATCCATTGTCATAAATACTAAAAGAACCCACTTGTTTAGTCGATCCAGATAAATGTTTCTCATTTTAGCAAGAAAAAATCGAAATCAGAATTTAAGAATATACCATTATGGATCGACAATCAACAAGCCTATCTACATTCATCGTCTTATCAGAAACTTTCCTTCATTTCTCTTCCCAACCCAGAATTTGAAGAAAGAAGAAGAAGAAGGAGGAGGATTCAATTGCAAACCTTGATTCATCAAATACCAAGGAATTCCGAAGATGAGAGTGATGATCCCGATCCCAGCCATGACGTGCTTCTTGTCGCCACTGTAAACGTAATGCTCCATCTTCGCTCTGAATCCTCCGCCTCCGGCCATGCTTGCAGCACCGTTGCTCTTCGTCTCATTTCCCATTCTCGATCTCGATTGACTTTCCTTTCCACTTCCCGCGATCCAATTGTTTCCTTTGGGGGGGTTTATACATCACAGAAATTAAAAAGTTCGATGCCCGAAGGTTTTACCTTAAACTTTCTCAAGGTATATATGGGCCTCTTTTTGACCCAAAAAATATAAATGGGACTATTTAAATGCCCAATAACATTAAACTTTCTCAAGCATTAACTTTTCTTGGATTACACGTTTTTATCCAAAATACGCGGGTAAAATCGAAACCCAATAAAGAGCGCGAATAAGGTAGAAGCTTAATAACTCTTCGCAATGAACCTGAAGGCTATTAATTTTACTTAACTTTTATAACGGTTCGAATCTCATGAACCATGTACGAACCCTCGATTTTTTCTTTCCCAAGTTTCTTCAAACCCTTGGATTATTCAAGATCATGATTATGGAAAATCAATCTAAGGATTGAGAAATTCCGATCTTTTTTGCCGAATGCTTTTTAATGCTCTCCTAATTGGTTGTTGTAGTCTTCTTTTTCCAGTTTTTTTTTTTATTTCATTCCATCGAGATCTGTTGTGATATTAGGTTAAATTTTTGTGGTAATCTTACTAGACACGCATGTATCATACACCTATGTGATTGTTTCTCAAGAAAATGTACAAATCCCAATACATAAGCGGCCAGAGAGAACAATTCGTTAGGTAAGAAACAAAAAAGATCGCAATATTTTTTACTCTTTTTTTCCCTTCAGATCTATGAATGACTTTTAGGAATTTATATATAGTTTAGATGATACAGATTCAAGTGCGTCTCCTGCAACCGGAATGATGATGAAGAGAAACTGTTTCGGATTCAACCTAAAGAATCGAGGAGGAGAAAAGAAGAGAGCATCGAAATCTTTCAGGGAGGGAGTCAAAATCGGATCAGAAGGTCTAATAACGATCGGCAAATCGGTGACGAGAGCTGTTTTCCCAGAAGATCTAAGAATATCAGAGAAGAAAATCTTCGACCCTCAAGACAAAACACTTCTCATATGGAACAGAATGTTGGTCATTTCTTGTATTTTAGCTGTCTCAGTTGATCCATTGTTCTTCTATCTCCCCATTGTCGATAACTCAGGAAGCAGCTGCATAGGGATTGACACGAAACTAGCTGTTACAACAACGACTCTTAGAACGATCCTCGACGTTTTTTACTTAACTCGAATGGCTCTTCAGTTTCGTACAGCTTATATAGCTCCTTCTTCTCGTGTGTTTGGTCGCGGTGAGCTTGTGATTGATCCTGCAAAGATCGCTCAACGGTATTTGACACGTTATTTCATTGTCGATTTTCTTGCTGTGCTTCCTTTACCGCAGGTGAAAACTAAAGATTCAATACGAAATTTCCATTTATTGAGTAGTTTCTTTAGGGGTTGATTAGTATATTATGGGTTTTTTTTTTGTGTGTGGATTTTGCAGATTGCAGTATGGAAGTTTCTTCACGGATCGAAAGGAACAAATGTGTTACCAACGAAAAAGGCATTGCTGAACATTGTACTCACGCAGTATATTCCGAGGTTCGTTAGGTTTATTCCATTAACATCAGAAATGAAGAAAACTGCAGGAGCTTTTGCTGAAGGAGCTTGGGCTGGTGCTGCTTATTATCTCCTCTGGTATATGCTTGCAAGTCACGTAAGTGTCTCTGTACCTGACTCTTAATTAGGTTTTGATAATCATGTCATTTCTCTTTTGTTCACACAATTTTTGCAGATAACTGGAGCTTTCTGGTACATGTTGTCAGTAGAACGTAACGATACTTGTTGGAGATCTGCGTGTAAAGTCCAGCCAGATCCGCGGCTGTGTGTTAAGATTCTGTATTGTGGGAGCAAATTTGTGAGCAGTCGTGACACCGAATGGATCAAATCAGTCCCTGGGCTTCTCAAGAGCAATTGTTCTGCCAAAGAAGATGATTCAAAGTTTAACTATGGAATATATGGCCAGGCTATATCTTCAGGCATTGTATCGTCTACGTCATTTTTCTCCAAGTTCTGTTATTGTCTGTGGTGGGGTCTTCAGAATCTCAGGTAAAGCGCGTTGAAATCGATTTTAGGGATAGTTACCATGTGCTGTAGTTTTGATATCTTTGGTGTTTTCTTAAACAGCACGTTAGGTCAAGGGCTACAAACGAGTACATTTCCTGGAGAGGTTTTGTTTTCCATTGCGATTGCTGTAGCAGGGCTTCTACTTTTCGCGCTTCTAATAGGGAATATGCAGACATATCTTCAGTCACTTACGGTTCGTCTTGAGGAGATGAGGGTCAAAAGACGTGATTCGGAACAGTGGATGCATCACAGGTCACTGCCACAGAATCTTAGAGAAAGAGTCAGACGCTATGATCAATATAAATGGTTAGAAACAAGAGGTGTAGACGAAGAAAACATAGTCCAGAGTTTACCTAAGGATCTCAGGAGAGACATCAAACGCCATCTCTGTCTGAATTTAGTTAGGAGGGTAAATTTTCTGAAACATAATGCTAAAACTGCTTCAGGTTTCTACTAAGAATTAACTAACCAACAATGTGTTCTGTTTTCTGCAGGTTCCTCTGTTTGCTAATATGGATGAAAGATTACTTGACGCGATCTGTGAGAGATTAAAGCCGAGTCTTTACACGGAAAGTACTTACATTGTGCGTGAAGGAGACCCAGTGAACGAAATGTTATTCATAATCCGAGGTCGGTTAGAGAGTGTAACAACAGATGGAGGAAGAAGCGGTTTCTTCAACAGAGGGTTATTGAAAGAAGGAGACTTTTGTGGTGAAGAGCTTCTAACTTGGGCGCTGGATCCTAAAACAGGTTCTAACTTACCTTCTTCCACACGAACAGTGAAGGCTCTGACTGAAGTCGAGGCATTCGCACTTGAAGCTGAAGAGCTGAAGTTTGTAGCAAGTCAGTTTAGGAGACTTCATAGTCGACAGGTTCAACAGACTTTCAGGTTTTACTCTCATCAATGGAGAACTTGGGCTTCTTGCTTTATCCAAGCTGCTTGGCGTCGCCATTCAAGAAGGAAAAATGCTGAATTAAGACGAGTTGAAGAAGAAGACGAAATGAGTTATGAGTATGATGATGATGAGGAACAAGACGAGAGGCATATAGTCTTTAAAAGAACAGAGTCTTCTTCTAGATTACGTTCTACTATATTTGCATCAAGATTTGCTGCTAAAGCATTGAAAGGCCACAGGCTAAGGAGCTCAGAGAGTTCAAGGAGCTTGATGAATCTGCAAAAGCCATCGGAGCCTGATTTTGATGCTGAGTAATCTAATTCTTTTGGAGAGGACAACATCAGAACAGAGACTATATAATTGATTTATACACATAAATGCTATATATATATATATATGTATATATGTAACTTGTTCCATAAGCTGTAAGATGATAATCTACACAAGAGCCAATGATGCTTCAAAGATCTGCATTGCATTTTTCACAGTTCCAATGTCGATATCTGCTAGTTTTCCGGTCTTTGAAGTAACAACTACACAGTTATTCTTCTCTTCTGCGTCTGGTAAAAAGAGCTTCCCCTTCTCTGCTGAAGAGAACAACGCAATACTAGAAGAAAAAATAAACACACACATGTCAACTCTTGAAAACATTAATCACTCTTTATCTTAATTATATATTTTCACCTGGGTTTGTCTCGCGCATAAGCTAGTTGAATCGCAGCTGTGTTTGTTGCGATAACTCCAGCAGAATCGTTTATCAGAGCAGCCAACTAAGTAAGCTCAAGAGAAGGAATCAAGTAAGATCACAAAATTTCAACCTTTCAGTAAATACAAAGATGCATATATACATACCTGTCCTGGTGTTGTGATGAACACTATAGATGTATCATCACCCACAATTTCTTCGACGTTTTCTCTCTCTTTCTCATGCGGAATCACATAGACCGGCTTGAATCCCCTGGCATTTTTCAGAATCCATCTCAGAGAAAGAATCCACATCTCAGCCAGAAAAAAACAGTACATTCAGAGGTTGTCTAGTTACCTTATACCCTTTGATATCTGAGCCCATTTTGTAAGTGGAAGCAAACTATCACTATCTCCTTTTGATTGCATTGACGCTTTTGAATCTGATTCAATCCCATGAATAACTATAAACTTCCCTGTCTCTGCTCCAGCTTTTCTATACTTTTCAGCCACAACCTCTTTCAGTTTCCGTGAAATTGATACCCTAAGTGGCAGCAAAGGAGTTCTTGGAACACTCCTAAATGGTCTTCCTAACCAATCCTCCATCTGGTTATACCTGAAACCACCAACAGTCAATTTACACTTGCCAAAAGTCTTCATTCTTATTGGTCGGCTTTGAGAAAGAAAAAAACTTACATTTTGTAGCCTAATTCTGAAAGGTTGGTATTTTCTGCTGTAAAAGTTTCAGACAGCATAAGACCAGCTCCAGCAGAGTTAACATTCGGGTAAATGTAACTAACTCTGTCTCGAGCCGTTGTCATGAACAAGAACGCTGCGTGTCCTAACCCTGCAAGCTTCGTGGACAGAATCATGTCATAGTACCTTCCCTGCAACATGACTTAAGGAAGTTCATAAGCCTGTCTGATCAATAACAGAAGAATAAAAAGGGTTGAAACATTAAAAAAAAAAAGGAACGAACTTTGAGAAGTCCGATCATGTCTGTATATTCAGCTGGTTCAGGCCAATCATCGTCTGGATCATAAACATTTGCCCATCTTACGTTTTTGTTTAATTCGTATGTTTGTTTTCCTCTGTCAGTCGTTAATACATCTACCTGAACACCAGGATACCTTCGAAAAAGAAAACAAAACGGACAATGTTCTGCATTTCAGTTTAGGATTTTGAAAAGTCAAATCGGAGAAATATTTGTACTTTACCTGTCTTTGATTAGCTGAATTGTCGGGAAAAAGAGTAAATTCTCGTAAACGCCACCGGAGATAACGCAGCAACATCGTCGAACGTCTCCTCTGATTTTCAACGGCAGAGAAGCGAGCTCGACAGTGTAACCCATCGGAAACTTCAAGAACCCGTAAGGATTATCAGGATTATCCGGTGGTCTCGGATCCTCGTCTTGCTTCCCATCGACAAACAATGACCCGTACTCTTCATTCGGGTCTTCACCATCATCAAACGGGTCGAGCCACGTGTTCTTCTTCTTGAGATTGACCGAGACATCGGAGGATTTCGAGGTTAGCCGAGTTTGGAAGTTGAGGAAGACGAGCGGTTTGGTGGAAAACGGTGGCGTTTTGAAGAATGGAGAAATGGGTTTGGGTAAATGAGGAAGTGAAGCCGCCATTGGAGGTTTTTTGTGCCGAAGAATGAAAATTTTGGATTTTTGAATGTTACGAAAGAACACACAGATTTTCGTTAGGAGGTTAGGATAAGTGGGTCCCTTTTGTGGCTATTGTCGACCTTACAAGAAAATTGGCATTTATTTTTTGTTTCCCCAATAAAAACTTTTGTCTTAACATGATGGGTTTATTTATTACACGAGCAAACATTCCTAATCTAAGATGCATTAATCAATGATTAAACAAGTGTAAGTGTGTAACTTTACAGACTTACAGTAATCAAACCGATCTTATTGTCGGGTCGAGCAAGAAATATCCGTTTCATTTCCGGGTCAGGCCAAACGATGACGTGTTAAGCGGTGACTCGTGAGCGACCTTTTCTTCTCGATTCTTTGCTGTCTCTCTCTCTCTCTCTCTCCTTCGATTTGATTCGTTTCGTCCTCGATTGAAAAAGCTCCTTCTTTTTTTTTCTGGGTTTTCTGAAGTCAAAAGGGGTTTTTCTTCACTGTTCCAAGACTTTCTTTGTGAATTTCCTCGCTTTCTTATTCTTTCTATCCCTGCTTTTTCCCGTGAACACCGTAAGCAACTTTGGCTTAGTTTGCTAGAAGGTTACTACAAATGGGAAATTTTTAGGGGAACAAAAAGTTTCATTTGCTGTTAATGTAGCTGTAAAGTGTAGGGTTTTCGATATTAATCTTTATAAGTTAGTTTGGAAATAGCACTTATTGACAGTGTTGATCCAGTGTTAGATCTGTGAAATCGAGAAGCACTTTTTTTTTTGGGTGAGAATCGGGTCAATGTCGGTTCCACCTCGAATCCGGTCCGTGGATTCCGGAGAGCGAGACTTCCGATCAATTCTCGGTCCAACCGGAAACAAGCTGCAGAGGAAACCACCAGGGATGAAACTGGAGAAGCCGACAGTGGAGAAGAAGACGATCGAGTCAAACGATGAGAAATCGAAGAAACCAGATACTCCGGCTTCACCAACGACGACTCTGAAGCAATGCTCTTCTCTTTGCTCTTCGATTCTGAGACGGAACAGTGCATCGATGACTGCTTCTTATTCCTCTGATGCCTCGTCTTCTTGCGAGTCATCGCCTTTGAGCGTGGCGTCTTCTTCTAGCCGTAGGAAGGCTGTGAGGCGAAGTGGGTCTGTCTCCTCTTCAGCTACATGTGCGGCGGCGAGAAGGAAGCAGATTGATGAGAAAGAAGACAAGGTTTCTGCTGGTGCAAGCAACGGCGATTGTTTCGCTGACGGTCGAAAAAGATGTGCTTGGATCACGCCTAAATCTGGTGAGAATCTCTTTTTTCACCTTCAATCTCTCTTGTTCATCGATTCCCAATTCTGGAACACTATAATCGATTAAGGAGGAATGGAGAATTAAATTCCAGGCTGAATTTGATCTGACTTGCTGATTTTTAAGTAAAGATGTGAGATTTTCATTCTGCTAAGTTTAAGACGTAATTGCTATATGCTGGCTACAATATGTGATCTGGCCAATGTGACCCATATGAAGATAAAGGAGCTAGAGTTGTAGATTTCTAGTAGAAGAGTAACCCAATGTCACGAAAATACTTGAATTTTTCTGTGCTTTGTTTGTTGAAACATGTGCAGATCACTTGTATGTTCTTAAACTTTAAGATAGAGTTATCTTCTTTATGCTGATGGGTTTTGTTGCTCTCTCTTATGTGCCACATCTTTCTCGTTGCTTCTGTGATGTATTTGACTAATAATGTTGTTTTTCTTTCGTTCTTGTAAAGACCCGTGTTACGTAGCTTTCCATGACGAAGAATGGGGAGTTCCTGTTCATGAAGACAAGTACGTGGCATCCTCAACTATTTTCCTTTTATCAGAGATGCTCTTTGTAACTATAAGAGTCTCTTACCACTTTGCTAAAATGTGTAGGAAGCTTTTCGAGTTATTATGCCTCTCGGGTGCTCTAGCCGAACTCTCCTGGACTGACATTCTCTCCAGAAGGAAAATACTCAGGTAACCAAACCAAGTTCTTAGTTGGTCCCAATCCGAGAGTGAACTTCTGAGTTTTGTATGAGCTCTGATCTCAGAATTGTTTAATTTGTTACTTATTTTAAAACAGAGAAGTTTTCATGGACTTCGATCCAGTTGCTGTTTCCGAACTGAATGAGAAAAAGGTAACCGCTGCCATTTCCTTACTATCAGAGGTCAAGATACGGTCAATCCTTGATAACTCACGCCATGTGCGCAAGGTAACATAAACCTCCGACACTTCTGATGTATATTACGCAACTTGTATAATCTTTCTGGCTCCTAATTCCTGGCTTCATCCAGATTATAACTGAATATGGATCATTTAAGAAGTACATGTGGAACTTTGTGAACAATAAGCCTACACAGAGCCAGTTCAGGTATCAACGACAAGTCCCTGTGAAGACATCAAAAGCTGAGTTTATAAGCAAAGATCTTGTACGCAGAGGCTTTCGCAGCGTCAGTCCAACGGTTATTTACTCCTTCATGCAAGCAGTTGGTCTTACAAACGACCATCTCATAGGCTGCTTCAGATACCAAGACTGTTGCGTAGCTGCAGAGACAACAACGAAGGCGAAGAAGAAGAACGAGAGTGATAAATAAATTTTATGTGCAATTCTGAAAGCTAATTCACGTATTTGAGTACCACGTTGTTTGCTATAAAAAGATTATTTCAGACAAGGAAGTTTTGCTACCGAACCATGAAGTGTTATTTTTGGCGATGTATAGATCATGTTTTTGGCTATCTGTTTATGCATAGTAGAATGTTCCGAGTAACTCTTAGGGCGGACTTATTTGTGTGAATCTATTACATGCTACGCTTTAAATATAATCACAGTAGTTTTATGTATTCAAATATCTTTGAATGAACGGTAAGTCGGTAACGCTATCATATATCAGAATCATATATATACAGTAGTGCAAAATGGTACAACATAGTGATTAGCAACAAAGTTAAACTAAATTGTGAAGTATATATATTCTTTTAAAAATTGTTAGAGCATCTCTGGAACAAGTCGATACAATGCCAACAAGCCTAAGAGCATGTACTGATCAGTGAACTCCTCTTAGGGGTACACCAACATATATAATATTATTACTTTTTGATTTTGAGTTTGGGAAGAATCTGTCTTAATTTCTAAGTTCCATTAGTGAACCTGAGAATTGAATTCACCAGAATAAAAAAAAAAAGGATGCAACAATTTACATAATAACAAGTCTACTCAACATGAATATATAATAAGAGCATCAATAGAGTCAACAAAAGGATGCAACAATTTACCATGTGTAGGAGCTTGTGTGATTGCTCGTGATCAATAGAACCATGTGTACGTTCTTGTTCCAACTGCCTTCGGAGAAGGAATTTTTCTCTGGCTCAACGGTTGGAGTTACATAGAAACTCTTGTAGAGTAATCAAGCCCATGAACTTTTCCTATCACAGAAGATGAGTAGAAGAAGAGCTTCAGTGTTCAATATAAGAAAAAATACAAAGCTTGATTAAGAAAAAATACAAAGCTTTAGTATTCTATTGATATGTGCCGGAAAACAAAGGAGAAAAACTCATGAAGATTTGCATCAAAAAATTTCCAGAAGAATCAGAGAAAACTAGGGGAAAACGTACATGAAGAATTAATCGATGATGGGATTAGAAGTTCACGGCGTGATTTCGAGTTTTCTTCCAACAGCCTGAAAATTGCCTGGGAAGAGGAAGAGAGAAGAGAGTCGTGTAAAGGAGAAAGAAAATGCCCGATACCAAAAAAAAATTTGTTCCTAAATTTTTTGACCAATCACAGTTCTCCACGTGTAAAAAATATCTGGATGATACGGTCTTTTTAGACTCTTCCTTAGGTTTTTCTAGCAAGTAGATTAATATAAATATGCTTGGTATGTGAGCATATATCTATTTCCTAAAAAAATTTTTAAAAAATGGTTTCCGCATTTCCACTTCCACATACTGTATTTGTTTCTGATTCAATGCAAATTAGTCAAAATGTGTATTTGTTTCTGATTCAATGCAAATTAGTCAAAATGCATATGTGTTTTAAGATTTTCTTGTACGTTGATTAGTATAAACATGTTTGTTGTGTAAACAATGAATGTAGCCTAGAGAATAGCTTTCTTCTCTTTTACTTTATACTGTAATAACCAATAAAGAATCTTCGATCTTGGTGTTCTTCACTTAATAGTTCCCTCTTTTACTATTTTTCCCTCTTGATTAAAACTTTTTCACTTTCTTTTGAGTTGTTGTTAAAAAAAACAAAAATCTTGATAAATAACAGCCGTGCATTGTGGAGGTCGAATTCAACTTTGGCATATATCTTTATTTTTCTTGTCTTTTTGCGACATTTGTAACCGAGGCCAATTGTTTCGTGTGTTAGAGGCTTAGAGCTTATGGTAGGTATCTTAATCAAAATTACAAGAAAAAAAGTGAAGTTTTTTTTTATTCTCCAAGTGGTTTACAATACAATGTACGTAGTATATTCATGTTTTTCCCTCTGAATCGTTGTTTTCTCTGTTTTTATAAACTCGATGTGTTGCGAAAAATAAATAAAATAAAGGGCGATACGAAATACGTTATGTCAAAAAGATTTACGTGTCGATTATCTCAGAAACAGAAGCACCAAGTGTTGACAAATCCTAAACTACGCGCATTCCCTTGTGGGACCCGTCTTTATCTTTACCGTTGTTTTGTTAACCTTTGGAAGTTGGCTACATTTTTTTCTTCTTTTTTGTTAGATCATTTTCTGTAATATATCGATTTTCCATACTTAGGGATGTCTTATGTCTAATACGTAATCGTATTGGCTAGGATCTACAACTATTGAGTTTTTTTTTATATAATTATAATTAAATAGTAGCTTCCACTACTTGCTAGATTCGGAAAGAACAACCTCCCTTTTTATCCTGATTATCATTTATTAATTTCTTCCCCCAAAAAGTAGTTTTGGCATTTGCATTAAAAAATATAATAAAAAGGAAACAGATTTACATGACTTTCTTAAATTTTATTTTCTCTTTGACCATACAACACGTGTGTATTTATATATATATATATCTCTGCTCTATATACGTTTTTTTTTTATGTTGGCAACAGAGAGAGATAGAGAGAGAAGAGACGTAACAGAGAGGCGATGGCGGCTGCAACGGCAAGTGGCGGCAACATAAGTTTCTCCAACTCTCCTCTCATCGAAAACTCTGTTTCTAATCAGATTGTTGTCCCTGAGGTTTCTCTTTCTTTCCTTTTTGCCCTTTCACTTTTTTTTTCTCTTTCTCAAATTGGGCCTCATTACATTTTATGCATGCTTAATCAGTTGTTAAATCTCCAGGAATTGTTTTACAATCCCATTAGTAATTGCTGCTCTTGTATCATCAATGTCGAATTCGCATTTGATCCCTGCCTAAATGTTTGAGGATCAATCACTAATGTTTACATATTTTTAAATGTAGAAAAAGAGCTGGAAAAACTTCTTCTCATACTTAGGCCCTGGATTTCTTGTTTCAATTGCTTACATTGATCCTGGAAACTGTAAGATTCTCTTTATATATCAATATTCATAAAAATTATATCACTTTATTACACACAAAGCTTTGCATTTTTGTCTTTGTTACAGTTGAGACTGATCTGCAATCAGGAGCTCAATACAAGTATGAGGTACGTTAAGCTTCGATTGTTTATTAACGTTTTCGGTTTGCATTGAATGTGTGTGTGTTTTTTTGTCAAATGAATCCACACCTTTATCACTTTTAGACAAAATTCCGTTGTTAAAATGTAAAGTCAAACGACAAATCTTCGTTTTGCAAACAAAACAATGTTTTAAATTTTGATATGTAAACGCCAACGCAGAATTGGCATTTGGAACAATATAGACCTTAGCGTTTGCAGATTTTGATAAAACGTTTCTGGTCACATTTGAACAGCTACTGTGGATCATATTGGTGGCGTCTTGTGCAGCTTTGGTGATTCAATCTCTAGCTGCAAATCTTGGTGTTGTCACAGGTTTAACCCCGAAATCCGAACAAAGTCTTTCTTCTGTTCTAGTCTTTATATAGTACATTAGTTTGCTTATAATATCCCATTGCAGGAAAGCATTTAGCAGAGCATTGTAGAGCTGAATACTCCAAAGTTCCAAACTTTATGTTATGGGTTGTAGCGGAAATCGCTGTAGTAGCTTGTGACATTCCAGAAGGCATGATTTTTTGGTTTTTTGTTGCACTGATGATTTTGATGGGCTTATTTGCATTCTGTTGATTTCTCAAGCAAATTTTTATTAATCAGTTATTGGTTTTCTCTGTATACAGTTATTGGCACAGCATTTGCTTTAAACATGCTTTTCAATATCCCGGTTTGGATTGGTGTTCTTCTCACAGGATTTAGTACATTGATTCTTCTAGCGCTTCAACAATATGGGGTATGTGTTTATACTGTTACATCATTTTGATTGTAATCTGTTTCCTGAGGCTTTTACATTGGTAATATCGTTATTATTTTTTGGAATCGTTACAGATCAGGAAGCTCGAGTTCTTGATCGCGTTTCTTGTGTTAACTATTGCTCTATGCTTCTTTGTTGAGCTTCATTACTCAAAGCCAGACCCAAAAGAAGTCCTCTATGGTCTCTTTGTTCCGCAGTTAAAGGGAAATGGTGCAACTGGTTTAGCGATCTCTCTCCTCGGTGCCATGGTTATGCCGTAAGACACTCTCTGTCTCTCTCTCACTCTCTCAACCCAATCACCAAAATTCTCATCTGTTTCTTCTTCACAGGCACAATCTATTTCTCCACTCAGCTTTAGTTCTCTCTAGAAAGATTCCTCGTTCAGTAACAGGCATCAAGGTAGTTAAGTTAACCATCTAGCATACATGTATTTTCATGGACATGATGAGTCTAAGTTCCTCGTTCTCATTTACAGGAAGCTTGTCGGTATTACTTGATTGAAAGCGGATTAGCACTTACGGTGGCATTTCTCATAAATGTCTCTGTGATATCAGTGAGTGGTGCTGTTTGCAATGCCTCAGATTTGAGTCCAGAGGATCAAGCGAGCTGCGAAGATTTGGACTTAAATAAAGCTTCGTTTCTGCTACGGGTAAATATATATAAATCCTACAAGCTTTGGTTCCAATTTCTAGCATAAGTCTGCAAAATATTTTAAGGATATATATACGTATAATTGTTGCATTCTTATGCTTACCACAGAACGTTGTGGGTACATGGAGCTCAAAACTCTTTGCAATTGCGTTGCTTGCTTCGGGTCAGAGTTCAACAATAACTGGAACGTATGCTGGACAATACGTAATGCAGGTGATCAAACCTCGGCCAAATGCTCGTAAATCCTTACTTGTTGCCTCAGTCTTGTTCTGTTCTTAATTTTTTTTTTGGTCTACAGGGGTTTCTTGATTTAACACTAAGACCATGGCTCAGAAACTTCTTAACAAGATGTTTAGCTATAATCCCAAGTTTGATTGTAGCTCTCATAGGTGGCTCAGCTGGAGCCGGAAAGTTAATCATCATTGCCTCGGTAACCCAATATCTCAAATCCAATCTCTGAATCATATAATACAACACTCTTAACCTTAATCATCTTACCTGTTTGCAGATGATCTTATCCTTTGAGCTCCCATTTGCTTTAGTTCCACTTCTCAAATTCACAAGCAGCAAAACCAAAATGGGCTCACACGCCAATTCACTCCTGGTATTGACTTTAATATCCCTATTCATGAATCATAAACATCGATTGGAAAAACGAAAACTCATATGTGTCTCCTGGCTTTTTTCTGTAGGTTTCATCTGTGACTTGGCTCATTGGTGGACTTATTATGGGTATCAACATATATTATCTAGTGAGCAGTTTCATCAAGCTGCTTCTCCAAGGTCACATGAAGCTTGTAGCCATTGTCTTCTTAGGAATTCTTGGATCCTCAGGCATAACCATTTACTTAGCTGCTATTGGTTACCTTGTTCTCCGTAAAAACAGAGAGTCGTCCGCACGTTTCCTGCCCTCTAGTAACTCTCAGACCGTGGAAACGCTTCCTAGAGAAGACATTGTGAACATGCGTTTACCTAATGGAGTAGCGGTTACAAGGAACTTAGATTGAAGAATTATAACATTTAAGATAGACAAACCATTGTTTACTTAGTGGTGTAATATATTTCATAGAACTAACATGAAGTTGTTTACTTAGTGTAATCTATTGCATAAGATAAACTACTACTACAAAAAAAAAAAATATGAAGCACTGAAGCCTTGTTTACAAAATCAAAATCCATAAAACGATTAGGCTTAATATCTGAGTATACAGATTCATTACTAGACAAGACATTTTGAAAACAGAGATTTCACATAACCAGAGACAAGAACCAAAGATCTGTTTATTTTTCTTTTTCTAAACCAAAAGCAATATCAATGGCTAGGGATACTTCAGGGACTAAGCTATTCAAGACTCGATCTTGATGCCATTTTCGCTGGACAGTTGTGATGTCGAAGGAGGAGGAGGAGGAAGATGACCTTTCTCTTGCAAGCTCTTAACTGTGTCGTACAGGCTTTGCTTGGTGGATATGAACTCTAAGCCTAAGTCCTTAATCTTTTGGTTTGTGAACTTGTATGGTTTGGCTCTAGGGTTCTTCTCGTCCTTGCATCTGAACAGTTAAAACAAAAACCAACATTGTTTCTTGACCCCAAAAAAAAAAAAAAAAATCAACACTGTTGTTACTTCACAATCTTTTTTGGGGGTTAATTACTTAACACAATGTTTCTTGAACATTATTTACTCTAAAGCGATTGATTTTTCTAATTAAAGTTAGGCAAAGAACGAAGACTAGCTCCATTACAACTACCAATTTTTCAAAAAAAAATATCTATCAACATATTATAGTGTGTGTGTATATATATATATATATTGTGGTTTACAAAATGTCCACGTTAGCAGTAGGTGACATGAGACTTGGACTTCTGGTGTGAGTTGTTGGTGTACCAACTTTCGCCACAAACGATAAAAAAATGAACATGGGACCAACTCATAACCATCATTGAGTTTGTATCAAAATAAGAGAAAAGAGAACAAAATAAAATAAAAAGAATTATATATATATTGATTAAGCTATAATGCTATATCAAGATTTGCGAATATGCTAAGTGACGGCACACTGTCGTCAAAATTAGCCTTACTGTTTGATGTACACTAATGAGCACGTGTGTCATACGTGTGCATGTATATTTGTATAATATAAAGTCTTACACGAAAATAATCAAAATAATGTTGGTTACGAAGAACTGAAGAAGAGTATTTCAAAATTGAGACAGGTCATTGTCTTAAGAGTGTCTTAAGAGTTACACTAGAGCTACCATCGTTATTAAAAGGCTTTATTTGATTACGTTTTTTTTATAAATAAAAAAAAACTAAAGTAATGAGTCGAGTAAGTGGAAAATCTATGTGATGAGCGAGGCATTGGGGCCAAAAAAGCTAATACTATTACTTTTCTTTTTCTTTTCCAAAACTAATATTACTAGAAGCCATACGTTGCACAAATCAAATTGGAATCTCGTGAAGAATATGGATTATAGTTGATATGAACCTTTTACATTTACCTACAAGTTGGTTGTAAAATATATAAAGCAACCTATAGCCAATTATATATTATATCTACATCTTAGATTATATTTTCTAAATCATTGTCCTAACTATAATTTAGAAAACTAGGTACGTCAGTAAAAAAGATCTATGTATATTTTACATAAATAACTACCGAGATTGTCGTTTCTACATTAAAAAATTAACGCCTTACAGGTTCTTTTTTTTGTTGTTAAGTATATATGTTTAATCGATAGCTAGAAAAAGTCAACTGCGCAGCCAGTTGTGTATTTGTTGTTATAATTTTTTTAGCATTTTGTGGGGTTCGTTTCTACAGGATGATCTAAGTTACTAACTCTAACAATATTAAGCAGCATTAGTTTCACTTACTTGGTCGGAAGAGGATACTCCGGGAATAACTTAGCCAGAATCTCAACAACTTCGCCGCGGTGAAGGGCGCTCTCGGCGAGGAGATAACGTCCAGAGGCCGACGGTGCCTCGTAGACCAAAACATGAGCCAGAGCAACATCACGAACATCCACATAAGCCTGAGTCAAGTTAGCGTAAGTCTTAGCCGAGCCTGTTAGATACTTGAGGACGTGGAAGAGACTTGCGTTGATCGTTGGCTGTAACGGTGGTCCAAGGACCAGAACCGGATTCAACACCACCAAGTCAACACCTTTCTCCTTCGCCGTCTCCCACGCCGCTTGCTCCGCCACCATCTTTCCGTAACAATACCAATTCTACAAAAACACATACAAATTTTCAAAAAGACCACAAAGACTAAAATTAAGTAAGTAAATACATGCAAAGATTAAAAATACAAGACCTTGGTGTTTTTGCAGAAGTCGAGATCACTCCAACACGTCTCATCGACGACTGCATCAGGGTCACGGTTCGGGTTCATGTAAACGGCACCTATTGAGGAAGTGATGACCACGCGCTTTACCTTGGCTTCAGCCGCTGCATTTATAACGAACTTGGCTCCGTTCACGGCCGGCTCCACCATTTGCTCCTGAAAATTTATTTTACACATTTTGATATTATCTTAAATTTTAATACCTCATTTCACATAATAGTATTTATTGATCTATCCCTTCTAAGTTCTAACAATATAATTTCTAACTATCTTTTTCTTCTCTGTCAAGTTTGAAGTCAAATGTAATAAATTCATTTCAAGAAAGTGGGGTTAGTGATCTTCTCGAGTAATTCAAAGTCTTGAATGAAATTAAATGCTTGACCAAACAAGCATATATTCAATGACGAGTATTGCAAAAGATTCTAACCTTTTTTCATGCGATAATTTTTTTTAATAGATTCAAATAATTGAAAGCGATTTGATATCAATAAAAGCAATGACAAAAATCTAAAAGAAATCAGCTCCACTAGCATAATTTATTGTTATTTCACATAGGTCCCTAAGTTTATACTATTTTACTCTGAAGCCACAGAAAGTCCAAGAAAAAATAAAGAAAATACTCACGGGATCGTCGGTAACCGGAGAAGCCGTGTGAAAGACGCCGTCACAACCATCAATCGCCGCTTTAAGAGCCTCGTAGTCCTGAAGATCTGCTTTGCAAAGAATCAGTCTCTCCCTGGCTCCTTCAAGTTCTCTCAAATGTGTATTCTTTGGATCATCTGCAAAACAATTATACAAATAATCATTACAAAAAAAGAAACAATCAATCAAGAAATTAACTTACAAAAAATTTAACAGACCTGGATTTCGTACGGTGCCTTTGACGGTGTAGCCTCTCTCGAGGAGTGACTTAACAATCCAAGAGGCGATGTATCCACCGGCTCCGGTGACACAAACAGTTTTTCCGGTCGGTAAGGATTCGTCGACTGGCATTTTCCCGGCGGTTGTAAGTGAAAGCTTCGGTTTTTGGAAGGAATATGATTAGTGCGAAGTTTCAGAGTGTGTTACGGTTTGTATATATAAAGAACTGAAAAAGGAGTTTTATCCTTATTTTCACCTAACAATGGTAATGGTCTATATGTTAAGAAATTATTATATTCTATTTACAAATCTACAAAAGGACAAGCCAAATTAATTATGGAGTATATATTATATAGAAAGAGGGGTTGGTGGAAGTAGAATGATTTGAAACTATACGCCTTTAGAAAAAAAATCCTAAAAATTAAGACAAAACTTTGGAATAACACCTACAATCATTTTACTTACCTACAATCATTTTACTCTGTCAAATATAATCTAAATAATTCTTGATGAAGACATACATTCTCTAGATAATGTATATAACGATTATCTCTTTTAGTACAGTTATGTTTCAATGTAATATAGTTCTAGAAGAAAAGGGTACAAGAAGTTCTTAGTATATGGTACATATATCTGCGTATGTAATAATTTGTGTCAGAGTAATTTTGTATAATTTTGTATAATGTCTTTGTAATTACTCTTTTAAAGTAATAGAAATGTTTTTAGCCGAAAAAAAAAAAAGAAAAGGGTACAAGAATGTGTATATGTGGACAAGACAATATATGTTTCGTCTTGTGTTAAGTGTCAAGTTTACTTATCTTCTCCATCCACGACAGATGTTTAGATTCGGACACTTTTTCTGAAACGACGACACATACGACCACTTTTTGTGTATGTATGATAGCAATTATTCATGCACAGATATGTCTTCAAAGATATCTAAAATATATGTTACTAGCTAGGTGACATCAGATCAAACTAGTTCCATAACAAGACATAGGTCAGAAAAATCTACTAACAATAACACCAGAAGACTCTCTAAACAAGCAGCTTCACTAAACACATACGTTACCTAAACCACAATAACCAATGTTTCTTCCTGAATTAACATCACCTAATGCTCATGAGTCATGGATCAACCTGAAACAGGAATAGTACCCACTTCTGCCTTATCGGTCACTTCTTCCAGTCCCTTAGTTACTCTCTGATCATCATCTTCAGCCTCTTTCTCAATCAATTTTGCGTCTTTTGCTAACTCTCGCTCTTGTACTGCATTTGGCTCTTTCACTGACTTTTGCTCTTCCTCATCAGCTTTCGGTTCTGAATTTGGCTCTCTCATTGACGTGTGCTTTTCTCCACAGGTTTTGGGTTCGGCAGTTGGCTCTTTTGCTACTTTGTGCTCTTCTTTATCAGTTTTGGGTTCTGCAATTGGCTCTTTTGCTACCTCCTGTTCTTCACCATCAGTTTCTGGTTCTGCATTTGGCTTGTTTGTAGACTTTAGTTCTTCTCCATCAGTTTTGGTTTCTGCGTTTGGATCTTCAGGCAGTTCTTGGTGATCTCTCTTACATTCAGGCTCTGCATTTGATTCTTTCACGACTTTCAGACTGTCTTCATCCTTGGTTTGAGGTTCTTCCTTTTCATCACAATCTTTTTCACTTTCCTGGTGCATAGCTCGAGTCACCTTCTGCGTTTTCTGAGCCCTCCCTTTTGTTCTGCCACGTTCAGCATTCGACTCTTTTGAGGATTTAAGATTTTTCTCTCCTCTGTTTTCTGGTTCATTTCTTACGGCCTTCACCGCACCTTTGGTTCTTTTCGCTTGCTTAGTTGAGTTTGTTACAGAGTCCTTCATTGCTAGCATAGAGGATCTATATCCATAAATGTGAGCAAATTAATTCAAGTAACAAACCTTTATATACCAATAACTAGAACTATGGTAACTTTCACACCTGTCGTCTGGAGAACTGCTCAGTTCCACATTCATAACCACATTTTTGCGCTTCTTCGCTTTCTGCCTTCGTAGTCTGCATATAAAAGCAAAAATCAGGCTAAAGGGATGCCAAGCTAAAGCCAATTTAAAGGGTGATACAGAACCATGAACGTTTCACTTACATGTCAGATAAAGGAATAGAATCAGGCAGATCAATCTCATTATCCTGCTTAAGATTTTTGGGGAAATCAAACACATGTCACTTACATTTTTTGTAAACGATCAAAAATGGTGGATGAATAAAGAGGGGCACAATGAAAGTAAATTTTCACCTCACTGGCTGAAGAATTATCCTGGAGTATCTCCCAACGTTCTTTTTTCAGATTAAGCGTTTCAGAATCCCCATCAGAATAAGATACCTGCAACGAGACCAGCAGCAAGAAAACTTACTATAAATTAATTGTGACACGAAGAGAGAATTTTCAAATAGCAGTAAGAGAAGTTAACTCACCTTATGCGTCTTCTTACGTTTATCATAGGACTCTATGACGCCTTCATAAAACCTGTGTAAATATAAATGGTAAGATTGCTCATAACAGTATCAAAAACTGAAGCTAGCATGTCCCAATGCACACTTACTTCCTGTCGAGTGGCCACCAGACGTTAACTCTCTTACCAACCAATTCTTCACCAAACTCACTCTTACTGGACTCCTGAAAAGAGGAAAATAGACCAGATGAAAACACGTTACAGATCAATGCTTCATACAATGGACAGAGAAGGGAACAAATTCCCACCACTTCCTCTCCATCTGTCCGTTTCCTCTTGGAATTGCTCTTGGGAGTTTGTTCAGATTCTTTGGCCAAAGGCGTAGTTGCATTAGAATTCTTCTTCTGCAATTTTTTTCCAATAATAAATTCAATGTAAAAGGAAGTTCTAGATTTATTTTGAAAAGAGAAATCATGGTTTATCAAATTTGCTACCTTGCTCTTTGATAATTGGGGAATAGGCATATCCTTGCTTGCACCTTCTGAATTCTTTTTCTTAGCATCTGAGTGGATTAGCTTTTTTTCACTGGTCTTTACCCTTTTAGTTTCTGCAAGTGGCTTCTTTGCAGATGTTTTCGCTAAACCGGTCTGTGCTCTCTCCTTTTTACTTGACTTGGCAGTCTTAATGCTATCTTCAGGTTTTTCAAGGTTAGATTCCATGAAATCTTCTTCTTCGGGATAACTTTTCTTCACATTCTGTTTCTTTGATTTTGGTGTAGTTAAAGAACCTACATCAAGATTTTTCTCCTCAATCTTACTCCGGCTTCGTTTACGTGACCCCTTCCCAGCCTTACTAGAGGATGAGAGAGAAATAACAACGGACTGATTCGTTTGACCAACTTTACTAGGCAAAGATGCTTTCTTGGCAGCCAGCTTTCCAAGTGATGAATCCCCAACCTCTTTTTCATGAACCTTCTTGCTTGACGACGTCTTAAATGAATACCCTTCCTCAGGATTCATCAGAGAATTGGGTTTCCGCCCTCTCCTTCTTGTAGACCCTGATTCGGTCTCTGCATCTGTACTTTCAGACTGCCCTTGCTTCAAAAGTTGTTTCAAATCGTTTCCATTTCCTACTTTGTCATCTCCATTAACTAAACGAGTTCCAGCTCTTGCAGTCCTCTTGGATCTATTCCCCTTGCGAGAAAGTCCCAAATCCAATTTTTCCTAAATCAAAAGATTATGAAGATATTGGTTAATCAACAAACAATAACACTTATATTGAAAAAAAAAAACTACTAAATAAAGTACCAGCAACGAATCACTTGGAACTACTTTTTCTTCAGATATCTTTTCATCTGCCTGAAAAACGGAAAAAGATATAAAATACTGGTAGATGCAAGTTCAAGTTTCAACCACACAACTACAACTGTATAACGTAACAAACTAAGAGCTCAACGCATCAAGAATACCTCAATTTCTTTGGTGTTCACAACGATGTGTGCTTCAGTAGTGGCAGCTTCGCTCTGGCATATTGAAAAAACTACTGGAGAATACATGTCCAAGCTGGTCCCTGTGGACTTCAAAGCTTCCATGATGCACGGTTGAAGCTTACAGGCGCAACTACTAAGAACCTTCTCCACAAGCTCCGAAGCCATTGGTGAGACATCCTACGCCATGGGGACCAGAAAAATCATATCTCAAATCTGTTGAAAAGCTTGGAGACTTTAATCTGAATTGGGTAAAACTTACCAGACTTTCTTTTTTGACACTAGTCAAGAGAATGTCGAGCAAATCCATGGATACTTCTTCACTTTCATCTATAACTGTGATCATTATCGTTTCCATTGAAAGAAGCACCGATTTTGGATGATCCCGGCTTAATAGATGCACAAAAGAAAAGCCATCAGCGTTATATAAAGCACACAAGATATAATTGAGCACTGTTAACTCAGTTTCTATTTCTACCTTATGATTTTCAAGAACTGCCGAAACATCTCTAGAATAAGGTCATCGCACTCCAAGTCCAACATCACCAAGGATGATCTGACCTTAGAAACAGTATCAAGCACGGCCTCGGCCTTCCTATAACTGCGAGAGGAAGCATCAGCTAGTTTTCCAAAGGCTTCAATTGTCACCTCGAAGATCTCCTGTAAGACAAAGAAGCAAAGTAAATGCCTTGTGAGAGGAAATTTGAAGAAAGCATTACAAAAAAAAAGATATAAGTGACAGTGGAATTGTGGAATAATGGTATATCAACCTTCATTTGGTCATCGTCATATGGTGCCTCTGGTGCAGTTATCCTCATAATCTCAGTCAAGCACGAGACAACGAAAACCCTAACATCAGAATCAGGGTTTCTTAAGAGTTCAGCAGACACCAAAGCCTTCATCGATGGAATCAGGGCATTTTTCACTGCTGTGATAGGATCTTGCTCGACAGTGGAGAGGAGAGACTCGATTTCCTGCACAGAGAAGCATCAAAATCAGATGGTTGAACATCATAAAACCGCAGAGAGAAGTTTCATCTAGGGATTTAAAAGCAACAGAACCCTAAAAGTTTTCACCTTTTCGACAGAAACCAGTTCGATATCTCAGGAACAACTGACAAATCGGCCCTCTACAAGGCATTTTGCATCAAACATTGAACCAAAAAAACAAAGCAAAAGAACTAACTTTTTCCGTATCGGCAAGAAAAGTGAAACCCTAGTCCTTCATCTAAACCAATACCAGTAGAGGGAAATTTCACAAAACGCACTAACAGCAAGAAAAACCAATTTGTGTGAAAAAAAATGTTACAAAATCAGACAATATTGTCGAGAGAGCAAGAAGGATTCGTACATCGAGAAGACTGAGAATCGCATCAGTAGAGGAATGAGGATTGAGGAGATTATTTCCAGCCTCGAGGAGTGCTTTCGAAAGTTCGGTCGCTCCGACAAGAGGACCCATTGTTTTGTTCTTAGAGAAGAATATCTGAAGATTCAAAACCCTAGAAAACCAATAAACATTCTCCGAACGAAAAAATAAAAATAAACCCCTGTCCTCGCCGCCTCAATCCAAATGGTTTATAGCAAGAGAAGACAAAAAAAAAAAAAAGACAACTTTTACAAGTCTGATGCGCTTTTTATATAAAGCAGCGATGTTGAACATGCAAGAACTGCTCTTACTTGTGTATACCACCGGTTCAAAGAGAAAATAATAATCAACTCTTATAAAGAACAAAAAAACGTTGGTCCTTAAACTCAATTAAGTCAAAAGTGTTGAGGAAAAAAACAAAAATCAATCATGTGGAGACAAATGTGTTTTATCGGTTGATAATAAGTAATCAAGTGTTTTTCCTTTAATTCGTAATTTAGCATCTCTACAAATTACAATTAAATATTGCTCGATACCAGAACTGTTAATCGGTGGCTTGGTGCTAAGCTCGGGTTCGTCTCTTTCCCGCCCTTCTCCTGGAGTATTTCACTTCGAAACAATTGAAATTTTCAGGTTTTTATGTTCGTGTAAAAACTAAAAACCAAAGGTTCTTCTTAAAAGTTAGAGTAACACAGCTAGAAAAGGTGAAAATAAAAACAAATTATGTGAAAATAAAATGAATCATTTACTTGGATGTACTTAATGCATACAAAATTCCTTGACGCAAAACAAAAAACAACAAAAATCCTGTTGATTAATCAAAAAAAGAAATCGAGTTTGTGAAACGTCAACTCTGTAGGAAAATACAAATTCTATAATAAGAGTGGACATAAATAAAGATGTTGAGTTCACTTATACATCTTTAACGCCAATATAAGCTCTTGCTAAGCTAAGAGAACTTTGCTACCGTATATAACATACCATACGTAATCTGCCGTTCACGTTTTCATCTACTTTTAAATGGTAAATCTCAAACATTAATTTTGTGAAAGTAAAAAACTGGGCAACGATATTCTCAAGCAAGCAAATTTGGCCTTGGAAGAGTAGAGCCTACATAACAGCAAAACTTGATCATGTTCCAAACAAATCTCGAGAGCTGTCTGCTAAATATTAAATATCAAAACCAAGAGAAAACAGCATTGTGATGGAAAAACATCTGAAATTCGAGACTTAGTTAGATTCAATGTGCTTCTTGACGATATTGAGTGCAGTTGTCTCCTCACCGTAGTCCTGAAAGAGCAAGCAAAAACACACAGAACTCATTTCAACTAACTGACCAGAGACAGAAAAAAGCTAATTACTTTTATGAATTAGAGATTCTTCATATGTAAAGTCAATAAATATATACCTTGACTACAAGACAGGAGCATCCAACAACCTTCCTGGCATTGCCCTCAGAGTCGATCTTGCACAGCTGCAACAACATAATAGATTTGTATTTTTCTTTGTTATTAACCAATCATTCGTTCATATATGGAGAGCCGGTAGATTCGGAAAAACGAAGACTTACACCAGCCCATTCGCCGAGGGTCTTGGCACTTGGAACTGTAAGCAAGTTGATGTTGTGATCAGCACAGAGAGCTTTAACAAGCTTGACGTAATCAGGTTGGTTGCAGTCTTCAGCCAAGACACAGAGCTGAGCCGAACGCTTCTCAATAAGCTTAGCGCTTTCATGGAGACCACGAACCACACCACCATGAGCACGAGCCTTCCTAAGAGTCAACTCCAATGCAGTCAACAAGTCCATGTCCTCTGGGATGGCCGCTGGCTCAGCAACGGGAGGAACAACGGGAGCAGCCTCATCACTAAATAAGTAAAGAATATAAAATTCAGACATACAGCAATCGAGCACACACCAAACCACACTCATACCATTTATTAAAACGGATTTCTCAAGCAAATATGACATATGAATTGTGTCCAATCAAGTCCCAGCTACAAAGACCAGTGTTTTAATTCATCCATTTGAAATGAAAATCATAAAACAGGTTATTGAACAAACAAACTATGTCCAACCGCAATTCGAGTACGATAATCTATTGAGCTGAAACAAAACCTTAATCCCTGACAAAAAATGAACCTAAAAGCATAAACTATCATCGGGCAATGATAGAAGCATCAACGATGCAAGAACACATTTCATTATATAGGATGATGCCCCGTAAAACATAGACCGCGCGAATAAGTCGAGCTAAAAAACTAAGAAGCTGGCTAGTTATCACTGATTCCGCAGATTAAAAATGCAGCATAGCCACAACGCAAGAGAAGCTTACCCAGACATGTTGTCTCCTTAAAATGCCTTTAAACGACCCAAAAAAATGTCCTTGTTATCTGCCAATATAAACGAAGCAAATCAGTCTCAAAAACTCTAACAAAGGCAGCAAAAAATCTGGATAGTAAGAAAAAAAGTCCGACAGTCTAATACATAGCAGATTACAATCGTGCGAAACCGGTCAGATCGTACAAAATTCGAGGAGCTGAAAGAGACTAACCTCAGAGACGAAGACGGCTGCAGCGGAAAGGATGAGGAAGAAATTGGGAACAACTTATATGGAGACATAAACCCTAATTTCACCAGAATATTCATTTGATGAATCGTTACGGACCAGGCCACGTATTTGGGCTTTTACCGGCCCAACTAAATGGTCGTCGTTTAATGGCAAGACTAATAATATTGTTGATTTGCTTCCTTGCAGTCTCTTCCTTCTCTTCCAGCTTGTGATAACGACTGAATTTGTTTGTTATTTGTCTTTGATTTTGTGGAATTGCAAAACAAATGAATCTAGAACGCAATTCCTCTAAATGGTCATGTGATGGGTACTGTGGAATCATTTCAAGCTAGCTCTTCCAAACAAGAAAAATTAAGAATGTTTTTTCTATGATCCTTGTCTGAATTATTGTGTGTCCATACTCTGCTTCAAACACCTATTTTGTAATGCAAAAGCTTCAACAATCTCAACAAAACAAAAAAACTCTGCTTTTTAAATTATTATCTTTTTTTTTTTAGTTTTTCATTTTCTTTTCAGCGAGGAGCTGAGGTTTGTAAACACATCCTAATCCATACAAAACACCAGAATATTTAGCCATGGAACCAGTGAAGTGCTTCTCCTTCATCTTCCTGAACACACGCGAAGTAAGCAAACTATCTGACCCGGCCTGGTGCGAAATCCCGACTCGTTTGACAAGAAGCAGCTCGGCTACTTTGCTCAGACCGCCCCAGAGACCGTTGCAGAAATCCATGAGGTATTTGATGTCGTAGACAGTCGGGAAAAACGTCTTGACCAGAAGGAAGAAATCCGATTGATCCTCCGGCAGATCCTTCCCGGTAAGAAGCTTCAGCAAGTATCCGAAATCGTATCCGCAGTGGAACGTAACCCACTGTACCTTATCGTTAAGCACCACCCCTGAGCACATTAGCAGCGCCGCGAATCGTCTTGACTCGATGCCCAAATGGTTGTTTTTCGCGAAATCGATGCCTGATTGACGGAGGAGCTCGATGGAATCCATGGCGAACACGTCCGTTTTTAGGTTGAATTCTCTGAAATTGAATTGCCAGACGCATTGCTTGTTGTTGGTTCCACAGGTCGGGAGGTTTCCTTGCTCGTCCGATAATGTGAGGCCGAGCTGAATCAGGTTTAGCATGTTCACGTTCGTCCTCAGGGATTCGTAGCAGTTGAATTCGTTGCGCTTTGGGTTTTCGTCTGTCGTTACTGTCTTGCACACGATTCCTGGGAATTCTGTGTCCATGGCCACGTACGGGAAATGGTTGATGGCTTGTGAAATCAGAGACATCTCCGCTCCAAGATTCTCGTTCCAGACCTCGCGGATTTCAATCGAATCGTCCTCTTTCGGAACCATCTCTCTCGTCGTCGGTTATAATTATAATGGTGATGATGATGATGATGATGAATCCGAGTCAAGATTTTGCATCCGGATGTGAGAGACAATTGAAGGAAACCTAGAACGGATCTAGAGAAAGATCCGATCCGGTTTTATAAGTATCTGCAACAAGATTCCAATGCCAATAACAATCAATCCACGAAATCTCACACAAAGATTCAACGAAACCAAAAACGCAATTGATAGATGTATGAAATAGAGCGCTCGAGTCGAACCTGGAAATTCAAGGGAATAGATAGATTATTCTGGAGAAGGCGGCGAATCTCCAGGTTAGGGTTTCAGAGGATGTGGTGGTTTATCGAAGAGGATGATGCTGGAAATTGGGAGAAGAAGAAAGAGGTTATTAATCAATTAATAAATCTAATTTTCTCGACTCTGGCAAAATAATAAATCGGTTTTACCTTTTCAGGCTTTTTCTTTTCTCTTCCCCACAAATGTCTTGTTTCCACACCAAAATGAATCCTAATTTCATCTTTATAGTCATTTATTTACTTCTTAGGCCTCTCATTTCTTCTCCAAGAAGAAACCTTACAAAATAAATTCCTTACCATCTGAATATTATTTTATGTTATTATTTATGCTAAATGCCAAAATAATCTTAACCTGCCAAACCCACAAACTTATTTATAATTATCATGTTTGATGAGGGAAAAAAAAAATTTATCATGTTTGACACAAGAAATACATCATGATTTCTTTGTCCACTTAACAGAATTATATTTCTATTCTAATAATATATCTATTAAAATATATGGGAGGGCAAATAAACAAGAAACCTGAAGCAAAAAGTATAAACCAGAGCATAACTAATAAAAGAAGGGGCTAATTAGCTGTTCGAAATCTTTCAAAGAAAAGATTCAGAGGTACAACAAGTCGAAGAGCCAAGTCTTAATACAAGAGTATATGAGCAACTTAATTATTTTACATCATTTAAGCTCCTCAATTCTCACACATAAAAGCTTAACCATTCTTTCTTATTCCTCCTCCATCCTGCAACCAAAGTAGAAGACCATTGGATTCATTAGACCAAACTTGGACCATATCAGAATTAGTGTTCTTCAACTGGTTTCAACAAACGAGATCACGTCCGTGTAATTCATGTCCGTGTAGTATTTGTTAACCAGTTTTTACCCTAAACCTTATAAAGCCTCTTACAAGGTTCTCAGGTTATGGAGTGCAAGTTTAAACCAGCACATAACATATACAAGCTCTCTAGGAGACTTGTGTCAGCTGTCAACACAAGAACATAAAGCGTACCTTCAGGTTCTTTTGCGTTTCACAGTTTTGATGTCGTTCGAAATGAAAGTAATCACTTCCTTCAATGTTGCTTTCCTTCCTACTTTGAAATTCCAAAGTTCTGGGGTAATGTACCTACCACTTCCATTGTACTCATTCAACTCTTCCAGAGCTGTCTTAACTGCGTTATGAACCTCTTCTCCCCACTCTCCTTTAAGCTTCTTCAGCTTCTCATCGTTCTCGTCAACCACTTCCTGCAACCATAACCATCTAAATCAGTTACTGCTAACTCAGAAAACAGTCATACCAACATATGGATAAAAGTTTCAACATTCACAGAATCACAGGTTTCTCCTACATATTTAACTGATACAGTGGCCCAGAAAGGGTAAGACAACCAGACATTTTCAAAGCCATGATGGCGTCAACCTAAACCAATAATTCAGTAAAATTGGATGAGACAGTGGGAAAGAACATACCGTTGCTTTGTACCCGGTTCCTTCATGTTTGAACGGCTGCCAGGAAATATCGTTGACGTTCTTCTGCCATGTAGAGCAAAGGGTGGCAGCTTCAATTGAAGCTTCATCTGCAGAATATCTTTGCTTGCAAACATTCAAGAAGGGTATCTCATCGAGTTCTCCCATCCTTTTAACCCCGATATCAGTATTGGCACCCAACAATCCTGTCAAACCCTGAAGAAAAGAGCTTTCAGACCTTAAACAACTTAGGCAACAATTAAATCACTCGCAGATTGGTCCAAATTTTGCTTGTTTGTACAGGCCATAACGTTATCTATAGACAAGATAATGTCTGTGAATTTTACATCAGTCAATTAATCATAATGGAATCAGATGAGAAGTCATTCCCTTGACTTAGTCCTAATCAAACAAGTTTATTATCCAACCAATTACTCCAACTTGCAGGTTCAATTGTGAGCTGAATATATCCAATAAACTATAGCATCAGTCAATTAATCGTAATGTATTTCCTCATCAAACAAGTGTATTAACCAACCAGGTAATTCAACTTGCAGGTTCAATTGCGAGCTGAAAATATCCAATAAATGATAAAGTTTGACCATGTCTCTGGCATTTCAGACGCGATAAAAACAAATTATTCAGGAATATTTTGTTATAAAATGCTACGTAATGGTAAAATGCAAGTGTATCAGTACCCAAAAACACTAAAGCATTAGAAAATTATTTACCGCAATTAATTTTTTCCGCGCTGCTTGTATCTCCAAATTGCTTTGACGTTCTTTTGTCATCAGGTCTGAGTTCATCTGCTCCAGATCTTCTAACTCGGACTTCTTTTCCTCCAGCTCATCTGTCATCTCCTTCATTTTCAGCTTGACCGCCTCATCATCATCATCCCCCAAATGCTTCATCACTTGTAATTTTCCTTTCAGCTCTTGAATCTCCATTTCTAATGTCTGTTTGGTGTCTAGCTGCGTCTCAAGCTGAAGGATCTTGTTCAAAGCCTCTTCTTTTTGTCTCTGGAGTTGAAGAAAGAGAGAATTTCAAACTCGAGACACAAATGTTGGAAGCCTTTTTTCCCTATTATGAGTTTAACTTGTTATACAGTTTCAGTTGTGTACTATGAAATATACCTTATGCTCTTCTACAAGTCTCAAAACGCTCTCGTCAGCAATTTTCTGCTCGCGGGAGGCTAACTGGAGGGAGATGTTCATAGCATCACTCTGCCAAACCAAGAAGATATAAAGTGATTATTGTAACTCGGAAAACATAAATGCACACATACGCACAGACTGATTCTTTCCTATGTATGATACTGACTGAGGACGGATATTACCTTTTTCTTTTCTTCATCAAGCTTTTGTCTCTCCTGTTCAGTTAGTGCTTCCTCTTTGTCCAACTGTTTGGACCAAGTCTGCAGTTGTACCATCTTAGACTCCAGTAAATCACTTAGCCTCTCTTTATCTGCTAGGATCCTCTGGATCTTGAGAAGCGACATCCGCTGCATCTTCTTTGTTTCTGAGGAGATAAAAGAAAAGAGACAATAGTCAGATACCCTAACACATGCTACACGAATCATAAACATATTAGTGTTTAGTAAAAACCGTCTGCATAAGCTTCATGCAAGGTTTTCTTCTCGTCTAGGACTCTCTGCAGTGACATCGCCGTCTTGTTGTAACTGTATTGAACCTTGTTCAGATCTTCGTTTGTCATAGCAATTATATCCGAAAGTTCGTCCAGAACACTGTTTCTATCCTGAGCTTTTTCTTGAGAAATATCTGAAATCGTTCTTAGCGTTCCCTCCTTGGAGAGGTACTCACCAATTGGCCCTTCAGAGTTATAGTCTTCGGCACGTGCACACCAACCATAGGCCTTGGACTCAGAATCTCCTCTCTTCTCCGTCCACTCCTTTTTGCTGCAACCTTTGTTCTCAAACTCCTCCTCAAGCTCTGTTGCACTCGCAAACCCACTCCAGTCGCTGTTAAACTTAGCAATAACCCCAACGGCTGAATCTTGTTCGACCCAAAAGGCATTCACCTCAATAGGATTAAATCTAGAAAGCTCCTTCAACCAATAAGCTGAATCAAGTAGAGCTTCCTTGTCATCAGTTTCTTTCAAAGGATTAATGACAATCCCCATCCATGGCCAGACATAAATGTCACCCGGTTTCGCTTCTGACTCGTCCAACTGAGGAACTGGAGGGCGTGGAACAGGTTCTGCATCACCAGCAAGCTCGTTCTCTAAGTACTTTGCCAAGGCGAGATGATTAGCCTTCTGTTTAGCACTTCTGTTTGCAGATCCTTTGGAAACCCCTGAAGCATGGGCAATCAACTCCTTATACTTGTAATCCTGTTTTTTTTTGCCTGAACAAAAAGGGCATCTCAGATTTCCGTTCACTTTAACCTTGTATTTCCCAGTCTGCAACATCAGGTACGGTATTTCAGAATAATCGTCGATCTCTGACTCGCTTATCTCGGACTCTTCATCCGATGAAATACCCATCGTAGCTGCTTTACCTGGAACACAATCGAAACATTTCTTGAGACAGGAGCTTTACAAGTAAAACAGTTGAAATAAAGCAATCAAGAGGATGATTCATTCACCAAAACGCTAAAGAAAATCGAGATACTTCAGACTTAAAACGCGTATGTCACATCGGAAAGCAAAAACTTCACCGGATAGTTCATGCAGCAAAGTTTGCTGATCAATTGGAAGATGAAGTCATGGGCACTTTCTAAAAGAGACTCAGTTTCTAGCAAACTGCGTCGATAATAACGAAATCCCAGAAGAAAGAGAAACCCTAGGCAAGAACTGAGCTTAACACCTCCCCAAAAAGATATAAACATAGGATGGAGCAAAAGAGAAGAAATTGATACAGCATTTAGAAAATCGATTACGGTATTAATGCATGCATGATAAGGAACCGAACGAAATCCAGATATTCTACAGACCAAGTGAGTAAAGCGTTAAATAAAGCACGAGATGCCCAGAAGAAATATGATGCGAGAAATCATTTGGGAGATTTTCACTATGGAGAAGAGAGAGTAGGAGAAACCTTGAGCTTTAGGTGAGACGGGGCAGAAACGAAAACACGCCGATGAAGCGACGACTGATGAAGAGAGGAGAAGAGTAAAGAGTGAGGACTGATGATGATTCCGACGAACCCCTTTCTAAGCAAATGCGCCAATAGGAAACGCTATGGGCCTACGCGGACCAGCAAAATAAACCAATAACTAAAACAATTATGAAAAAAATACTCCGTAAGAAAAAAATTAGTTAGGACGTAATATTATTTATAATCATGTCACGCCCTTTAAAGCGCCAACTCGGCCATCTTGACTAATATTTGACGATACATGTCTGAAATATCAAACTTGTCTTTGTTTTGTTGTTTGTGAGTATAGTTAGAGTTCGATTTTCAATTTGTTATTGACATTTTTCTAACGACATTATGAATTTGATTTTTTAGCAAAAAAAAAAAAGAATTTGATCCGTCTTAATTCAATTCAAATCTATTTACGTTGGTTTTCATAAGGTTTAAAAAAAAACAAAACAAGTTCACCTTTTTGGTCAACAAAAGCCAAAAGATATTGAAACCCGGTTTTGAAAATTAATGTTACATTCGACCAAAAAAAAAATTTAATGTTACATCAGAAACGATAAGAGTTGAACAGTCCGGTGCTTCTCGATAATCTCCACGATGAACAAACAAATGGTAAACGAGTATTTTTTAAGTATTGATTAGAGTAGAAATGTTTCTTCATTTTCGATGAAAGTAACATCGTTTTCACCTAGCCAAGACCTTTATTTTGACATCTCTTGAAATTTTCAGATTGATCATCAAAATGTAGATGACAGAGTTAATCTAACAATTAAGACAAGGAGATTACCACAACTGTGATGATCGGAACCTTTTAATAAAATTTTGAGATTCTATTTGAAAACTAGACAGTGACAATGGTTGGCTGTTTTTTCTCATCCCTTTGAATCGAGCTCGATTAAGTCTAAGTCCCTAAGATGAAGAAGAAAAACTCGAATCTTCTCTCACATTTGTCTAAGTAAACAAAGCAGTAACTAGTAAAAGGGCATTCAAATCGGCAGGATCGGTCGGGTTTGACCCGGTTCTGAACGTGACCTGCGAGATTTCCTCCAAATGAAGAGAAGAAAAGCAGCGATCACAACTCCGACGGCGTCCGCGACGGCGTCTCTCGCGGAGGCACCTGCGGAAGGGAAGACACCAAAGTGATCGGCAGCTTCTTTAGCCGCACCGGCGGCGAGTGAGAACGCAGATCCGATCAAGATGGAGTGACGGCGTAGAAAGGAGTAGCGAGAGAGAGAGGCGAGCGTAGAGAAGAGGAGAGAGATGGAGAAACAGAATATTACATGGTAAAGTTTGTCCGGAGCAAGCCAAGGGTCTTCTCCGCCGTCATGAAATTGCGTGTTCATCACGTGCTTCTGGCTATTCGCGTTACCGGCGGCGACAAGTAGCCGGCGGTAGAACGAGATCGAAGGCGGCGACGACGAATTGATTGTGGGACCGTGACGGTGTCGTTTTTTTGTTGAGGTATTAAGTAATGGGAAATATGGCCTAAAACTATGAACGATGTCGTTTTTCGTGGAGGTCTTATTCCACGTGGATGGGTCATCTGGTCCAAATTAATAGTGTGGGGTGAAAAACACTGGAGCATAGCCCCCCAAATCGTCGTCATTCTTGAATTAATTATTGATTACGCAAAATGGAACCTATTTGCTGCCATTGAAGGGGCACGCAGAAATTCCGTCTGCGTCTCCGAACGAAATCTCTTCTTCTTCTCTCGATCAGATCCGTTTTGCTTCTTTTGATATTGGATCACATCTTTTGGGGAGTCGTAGGTTTGGTTACGAGGAGGAGGAGGAGGAGGAATAATCTTTGATCTGGTGAAAGTTTCGCATCTGATTTATATACGGGGAAAAAACGTCTCTTTGTCGGAATAGCAAGAAAGGAGTGATTTTTACTGATTCGGTGGACACCATGGATGTTCCTAGCTCTTGGGATGCTTTACGGAAACAGGTAATTTTTCTTTAATTTCGAAGCATTTGGATAATTCTTTAGGATCACAATTTGCGTAGCTAGTAGCGTCTGAAATCTGTATTGAAATTGGGTTCTGGAAGCCTGATTATGATATCACTCTTCTGGGTTCTAATGGAATATATTCGTCATTTCTTGTTGGCTGATTCTCAAAGATAATATATATCTTTCTATTGGATCCAACGTTAACGTTAAGATTCATTCCCTTGTGATACTGAAATGGAGATGCTTTGTGTTGAATCCCACAGGCTAGAAAGATTGAAGCTCAGCTTGACGAGCAGATGCATTCATATCGTAGACTTGTTTCGACAAAGGCTTTAACAAAGTCAGACGGTACAGAGAGCGATCTTGAAGCGGGGATTGACTTACTGCTAAGGCAACTGCAACAAGTAAATGCGCAGATGCAAGCGTGGGTATCTTCAGGTGGATCAGAAATGGTCTCACATACTTTAACTCGGCATCAGGAGATCCTTCAAGATCTGACACATGTATTTATCCATTTTCTCACTCAGACCATTTAATAATTCACTTAGCTCTTTAGCTTTGGTTTATTCTATATTTATTAGCAATGGAATGTTATCTTTTCAACCATCAGTTTACAATTTTCTTTTGGACTAGTTTATGACTCAAAAATCAGTCTTGTTCGGCCCTTGTGTATGCATGACTCATTTGAAATGCAGGAGTTTTATCGACACCGCTCCAGTCTTAGAGCAAAGCAAGAGCATGCTTCACTTCTTGAGGATTTTAGGGAATTTGACCGGACTAGGTTAGACTTAGAGGATGGGGATGGGTCTACAGAACAAGCCCTGCTCAAGGAACATGTGGGAATCAACCGCAATACAGCGCAGGTAAATAACACTCTTAACTTTTTTGTGAGACTCAACAGCTGTATCATACATTAAGCCGGGCTTTCTCAAGTTATTTGAACACCCCATGTCTTATGTGAACTGCCTATTATATAAATGGTACAGATGGATGGTGTCATTTCACAAGCTCAGGCAACACTTGGGACACTTATGTTTCAACGTTCAAATTTTGGAGGCATCAACTCAAAGCTTAGCAATGTCACCAGCCGTCTACCCACGGTACAAAGAGCTTTCTTTTCTCGTCTTTACAAACTTTTTTGGTCTTTGCCTTCTTTCTGCTCGGGTATGCTCCATGTTATCGGTATCATCCCTAAACCTCACTCTGCAATTTTATGGTTGAAACCACTGCAGGTGAACACTATTCTGTCAGCAATAAAGAGGAAAAAGTCTATGGATACGATCATTCTCTCACTGGTTGCGGCTGTATGCACATTTCTCATATTTATCTACTGGTTAACCAAGTAAAATTTGCCCATTTCTTTCAATTGATCTCTCTGTTGGGCCACGTCTGGTTTGGTTTACCCATGATGTCAATTTGTTCTGTGATCATCGGTGTTCTAGTAAAGAATCTAAAGATCGAAAAAAAACATAAAATATTTTGTGTACAGCTAGTTTATCATCGGTATCATCGGTATCATCGGTGTTATCATTGCAGTTTAGATGAGCTTATTCACCATCTGTTCCTCTCATCTTTTACTGGAGTTTTTAGCTGTTCTGTTGTGACATTGATAAGTATACAAGAATTTCGCACAAAAAGAAGAGAAGTTTACAAAAATTTGAGAATAAATGGCTTTAATAAAATCTTAATCATAAATAATTATGTATCCACTTAATACATATTTGAAAGCTAATATTCAAATTCACTGGTTGCTTAGGAATGTGGTAAGGAGAAGAATTTATTTTTTCTCAACATAAGATTTAACAGTCTCCATCCATCTAATATACTCGGCTTTATCTTTGTTCTTCATGTACTGATGAAAGAACACAGCAAGATCATCACTTATACCTCTTTCCTCCAAAAATTGATAAAGTGAGTCTTGAAGTTCATCTTCCATTTCCCTGTAAACGATCAAAGACCAGGTTTAGTTTCATCATATCAGAAACAAATAAAAGGAATCTTTAAGATTTAAAAAGAGAAGAGCAAGTCACTGTACTCGAATTCTGGTCCAATATAGGCATTTGGTGACCTCTTGCTGCTTTTACGAACAAAGAACTTGGAGATCTGTATAGTATCAGGCCAAGCAGAACACATGATCTCTAACGTCTCACCATCACCACCCTTAGAGATGTTGACAATGAAGGTAATGTGAAGCTGAACATCTTCAGGGTCACTGCTTGTTGATTTTGATGATGGAACTGATCCATCAAACATGGTTGCTTCGATCTTGATATCTTCCTTCTCCCCAAATTTTCTTCTCAAGCTAATCCACTGCTCCCCTGGCCGCTCATCCACCGTGAATGGACCAAACCTGTCCTCAGGCTGCGATTTCGTATGCAAACAAGTAGACAGATCATCAGACAGTGTAGACACAGGAAAGATTTAGACAGGAACCAGTTTTTCTATAGGACCATGCAAGAATATTGATTCAAATAAACAAAGCAGAGTGCGTTTCTTCCGTCATCATCTTAAAATTGGGCTCATAAAGGGCATTTAACCTGAAAGATTCTCAGAACAAAAACTCAATTCAATGGGCAGCAAACATGATTTGATCCGGACTGAGCAGCATTTCACAACACTTTGATTCCATTTCTGAAAAGTCTCAACCTTTCTTAAAAAGAGAGGAGTCGAAACAATAACTAGAATACCTGAAGGGGAGGGGAGTGATCGAGCTCGGACTGAATCTCAGAACGAATTAATCGGAGAATGTTACCCTCAAAAGCTGACTTCCGCATTTCCGACACGTAACTCCCCGAGCTTAAGAATTTGCGGCTCATTGAAAAATTAGGGTTTTGATACGAGTGGACACATATTCTAGGATTTCGTACCGATATCGAAGGCGGTGAACTACAGATCAGTGTCCTTCTCAAATATCTGACGAGACGAGCCATTAACAGAGACGAAGAACAAAGGAGCAGAAGCAAAGATGGAGGCTTTTCCTAGGGTTTATGAGAGAATATGGGATTCTCTTTTGCGGGGTTTAAGGAATTCTTGTAAGCTTATCATCACCGTCCACCTCTAATTGAATCTGATGGTTATAAATTACGTTTGTAACAAACAATTCAACATCGTTTCAGAACAAATTGTAAATTGGTACCAATAGAACTTGATGTAATTAAACATACAATAATGTGTTCCCTCTATCGAAAGTTAATCACATGTAACAAGAATCATATAATGTGTCCTTTTTTAAATGTTTGAAGGATGAAAAAGTGAAATAAAATTGTGCTGATTTTTTTCGTTGAGCCCGACGAATGATCCTGCAAACCAAACCGAAAAAGAGAGTTTATTGAATCAGTCTTTACCGGACGAAAACAGAGGACCTAAAAAAGATTCGAGTTTAAACTGTGTTTTCTGAAAAGATTACTCACTCAAGTAAAAGCTTTGACGCTTTGAAGCTGAGAAATTGAGGGGACTTTTAACGACGTTAAGCTTTTTCAGGCTTGTTTTTCGCGAATCCACTCAACAAAATTGTCGAGAACCAATGGCCATGCAAGCTCAGGATTGTACTCCGTCATTTCCGGGAAACTTATCTGAAAATGTTATACGAACAATCCTAGTTAGTTGATGAAACTGCCAACTTAAGAGAATTAAGAAAACATACCTCATTGCAGAACCGGTAAAAGCCCATCCATTGATCCATATTTATGACTTTGTAGTCATTTTGGATCTGTGTCAAGCAAACAAAAAGAAACAAACATTCAATGGATGATAAGATTACGAGTAAACATTCAGGACATTAGATTGTTTATACCTTTAAATACTCGACAAAGTAGTCAACTTGGGCTCGGAATGTAGATCCCATGACAATATCTAGGAGTTGGCATATAGTCTCTATGTCTATGCTCTTCTGCTTTTCCTCTGCCATTTTTAACAGCAAATACAGGTCATACAAACATAAAAAAAAAAGGTGAAGGAGAAGGGGAAACGCAATAAAATCATGCAGAAGCTGAAATTTATCTTACCGGTTAAGCAATAGCGGAAGGCATAAGCATAGAAATCAGCAAAATTTGATTGCCTCCGGACCTTAAAGAGGCAATATATAAGAAGAAAAGCTTTACATGATTTAGGATGCTTAGAAGATGTCTGATCAACATGCAAATAAAATAAAAAGTATAAAATGAACCTCTTTCTCGAGCTCGGGAAGGGCTTTCTTCAATTTATTGATTGTATCAGCTCTTAAAGCCTTCAGGCCTCTTCTCCACTCCTCCTACAGATGTACAGTGAATTAAGATGAGTATCAAAAGGAGAAAGGATCTCTAGCTCTAATGTATTCTGTAAAATTCCTACGCATATCTTACATTTGTAAAGTAACCTTGTTTCTCAGCTTTCATTTTCCTGTGATGTGAGAGTTTAAAGGTTTGAGAATATGTAATCGTGGTAAAAAATATATATAAAGAGAGATATATAGAGAAAATTTTGATGGATAATAATTACCAAGCAAGCATCAAGATTCTGATATCAGTATGAGACACTTCCAAATTGGAGCATAGTTCCTCTATTCCTTCAGGGCTGTTCACGTAATACCAAAACAAAATATTAGAAGCTGCGTTCTCAAACAATAATGTTATGGCGGGAACTGGATATAACAGAAAACAATGATCTAGATTTTAACTTTTACATCCATTTCTCAATGATACTAGCTAGGACGAAACAGAGCTTAAAAAGATAGATGATTCGTGCGACAATGGATACTTACTCAATCAGATTGGAAGATTTATTGGCATACTGATTAAACAAGTGATCTATTCGATCCATCTCTTTAGTCGTCGCCTTACTCGAAGCTGAACAACAGAAACAACAAAATTACACACAAGTCGTACGTTTCTACAAAATCGACGGCGATTAAAATTTTCTGATCACGACGAATATGCAGAAGAATTTAATTCGAAAAGTAAATTCTGAGTTCGATGAAGAAGATGTCAGCTACTGATTTAGATTGTTCAATTATCCAAAATCCACAATTATCCATTTCTTCATTCGTCAACCCAGTTCCCATCACAAGCTAACAAGATTTTAATCCAATTTACAAAGCGGCGGCACCACGAAAACCCGGACCAAGAAAAAAAAAAGAATCAAACTTTGAGCACAATTACATAAACCCTAGACGCAGGAATCGGGAAAGGATGAAGAGGAGAGAGATGTAAAAACCTGAGCGAAAGAGATCCGTGGTGGAAGATGTGATTGAATCAACGTTCGATTGGCCTGATTTCTTCTTCGATGCGGAAGCAGAACGACGCATCTGTACACAGACAGAATCTTACAGAATTAGAGAAAGAGTTGTGGGAAGAAAACGCATTGAAAGAAGAAGGAGATTAAGAGAAAGAGAGTCAAATAAACAAAACCCAGAAAAGGAAGAGAGTAGAGAGAAGCAGAGGCACCACGAAAAGCTTCTAGATGGGGGATAATCTGATAGACGAGGCACCTGATTGGAGAAGAGAGAGACAATTTCTTCCTCTTCACCCTTTTTATATGTATGTTTTTTGTATTTCTCTCGGATTCGGATACTCACAATTAAAATTTAGTTTATAAGTCTATATCTGTAAATAAATATGTTCTAAATTATAGTTAACATTAATCATACATAGTATAAAATCTAGTATTTTTAATAAAAAAATATCAAATCACATAATTAAATTAAATAGTTAATGTTATCACATAAAAATCCAAATCGACTTAATGTTAACTATTTTTTTTATTTTGGTATGAATGTTAACTATTTGTATAGCCGTGAATAATAATGAATTCATATCCGGAATAGTTCTTGTTTCTCAACTCTGAATCTAGATGTAAAATTTCAAGGTATTTCGTCTGCACCACCCTGTCCATCAGAAATGAAAATGTTTACTTCTAAATCCATGATTAGTGATAAACAACATACTTCTAAAATTCGTTGATACTTAATGTGATAGCTCCTTATATTGAGAGTGATTACAATCGTTGAGCATTCATCACCTCCATGGTGCGCAAGAGAACAAAAACTACACTTTCTATTGGTGTTGGTTGCAGGAAATGGATGTGAAAGTCATGTCAATTTGCCAGATCAACCAGCAGAATAGGAGTCTCGCTCCTGAAACCCTGTGCAGTACATGGACCAGATAATATTAAGGTGCTTCCCTCGGTAAGTGTTTGTGTAGTCTAGGTTTAGACGTAATACTCTGTACAGAGCCAAAGGCTGTTTTACTTTCGATGTAAATACCTTTCATTCTCCTACTTGAGCTTCTGTAAGAAAGTGATCTATACTAGTCATGAGACAGATGGTGAGGTAGCGATTTTGAATCAGAGCAAGTCCTTAATTCTCTCTGGATATATCTTTGCCATTATCTTAATACACTCATTTACTGACTGATATAGTGAGAAATCACTAACCAGTGTGAGAGATGATAACCATATATAACTTATTGTTTACATTTACATATACAGCTAATGTTACAGAAAAGAAGATCCTAGAACACAACTTCTGATACATTCCAACATATTCATATAAGAGATGTACATTTTGTTATAGAAGCTACCCTTATGAGCTCCCTAGGTAAAGCTTCTATCAAATGCTAATCCTCCAGGCCAATAAACATGAACAAAACTACACTATTTGGTCATGTTAACGGATTCTAACTGGCAAAGATCATTACACAGGTTCTCCTATTACCGTCATCTACTGAAGCGGTTTTGTCTTCCTTCGACGACCAGAAGCTTCCTCTGTCTGAAGGGTAAGACCCACATTCTTAAGAAACCATAACGCTGCTTCTGCTGCTTGCTCAGATGCGATTTTCTTCTTGTTATGTGGTTCCCCGAAACACTCCAGAACTGTTATACCAGAATCCACTTTGATTTCAACCGTAGCTTTGACTGTAAATCTGAACAAAACAACAAAAAGCCATGTTAGTGCTAAAATATTTCAACCTGAAAAAATGTAAGAGAGAGTGATTGAATTATGTCCACTTACAATTTCATATCGCAAGGGCCATCACACTCATACACTGGTGCTTTCCAATGTCTCACACCACATAATTTATACAACTGTTCTTTGGCTGACACTTTCTGAGTCCCTTCTACAACACATGCGTGAGAATAACAAAACAAAAATGTCAATACAGATGAAACAACTTGCCTTTGTCATAGATAAACCCGAAACCTGAGAGATAATCGAAAACTTTTAGCTTATGATTCAATTAATTTTGAGGAATGCAGAAGCTCGGCTCTCCAAGGAAAGAAACATGTCATTTAATAGTCTCATTCCATAGCAACAGCTTTCAATGCTTAAAAGCCCTAAATTCAATACCTTTGGGGGAAAAAGAAAACTCCTTATAGCTAATTACAAAAATGATGAAAGATGACACAACAAAATAGGTAAAATGTGAAGAAATCAAGCACCTTCAGATATGGGATTTGTTGTATGAGGCACTAAACCTGCTCTTGGTGGTTGGGAGAGTACAAGCTTATTCTCCTGTGCATGCACGATGTTTGACTCGATCTGTAAAGCCTTGCCTTCTTCAACATAATCATTCAGCTTCCTCAGCTTAAGACCATTTTCGCATCTCTGTATCATCATCCTCGGCTTTGGTGGCTGATCCAACAGAAGAAAACAATAGTAACTCAAGTTAGGGTTTTTCCTTCATTATCACATTTCCCACATTGGGTTTAAACTCTTGCGGAAAGAATTACCAACGAAAGCACACCAAAAACTGATTCTTTTTGTCTTGTCCAATTTAGAAGATTTCAGCGCGAAATGAGAAAGACGAGAATATCTATAATCTAATCCGAATTTCTTACCTCAGAGGAAGAGGAGGGAATTGATGATGAGGGGTCTAAAGGAGGAAGATACATCGCTGAGATTGAAGATACAAAATCTTTATTGAATCTAATTTTTAGCTCTTGCCTGCTTCGTCTACCTCCTTTATTTCTTCTGAGCTTCCCTGGAAGCTCGTCTTTTAGTCTGTTTATTTTCCCCTGTACTTCGGATATAACTCTCAACTGTGCCGTTAATTAATTAAGATAATTGGGCTTTTAATTGGAATAGGCCTTTTTCTTTGGTAAATTTACGGCCCACAATATTTGAATGCATTCTATTTGGTACTTCAGAAATGGAAGTTGATTAGCATCCGTGACTAAATTATCTGAAGAAAATAGTTTCGAATAAAAAGAATACTTGTAACAATTAAATTGAAGTCAACGTTTTGAAGGAAGATAGAGTAGTTTGCAGACAATGAAGATAAGCATGAAGTGAATGGGCAAACGCATTCATTTAATTACAACGGTGGCACATAATTCAAAAATTCTAAGCAACTAAAGCTTTTAATACACATCGACAATTTATCCTTCAAATAGTTATGAAATAATGTACCAAAATTTATAAAAACCCTTAACGTCGAAGCTCTGTATCAAAAGAAGAAGAGAACAAAAAGTAAACAGAAAAAGATGATGAAAGCAAAAAATCTTCTTGTGATTGGATTTTTGTTTTCACTACTCCCTTTAATCACTCACACAACAGAGTCCACATCAGATCATGAAGAGAACGCAAACGCCGAAGCAGTAGCCATAAAGGAGCAAACACAAATAAACAGAGGAAGACGCAGTGGTGGCGGTCAGAATCGTGGACGCAGAAACTGCGATCCACTGTACAAATACTTGTTCGGAATCTGTGGCCATTGGACTTTTCCTACAACACCTTCACCGGAAAACCCTTTTCTCCCTTTCCAACCACCGCGTCCAAGACCGCGTCCAAGGCCGTATCCGCCTCCGTTGGTTCCGTCTCCACCACCACCGCGTCCACCATCACGTCCAAGACCGCGTCCAAGGCCGAATCCACCGCCGTTAGTTCCGTCCCCACCACCACCTCCGCCTCCGCCGCTCGTTCCTTCGCCTCCTCCTCCCTCTCCGCCACCGTTTTTCTTGTTCCCTTCGCCACCACCACCAGTGATAGCGTTCCCACCACCGTTGGTTCCGTCTCCTCCGCCGCCGCAACCGGGCTTGGATCCAACGATACAGCCACCGCCGTTATGGTTTCCGCCACCACCACCTCAAAACGATGCGCCGCCGATGTTCTCCCTTCCACCGCCGTTGGATGAGTTTCCACCTATGCCACCAATATCCTGGCTGCCTCCTCCGGATGTTCCCGGCCAATCTTCTCCGGCGGAGGACTTTGATCGGAATCCTCCACAGTTAATGGAATCCCCACCGACGTTTTAACAAATAGCATTTTCTGATGTTCTCTTTTCTTTTTTCCTCTCTCGCGCATGTAATCGATTACTAAACTACGTAGATGTAACGAAGCAAGTTATGATATTCCTCTAAATAATTTCATCTAGTCCTTGAACTTCAAGCGGAAGTCTCGCTGTTTTGAAATCTAGTGGGCCGGAGGTTTGGAGAAAGTGGCCCAAACCCAGTGAATAAGGCTTTTGAGTTTTCTTATTGGTTAAATGTGTAATTTTACTATGGTGGGGTGGGGTCGGGCTGTTATAAACGAGGTAATAAACGAAGAGCTGAGCAGCTGAAGCAACGGCGTGGGATAAGTTTAAGAACAATTCTCGAAGTGGAGACTCCTAAATTCTGATTCAATGCGGTTATTTTCGAGCAGAGCAGAATCGAGGATTTAACGCCACGTATTACATTTATTTACTTCTTCTAACTCAAGCTTGCTTACCTTTTGTATCTTCAAAATTAACTCCTAAACGTATTTCAGCTCTACGTTCCATACTTGCCGTCAGAAGCGTCACTTATTTAACCAGCTCTGATCAAACCGGTTCCATAGACCATGATTTTATATGGTTTAATTTTGGTCCGGTCGTTCCTATAGTTCCGCTGAGCTGTCACTAATGTGGGAATACTAAA